TCACAAGTCTTACTGGAGATAAGAGAAGACTCGATTTCGCATGGCCGCCAAGTATTTATCATGACAAAGTCAATGTCAGGTTCGATGTCTACATCTGAAAAGTTTCACATTTTATATCGATGTTGTATAAAAGATACAGAGAAAAAACCATTATTGTATCAGTGCATACTGATCAAATGAGCTCTAGTCTTCCAAAGCTCGATCTCGGCTTTAAGATGTTTTTTTCCTTATCTGCATGTTCCAGATCATTAGAGAGCACGATCCATGGTAAATTTGAATAAAAATATCACGAAGGAAGAAAAAAATTGGTTCCGGCAGGGCTCGAACCTGCGACCTTCTGCATTGCAGGGCTCTGGTTCGAACTAGTTGTTGAACCGCCGTGATTGGGAGGTATTAGTTTCGAGCACTGTATCAAAATTATGATATAAATATTCCCAAACATGTCAGTCTCAACAACTTAGGTAGTTCATTAAAAAGATGCAAATTGAGTTATGCATCGATTTTTTATTTATTTATAGGACTAGTTGGTATATTACAGCGTACTTAGCGGATAATCATAATGAAATCAACGCAATATACGCATGAAATATGTATCTAAATATACACATCTTTAAGTTCACTTACCGCCATTGTTTCGCAAACTAATGTACCAGCAGTTGTTTCATCACAAAGAAATATCCCTTATAACATCGATGTTATGCAGTTCGATATGTCCACTCCTACTATTTATCTTGTAGCATACTTTCAAATATCCAACGGCAAACACAACGATTCAATAGTCAAGATTACAGCTACCTTCCAGTTGCTGTTCGTACATCGTTTCCTGGCGCCCTTTTTCTAAATAAAGTCAGCCTGAGTGGAATTGATCCAGAAAAAATAGCGCTTAACTAAGGTCTCTGTAAATCATGAAGAAGCCGTCCTCACCATATCGAAATGGTAGTTTCGCCAGCCTTGCTCTTTTCCTTTCTGGGTACTAACTGAAGCAACGAAACACAAGAATACATGAAAGCGTGTAAAACAGCTCACATTCGAATTATCGATTGCGTGATATGTGTAAACAAGCTCGGCATTATGGGAAACCCCCTAGATCCCAGACCATATCCGAGCCGCGGGTGCCGTCGTCGTTGGCGGGAAAACGCCCAGATTTTCCCGCTTTTTTCGGGTGCCATGTGTAAACAAGGTCAGAATTATGGGGAAGGCCAAGGCCATAGATCTCAGGTCATATCCGAGTCCGTGGTAGCCGTCATTATTGGCGGGAAAACGCCCAGGTTTTCCCGCTGTTTTCGCGCGTGTTCCCATGACAAACGCGTCAAAAAAAAAATTTTTTTTATCACTTACTGGAAACATCCCAGACACGCTGGCTACATTGTGCGGTTGTGCCTTGTTTCTGTGTTAGATTTACAATGGCAAGCATTGTTTTCGGTAAAATTAAGAGTTGGCTTGAGAGTCGCTTCACCTCATTATTGACTGAGGATGAAATTTGTAGTTTACAGCAAAATTTGTTTAGTTTTGAGTTCGACTCTGAAATGTTGGAGATGGCGGACGACGACGATTTTCGTCAAGTTATCCCGCAGGAATTTACCCTCAAAAAAAAAATGTTGCTCTTAAAGGCTTTTAGGAACATCAGAGGTAGGTACCGTTAACGTCATTTTCTTCTTTCGGTGACATGGTCAAAGGGTTTTTCGATTTTCATAGCATTTAGTATGTTTGCCGTATGACGTTTCTTTTATGCCGAAATTCACAATTTCTAAACATTATTCCTTATTTGCCACCCACAGCTTCGTCGACTTCTGTGAGTCATTCGGTTCCCTTTTCGGTGACCGTAGGTGAGTTTTTTACCCCATTCTAGAATAAGGTTTCCTTTTCCAATTTTTTTTTTGGAAAGCGTCCTTCTTCAACGTCAGTAAATTGATATTTATCAATGCAAGGTTTTCACTCCTTTTTCTTTTCGCAGTACCTTTCACCGGAGCAAGTTCTACCTTGCAGTCAGGTTAGTGTATTCCGTCACTCTTCTTTCTAGTTTTATTAGTGCAGGGCACGTCCAAAAGTTGTTTAGTTGTGCGAATTTTATCATCGTTTGTTTCACAAATGGTTAAATTTCTTACGGACTAAAGACAATTCTCTGCCGGCTCAAAACGAGTCCTTCTCAGAAGGTACCTTTATCGATAATTTTCGCTTCCACTTTAACTTTTATAATTAACGGGCCAATACCTATTTGCTCTCCTCTTTGTATGCTGCAGTTCAGTCTGTGTATCACCTTACATCGCCGGAAGGCCAAGACGCCCCAGTGTTTCCCGATATAACCACAGGTGATCTTCCAACCTGTCTTTTTTTTTTATCACGAGTTTCATTACATTTTCCATATTATGAGTTCTCCGCTTCTGCTATTTATAATCTTGTATCTATCCATTTTGTCTTGAAGATTCGTCGGCCTCTCTCACTGCCTCGGCCGGTTTCATCGCGGGTGAGTCACTTGTCTGTCTTTTTTATTGTTCGTGATTTTGTTATTGCGCTGTACTTGAGACCTGGCTAAATCAATTAGTTTATTTGTTACTAAAGAGACTACCTTTGTAATCTCTACAGCGCCCTCTACTTCTACATTTACAACAGAGCGAATAAATGCGAGTGCCGCCACTTCAGGTAGTGTGATGAGAATTTTCTTTATTTAATGTGTGTGTGTATATATATATATATATTTCATTCGCTATATTGGTCTTTTGGCATCCCATGTGAAATCCTCTCATTCTCCACAGCGCCTTCCACCTCTATACTTTCATTCGAAACAGAGGAAATAAGTGCGCCTTGTGCGAGTGCCACCACTACAGGTAGTGTGATCAGAATTTTCTTCATTTAACACACACGCACACACACACACACACACACATATATATATATACACATATTACATTCGCTTTCTTGATCTTTTGGCATTCCATGTGAAATCTTCTTATTCTCCACAGCGCCTTACACCTCTTTACTTTCATTCGAAACAGAGGAAACAAGTGTGCCTTGTGCGAGTGCCGCCACTACAGGTAGTGTTGTCTGAATTTTTCATCTAACATATATATATATATATATATTACAATCGCTTTCTTGGTCTTTTGGCATTCCATGTGAAATCTTCTTATTCTCCACAGCGCCTTCCACCTCTTTACTTACATTCGAAACAGAGGAAACAAATGCGCCTTGTGCGAGTGCCGCCACTTCAGGTAGTGTGATCTGAATTTTTCTTCATTTAACATGCACACATATACATATATACATATTACATTCGCTTTCTTGGTCTTTTGGCATTCCATGTGAAATCTTCTTATTCTCCACAGCGCCTTCCACCTCTATACTTACGTTCGAAACAGAGGAAATAAGTGCGCCTTGTGCGAGTGCCGCCACTTCAGGTAGTGTGATCTGAATTTTTCTTCATTTAACATGCACACATATATATACATATATACATATTACATTCGCTTTCTTGGTCTTTTGGCATTCCATGTGAAATCTTCTTATTCTCCACAGCGCCTTCCACCTCTATACTTACGTTCGAAACAGAGGAAATAAGTGCGCCTTGTGCGAGTGCCGCCACTTCAGGTAGTGTGATCTGAATTTTTCTTCATTTAACATGTACATATATATATATATACATATTACATTCGCTTTCTTGGTCTTTTGGCATTCCATGTGAAATCTTCCTCGGTGAGTGCGCGTCAGACTTTTTCCGATATTGTGTTCAGTTAAAGGATTTTATTCTAGTAAAGAAACTTTCTTTTCCTTCAAAACAGATCTAGTGCCAGATTCGAGCTTGGCCAAGTCTGGACGGCTTCAGGCCTTTCTGTGCCAAGATAGCCAGACCAGAGAGGAAAAGATGAGAGAGGCAGAAACACAATATATTCGCACAAGGAGCGAAACTGTGGTATGTTAAATTTAACCCCTTTTTCACACATGGATGGTTGTATGTTTCTATATCTACAGAGTAAGCGAAATGAGTTAATAGTGGACCCATAATTAATACCTTTATACATAAAGTTAAAATTAGGTTACTTGGTGCATGACACAGGGGAAGTACGGAATATATCTTTCACTAAGCTCAAGGCTCTTCTTTCATTTCAGTTGGATGCAATGGTGAGGGCCAGAAACGCATACCAAAACTGGCACGCAGCCGTCCACGGCGATGTGGCCCAACTTCTGCCTCTCAGGCAAGAGAATATAAAGGCGTTCTGCGCAGACCTGGCTAAAGCCGGTTATGCGCCCAGCACAATTATCCAGCTATATTTAGCTGGCTTGTGTACTTGGGTAAGTTGTTTTCCTTTCTTAGCGTTTTCAAAAAACGTTATTTTACCCTACTTATATCTCCTTCCATTGACATGTCTACAAAGTACATTAAAAATTACAATAGTATTGTACAGTGAAATCCCTATTGCATCATTTGAAACTCGTTTAAGCATAAACTTATCGTTGCAACACAGATTAATAACAATATTTATTTTCATTTCAGCAAATGGCCAACAATTTGCCATCGCCAAGACGGGAGTTTCCCGCCTTGGCCATGACAGTGAAGGCCTATTTGAGAAGGTTCGTGGGCATTGGTACTCACATGAAGAAGGAGGCCCTGTTCCCGCAGGATGTCGAACACTTGATCGACACCTGCGGGATTGACACGCCCCAGCAGCTACAGCGTGAGCAAAATTTCATTTCCTAGTACTTTTGAGTAAAGATATGATCACTGTGATTGTTTTACAGGCGCATAACAGAAACACTGGGAAAGCCCTCGCACTCTTTCATCCTTCATGCTCACTTTGGCCCAATTGCCCTTTGTTCTACACAGTCTCAGTCTCAGTCTGTCCAAAACCTCATATTTTTTCGATCTTTAAATCTTAGTCGCCTTCATCATTTCGGCGTCGTTCCACTCTGGATGTCGGCAAGGGTCGCTGACCCGAAATAAAAGAAGGTTTTGGCCAACGAGCTCTTAGAGGAGCTCGGTAGTCCCACCTCCGGTGAGGGAGTCGATGAGGATAGGCCAACTTTCCTTTTTGTAAGTATAAAATATCAGGGTCACGATAATTTGATTAAATCAGTTTCGGACAATGAGTTAGTTCCCTTCTTCGATAATGTACTCTCTTTATTTCCTGACATTCAATAATTCAACTTGACTATTGTTCTTACGTTCATGCAGAAAAGACGACGATGACAACATGAAACTCACCATCGAGTTTCAAAAGGAGAAACAGGACGGTGGAAATGTTGAGTACAGGTACTCATTACAAAATTATTTAACGACAGTCATATATTCATTTTCTGCGCCAGGTATAGCTGTCGATTCCCTTCAATATGTACATATTTCTTATTTCTTATATTTTAAAAATTTTATTCAGCACCAAATGTATCGGCACAGGCTCAGACCGGTGGTGGCTTGTTTAATTATATGGTATAGATGTATTTCTGTTATGCTCTTGTTTTCCTTTGAAATATAAAAAATAAGTATTAAAAACTCTTGACCTATTTATGTTTCAGGAGACCTTTTACGTTTACCCCGTTGCATAAAGGTTCCCCTTACGACCCGGCAACCTTAGGGTTTTTGTTCCTGGCCGTAAGGGGTGCCTTTATTCTGCCTGCTCAAGAAGCATACGAGCGTGGTGACTTCCGTCTTCGAGAAGACGCGAAGTCATGGTATCTCCTTTGTGAGATAGACCAGTCTAGTGGAGCAATCAATGTAAATATTTTCATTTTTTTTTTTTATTTTCTTATAGTTCACTAGATTCTAGTCAAGGGATTTTCTGTCTTCTCCGCCCACAGTCTCTCACTACCCATGCATGTCGACGCATGATGAAAAATAATTTCACGCAATACTTTTAAATTTAAATGTCACAAGTGATGATGTTTATGGTTAAAATAGAACCTATGACTACCGTCCAGTATATCTCGTGTAATCACAATATTTCCTTTACTCTCAGAACACCAAGCCACTACAAGGCCTTACAGCCACGTTTAATACCCTTGTGGCTAAGGCAGGATTTGATGTGCGGAAATTAACGCATCACTGTAATAGATCGGTTAGTTTAAAAAAAGAAATTTCTTTTTTCTTCATTCATATCATATTACTTTACCTTTAAACAAATGTTGTCCATTTGATAATGATCTTATAGTTACTGTTTTTCATCTTTATAACAGGGTATGGCCACGACATTTATAATAAATGAAACTATTAAGAATAATGGTACTTTTCCGAGGGAAAGTGTGGCCACCCTGTGCCGTCTGGGCGGCTGGTCCGAAAAAAGTGGAACGTGGTCACTATACGTGAAGGATGTTTTTGAAAAACACCTTGACACGAGTTCCTTTCTCTATCGGTAAGGATCTCAGCATATCTTTTCCTTTGGAAAAGTCAGTATATCGATTAATCGAAGCAATGTTTACGGCATAAAGGGGGAAATGATAATCAAAATATATAAAAGATAATTTCTGATGAATGATGAAATAAAAGGTTTGTTAAAGAAATGAGCTTTGAGGCAAGTTTCGTTTGGAAAGCGACATAATTCGGTTGTTATCTATGAGAATTGAAACAAAATATCTTTTTTGGCCGCACAAAAGTGAAAGCTATTCTCTTCGTTATTTTCAGCGACCTACGTCCAGACAACAGGGCAACTTACCTGGAAGATATAAAATCCGCCTTCAATTACCGAGTAGATAAAAACCTCCAAACAATGGAGGATTGCCACGCCGTAGAGGGTTTTGCAGGGTACCTGCACGAATTCAGAGACACTGGTCTCAACATTTCGATCGGGGAGGCAGAGAAAGGTGATTACTTTTAATTTTCTGCATGTAATAAACCAATTGATCACATGTGACGATATGTGAATTTAACTTTTCTTTTTTTCCTACAGAACTTGAAAAAATGAAAAAAGGAGAAAGTGCTGAATGTAAAGGTGCTTTACACAGATCCCTTGTTTGAATCATTGTTTTCGATTGTGGTCAAAGTCACAGACCCCAAGATTTAGTTTAATTCATTTTTGCATTGATATTATATTCTCACATTTGATAAATAGTGAATTTCAATTTCCTTTTGTGCTCCCAGGAATGACAATGAAGGGCCTCACATTTAAAATAAAAGCCCTGAAACAACAGGCTGTGTTTCGCTTTGCCTCCGCATACAACGCGAAACAACACGATGAGGCCAGGGCTAAAAATCCACCACCGCACCCAAACAAACCTGTAAGTAGTCAAACATATTTGAAATGTTCTCTTTCTTGCATTGACATCTTTTTCGTAATTTCACATTAATCAGTCCCGCTTAAAAATTTTATTAGTTACACTCGTGGCTTTTTTTTTTGTCCATTTTCCTTCTTAGGGGTTTACAAAACCACTGAATATGTTGGGCCACTTGAAATTCATGTTAGAGTCAGAGAGGGGGGAAGATCTTTCCCTGAGGAGATTTTCTCCCCTCGATTACTCTATGAAGCTAACTGGACCTGTAGAGTGCCCGTTTGAAGGTTGTGGGTTCCAAACAGATCTCGGCAAGACAATGGTCAGCCACCAGCAGGAGGTGCGCCACCCTGGTTGGAATCGGCACGATACCACCAGGGAAGGCCAATCTAAGCCTTGGCATTGCGGTCTGAGGACATGCCAGAAGGCTTTCCCAACATGGGACGGCTGCTACAAACATATGCAGTCCCACAGCAAGCCTCTGGCATGTCCTGTTTGCGAAAGTTTCAGGACAGACCGAATGCCAAGGCTTAAGAAACATCTCAAAGAAGTGCATGGACAACAAAACGTAGGAAGCGGCCACTTCTCGAGGAAGAGTGGAAGTAAATTCCTCGCAAAGTGAAGGCAAGTATTCGTACCCTTTATCACTTGAAGCCACGAATTCATCTACACAGAATTTTCGACAACACGTCCCTTCATCATAGAAAGGAAAGCAACGATGTTCCTACAAACAACACAATTTTCACGAGAAATCTTTCACGACGACGATGAGACGAGCTTTGCTCTTGATGATGGCCATATTGAAGATAGATTTCATTATTTGATCTGTTGGGAGGATTAAAGATGATTTTCACTAATCTAATCTTATTCCCTTTTTAGGTCATGCACTTTTTCCCTACACCAGTTCGGGCCATAACCATTTCTGGATATCGGTTTCGAGCTTTGTGATTGGGTGAGATCAAAACCAAAACAAAGCAAATTTGGCCGAGAGGTGCTGGAAACAAGAAGAAGCTGATTTTTTTTTTTTTTTTTTTTTTTGGCGGCCATGTTGTAATGCGGTAGTAAGCTGAAACAAAATTCGCTAATAAGGACTGGACGTAAGATACCATTAAAAATACTCGTTTATTTCAAACATTCAACATGCATGTCCTCGACATTCTCGCATTCTGGAAGAGTAAAGCGGATTCTTTCTAGCACAAATTCTTTGTAACGCTGTGGTCTATCCACCAAGAGCGTCACAGGAATAAAAGCTCCTCCGCCAGCCTGTTTGTATCTGGAGAACTTCTGGGTAGAGCTTGGCCTCGATGTTAGTGTCCGTTCTCCGTTGATTTCCCTATTTTGGGTTACAAGAAAACCAATTAAATAAGGTTGAACCAATTATCGCACTGATAACAATTGGGACGAGTGAGGTGTGAGATCGCGGAATCGGGACAATTTCATTTCTCTCCAGTATAGGTCGAGGAAAGACAATATCTTGTTTCTCTCCGATTTTTAAATAGACATTATCAATTTCAGTCCATCAAGCCTTTACGAAAAAGTAACAGTAAAGCAAGAAAACAGTAACTGACCCTTCAATTCCTGGTTATTTTGCCACATCGAAGCAAAGCATGCAGCTGTATGTTTAGAAAGTGCTGAACCGTGCCGATCTGCTGCCCTTTGACATCTCCTAAAGTGTATGTCTTTCTCTGCGATTTGCTGAAAATCTGGACTTCTCGTAGAGCCTCTGGAATGCGTTCCATTTCTCGTGGAAGAAGACAAGCCAGTGCATGCGAGTCATACGTGTTGTCGTCTTCACTTTGAATAACAAGCGGTGTTCCACGTAGAGCTTTGATCTTGAAATTATGATACCTGGAAAATAAACGCCAATAAACACATGAGTGGGATAAAATAAAATCAAGTAGTCACAATCTATATTAAGACGAATACACATGATCGAATTCAATGCAAGAGAATCATTCAAGGTATTTTGCGCGCTATTGATCGATTCGCGGGAGAATCTAGGTCTCAGAACACTACAAATTCGGTCCTACAGCTTTTAGTCAGCAATAATATGTCCTTTACAATTACCCTTTGATTTGAACACCCTGTATAGAAAGTTTGTTTAGGTAATCACTGCAAAGTGTGAAAGCACGAGCGGTGTTTCTAAACGAGTTTCACAATTACAGACAAGTCCCTTGTGGTTTTAGACGAAAATTTCACTCTCATCAGTTCGTGTAGTTAAACTCCAACCTTTGTTTCCGGAATGCTGTAATAGAGACACTTCTGCAAGGCTTTCCACCAATGTGATTTCTTTATTTTCATCTTCATGCCGCTCTTATCGCACATTTCCCGGATACGATACCTGAAGATGTGAGAGCTCAGTGAACGAATACCTCTTTGTTTTATGTTTGCCCGAAGGAGAACTTACTCGATGGATAATCACATTTATGTGTTAGATCCGTGGTTTCCTGAAATTATTTTTTAGTGTGCATTCGCCTTGGCTGAATGAATCTCTCTGATGTCAAGATCGACATTGATTCGAAATTTCATCCAGAGCTCCGATTTAAAAGATTCTTTGTTTGTAGCACTGACCCAGGTCCGTGGCAGATTTGTGCCACAAAGACGACAAAGTGTCTCGAGATACTGAATGTGTTCATCCATGCTGTTGGCTTGATCTGAAATTCACAATGTAGGCTTATAAAGGTCCGATAAATAATTGTCCTTTTACTTTAAATTGGCCGGCCACAACGTATGGTTAAAATTTATGGTTTATACGATACTCCGATGGATTTGAACAAAGGAATCCGTCTGGTAGTTTGCACACTAACAGACTTTCAACATTCGTGCACTCGAGCAAAAACCTCGTGCACTCGATTGGAATTTTGACAAATTGGAAGCAAATTTATTCTAGTTTTTTAAAAGATTTTTTTTAGGAATCAAAAAAAATGTTGCATACCTGAAAACCTCAACTAAATAGAGGTTATTCCTCGATCGAGCCCTTCGCAACATGGACCTCCACCCGACTTTTCATCTGAATTTTTCCTTCTCGTCATCGCGACCACCATTAGTTCTTTGCTTGTTGTGTGTAATTGCTTGTCTTCTGTAATTTTGCAAGGTTTCATGGGATATGGGTCGGGAACTAAGTCGCTAGGGCTCGAATAAAGTGATGAGTGAGTTTCCTCGATGTCCCACTACGACATCCATGTTTGTGACGTCATCAAGTATCCAGAAATGGATATGGCCCGGACTGTACACTGATTCTTTTTTCTTGCGGAATTTTTATATCCCCGCTCGCTGGTTCAACTAAATCAAGAGGACTGTATCTTTCGATGTTACAACAGGATTTAATCCAAACCAACAATGTATTGCGATGTACAATTATAACATATTCAACGGCCGTAACACAACGATCAGTGATCAACGATCAACTGACACATTCTAAGTATTTTTCTGCTACCCTGCGTAAGGTAGTATTTTACAAGAATCACATGTACAGAAAAACTTCCTATTGTGATGCATCTAAATTAGGTGACTATTACAAAATCGCACGTTCTTTCACCTTATTTAGCCTAAGAAAACACAGGCAGTTGCATCATTATATATCGTAAATATATTGAACCAGTTGTTTGTTAACTACTTTAAGGTTACGATATCGCTTCAGCAAGCTTAATGTGTAGTCGACATAAATTAAAGACACACCTTCCATTGCTGTATTGTGGATCGACTTTAAAAGCTTTAAACAGAGTGTACTTGCCCTCAAGATGGTGTATGGATTATGACCTCCACATGTTCATGCTAATGTTGATTGGAATCATGCCCTGGCTGTAAATTTGAAAAAATGATTGAAATCTTAAAAAGACTCCGTTTAAATAGTGCACGCTGGCCATCTTTTCCGTCGTTTCAGAACGCGAGCCAGTTGCTTTTAGGGCAGGAAAGACATCATCTTTTGTGTGTGTCACTGCTGGTCATCTTTGGTTTAATATCTCTATTTGCGGCTTTTCCTCCAATTTTTTTTCAATAGAAGTTGTGAGTTTGGTTAATATATAAAAAAAAATTAAAAAAAAAAAAATTTAGCAATGGTTCCGCCCGGACTTGAACCGGGGACCTTCCGCGTGTAAAGCGGACGTGATAACCACTACACTACGAAACCCTTCCCGAAGTAAGAGGGAAAATAATATATATTTAAACAATTTGTCATGGAAACAATGACGTCACAGAAACAAAGGCCATTTACTGTGGTCATTCTTCCATGTTTTATCTCGAGCAAAGCGACGTTCGATTTGGCTCGTATTTGATGTTGATTGGTTGATAGGAAAACAACACAAAGTATTTCTTAACTTTCTGAAATTAACGAAATCCGGAATAAAGACATATCGAACGTTCGATCACTCGAACTTATTTGAACCCACTGAGTGAAAGGGGTAAGTTTCTAAGAAACTGATGCTGCTGCTTGAGGTAGTAGCTCTTACAACAAAATTTGGTCATTTTGTCAAATGAGTTGATAATGTGAATTAGACACCGAAAAATGGTTCGAAAGCTGACGTTTCGTGCGTTAGCCCTTCATCTTTGAATCTGGAGAAGGGCTAACATTCGAAACGTCAACTTTAAATAGAGTCCTCAAGTTGGAAAAGTCTTATTAACAACTCAGTTGATAAAACCAAATTAGTTCGATCAGGTTCGGGCAAGCCACTGTCAAACACGGACGAGATCAAAAAAAAAAAAATTTAAATAACCGTACCTAATCTAAAATTTTGATTGTTCAAGTCATATTTGATGATCGTTTCGAAGAAATGTCCGGCGAGCGACAGATTGTGGAATGCGACCAATCTGACCCCCTCCTCAAACCCCAACACCACTAGCAACACCACCTCCTTACCCTATGGTACGGAATTTGTCACAATTAAACAAAGTAGTGAACGCTTCTTTTATTTAAAACTTATCGCCGAGTCAGCATCATCTAGACCGTGACGGTGCCAATAGCGGATTGCGATTGTTCATTGTGGTTAGAACCTGTAGATGCTCGAAGCGGACCAACTCATTTTTGACCAGCTTAGTTGTTAATTAGTATCACGGGAAACGCGCTCAGTTACATAAAGCTTCATCCAATACCTCCACCAATGACGGTGGTATACGTCTCATTAACAACTGCAGTGAATTTAGTAATAACCCTTTACATAATTTATACAGAGAAAAGAAGAATCAAGAGTATGATTGATTAGATGCTTTGGAGAGGGGGAATGAAGTTTACATTAGAGAGGGCCATGACTGAGTGAGCCCATACAACATTGTAAGTTCCGGATCATCGTTGTCCAATTTGTAAGAAGAGAGTTTCAGTAAACGTTGCTGTTACAGTTAAAGTAGCCCTCATCCCCTACCCCCTCCAGAGAAAGAGGTCCGGACCCTCTTAGTCCCGCTGGAATTCATTTACACAGCACCAATAAACAACTACATAGCAATGTTGATTCAACATAAGATTTATTCATCACTTATAGCTCCAATTAACCCAAAATAAAGTTTGGTCTAGTTTTCAAGTCCTCTGTTGTCCAGAGTTCAGCAATATCGAAGTTTATATGGTAATCCCTGAAAAGAAGAGGGAAAAAATATAGCATGGTCAGAATAATTCTAAGACATGTTTAAACGGACAGTTCCTTTTATTTGCAAGAAGCAGAGTCCCAGGATCAAAATTTTTATTTGCAGGACGGTTTCCTTTGTTTTACCATCTGGTAACTGTTTCTAGATACCCTTGAAACAGAATCTATTAACTGATATGCATAACTCATCTGTCTCACAATTCGTTCATATTTTGTTAAAACCCATTTCACTCTATTTGTTTTCGGTTTGTTTTTCGATTTTCACGTTATCAATTCTGTATCAATTTTAATCCTAATCGAGAGACGGATACTTCATGAATAAAGGTTTTTCGTAGTCAAGCTGACTCTTCTTTAATCCGCGAATCGTAAGACTGAATGGGAAACAAACTTTGTGAACATTTTTCATTATATGGTGCTCAAACTTTACTCCCTCGAGATCTTAAGTTCTTCCATATTTTAGTTACAGAATTCTATTTTTTGCACTAGTTTATTTCTACCCTGAGATTTTAGGAATCACGTCGTGGATCATAAAGGAGAGATTAAACTTCGACAACACAGGTACTACTAGCTGAGTTGTTTAAACTAAGGAAAAGTAAAATCTATACAGAAACATAAGATGAGAACTATAGAGCAGAGAATAGCACTGACACAGGGATACGATAGAGGACCATAAGGTAAAAGGAAGGCTATACTCCTCTCATTAACTAGCTAGTTGCTATGATGTGCGAAGTTATATCCTGTAATTCAATAACGAAACCTAAGGATACATTTAGTCAAACTTACCACTTAAATTTAAACTGCAGTCCGGCTCCATGATTTCCACCCCTGCTGTAAAATGACGGATAAGACACAATTTCAAACAAAAGTCGAAGCTAAGTAGGCATTTCCACGGTTTGGCTTTATTCCCCTAGTAACTGGTCTTGAAAACTTTCGTCTACATGTAACTCAATGATCAGGTGTAAAACTGATTAGTCGTGACTAAATCAATCCCGTTTTTCCACCCTTATGGAAACCTTTGTTTTTACTTGGAGTGCTCATTAGCTTCCTCTGATAATTTCCTATGATCTGTTTAGCCATTGACAATATTTGGTTTTGCCATAATTACAGTCAGTTGAAGGCGCTCTGAAGGGAAGTTAAAACCGAGCAAAGGCGAACATCATCAGTCTACATCATAAGGTGAATCTGTGAACTAATCACGCTGAGAGGATAAACCGACTGGGGAAATGTTGTACCCATAATGATAGACATAATCATGTAGCACTTAGAACTGAGAACATTGTTCCTTACTCTTTTGTTCGGATCGACTTTACGACCCGGTGCCCTCTTCGCTCCAAATGGAACGCCAGGAGCCACAGTTGTCGCTGTCGATGAGGTCGCTATGATTCCCCCCGGAGGATTCCAGCCAGCGTTTCGACCGACTGGCCTTGAACCGGGGGAGGCCCCAGCTGGAACTGAACTGAACTCCGAGGTTTCGCTGGTGTAAATTTGCCGAGTGCTGTTCAATAGCTTCACTCGAGGTCCCTGGAAATTGGGAAAAAAGGAAAAAATTTACTCACGGTGACTTTGTGAATTCTCAAACAGAATCTTTTCTATTCTTCCAGTTCTGCGTTGAATGAAATCGGTTCGATAACCAAATTTAAAACTGCTTCAGGGAAAGCAATACAGTTGATAGTCCGATGACGCAGTTTCAAGTTTGATGCTCTATCAACCAGGCGATGTGGTTTTCAACAAAAGGCCACATAAAGTCAAACCTTAGATTTCTAACCTTCGGTAAGCCTATATCTGCATAGTCTTTTTCCGACATCAACAGAAGAGCATCCAGGTCAATTTCGTTTTTCTAGAATAAAAGAGCAAGTATTGTTGTTTTCAAAACTAAACCATGCTAAAATAATTTTTCTCAAAGTGTCGAAAAGCTGCTCTAAGTTCACCATATCCCAAGGCAAGCTAATAATGATACAGGATTATGAACGATGATCTCCAACTCCGGCTATGAAATGCATGCAATTTTCCCTAGACGTGTTCATGTTCGTATCGAATGTTTTTGGCACAACACAGACAGCTTAAATTTTCATATTTCCTTCCGCACCAATGCGGTGGTGCTTATTGTCAATAATTACAAATGACATTAAATGAAGTCTCTCCATAATGGTAAATAGTAACTTTGCGCATTTACGGGGAAAATAAGTCAACTCTAAATTAATTTATAAAAAGTACGCTTATAACTGGTAAAGTATTGGAAACAGGTCCACATGCCTTTTTTTAAGCTTATCAAGCAAAACCAATTAAATTGCTTTTACCTGGAAAAGACTGAGATGGCTCGAGAGGGAAAGCCGTTCCAAGAATGTTTGAAGTGTATCCCCTGGATTCACACCAAATTGTTCCTCATCAGAGCCTGGTAAGGAGGTATTGCCGCTGATCATGGATGGCGCTGGCGCTGTTGAGACTGACGGAGCAGCTGACCAACCCGTTGAAAGTGCGGAATCTGGGGTATATGAATAACTCCAAACTCCAGCGACTTGAGTTCCCTCTAGAGGAAGAGAGAGGAAGGCAACCGCTCGAACGTTAAATATTGAATAACTTCATCACACACCAAAAAGATTTCCTCATACAGAGCGACCAAAATCATACAAAGTTTGCCACCTTTGGAAACGGATCATAGAACATCTTATGTTTATTTTGTTATTATAATCACATTAAAGTCCTAGGCTAAGACAAACGTACTGTTGATGTACCTGTTCCTATTAACGGCGATATCCCAGGCACGGATGGAAGTGGACTGGCGGACACTCTTCTTGACGCCCTCTCTGTTCCAATTGGCCTCAGTGATGGTTTCTCCCCAGTCTCTCCTAAAGAGGAGTTTCCTGAAGCAAGGGATGTCCCTAAGGGCGAGGAATTCGGTGAGGTTGATGTTGACGGTGTTGTGGTCGGCACTGGCGAGCCAGAGGTATGAGGCGGGGAGGACGACGTCGCTTCGTGAGGCAGTGGGGTAAACAGAGCTCCAGGGGTCGTGATGTACAAGGGCTGTGTGATGGGATCAGCTGGAGACACAGAAGAGGAAATATCTAGTTCTGACACGGGACCAACGGATGGTCTGGCACTAGGATGCGCGATGTCATTCCATACGCTGGGACTGAACGTCTGGCCAACATGCGATAGGATGTTGCTGATGACAGGTGGAAGGTTTGAAGACCCTGGAGAAGTGGTCACCGAGCTTATCACAGAGGAAGATGTTGTGACCGTAGGCGTTATATCAAGTGCACCGCTCCCTGATCCCCCAGTCACTCCCATGGCAACAGAGGAATACGAAGGAGAACCCTTAACAACCCTGGATGTTTTGCTTGCCGAATTCTTCCTTGGTATTGGCTCAGTTGGAGTTTCTGGAAACAATTGTCGCTTAGCTGGAGTCGGTGGCTTCACCACACCAGAACTAGATGAACTACTTGTATTTGAGTTTCCACCTGATGGCTTCCTGACTGGTGCCGAGGCCACAGGAGCGGCGCCAGTAAGCGAGCTTGTCGCGGCTACTTGAGCAGCAGCCAGCGGTGTCTTCTTGCTGGTACTAGAGGCAGTTTGCGTGGTGCTCGCCCATCGTGCTGTGCTCGGCATGTGAGTTGAAGTAGTCACAGTGCTCTTGGCTGTGGTGGTGCTAACGGATGTGGTTACCGCAGGGTGCGACACAGGGGCACTATTGGTAGATGGCCAAGAGCTAGACAAACTTTGACGACCAGCAGATGTTGTCGTTTTGGTGGTGGATTTCGTTTGCGCAATCTGTGTCGTAGAGGGGCCTTTGGAAGACGTGTTGGTAGGTTTAGGTTCAGACAGGGTTCTGTGATGAGAGACTGTGGATGTGACTGATGTGGTGATTGTTGTTGTTGTAGCGACAGCTGAACGGCTAATTTGAGAATGAAGGTGCTTTTTTCGAGGAAGAACGTCATTAATATCACACTCGGGATCCTTGACAAGCGCTGAGATGAGCTGGTGCGCTTGTCGAGTTGCATCGGCTGGTCCCCTGGGAAATGGAAATTACAAAACGGTGTTAGTTGCTTCCGTTGAACTCCCGTTGGACTTTACTATCCGAGATTTTTCTGGGCCTCACAGTAAAGTATGTTCCCTTTTATCGAACAATTGACAAAGTGATTGAGCTGTCCATAAAAAAAATCAATTTGACAAAAAAGAAATAAGACTGTTCCCATACTCGTATTGGTTAATGAGCGTTTTCAGATGAGAATATGCAAAAACCTTATTGACTTTTTAGATTTACGCGTATATTTTAGAATATTTTATGACAGTAGTATAAGGCATTTCCCATGTTGACAAAGCCTCATCTTAAAATTCGGAAGGTTGGGAGAATTTCGAAATTAAAGCAAAACTGTTTCAAATTCCTCCAACCCACCTCGTATTCAAATGAAACCACGTAAGTATAGAAGAAGTCCTGTAAGGCTCAGGTCACGCAAAGCCGCCCAAAAATTGAATTAAAAAAAAAAAAACATGGGCAGCTACATGAGCAAGCTTAGTTTTCCGGTCACTATATTCTATTTCCTCTCACAATCACTTTCGAAAATGCTGAAAGAAAAACTTACTTGATAGTAACTATACAGCTGCCAGTTGTTTTCTGTCGATTGGTATCGATATCGATGTGGGCTCCGGTTGTTTCGCGGATGGCATTAATATTGCACCCTCCACGACCAATCACACGGCTTATGACAGACGATGAAACAGACATTTTCTTAGATCTAAAAATAAAAAGCCAGTGTCAACCCACAAAAGGTGTTAACTTCACCACGATACACAGTCCATATTTTTCAGGTTTTGACAGTAACTGTTCTTCGTACCTTCTTACAACTTCCTTCCAGCCGTCCTCGTGTTTTTTGCCCTTCTTTGGACTCGGTAAAGTTGACATCTTGGTAGTAGCTGTTGTGGTAGTTAGAGTAACAGCGAGACATTGAGCTGCAGCAGTGGCGACAGTGATGGGTGACAAAGCACTGTGAGGGGTGGTCTGAGTCATGATGGTGCTTGCCACTACCTTGGTGATCTCCGCCGTCTTCATAACACTGATTACATCGCTCGACCTGACAACAGTGGAACAAGTCACATCAAATCTTTTAATGGAGAATTGATATTTAAGAAAGTGAGGAACAAAAAAACGTTGGTAAAATATCTGTATATTAGGTTCATAACCATTGTATTTCATTAACCAATGCAATTCATTAATCACGAATATGACCTGAACAGACTCAATTAATCAATTTTGACCAGCAAACACTCTGCCTCACCCCAATAATTTGCAAGACAAATGTACGACCCCGTTCACTGCTGCATGTTACTGAATAAAAAATGGAAGTCAAAATGTCCAACTGTTAATCACAACAAAGAGAGCGGTGTACTTACTTCCCAGTTGAAGTGGTGGTGACAGCAGCAGTGATTGCAATACTAGTGAGCGTGTCTAAGGAACCTGTTGATGACTTTCTTGTTCTGACACCACTGACACTGTTGCTATCAATCACTGCAGAGGTGGTCAGTGGAGGGGGCAGGACACCTGCATTTACTACAAACAAGAAAACAATCCATAATTAGTTCTGTTCTATATTCTTTCCATCCGCAGAGAACACAAAAAAGGTTTAATTATGTGTACGGTGTATTGTAGCCTTTGTCACCGTCGTAGTGCTCTGAGTGCAGGTTACCTTGTGAACATAACCATTTTTAGAATCTTTTAACAAGATCCTGAATTTCCCTTAAACTGGGAAACAAAATTTCAGATAATAATTCCCTTTAATTTTTTTTTCCAGTCAGAAAAATTGTCATCCAGACCCTTTACAAACAAACTAAATAACCAAGGAAAGCGTCCTTCCAGAATTCACTTTGAACTACCAGTACTTAAAATTTGAAAAACTCTAACCACCGTTTTCAGCTGAAATCTTCCTCTCAGGCTCACTGCTATCATCACTGTTTTCTTTTTCAGCCATGTTTTTCACATTTGTTTCAGCCTCCTTTTCTGCCTGCAGCTTCTTCTTCTTTTTCTGTTTCTTTTTGTCCCTCTTTCTGGCAGCAGCTGCCTTCTTCAACTCTTCTCGTTCTTTCTCCAAATCTATCTGCTCCAAGAGTATGGATGCATTCTTGTTGGCTTCAGCAGCCTGGCGATCTTTAGCACTAATTATGATCTCCATGTTCTTGTGACATTTATTCAAGAGCTCCTGGAACAAAAACATTAGTCGGTCATTTCGTACCAATAAAAAACAATACCCACAAAGTTCTAAAATCCAGCCACCTAAATTTAGTTCAAAGAAGCATGATTGATACAGAGAGCACTAATTTCAAACAAACGGAAAGAATGGAGTTCTTGTCAATAAGTGGGAAACCAAATTTAAGGTAATATTTATTAAGCCTGTTGGTCCATGAATATTGAAGAGAAGTAGCATTAAGTGACTCTCAGGTAGGGCACTAGTCCAGCACAAGTAATCTCAAGCAATATTAGTCTCACTTACATTTTGCACTGTAAATATCAATTGTTGAAACCAGAAATACCGCACAATAACCTATCTCTTAACTCCCATTCCAGTTTGGTAACACAAACTCATTGAAGACGACATTCTCTTCAACCACAACTGTTCACACAAATATTCTTCAAAGAGCAAAAAATTGTCTCACCTTGTCAGAAAGAGTAGAAACAAATCTTGTACATTCAGAGTCTGATGGGAACTGATGGACATGCTTAACAAGCCACTTAATAACTTTGAGGTGGCCCTTTCTAAATGCTGCCATAAGGACAGATACCTTCCTGTTGTCTTGACTATCAACATCAGCACCATAACTAAACAGCTGCTGACAGACTTCCAGATGACCACCTAAATATACAAGAGCCCTTCATGAGTAATAAATTAGGGATGAGTAATAAATTAGGGATAACCATGTGTAAACACTAGCAATATGTGAAAATACCATTCAAATACATTGTATGGAAGAGCTACCTTTTATTCCCAAGGAAAGCAAATTAAGTAACCTAGAGAGTAAGCTAAACATCTCAGGTATTTTTTTTCAGTTTAAGGCCTCTAAACAAAATTTTTCTGTTTGGTAGTGGTTGTAGAATACACAATATTTGTGTGTCTGCTGTCTCTAACCACATTGTAACTAACAATGTTTCTGATAAAAATTGACATTGTGCCCTCCTATACTATGTTACAGAGTAGATTTTATGTGCACACCAATCAAGGTTTAGAACTATTTTATGGTATGAATCAATCTACATGAATATTCCTTGATTACTTCCACTACCACAGTGTTAACAAGAGATCATAATACAAACAATCAAACACTCATTGATCAAAAGAGTGATAGCTACCATTAGTTGCATGTACATGTCCCTACCATTTGCTGCCAACCAAAGTGGTGAATTTCCTTTCTTGTTCTTCACATCTACCATTGCACCCCGTGACAGCAACAAGTCACAAAATTTGTAATGTCCCTTATCAGCAGCTATGGTCAGTGCTGTGTCTCGAGAGGAAGGAACAGGAGGGGCATTGACATCACATCCTTTATCAAGGAGGATTCTACCCACCTCCACATACCCACCAGAAGCAGCCTCCATAAGAGGAGTCAGACCAGTCTGTAAAACAATAACCACAAAGAAATAATTGTAAATGCCTGATTGTTTACAAAATTTCTGTTTTCTTCTAAAAAACCCAGAATCAACCAGTGAAAGAATATAACACACTGATGAAGAGAGCAACATTTTGTTGCCTGATCTTCAAAGGTGGGAGGATTCCTTTTGAAAACTGTTATCCACAGCACTACAGTAATACTACATGTATTTGCAATAAGATTAAAGCAGTGTTTGTCAGTTGTGACTGACCAGTTTTTATATACAAGTTAAATTTTCCTTTTGATTTTTTAAGGTATTGTATGTCAATGTTGTAAATATTTTGAGAATTTTTCTCTGCAATTTTGAGACTTGGTGGAACAAATTTTTGTAGTTCAAAGGCAGAGGCTTTGCCTGGACTAAGGATAGTAATTCTGGCATCATCTTTTTGTAAGATTTACTTTTTGTTAGGACTTAATCATTTGGATCAAGAAACAGGCACAATTTTTTTTTTAAAAAAAGAAAAGGTCCAAAAAATTTTCATACTACATAGTGGCTCATATCACACGTGTGTTTACTCAGGCATCACCATTGTGCAGGCTTCAGCTCTCTGCTGGCTTTCAACAAATGAATATCAAGAATACTCAGTTACCTTTGCACGGTGTTCAATGTTTGCCTTCCTTTCCACCAAAAGGTTCACAACTTCATGTCGCCCTTGAAAGCATGCCAGTGTTAGGGCAGTGTTCCTGTTAGTCTCAATCTGAGCATTGATGTCACTTCCCATGTCTAACAGTAGTTTAACAGCTGCTGTGTGGCCATTCATTGATGCTAACATTAATGGGGATATACCCAATTTGCTTCCAGTGCGAGAATTGATCTCAGCTCCATGGCTCAGTAAGAGTTTAATGATACCAACATATCCTCCTGATGCTGCTAGACTGAGCGGAGTGTAATCTGAGACATTACGGTGTTCAAAGTTGGCCCCTTTGGCAATTAGTAGTTCCACCACCTGATGAAAAAATGTCACTCTTTTGATTAACACAGAGACCAAAATGTATATAAAATGTTTAAGTAAGTACATTATCTTTCAAACTATTTGATGTCCATCTGATAAGTATTTATTGAGATTTTTCCTGCAAAAAAAATCTTTTTTCTGACCTCACCAAAATTCATGTAAATGATCATGAAATAAAAAAAGAAGTATCTCCAGCATAATAAAATTTGCTTGATCATGCTGGAAAAATTGTCTTTAAATGCTGCACATACATATTTGAGAGAAGAAATCACTTATAGCAGTTCCAAATACAAGTACATGTATCACAAACCTCTTGCCTGCCACCAGAGCATGCTAGAGAAAGTGCAGTGTCTTTAGTTCGATCTGACTGGGCTTCAATATCTGCTCCATTATCTAACAAGATCTCAACAGTTGAGGCATGGCCAGCTGTGGCAGCCAAAATTAAAGGAGTACAACCTATACAAAGAAAAATAAAAGTAAAAAATTTGCAAGAAAATTCTACAAAATTCCCAGCAACAGTGCCCAGGACCAAGTCATACATACATGTACAGTATGTAACAAATCCCTTCCTGACAATCAGGCTAATTGGAGGTCTATAATTATGCAAAATGAGGTGGTAACATCTCAGTGAGAAATCTAAACATTAGAGGACAAAAGTAATGAACATAAATGCACAACAAGATATGGTTTTCTCCCAGAAAAGTATAGTTAACTGAGAAGCTGTTGTACATTGTACACAAGATATCTTAAAACCCCTTCAATACAAAGGAATACACCTCAGATTTATTTTAAAATCAGTTTTTGAAACTTTCACAAGTGAAATAATACGTTGAAATTTTGTTACCACATTCCTTAGCATGATAGGTCAAGAAAACCTACAACCATATTTGAAAATTTTTATTTCAAAGGACTTTGAGATGATGTTCGAAGACCTTTGAAAACTTGTAACAAAGGTATAAAATAAAATATCATTCTATTCAAAAATGAATCAACCACTCTACCTTTCTTGTCTCTGTGCTCAATATCAGAGCCTTTAACAAGGAGAAGAGTCACCAATTCATCATGACCTCCAGCAGCTGCCAAAGTGAGTGCAGTGTCTGAGTTACTGTCTGTTTGCTGATCCACATCAATCATAGGAGGAAACTGAGGCGAAGCAGGAGATGGGGTGGGTGTTAGTGGTACTGATGATGTACTAAGGTCTGGAGGAGTAGGTGGACCACTGTTATTGCTTGAATCTAAAAAGAAAACAAAATATATATACATGTAAGTACCTCTACAGATTGAAATAGTAAAAACTTTCAGTATGTGCAACAAAATTTGTGGATTTCCAAAACAGTTCCAAAACTTTGGTTAAAAAAATTATATATTTGAGGAGGGTCATTCAGATATCACTTTGAAGCACTAAGACTGCTATATATTTGAAACACAATGTGATATGTAAAAACCAAATAAATACCTTCAGATAGCATGTCTCCGATGGTCTCATGAAGAGTCTGAGCAGGTTCTGCAACCATTAAACCTTCAATGCCATCTTGATCATCAGTAATCCCACCAGTAACAGTACCCACAGAGAAGGGTGATGGAGGCAAGGCAATTTCCTCTCCCTCAAGATTCAATGCTGATACTTCATCATTGACACTCTGGAGAAGCTCAGGAGGTATATTCTCCAGTGAGAGGTTGGCACTCTTCAAGGCTTTGGCTAACTTCCCCTGAATAAGCTGCAGCTTCTCACAAATGACAACCTTGTTATCAGTCTGCACAGCAGTTGAAGTCATGTTCGTTGACATGTCAGACATTGACTGGCTTACAGATGACATGGTGGAAGAAGTGGAGCAAGACGTAGTTGGCATTTCTGGCACAACAAAGTTGGCAGGGGTGTTCAACAGAAGAGGTGAATGGGGTGACAAAGGGGTGTTTGACAGCTGGTTTAAAAGCTGCTGGTTTTCCATCAATACCTCTGCGGTCATATCAGGCAGATCAGGATGTTCCATTACTGGAGGTTGAGTAGCATGAACAGGAGGCACTCTGGGTGGTGGCACAGTTGGAGTGGGAAGAGTAGCAGGCATTGAATGAAGTGGTAGTTCTGGAGGGTTGGAAACAATGGGGTTCTCCAAGAGGAAGCATATTACTGCTGCATGGCCTCCTTTGGCTGCCTCTATCAAAATGTTGGAATTATCCTATGGTACAGTGAAAAAAAAGTGTGACACATTTTTATACACAAATTTGGTTCACATGTATCAAAATTGTTACCTACTAATTTGTCAAACTAGTAGTTGCTCTAGAAGGGATATTAGACAGGAAATCATAGACACTCAATGTTACCGACCTAAAGTAAATCTAGTAATTTGTACTTCTCACCTTTAACTTATGCAAAGGGTCAGCACCATGTGCTAAAAGCAACTCTACCACTGCCAAGTGCCCACCAGCACAAGCAAGAGAAAGAACAGTGTGATCATTCACAGTGGTCTGTCGGTTGACATCAGCTCCTACAAAGAAATGTCAAACTCAGGTAAATCCTCATTGACTGTATCCACCTTACCTATGTCCACACAGCTTTCTCAAAGAACCACAATAAATCATAATTTGTATTGTTGGGAATGTCATCAATAACTAACCTCTACTGATGAGAAACTGCACTGTACAAAGATGTCCAGCTCTTGCTGCTTTCATGAGAGGTGTGCGGCCAGCTTCAGACTCATGCTCCTGTTAGAAAGACAGATCAGTTTCACAAATTAAACCCATAGCATTAATTAGATGTTGGTAATGCTATTACAAGTATACCTTCCAGCCCCAGCATTACCAGGCAAGATTCAAGTTGTGAACTACAGAAACCTTACCAGTTCAGCTCCAGCAGATAGTAGAACATCAGCGACATCAGTGTGGCCATTCTCACATGAAAATGACAGTGGGGTATCACCAGTTGCAGTTGTTGCATTAACATTAGCCCCTATAAATTAAAACTCAAGTTGTATAATTTTTTTCCTTTAAAATTACGATGCAAATTTTACCAATTTATCAAATTTAGGAGAAAAAAAAGAAAACCCAGGCCAACCATAAAAAAGAACTCTAAAATGTGACTAACCAACTACAAACACACAAGTTTCTTTTGGTCTTTCAGGCAGTTTGTTGATATTACAGTGGAAGCCTCTGCACTTATTTGCTTATTATTTTGTTTTACTCCTTTTTCATTTCCCAGTAAGGGAACCTACAAAACTTATCTTGGCTAATCTTTCACATGCAAGACAAGTGGATGCAGATTCTTTGAACATTATTTAGCTAAGTGTGTTGATGCCACCCTTAGTTTTCTTGATAAACATCACATGTAAAATAAGAGCACACATTCCCACTCTGAAAAAGTAAGCTGAATTTAGATCACATGATCCATGTACCTTGTTCTAGCAAGAATTTAACCAGATCAACATGTCCTTCCTGAGCAGCTTCCATGAGGGGAGTTGACGAGCCCTGTTCAATAGTAGCACCTGTCAAGAAGACACAAAAGTCAAAATATTGCAAAGATCCTGTCTTTGACTTTTCCATTTTAAGTCACTCCTGGTTAAGTATTGATAGAAAGCAAACTAACAACTGTACCTGCTTGAAGAAGAAATGCAGCTACATCTTGAAAACCACCACAACAAGCCAAACTCAAAGCTGTCTCTTGAGTTTCCTCTGTTTGTGCATGAATATCAGCTCCTAGAGCAAAGAGAAGTTTCAGTGTTACAAGAATTAACCTTACAAGGCAAAGCCCCAAGTTTAATACCTGAAATGATTGTCAAATTAATAATTACCATGCTCGAGTAGCAGTGCAACCATATCGAGATGTCCTTCCCGTGAAGCTTCCATAAGAGGGGTATACCTGACACACAAACAGCATTTATATGTAACCTGTACTGTACTACATGTACTTGAAAGATAAGGTAAATGCAAATATACCTTGGAGGGGCAAAATGCTCTCTTCTAGAATGTTTTATATGGTCATAACTGTAAGTATGTCACTTTTCTATATTTCAATTATCATACCATTCTACTATTCTACAGTGCAGATGATTGTGCAATATATTGGGGCATGTTTGTATTTTAGATGCATCTATATTGGGGCTCATGCTTGTTTTTTAGATGTATCAAGCAAACCACAAGGTTCTGCAAGTGGCCACTTACCCTTGGTACTGATCACCACAATTTCAATTGATGCTATTAAAAGCAAGCTCTCTTAATCATCCCCTTCAAATTTATCTTGTGAACAAATTTCTTTACAAGTACAAGTCAGAAGATTGTTAGAATTTTCTATGACCAAAACAACTATACTTTCTCTTTGCATACCCTTCATCATTGACTTCTTCTAGGAATGCTCCTCTCTTAATAAGCAAGTCAGCCAGTTCCACATGTCCACCACAAGCTGCCAATGTCAAAGGTGACTCAAAACTATCAGCTGGCATGTTAACCTACAAAATAACCATAAGGGAATTTACTATAATTTGCCACAACTTCATTCACTTTCCAAGCAAATAAGCCAAGTTTCTTTGTTCCTACCTGTGCTCCATGATCTAGGAGAAGTCTGGCCACTTCCACATGCCCATCCATGGAAGCTTCCATCAGCGCAGTGTGCATTTCATCTGTCTTGTGCTCTTGATCAGCTCCAGCATCAAGCAAAAACTTGACCATTTCAAGGTGACCTTGAGTGGAGAAAATGCTTACAATTAGTAATGAAAGACTTTGTCACTTGATGCACATATAAAACAATCAATCAAACTCTTTGAATCTCCTGAAAATTTGTTTTGGCCTTTATCAATTGGAGATGCAGTAGTCTAATGGTGGTTATTGCTCTGGACTTGGGGTCAAGACCAGGCTGGGTCATTGTGTTGTGTTATTAAGAAAAAACACTTTACTGTCGCAGTGCCTCTCTTCACCCACAAGTATAAATGGGTACTGGCAAATTGTTAGAGAAGCCTAATAAAATGATATAGGGTAATCTTGCACTGGACTAGCACTCCCTCCATGGGGGAGTACTAATAGTCCTAGTTGCTTCATGCTATTAAGACCAGGATCAGCTCTGGCTGGATGGACCACATGGGTCTACTACAGACTTGACCTTCATCACAGGTCTATCTACATGCACAGCTCAATTCAGACAGTGTATAAGGGAAGGTGAATTACTCAAAAATAACTTTCAAAAATATCCTGTCACAATCATAGGAATCAAAGCTTCACATCTTGCTATCAAATGTACTACATTTACTAAAATACCCCACCAGTCATACAGTGTGATCATCTACAAGTATGTGAAAGTGAGATAGGTCAGAGCAAAAATAGTTAATGTTAGAGTCAGGAGAGAATTTGTTGCCCTTGGGGCACATCTAAAAGTACATCAAGAAAGCAGACAAATAATGCTTGAAAAAGAATCAAAATGAGACATAGGCAAACCCTACCAGCAAAATTATTATTTTAAAAAGTGTTGCTCAAGTTCATCCATTCCCTTACCTTTATAGCATGCCAGTGTCAATGCACTCTCCTTGAACTCATTTGAATGCGAGTTAATACAGGCACCTCTCTCCAATAACATCTTTGCAACACTGACATGTCCACCACTTGCTGCTTCCATCAGGGGGGTGTGACCATTCTCATTGTGGGCTTCAATATCAGCACCATGATTTAGTAACACTTCTACCACATCTTCATAGCCACCACAGCAGGCATAGATGAGTGCAGTATTACCAGCTTGTGATTGTGAATTAACATCAGCAGTGTGCTCAAGTAACAGTCTTACAATGTCTATATAACCACCACTAGAAGCTTCCATCAAAGGGGTACAATCTCCTTTGCTCCCACGATCATCGACACTTGCATTCATTGCAAGCAGTACTTGGGCAAGTTCATAATAACCTTTTGGGAAAAAAAGATTAGGATACCACAGAATTTTTCAAAAGTAAGTTAACTTCATGAAACAGAGAGATGAAAGGTAGCTGTTCAGCCCTTCTTGCTCTTTTACAGACAAGAGGAATATCCCAAGGGGGGTCATGAAAACAATGGGTGGGTGGATGGAGACTTTAGCCAGCTTCCCATTTTTGTTGACAACCTTACAATGTCAGGGAACTAATCAATGAAAGTACCTGCTGAGCAAGCTAAAGAGAGTAGACTCTCTCCTTCATCAGTTGGTTCATGTACACTCCATCCTTCTTCCAGCAGTTTGCGCACAGCACTGACATCCCCTTCAAGGCAAGCTTCTGCAAGACTCCGAGCTCCTGTTTAAACACACCAGAAAGTTAGATAATATCAGCTCCACCCTAAAACTGCAACAGACAGTTTATCAAAAGAATGTGGGAATCTTTGCGAAATTGTACAGTCTCCAGTTCAAATCCTAGAGATGAATTCAGATTTTAATTTTTTTTCCATACATATAAGATGCTACCATTTTTTCATATCTCTTGACCATCTTTGGGTAAGTATTTTCCAACACAACACTTTTTTCATTGCTGAACTTAACAGTATAAAAGATGCTTGTCACAGATACATATAAATAAAGTAATGGCAAAGCTCACAAAGGAGCTCTTGGCTGTGAAGTAATTATTGTTTCTGTACCTGTTCCTATTGTCAGAACCAATGCTTTTTTAAAGAGTGGTATATCAAGTTCTTAAAGTGAACCCTGGTTAAAGTGATTTTAAACTACTTTAATTTGCATATATTTAAGTATCATTTTAGGAAGCATGCGTACAGAGGAAAATAGTAGTCAGCCACGTTTACAACAAACGATTTTGACCTGAAGTCCCCATTAAACTCAGCTTAGTTAAAGAGATTATTGACCAATATTTACATGCACCTTTGAATCACTTATGAGGTGACAAACCTGAATCAGCAGTTGTTTGTCCAGCCGATGATGGCAACCCATTATTTTGGCTTCTCATTCGGGTCAAAGCAGCTGCAGCCTCATCAAGTGCGCAGCTAACAGATGAAGTTAATCGACGAAGTACTTCAGGATCAGTAAATGCTTTTCCATCTGCCAATTTACCAACACCTTGGAGATAAAAGGTGAAGTGATTTCTTTACCACGACCCAAGCTATAGAAGCTTTTACAATACTGCCTTATTTATAAGTAAAGGAGACCTACAGTTGGAATATTGTCTGAGACAGATTGATCATTTGTTCAGTTGTGAGTTTCTATAGAGAGCACTTGTTTATCATGACTCTTTTGTTTCTTGCGTCCACCATTTTTTAAAAAAGGAGGTTATGTACTCACAAATTAACCACAATACCTATCTACTGTTATATAATTATCATATGTCATCTACACCATGTTGCTCCTTTATGTCCTAATAGACAGCAATAAACCCACTCTTCAGCATTAATAGCTCAAATATTGAGAAAAAAATAAACAAATAAACCACACTTTGAAGCACCATCTTTGAACTGCTCCACTTAAAAATTTCAACCAGCAGCCTACTTCTTTAGCCATAAGCCTGCCTTATGGACTGACAACATGTATGCACTGTAAAACGTTTTAAATAAAAATGTAAATAGTAGAAATTTGTAATTGGGACTGCCAACATAATACCATTTAAAAAAGAAAAATTTGCCTTGACTTTTATTGTTTAAATGACATTGTAACATGAAAAAAACAAAGGGATAATAGAAGTACAAGTCAAACATCTTAAATTGCATCATCCTTTGATTCACATGTCTGAGAAAAATTAAGTAATGAAATTCCTCTGATTGCATCATCCTTTCATTCTCCTTTCTCAAACAAATAAAATAAGGCAATTCAAAGGAAACACACCTGCAGCTTCCAAAAGCGTCTCTAGACGTGCCTGAGTCTCTGGGTCCATCTTCCTTAAGTCATTACTCAGACCATCAGAACCAGAAAGCATGAGCTTTGAAGTGAGTTCACTCCTTTTGGCTCTAAGAATGTACTCCATCTACAAACAACAGAATGTAGTTATGCTTTGTCAGGGTTCATTTATACAATACAGAATCCTGTAAAGTAGAGGCAACAGACACATGAAGGATATTCACTATCTCCATCAATTATCAACTCAAGATGCAGTCAAGAATATGAAAAATAAAACTGATAACTATCAAAATTTGCTTTAAAGGAAAATTGTATCTCCGTTAAACTTAAAATAAAACCCTCACTTTGTCTACTTGCGGGATCAAAGACCACTTCCATCATGGTGAATCAAAGGAGTCCATTAATACTTGTTTCTCCTTTTATTACCAAAAAGAAAATCCTAACATGGTCAAGAGAAGTGATCCCCTAGATAATGAGTTAAAGGAGCCATTAAATACTTAATCTAAGAACATTCCCAATGACCCAAATGATCTCAGAGGTTTACTTGACTTGTCTAGCCATTACAGGATTCTGGAACATGCCATGAATGTTAAATCTGACCTTGGCACCATATAACCACTACTGAATTTGTACGCGGGCCAAAGATCAGCATTTCCATGCAAACACTATACAACTGCACCATTAATCCTTTCACAAGGATTATGACCTTACAACATGAATAGGTTTTCACTACAGTCTATTTAACAGAACCCTGAACTGCACAGATGTTATCATCCCACAAAGGAAATGGCCATACTGAAAATAACGATGAACATCATAGAAATGTTAAAAGAGATGGCAATGTTCCTTTCGTGATTTCTAGATGAAGGGCATTGTGTAATAAAGTACAGAGTCAGTTTGCAAAGTGTATATCAATGACTGAAAATGTATCATTTTGTAGCAAACTTGAAGTATACAAACTTCTTGAAATGTGGTGCCATCATTGAAATTTAAATAAAAATATGTCATCAGGAATTGTTACACCTAAATTGGAACTGGGGTCTTCACACAGTACTCAGAATATCACAATTTAAGGGTTCTGAAGATAAACAAAACAAAAAAAAAACCCTAGATTGCTCTACATAATATTTATGCTTGTTAGACATCTGAAACAATAGTTTAAACTGAAGGTGACAGATAAATCAGAGAAAAGTTCTGTATTATGTTCCACATCACTGCATAAGCAAGTATTCCTACACAAACATTTCATGTGAGTAAGAAAGACAATTTCAATTAAGACAAATTTATCCACATAAAAGAAGTAAAAATAATTTGTGAAAATAGGGATATACTTGAAAACATTAGAAAAAAGCACCAGTCCCGAATCAACGTGGTTATGTAATTCATGTTGTTCCTTGAGGCAAAATACAATAGCAACTTCTTAATAGTTGTGAAGGACATACCATTTAGTGACATATTTCGGAACTCAAAGCACAACTGAACATCACTTTACATTGATCAAATAATTTCCTCAACTGGTATATTTTCCGCCATCGTTCGACAAGACATGAGAAGTAAGGACACGATATTTACTGTGGCACTAAAACACGCACAGTGGGTCATAAAATTCTTCGACGCAAATAGGAAATAAACAATTTTCATTTTCCGCAAATTGAGGTTACCTAAGAATTAAGAGAAAACTAATGAAAAAAAGTAATTCAATAAATAAAGGAAAAGCCTATAGTTTCTAACGAATGACGATAAAAATTCTACGAATCTACAAGTTTTAAACCACTCCTCCGGCACGTGTTGAGACTTCGGTAATGATTCGCGTAGCGAAAGGTAGCGATCACAAAATATTATATTAGTGGTAAAAATCTACATTCTTCTTCTACTAAGCGCCCCGAACGACTTAACGTTCCTGAGAATGAATTATTACTCAGACATACACTATAAGATTTCACATTATTGAAGTCTTAATTTGGAATAAGAGACTGCCAGCAGAAGGACATCGCACTCAATCAATTTCTCTTGAAGAGAAATGTACACGCAGACAAAATTCAACTTACAAAGAGACTTGTCGTGTTATTTCCTTGCAATTTTATCGAAAAAAATTCCTTAAACCCTTCATCAAAAGGTAAAGAGTACCATCACAACGGGGTAAATAGACTGAACAAACTTCTTCTCAAATATTACGGCAAAGAACATGACACTGTTTTCGAGCTAACCGTTCGCCTTTATCGCACAAATATAACAAAGGACAATATTGCTACAGATCATACCACCATTTCTCCCAAAAAATGAACTATTTTACACTAGAAATTTCTCTCACCGGCGACTCTGTTTTCTTCAAAACAAATATTTTCCATCATAAGTCGAAGGGTTAGCTTTTATAGCTTTAATATTAATCATGGAGTTAGAATAATTAACATACCAAGAACATTTTTCCTCTCTTTCAGAAAGGGAAAATGTCCTTAAGAACTCTTTAACCGAATAATATAAAAACATAATAACACACAAAAATTATCAAATGGTATGAAATCGCCATTACCGCTGAATGTTCGGCGCTTTCGTCGTCCAAATCATCATCTTCCTCGTCTGAAGAATCCGAAATCGATGGCGACCTTTCGTTCGGAAAAACCGCGGTTGAGTTTACCACTGACTTCTGTTGTTGATGAACAGACATTATCTACAAGTTTTCACTGCTATATACAAGTAGTCTTAAATGTTTTCTTGGCATATTACAGTCGTTACTTAATGTGAAAATGCGAAGACTTGTTCACATTCTCGCCAAGATCCGCCATGTTTCAGGCATCACGGTGACAATGATTCTCGGAAAACCCCGGATATATGTAAATGGCGGCTCTGAGATTGCGCAGAGGCAAATCGAGAACGTGGTGGTCAATGTAGTGTTGGTTGGTCCTTTGGTCGCCAAAATTTATGTCTGGAACTAATGAAACTTAGGCAGATTTTCTATCCTCTGTTAGCGTAGCTGAAAAATTTAATTTGACGAAAAGATCGAATAAGTTTTGTACTGAAATTATAGCTTTTCACACGATTATTTAGATTAAAGATATAGAAACCGGTATCAAGCCTACGAGATCATGTGGGAAGCACCCTTCGAATAAAATCCCCTTTTTTAAACTTGACCAAATAAAACCCCAAATAATTTCGTAAGGGAAAGGTAGATGTAAAAGATAGTTCAGAGAAACAAAATAAAAAACGTGTGCGCAAAGGGCTATCGGGAGTTCATCGTTCAACGAGTACATCAGAAAAAAATAATATTTAGGTAATTCACGATTGAAAACTATTTTGAAACACACGAAAATGATTCCAGACTATTGAAAGATGACTGAGCCAGGGGAGAATATGGAGTTAATTGTTTTGTTTGTTTACCAGACTCAATTAAAACTAAAAAGACAAGAACCGACGGTAATCAAAGATATTTGGAAATAAACGAATAAATGGGACACGTTTCTAAAGAAACTGCGGTGCTACGTCGGTGGGGTTTTTTTTCACAAGTTTATTTGCAAGGTAACGTGTGATCGAATTAGCCCTCCGCTCTGACAAAGGGCTAACGCTCCAAATGTCAGCCATAAAAACTTTTTACGGTGATCAATATACATTATCAACTCAGCTGATAGAACCAAATTATCGTGTATTTGAAGATAAGTTTTCCGCAACTATGGATACATCGTCAATTATCGGTACTTACGAAGAATAAAAATTCCGCAACGCTCTCGATTATTTAATCACTGATCCGATTTCATCCCGAGACCATGAAATGCGGGAAAAGAAGTTAGTTTTATGGTCTCTGGGATTTCTTCGATTAATTCTAATGCGCGGGCTGTTTTTCGAAACTGCTCAGACAAGATATGCTACCAAACGACTGATCATACTATACAATTTACCCTATTTACCGCGTGGGTGTTTCTGAGTTCACAAAGTATTAGTTTAACTTCTGGCATGTTTGGCATTGCGAAGATAAGTTCTGCAATAGAGGCTCGATTTCAGCCGTTTTCTTGTATCCGATCTTCGATCCTCCCGAGAAAGAACTCTTTGGAAAAGGAGGTAAGAGTGGGTTCATTTCCCGATCAGCGGTTAATCATCGTTCCGAAGCCCATTTATATTACGTCTATTGCGTACACATCACGAGTGCAACACGAGGTTATGTGGTCAGACTCTAATCAGAGTTGCTAGACTGTTCGTAACCAATTACTTCCCACGATCATCGTTATCTAATACTGAAGTGTTTCAGAAGCTCCCCTGAGCCACAGAAGGTTATGCAACTACAAGGAATTATATTAAGAAAGCTAAAAAAGACAAAAGTACTTCAACTTTTGCAAGATGGCATTTTATTACTAGAAATACTGTGAATAAATAGTAGAAAAGGATCCGATGCATTTTATTCGTAAAAAATAACTAACTGTCCGCTTGATCAGATTGTCCATGCTGAAATTGTTCGAGGCCCTGTGAGCTGTGCCAAAGAAGAGATCGAACGACAATGATGTAAGGCTTTAAGAACACCTAACCCTTTGACTCCCAGAAGTGACTAAGAAGTAACTTCTCTCCATAATATCCATACATTGTAAAGCAGACAGGTAATGAGAATACTCAAACCCATCATGTAAAAGTTATCTTGATCTAACACCAAATTTTCATTACTAATTTACGAGGGAAATGTGCAGCAGTTAGAGGGGAGGATTACCAATCAGATCTTAGGAGTTTGAGGGTTAAATGTTCAGTTGGAAGGGGCGTTTTACTTCAATTGGTATGGACATTTAAGTGGGTTAAACCAAGCTAATGCAGGGTCAATACTGGTCAAAGTAATCGCACTCTTTTAGAAACGCGTTTATGTCGTCTCGTCTTATCCCCTTCCCTCCCCCACTAGGTCTCTTGACTGCCCAGCATCACACTTGTCTGTATTCTCGTCACCTGGTAAAAACACGCGAGAAGGCCATAATTGTCACTTCAAGGAACTAATTGCTCATCGACTCGCACTACTAAAGCAACCTGAAGGATTACATCCATTTTAAATGGAAACGGTTATTTGTAGAGGTAAGTATACTTGATATCAGCAAGATATCTGCACTATGGCTTTAAAAACAAGAGAAAAACTTTAAAATAGTAAAAAATGTCATATCGTAAAAATTTGGCTAACTCACTAAAAGTACATAATTTGTTCATATATAACCTAATGTAGTACAGTCACTTATACTAAGAAAATCTTTCAGTTTTCACATGTTAGATTTAAAATAGAATAAAATACAAAGTTAATAAAGTGAATATTGTTTGGAGAATCAGACAACCAAGAAAAACAATTAATTTTTGACCACATCAACTATTGAGAGCTTGGCAGCCACGATTCTCATAGACAATAGTAATGTATCGATAAAATACAAGACACTCCGTTCACATTACATCATAAAAAGACTGAAATTGGGCGGAAAAGATAGTTATTACAAAACAAGTTTGTAAAAAATTGAAAATGGCTGAGAAAATGAAACGCTTTCACTGAGGGCGGATGTCACCTTTTATCAGTGAATGACCTTAAAGTGAGACTTTCGGGTTAATAAATCACTAATTAAGCATCCTTACTAGAAAAATTACAAAAAAAAATCAGTCCTTTAGGTTTTCCTTTCAGAAGCCAACGTGCTTCTAAGTTTTACGTCTTCAATGATGTGAACGGAGCTTAAGCCGGCGACACACCTAGCGATTTTATACGCCTATCGCGGCGATCAAATTCGTCGCCACCGGCGCATTAAATCGCCCGGTGTGTCGCCGGCTTTATGTAAACTTCATACTATCTAGAATTCCTTCAGTATAAATTTCAAACCCTAACAACATTCTACACAATGTAAAATGGAACGATAGCGCTAAATGTTCGTTTAAGTTACAATTAGAAATATTTTTTAGTAACTATGATCCACATACACAACCAATTACAATTACCAAAACAATACCACCTACCGTTACATATCATATGTCAACAACATTACGTTGTTCACTTATGCCTTTAATATCCACCAATAAACCCACTCTTTAGTGTACATAGCTTAAGTATACATTAAAAAAAGAACGGTTGAATTGTTTCTGATCGTCAGGGAAAAAACTAACAAAAAGTTTACCGTCGATACCCGACACTAAAAGTGGCAGACGTACTCAGCAGGAAGGAGAAACTGGGCCCGTTGCTTGCCCTTTTATGTTTTTAAAATTGAAAACCGAGATACTTGGTTTGTCAAAAATATGTTCTAAAGCATCTCGCTAAGCGCCCACTGAGGAAGAGTCTGGATTCTTCAATAACACTGAGAGTAAAATATCGGCGCTTCACTTCATTCTCAATACTCGCCGCTGGCCACAGAATAGTGGGCACACAGGCAATGCTTAGCATAACGCACCAACGGTACATTAAACCTTCGACAATGCCACATTTTATACAGTACCTAAAGCATTTTTTTTTTGGACTGAGAAGAAGGGTTTCGAAGGTAAACTTGACTGACCACAAGGCCACGAATTAAGAATTTGGTAACAATCGCCCATTAACCAAGCAGTTATACAAGTGTCTCGCCGATTTCCCTAATTGCCTGGAAAATCTCCGAAGAACAAAAAAATTTTTAAGGCTTAGAGTAATTCTCTAATTATTACAACAAGAATGCTGACTCCCAATTTCTTACCAAAGAATTAATGAGAGGTGAAGTCCTCGGTCAACTATGAGCAAAAAGACTAAGGGCTGAAATAGCGCAAATCAGTGAGTAATCTCTATAACTACACCTATAACATTTACAGTTGCACCAATGCATTGGTTACTAATGTGGACTTCTCGCTCAAAATTTAAGAATGCAAATGATAATACACACTACACTTCTTTCATTGGACCACAAAACTGTTACCGAATTTTGACGACTGCAACAGTTTCGTCCTCGAATGACGGACACACGAAACACTAGCTCAAAAGAGGTGATATACACAGAATGCATTTGAAAAAGAATCTCATGGTTTTTAAAAATGAGTCACATCTACAAAAAATGAATAAAGGGAGTAAGTTTCTAAAGAAACTGTGGTGCTGCGTCGATGGGAGAGTATAACAGGGTAATTTAGTGTTATCAACTGAGTTGATAACGTAAATTGGTCACCGTAAAGAGTTAAAAGGCTCACGTTTCGAACGTTAGCCCTTTGTCAGAGCGATTGGAGGAGTTGTGGGTTTATAAACAGAAAATGGAGCGACGCTACCAGTGGGAAGCCGTTTTTCCATTCCCACCAATAGCATAGCTCCATTTTCTGCAAATAAACCCAAACACAACCCAGAACTCCTCCAATCGTTCTGACGAAGGGCTAACGCTCGAAACTTCAGTCTTTTAACTCTTTACGGTGGCCAATTTACGTAACCAACTCAGTTGATAACACTAAATGGCATCTAAACAAACCTGCTTACTTGCCATCTACGTAACGGATTTACCTTTTAACAGCGCAAAGTTGTAAATAGTAACTGCGTTTATTTTCAAGCTGCTATTTTCCAATGTTTCTGTTTGATGTGGGATCTTCAAAAACAGTTACTGTCTTTACTTTGCCGTGATGGCGCTTTTTAACCTCTTAACACACGATTCCAGAGTGCTACTTCTGTCTCTATGCGAACTGATGTGAAGATCCAGATCCATTTGTTCAGCAAAACGTCTCTGGCACACCCAGCACCTAAATGGTAACATTTCGTCATCGTCTACGATCATCGGTTCTTCTGCGCCACCCCGAGGACGTTCAAGGGTGTGATCGTTCTGATGAAGAATATAATGATCGTAAAGTTTTGAGAGTGTGGGGGATGTCACTTCACAATATGAACATTTATATCGTTTTTCCTTGGCGTGGCTTTTCATATGAACAGCAAGCGTTGACTGTGTTCTGTAGCAATTTTCACACTGCGTGCACTTAAATGGCCTTTGACCGGTGTGGATTCTCACGTGTCCAGCCAGTTCTGTGGTGGAGACAAAAGCTATTCCACACTGGCTACATTTGAAGGGTTTGTTAACAATCTTCATTAGCTTATCCATATCAAGATCGGGTTCGGCGCTGTTCAATTTTCCACTGTCTTCGGCGGAGGCCACTTTATCGTTGGTAATGGCAATCTGTGCCATCTTAAGCCCTTGTCCTAAATTCAATGTCTGGTCAGAAATACCGCCTTGCGCTGAAGGCTGTCCGTTACTTAGAGCCACTTGTTCTTTATGAGCCCCTGAACCAGGCAACGCAGCAGTGTGGTTCGCGCCATTACGAAGGAGGGAACTGTGAAGTTTTTCATGAATAGCAAGTTCAGACGAGGTACCAAAAGCCATCACACAGAGGTGGCACTTGTGGGGCAGGTCGATCAGATGGAATTTCTTATGAGTTGTCAGGTCAGCCATTCGTTTGAAAGACATTTCACATTTAGAGCAAGAAAAAGGTCTGTCACCAATATGACTCCTTCTATGGACGCCAAGTTCAGATGCAGTCTTGAACTGCTTGGTACAATGGGTGCACTTATACGGTTTCTCACCAGTGTGGGTCCTGCAGTGAACAACCAGCTCTGATGTGGTCTTGAAGCACTTTTCGCAACTAGTGCACTTGAAGGGCTTTTCTCCAGTGTGTATTCTTTGATGTACCACAAGTTCGGACTTCCTACCGTAAGATTTGTTACACTGGACACACTTGTATGGTCTTTCCCCCGTGTGAATCACCCAATGCTGGAAGAGCTTGGACTTGAAGGCAAAAGACTTATCACACTGCGAACATTTGTAAAGTTTTTTACCTCCGTGAGTGTCGGTGTGAGCTGTCAATTCCGCTGAGGTCCTAAACGACATTGAACATGATGAACAATCGAAAGGCTTTGAAACAGAGTGAATTTTTGAGTGGGTTTCAAGGTGTTGTTTCGTTTTGAACGACTTATCACAAACTGTGCACTTAATGGGCTCGACGACAGAATGATTTTTCTCGTGTTTTTCCTGTTCAGACGGGGTCTTGAAGCTTCTTTCGCACTGGCTGCATTTGTAGGGTCTCTCTTTGCAGTTGTTTCGCTCATGGATGGTGAGATCGGCCTGCCGAAAAAAGCCCCTGTCGCACTTAGGACATCGAAAGGGCCTCTGACCCGAGGTAACCTTGTTGTGCAAACCAAGCTCCGACGCTGTTCTGAAAGACTTGTCACAGTGGAGACATTTATACGGCCTTTCACCAGTGTGAAACCTATCGTGAACAACAAGCTCTGATTTGGTTTTGAACGCCTTCTCGCATTTTAAACAACGAAAAGGTCTTTCCCCAGTATGAACCCGCTGATGAACCACAAGTTCTGATTCCCTCTTATAGGTCTTGTCGCAATTGGGACACTTGTACGGTCTTTCCCCACTATGGGTTATTTCGTGAAGAAGTAGTTTGGACCTGTACAAGAAAGCCTTGTCACAATGCGCACATTGGTAGTAATGTACTTTACCAGAACCTTTTTTGCTCGGCTGTCCTGAGGGCGAGGTATTATGCATTTGTGGAGGTTGACTTCGACTGGTGCAACCGCTAGCTGAGGGCTCAGGGGATCGGTCCATATATGGAATTCACTTCAATGGTCACAATCCCTGGAAAGAAAAGTGGTGAAGAGCGTCAGAGTAGCTCAAAATTAATTTGACAAGAAAACATCAAGTTAATAATTTCTTACAAACAACATCTGTAGATGAGGATAGAAATGTTATAAAAGAGGGATTTAAAGTCAGTTTTAACCCTTTAAACCCAGAGAGTGACTAGCATCAAATTTCTCCCTACTATATCACCTCTGAATCACACGTTTAGGTCATGAGAATAAAGGAAATGATCACCAACGAAAGAAGCTTTTGATTGGTAAACAAATTCTCTTTATCAGCACCTTAAGAAATGTATAAAGAGCAGTATGGAGAATATGCATACTGACTTTAGGGTGTAAAGGGTTAAGGTTCTTTGGTTTTAGTATGTACTATGCATTCTGGCGTAGTATAAGGAGGCTACAACTAAACAATGCAAATAAACTAAAACTGAAAACATTAGTAAGTTTAGCTACATGTACTAAAGTTAGCTGTGGCAATAGAAAAGACCATGCTTGCAGTCAAATACTACTCAAAGCTAACAGTGCATTGATCTCCATGAGTGCAAATACTCCCTACAATGAGCGTAAAAAAAGGTCATCACTTGACCTGCATGATCTATCCAGCTGGTGCTCACTCATCCCAGTTTTAGTGGTGAAAAGGAGTAAAGCCACTGTATGGGATGCCAATGCATCACAAGTTACCCCCCCCCCCTTCCACAGTGGCAGTTTGCCACTATCAACATTTATTCTTAAGTGGAGGGAGGCACTGAGAATAAAGTGACTTGCCGAAAAAAAACAACAACACAAAGAACCAAGCAGGTCCTGAACATGGACCTCCACACTATGAGTGCAGTGCACCTATAATGTCTTCCACAATAACTGAAGGAGCCCTCATTATTTATAACGTTCAAAGGGCTGTTGCACCTTGAGGGTGGGTTGCCAATATGTGATCAAGCAGAAGGGAGGGACCTCATAAGAAATTTATGTAGGGATATCATTACCAACAATAAATGAAATGACAACTTGATACTGCAAAAGACTTATGAATTCAATTTATGAATGGTCCTTGGTAAAGCAGCTTTTATACATGTAAATGCCGTGTGCAGATATTTCATACTCAAAATCTGGTAGGAGATATCTGGTGTAAGCTGCATTGTGATGTTGATTACATGTACTTGTATCTAACTTGTGAAGGAAGAGGAGAGGACAATATTTTTGCCTCATGAAGGAGGGGATCAGGAGAAAAAATTAACATGGAATACTACTGCACCAACCTCATAACCCTCTAAATTATGATGCCAGAAAAAGGACAACATAACTTTAAATCATACACAGTAAGATCAATATTAGAATACAGGTACGTTGTGTTTTCAAACTTGCCACTTTATTTGTCAGATGCCATCGAAAAAAGTGTAAAACCGCTTCCTTCCAAAAATTTTTCTTACGTCATCATAAACTGAAGCCCTGACAGTAATTTACAATCACTTCAAGATAGAATGATCATAGAGTGCAAAAGGTTTATTACCAGTCTTAAACCAGGTAACCCTGTGTACAAGCTTGTTAATAGTCTCATAGTAGATACTCAATATAATTATGCATCAAGACCTAGAGAAAGAAATTCAAATATCCATTTATCTCAAACAAATACACTTTATGCATTGCACATGACTAGTTTTCCATTATTTTGCCTCTATATACTGGTTGGTTGCTAATACAATCAATTTTTCCTTGGCCATATATTTTGTGTTCTTACTTTATTATTCTTTGCCGGCCAGACCTGTAATTCAGTCATTTATACTGCAAGAGGTCTTAATAAACATATCCACTCATACATAACATGTATATTTTCCTTTCTCATCCTCCTCTATTTTCCAACAAGTTGGCTGCCAGATAAAACAAAGTGTATACACAGTCAACTATCAAGCTTCGAAAGCGCAATAATTTGAAAATGGTTGAAATAAAAAATTCTTAGTTACCAGGTTTGATTTTGGTTACATTTTTTTCATAACTGTTTTTACCCATTATTTCCAAGATGTATTTTGTGTCTTGGTAAACAGACTCAAAAAGTTTACTTTGTGAACACTTTACATCTTAACCCTTTCACTTCCAAGAGAGACCAACAGAGGATTTCTCCTCATGATATCAATAAATATTTAAGCAGAACTGTACTGAGAAGAAAAGTACTACCAAGGGGATATTGTATGATTCAATGTTTAATTCTCAGAAATAAAATCATATAAAGTGCATGGCAGATAGTTGGGAGAATTGATATAGTGATATCTTGGCTAAGCAAGGCAATAAAAGTGCTACTGTGCAGCATGAAAATTTTGTGAGTTTAGAATTTTGAAAGATTTAGGATTGTTATCTACCCAAAATTTAAGTTCACATTGAACAAAACCCTGCATCACATAACACCAAAAACTTATTACCTTCAGTTTAACTACAACTTCACCCCATGTAAGTCATGAGCCACTTTTTTTCTCATCCACATTCCACTAAAATACCTCTCTGAATGTTGTCAAGGATCCTGTACACCTCTTAAAAAACTCATCATACAAACAAATCTAAAAATGAAAGGTTTTCTTTTTCATTTAAAATGTTCTTTTGCTCATACAAAAAATCCCAGCATTAATCTTGAGTCATCTAAAAACCATAAATAAATGTTTCTGCAGGTAACAAAAATCACTGATTCAAAGAGTATCACTATGGCAAAATTTGTTTTACTTTAGCATGTATCCACCCCTGTTATCATCATCTATCATAAGTCAGGAGTGATGTGTATTTAAAATTGTACTGATAATTGACTTGGTGACATTCTAATTTTCAAAAGTACTTTTAATCAAGAGTTATTAACTCATTAATAAAAGTTAAGCTTGAGAGCTGGTGAATAAAGAAACAGTGGAGTTAGGCAACAACAAGGAATGAGTAAGGAGTAATTACCTCCAATGCCACTGAACCAGTGTTTACCAAGAAGAATGGTGGAAAAGAAAAAAGCTTGATAAATATGCAGACCTCTCTCACAGGGCAGCAGACAAAAAATGAAAATACACCCTCAGAGTGGTAAATTGGTTAATGGGATTGTCTCGCAGATGAATAAAAAATCTCCAGTTCCACTCAAACCTGACTCTAATTAAGCATCAAAATATTGTCGTTATTTGCTCAGTACCACTACTCAACCATGTAAGACTAGCTAAAGAAACAGCTAGAAAGCAATGTAACTAATTAGGGTTTGCTGGAAAACATTATGAGCAAACTATTCTAGGGAGAAAATAAATGAAAGTTATGACTAGGGGACCTTCAAAACTACAATAATTGATGCAAGGCTACTCCAGGTGACTAACCTGTAGGGTAAATTATCCAAAATTTTTATTAACCAAGAACTAACTTTATAACAGAGCATGGTAAACATCTCGCACTCAGATTTCTAAATCATAAAATCAAGCACTCGTATGTTTGAATCAAAGAAACTCTGGTTCAGAATTGAAATAAAAAGTTCTGTCTCAGTTAATAACTTTTTATCAAGGGTCTCCACATCTCAGCCAGTATTGGATTTTCACAAAAGACTCACTCAGGGTGATATAAGTCACATGAACCCTGCATTGTTTAACACCACAATAAACAATGTCACATGCATCCTGTCTGCCAGACACAGTATTAAATAGAAATTTACTTTGAATTTATTTTGAAAAATCATATATTTGTCATAGGCACCATCAGAGAAAAAATTTCAAACACTTAGGAGGATTTTGATCCAAGCATTGTCCCTGTTGCAGGCTCTAATGCCAGGTGTTTCAGAACTTGTTAATCAGGAAAACCACATAATGAGGGTATTTACCATGACAGACCTCACTGGCCAGACTGAATCACTAATGAAGAAAACACTTCTGTTTGGCCCTCTCAATCAATATTACAGAAATGTAACCACTTTCAGATGAAATTTTCAAACAAAATCAAAGAAAACTCTGATAAAAATGGATCAATCAATTTTCTGGCCAACAAATTACGACAGATCATAGGAGCCTTCTGTTATGTAATAAGCATTCTGCTCACTAGGAGACAATCAGGTCAAAACACCTATGTGGAGATTAATGAAGAGGGATGGGAAATTTTTCTGTTTATACCAAAAATACAGAAAGTTACGAGTAGAAAAATGTTTGAAATGTAGGTTTTTTTCAGTAAAAAGTGTTCAACGTCTGACACTAATTTTTTTCAATACATTTGTATGCAGGAATAAAACTTATGCTTACATGCCTCATTTCAGCTTTGGTGAAATTATCAAGGGAAAGTAAATTCCTGAACTCAGATCATGGCTTGCTAAAAGAACTACAGCGAATCACTATACAGCATATTTATGTAGCCGTGAGTAAAAAGTAAATTTTAAAGCTTGGAAAACTATCAGAGATTGGTGAGAAACCCTCTAGGAATAATCCAACCCAAAAGCATCTTCACTCATCCAGTCAAGCCAAGATTACATCATCACAAACTAATTTGAACAGGTTGATTACATTTTGTGGAACAATATGACCAAAATATACAATAGAAAGATATCACGCGAAGTATTGAGAAACTGATGAAATTTTAATAAATGCGTGATTTGTGAACAAGACAAGCGGTAGTTATTCGAAGTGCGACACATGTAATAGCGAAGGTCACGTATGCGATGTGTTAAGTAATCATAAGCAATGCTAGACATTAAAACTATGCATGTGTACTTCATAACTACATCGATTATCTATAGACCAAATTTGGGTGCCTTGTTACCAAATGTAAAATTGCAAATCGCTGCAAGACAATGAGTTGCGCTACCGAGAGCGTAGCTTTGGCCAATCGATTCGTTTGCGCTACATGTAGCGATTTTACGTACTAGTCTCGGCTGGGAGTTTCCAAATACCGACACATTGGCGAACTCGACCAGGCAGAAAAAGCGTATTTTAAAGAATGTGAGCGCGGTCAATCGAAAAGCGTAAAGATATAACAATACTTCACTTACCTTTACAGCATTTTCTTGAACGGACGTCCGCGTTCAGCTTCCCTTGAATACTCTAAAGTCCTCTTTGAAGAAACTTGAGAAGAAATAACTCATCATCATTCGGCATTATGAGCTTGGAATCGAGGCTGGGACGCAGTTCGATGGTTTCTTCGCGGGGGAGGGGTGAGGAATGAGCTGCATGAGCGGGCAAATATAATTTTCTAAAACAGGAATTAGGTGTAATTTTTTGTTACTACAATAAAGAAAACTGTTCGTAGGAGCACCTTCTTAAATGACCAAATGACGAATTGATTAAAACCTATTTATGCAATGACGTACAGAGAAAAGCTGGTGGCACACAGAGGTCAAGTCTGGTCACGTTCAAAACACGATGAACGTTTAATTATTTCGGTCATGCTCACGTTTCAAATGTGAACACTGGCCACATGGGCCGCATTGAAGGTAAAGCGGCAAACTCGATGCACGTCCGTGTCATTTCATCCGTGCTATTGGTATGAAGGTGTTTTGTATTTTTAAAGAGAAAATAATAAATAAACTGAAAATAAAAAATGAACAGTTTCAGCCTGCAAGAGGACTTTAGGTAACACCCACGCGAGAGAGGAGACACGCGGGAACTTTCGAGCTGGTGTCTTCTTCTCGGTCACTTGTGCTATCTGCGTGAAATTTAATGATTTGGACCCGAATTAAGCAAAGATATGAAAATCAAATATTTAAGCCTGAAAAATGAAAACCAGATTGACGCATAATTTTGTATTATCAATTAACAGCAGGAGCATATGGAACACTAAAAGAGATTATTGCGAATAGCGCAAATATTTTGAAAGCTTCTTAATCCCCAACTTCTCACAGAATAATTTTGTTTATTCTGCATTATTGTAAACTTCCTCGTGGCCATTTTCTAACAGTACTACCACAATAAAGCTATAATATCAAAGCTATCTCAGAGTTCCCAAAAAGTCGTTGGGTCTCTTCGTTCATGTTTCATATTTCTTAGGTAACACGATAGTATATGCAAACAGGAGAAAACTTCTGACACAAGGAACAACAAAGTTTTTTTTTTTCATTATTATTTTCATCAACCTTTTTCGAAGACACTTCGAATTTTCATCATAGTTTGCTGACCTACGAAAAGCAATGACGCAAAAAAAAAAAAAAAAAAACAACGACGGCACGTTGATATGTTGCTTTGGTGACCTTTCCAAAGCTGATTCAAATAGAGTAATAAAGAAGCTGAAGTGGTGGTGATTTTCCTGAGATAATATAGAATCCGATTTGAGTAATATTGAACGAAAGTGATGCATTAAAATCCTTCATTCCACTGAAACAGCTGGCTTGTCTCCTTATACCTATCTTTCCCCTCATGAGTAATGTCCCACTGTCTCCCCTCTCTCTCAATTCCAAGCATGCATGCAGCCTGAAAGATTAGTGACAAAACAGGTCTCACCATGGAGAAACCGTTCTAGCTTACGTTATTTTATTTCTGCAACCGACCGTGACAGACTGCCCTCTACAGTTTGAACGTCTGAGTGTTGCATTTCTTCATGTTCTTCACGCTGCGAACAACTGGCTAGATCTATCCCGATGTGGTTATGAGTTTTTCGAGGGATGCATCCAGTAGCATGCCGGGTGAGGGGATTTTTCGTTTCTTCCAAGGCAGTCATGATGGAATTAATCACACCAGATACCACACACAGACCGAACATGCAATACAATGACGCCAATACATTGTGGATAACCGAGTAAATGGTATCCTCTGAGTGAGCTACTCTAAATTTGCTTCCTTCCTGCCTTGAGGAGTTTTTTGAAAATAATCTCTCGAGACTTTTGATTCCGGATTTAGTATGTAAAACATAGTCTCCAAAACCGATTGTAGAAAATGTTATAAAAGAATAATATACTCCTTCGTCAAAAGTCCAACCTAAAAGATACGGTACCAAAGATCCATATGCCGTCATCAGCAATATCATCGACGATACCAAAACAACAGCAGTCTTAGTTTGAATATGTTTCGGCTCCAGTATATTCAAGAATTTCTTTTCGAAACGTCTGACTACGGCATTAACACGGCTGGTAATCAGCTCCCCAATGGATTTTAACACGAGCAGGGTGATAGGAATCCCATATAAACAAACAATGATGCACAAAATTCTGCCTGAACATGTTTGAGGAGTGATGTACCCGTAACCTGTAAAGGAAATATTGAAAAATCTAATATTACATAGGTGATTGTTTTACGCACAACATCATTGCAGGAAGGTGACTGCTTTGGAAAGACTGTTGTTCAGAGGACGCTCCATATAAAATTAAGGAAAGGTTTCTACAGTGGAGTAATTTTAAAGGGAGTGTAGATGGACAGAAATCCAGGATCATGTTAGGTTCTCTTTACTCCCCACCGCGATTGTTCCAGAAAACTTGCTCCATCTCTCCACCAATCAGATGGGAAACTAAAGCCAATCATGACTTGCTCCTCCTGGTTTTTCCCACCCTCCAGGGAGTTTGCTTATTTTCACATTGAGTTCTCGCTGACCCCTGGAGACATGATCTTGTTTTAGTCTGATAGACCTTTGTTATAGCTTTGCTTTTGGTTTTACGAAATTCAATCGAAAATTGCTATCGGCGGTGTCTGTCATAATAACACTTATGAGGAGTTGTTTACTTTGGGTTTGCGACTGTTTCTTGACAGGACTTTTAGTGTCAAATAACTGTATTCGAGAGAGGTCACTGCTATAAATAATCTAGAAAAACACCTAGAAAGAATCTTTAAACTGGGAAAATTTCTTCAACTTCTCTTGATAGACGCCCTTTCTTACCTATGGTGGACCAAGCTTGAAAGACAAAATCAAGGGCAGACGAAAAGGTCCACTTAGGTTTCGGATCACTTAGGGCCTCGTGTGCGATATGAGAGAAGTTAATGAACTCTTCGGTGGTTATATTGTATTTAGATATCATGAATTCTTGCAGGGAGTGCAACACTTGATACTTTGTTTCTTCCTCGTCTTCCTCCGTGTACTCCACTTGCAGAAAGAGCCAAGCGCTGGGAAGGAGAAATAACAAGTAAAGCAGTGTTCGCAACAGTACTTTTTTCAACAGTGGGTCCATGTCTGGAAACTGCCACTTGTCTGTTCGAGCTCTCTGTAATGTTAGCTGAGAAAACATCACAAAAATAATTGTCTAAACATACGGAGAATGAAAATGGTGCTGAAATCAGTTTGTATTAGAATGGAACACGTACAAGTTAAAATTGTGACTTCAAAGTTAAATACAACAAAGAAAAAAATGAATAATTGCCTGAGTCTCTCCCTAGCGGTTGAGGATTTTTTATTCCATGAGATGGAAATACATACCCGTCTTATTGTCATCATCACCTTCTTTTATTTAAAGTATTGTTATCAAACAACAGGATTGAGGACATCTGAACCCTTTACGTGGGAAAGCTAACTCTGTTATTGTTCAGCTTTGGCAAAAGATGCAAAATCTTCTAAAAAAGTACTTAAGAGGCCCTATTAGGGGTTATCAGGATACAAGATATTTGGGTAAAAAATTACAGGGATACGGGATATTCGGGCGGAAAATTAAAGGATAAGGGGTATTTAAAAAAAGATTCTGGGATATCGAAGATCGAAGTTCTCATTTTTTTTTAAATAATGAAATAAGTTTATTAATCAATATAGAAGGTGCAAATAATTAGAAATTGCTTTCAAATGTGATTTTTTACATTTTGCCATCAAATATTGTCAATATTGTCAATAGGTGCCAATATCGGCTCTTGTTCAAGAACAACTCTTCAACTCTTCCCCTCCCCCACGGCTTTTTCCATTTTGCACCACTTTCTCGGTGACTCATTGCTTTGAATTCACCTCAGTCCTTTAGCAATTCTTTACAAAATGTTACTTAAGAGCATACCATCGATAAACTTGATGTCTTATTTGCACGTAATTTCTTTTTGAAATACAAAACGCTCCAGGAAAATGTGTTTTCGTTATCAGGTACCCAAACATTTTACGCTCAATGACGTCATCATGGTAACTGGCGTTATCGGGATACGAATCACAAGAATGAACGGGATACGGGATACGGGATATTTTGGCCAAAAATTAATGGGATACGGGATACTCAGACCCCCCTAATGGGACCTCACAAAATCTATTTGACAACCTATGCGTGGCAAGTCACTTCAACTTAAGGTTTTGTAATTTTTTCCTTCCTTTCCTTTTATCCTTACTTTGAATTTAATCAAAATCGTTGAAGTCTTGGTCTTACTCACCATAAAAATAACAATTTCTGAAAATATGTACAGTTATTATGCTCATAGTCGAGTTAAAAATGTGTATCTAGTTTTTCTTCAGCACGAAAGCTGAAATATCTGATTCAAAGGAGTTGGTCTCGGCGCAACGATCGCGGTAATAAAAAAGTTGGTAAAAACAGTTCAGGGGTACATTTTGCTGTTTGAATACTGGTTAAATTTTACATTCTTCAATTTATTTAGCGATGAAAAGAAACAGAAATACTAATTATTAAAGTCAAAGATTGTTAAGTGAGTTCAAAGGAATATGATTCGAACCAGAAAATACGAAATTAATTGAGTTTTCCAAAGTTTTGGTCTCAATCAAATATTTTTATAAGAGATCGTTGATTCATTACATTCATTCTTATAAACACTGAATTTACCAAAGAACTTACCAATTTCGAAGTATTGGGAAAAGATATACGAGAACTTCATTCACTAAATTATCTGTGGCCGTCCTATTCCATAGATAACAATCAAAACTCAGCGGTGGGGACAGCTGTTTGAGATATTGAATTTACCCCACTCAATAGAACTTCCTGAACATAAAAAATGAAATATGTTTGGTATTGATATGAGATTGACAATTTGTCCGTCAGTGGTACAATTTTTAATTATAACTCAACGTGCATCCTTCTATATTTAAGAGTAACGTATCAGGAGTACTATTACTGATGATAAACACTTTCTACGATTGTTTTTTGGTTTGGGTTTTGTGTTTTGATAACCACCGAAATATAATTTTAAATGACATCTAAAGTAAAGGAGACAAATTAACCTCTCGTTGGACATGAATTACTAAATAAAACTGCATATCAGTTCAAGTTCTTTAAATTTCTGTTAACTAATTCCGTTACCTGTTACATAAATTTTGTAGACGTTCTTTCCTATTGATATTTATTTTCTCTCGAAATATCGAGCCAATTTTGTTGTTCCTAACCATTCTTTTATACCATGACCCGGTTATTTAGGAAAATTCAGTATGATAGAATGATAAACATCAGATTTTCTTTCTCATACCTTAATTGTTTTCTGCAGCCATTTGATAAGAGTAATATAAATGGGTGTACGAGATTTCTTGCTAAAAGAGGTGTTTCGTACGGATTAAAAGTTAACTTACACAATCTGTGGGAGTCTCAAGTCGAATACTTACACATTAAAGGTGAAGCATTCTATCAAGTTTTGGAGGCTTAAATCTATACTCAGGTATTTTAAAGGAATCTATGCTAACTTGAATGCTACTCATGAATAGCTCTAATGAGCACCCTTTCTGTAGTAGAGCTGACTAGGCCCAAGCACTGAGTTCGGCTTCTCGTTTGCCAGTTTCCAAGGATTCAAAAGTTGGTCCATCTTACACAAGACCCATTCATGTTCAAATATATCATGCTTTTTCACCCCTTAAGAGATTCCAAGACTTCTAAGGTGACTAAAGAACGTGCTCAAGTGTTTTGCTGTTCTATTTGGTTAAAGCTTGTTAAGACGGATAAAAATCTTTTTCCAAATCTTGCTACCATGGAACTCAAGACCTTGATGTAGGACACTGAAAATTTTGCTCACTACTTTCGTGGGAGTCTCGCGTTTTGTTCGTAAAACATCCAAGACATCGAGGGCGACATTTGCTTTCCTCGACGGCAGCCATAATGGAATTTATTACACTGCAGACAATGCTTAGACTTAAAATGTATACAGATATAAACAAAACGCTGAAAGGTATGTGGAAAGCTTGAAAAGACTCGGCATTCTCATTTCTTTGATATGTAGAGTTAGGCAACGTTAGCTTCTTGATCCTATAGCTGGGTTGGAACAATACATAGTCGCCAAAACCGATTGTGGAGAATGTTACGAACCAAAAATATGCTCCTTCGACGAAAGTCCAACTCAAACCTCTTCGTTCTCGACGCCATCTTGATGCCGCGCAACAGATTATCATAATTGTTATCATAGATAATCCCAAAGTAACGGCGGTCTTAATTTTAACATGTTTCGGCTCTGGTCTTCCAAGGAATTTCCTTTCAAACTTGGTGAGAATTTTGCTGATCAATTTGGCGATCAACTCGCCGACGGAATTCAACGTGAGCAAGGTTATTGGAATTCCAAGTAGAGACACGAAGATACACAACATCTGACCTTCAGGTGTTTGAGGGGTAATGTATCCATAACCTGTCGGGAACATGGATTATGGATTAATTGCTAGCGTATAGATCTTCGTAACTGGGTGATTGTTCGAGTAACGCGTGACATAAGAACTAAGGGCAACGACAAAAATACAGGGAAAGATTATCAGAAGAAGGTCGGTGCTTAAGGGAACTAAAAGGCTCATCGAACCGCTTTTGTGGGAGCATTCAAAGATTCCTTCATTAGAAATGCATAAAGTGATTTCCGCAATTAGAAAGCTTTAAGTAAGGGAAGGGTTGATGAGAAATATGAAAGATTCCACAAGATCTTGTCGAGCTCTATGGTATAACACTATTCCCTTTGGTAGACAGACTTTCCAGTTCTATTGGGAAGCATTTGGGTAAGCTCCTTTAGGGCATGTCTGCTTTACGAAGAAGAAGAACTTTGTGGCCATAAAATGTTCCAAGAAGTATAAAGGAAATGAACGTCCGCTGACATTGTCATACATTACCTAGTCAATAAAAATATATCATAAGACTGAACATAGTCGGCAGAAAAAACGGATATATATCTGCCTTATATTTACCCATGGTGGTTACAGTCTGCACGACGAAATCAATGGCATGAAGATAGGTCCACTTTGGCTTTGGCATTCTTAAAGCTTCGTACGCAACGCCGCAAAACTTGTTGAATTCTTCAAGAGACATGTTGCATTTAGACCCCATGGACATGAACAAAGAGGACAACAACTGATATTTTTCCTGTTTGTCGTCCTTTTCTGTGTACTCCACATGAATGAACAGCAAAGAACTTAAAGAGACTAGCAAGAAGAAGCCAAAAGTTCGAAGAAGTGCTGTCTTCAAAAGTGAGTTCATGTTCAAGATTACGGTGATCGTTGTAAGCTGGATTACTGTTTTATTGTGTTAATCTCAGGACACGCGTATCAGCTGCTTAAGCTTGATAGTAGTCAAATCCTGAAAAAAAAACGCATCGTCAAAGTACGTGGGAACTACATTTCAATTTAGGTTTACTAAAAAATTTACTAAAATCGATGTTTTATCATGTCGTAACAACGGAACATGTACAGTGAACTGACAGTGTGTGGATATATCCGATAGACGTTTAGTTACGCTCAATGTTACATTTTTTTTTCCAATCAGTATAATTTTTTAACCTTTATCCTAATACTTTTTCACATATTTTGTAGCTGAGCTTCCTGTATTATCATCGGCTCATTCGCTCCAGATAATTTTTACTATTATCAATATCTTATCACAGAACCAGCCTTTTTTTGTTTGTGTACATACAAACTGAAAATCACAATTTGATAAAACTATATCTTTCACTTGTTAACGATAAGACCAAGGTTTTCTTCTTGTTCACCCATATTAAATAAAAGTTTTGCTACTTTGAAAAAATAAGCAGAAAGGAAAAAGGTTTGTCTCCACGAGGACATCACCCTTTACACCAACTCAATTCATCTTAACGTTTACCTTCTCATATTTATCATCACTCACTTTAAAAAAATTTAAAGGCCTCAGAAATTTAATTTCCGACTAGTTTTAGGTATATTGAAAGACATAAACTGTTTTTTTTTTTTGTTATTACGTGGTGTATACTAAAACAAACCACCTCCACTCTTTGGAGAGTAAGTGTTAATTATTGCTCGATTCTTTTTCACGAAACCTGTTTGACTAATGGCCATGATCTTTCGAGTTACTCTCTAGCTTAAGGATAAATTGGTCAACTAAACTAAAACTGTAAGAAATTTCTTCACGGTACACATCGTCTCACTCATTTAAGATGTAAGTGTTAAGTTCCAACAGGAGGAGTGACACTATTATTTAATTTTGTCTATCAGTAATCATCTATGCAGACACAAACCCTTCCATCGCCAAATTTACTTTAGATATTCCAACGTTTTTGGTCTCAGTCAAAATGCTTTTCAAGAGATCGTTAATTCGTTACATTAATTCATATAAACACTGAATTTACCAACGGACTTACCAATTTGGAAGTATTGAGAAAGGATATACGAAAACTTCGTTCACTAAATTATCTATGGCCGTCCTCATCCATGGATAACAATCAAAACTCAGCAGTAAGGGCAGCTGTTTGTGATATTGAATTTAATCTATTATTGTCCGTCACCGGTACAATTTTTAATTATAACCCAACGTACAATTGTTTTTTAGTTTTGGTTTTGTGTTTTGGTAACCTCGGAAAAATAATATTTAATGACCTGTAAAGTAAAGGAGACAAATGAACCTCTCGTTGGAAATGGATTACTAAGCAAAGCTGTATATCAGTTCAAGTTCACTAAATTTTGGTCAGCAAATTCCGTCACCGTTTACATAAATATTATAGGCGTCCTTTCATATTGATATTTATTTTTCAATTTTCACACGAAACGTCGCGCCAATTTTGTTGTTACTAACCAAACGGGTATAAGAGAGGCGAGGTTTAATACGTGTGAAAAGTCAAGTGAGACAATCCGTGCCAGTCATCGGTCTTATAAATACACGGCTATTACAAGCCTGACAGGTGCATGCTTTTATTAAGTCTTAAACGCACAAACTCACAATCACATGCCCATACTAAGAGTGGGTATCAGTCGGTTTCGCTTCTTGTCGAGTACGCTAAGTTCGAGTTCGCTACATGTTCGCCACTTACATACCGAATTCGCTACTTACTTCATCCTACTATTCTATCATAAAAAACTTTTATGGCAGACCTAGAAAAACGGGATCAACATCAGTATCTGAGCAACTCCCCAACTACCCCTCCCTTAGCCCAACATTAACCCTAACTTGTTATCAATTGACTGTTGTTGGGTTAGGGTAGGGGTAGATGGGGAGTTGCCTAGATACTGATATTGATCCGAAAAACGAATATTTATGGCTAACCCCTCTAACCTTTGGTCTGGAAGATATATATTGATGACATCTTCTCACTGTTGGACATTTCTATGAAAGAAGCTTCCAATTTTGTTGACTTCGCCAATTCTTTCTACCCAACAGTCAGGTTTACTTGTGAAACGCAACCTCGGAACAATCACAAAAATCAACGATGCGGTTAAAAGCAAACTAGAAGGGAATTTGCATATGACCAGTTTAACTGACTCCTAAAAACGGCAGCCACGCAGTTGGGAGTATAAAGTACAGATATTGCTTGTAGCTTATGATTAAAAGAGAAATTAAAATTGAGAATTAACAGACGCAGCGAATTCGGCATGTTAGTAGCAAACATGTAGCGAACTCGACGAGTAGCGAAACCGACGCGTAAAGTTAAGAGTACTGCTAACACAAATGCTATATTGCTGTACAGCTGTGAGCATCTTTTCCGGGCCTCGCTCGCCTCGCTCTCTAAGTTCGGCCCCTCGATTGCCAGTTTTCAGGGGTTTAAAAGTTGGTGCATCCTGCACTAGACTCATTCATGCTCAAATATATCATGCCTTTTTTACCACTCCAAGAGATCCCAAGATTTCGGCTTATTAGGCTCCAAGAGCGCTAGAGAGATTCAGGAACGTTGACCTCCGAACATAAGGAAACATGCGGTGCTCAAGTGTTTCGCTGTTATGGATTGATTAAGGCTCGAGAGGAAGAACGAAAATCCTTATCCAAATCTTACTACTATGGAACTCAAGACATTGCTGCGTGGTTCTGGCCATGTTGCTCAGTGTTTTCATGGAAGTCTCGTGTTTTGTTCGTAAAACATCCAACACATCGAGGGTGACATTTGCTCTCCTCGATGGCAGCCATGATGGAATTTATTACACTGCAAACAATGCTTAGACTGAACATGTATATAATTACGAAAAAAAGGCTGGAAGGTATATGGAAAGCTTGAAAAGATTCGGCATTCTCGTTTCCTTGGTATGTAGAGTTAAGCAACGTTAGTTTCTTAATCCTATAGCTGGGTGGATAAAATACATAGTCGCCAAAACCAATTGTGGAGGATGTTATGAACCAAAAATACAATGCTTCGACGAAAGTCCAATCCGATTCTCTTCCTTCTTGTCTCATTACTGACACTGTGCCACACACCATCATGATTGTTATCATAGATAATCCCAAAATAGCGGCGGTCTTAATTTTAACATGTTTCGGCTCTGGTCTTCCGAGGAATTTCCTTTCAAATTTGGTGAGAATTTTGCTGATCAGTTTGGCGATCAACTCGCCGACGGAATTCAACGTGAGCAAGGTTATTGGAATTCCAAGTAGAGACACGAAGATACACAATATCTGACCTTCAGGAGTTTGAGGGGTAATGTATCCATAACCTGTCGAGAAAATGGATTATGGATTAATTCTTAGGGTATAGATCTTCGTAACTAGGTGATTGCTCCTCCTATGCACGTGCCTTCAGAATTCAGGGCAACGACAAAAATGCAGGGAAAGATTGTCAGAGGAAGGTAGGTGCTCTAGGAAAGTAAGAGAATCGTCAAACCTCTCTTATCAGAGAATTCAAACATTTCTACTTTACAAATGCATAGTTTGGTCTGCGTAGTTAGGTAGTCTTAAGTAAGAGAAGGGTTAATGAGCAACATGGAAGATTCCACAAGGCTTTGTTCGGCTCTATAAAATAATCCTATTTCCTTGAGATGTCTTTCCGATTCTGTTGGGTAGTGTTTTCCGGGGTTACATTATTGCAAGCTCCTTTAGGGCATATCTGTCTTGGGAGGAAGAAAAAAGTTTGTTCCCATATGATGTTTCAAGAAGTGTAAAGGAGACGTACCTCACATTGTCAAACATGACCTAGTCGATAAAAATCAGATATAACACAAGAATGAACATAGTCGGCAGAAAAAACAGATGCATATCTGCCTCATATTTACCTATAGTGGTTACGGTCTGCACAATGAAATCAAAGGCATGAATATAGGTCCACTTTGGCTTAGGCATGCTTAAAGCTTCATACGCAACGCCGCAAAACTTGTTGAATTCTTCAAGAGACATGTTGTATTTAGACTCCATGGACTTGTACAAAGAGGATAACAACTGATATTTTTCCAGTTTATCGTCCTTCTCTGTGTACTCCACTTGAATGAATAGCAAAGGACTTAGAAAGACTAGCAAGGAGAAGCCTAAGGTTCGAAGAAGTACTTTCTTCAAAAGTGAGTTCATGTTGAAGATGATCGGTGTAAGCTGGATTACTGGATTACAGCGTTAATCTCTGGACACGACAATCAGCAGCTTGAGCTCGGTAGAAGTCAAATCCTAAAAATTAGGTTGGGGTTTCTAAGTTCTTACTTGCAAATCTTAGAACTGATTTCAAGCATCATCAAGTTGACATAGACCTTACATTCACTGCCGTTTGCGCTTCCTCCCTGAGAAGAACGTGGGAACTTATTCCATCATCTCTCCTATTAGGAAAGGAAATCATTCTGCTTGTGTGAGTTTTCCCATGTGGTAATTACAACCGGCCGGCAAAAAGCACCCTAGCCTGATTGAATTATGGTAAAAATATAAAATATAATTAAAATATAAATGAGCTTCCTCTATTATCATCGACTCCTTCGCTCTAGATTGTTTTTATTGTTGTCCAGAACCCTTTTTTGTTTGTCTGCATACGAACTGAGAATTACAATTTGCTAAAACTATAGAAGACACCAGTTAACGATATCGCCGAGGTTTTCGTCTTTTCACCTATCCAAAAGACGAGCTACGGTGGTTTAATACAATAAGTAAAATCGGATAAGGTTTCTCTTCACAAGGGCATTACTCTATACACCAACATTATTAAGCAATCTTTCTGTTTACACTTTCACATTTATTATCACTTACTCTGAGAGTTATCAAGGTCTCGTATGAGATTCATTCAGTACGAAGCTGTTCACAGGCTTTTTTTCGACGTTCCCTGGCAAGGCGATATCAAAATAGTATTGAATGACATGTCTTGCGTATTACTGTAAGCTTGTGAACGTAAAATGATGATGCAGCTGGCGTACGTTAGATAAGCTATGCGAGAATTGACCGAACAATGAACTTCTTTAAATGAACTTTCATGAATTTTGAAAATTGATTAACACAGAAATTAATTTTTACATCCTTTTATTTATATTGTGGCTGAAATTTTTTAAACCAGTCGAATTTTTATTTTCTTTGGCCTGTTCACTATCATAATCTGAAACAATAATCTCCCATAAAAATTGATTTTTTTCTCTTTCTTTGGATAATGATTGCTATAATGAATGCAGGTCAAGAGACATTCAAATGTTTTAAAAAAATTCAAATCAATAAAAAACTATGAAGCCCAACATTAAGTTTCATTTGGGAACTTATTTAAAGAAAGGGATTTTCTCCCTTTCTTTCTCTAAGGCTATGAATGGAAAAACGAATATATTACCTCCAGCTCAACCAGCTGTTAATTGACTTTTTCAACCAAAAACACCTCGACAGCAGTTTCAAGAAAACCTCAACTGATATTTCTGAACAGTGGTTAAAAGCGATATGAACACAACTTTTTTCGTTCTCGTCTCTGTCAAGTCATGTTCACGTTCTTAGTAATTACACTTGTCAGGACAGAATTGTCAATTATTTATATAAGTATGGAAGACTTGTCAATCCCTCATGTGAGGATAAACTGGCAGGTGTAAGAATTTCACAATTGAACTTATTCCTCTTCATTGTCATCATCGATCTGTGTATTGTTTCATTGTCAATTTTTTTTAGGTATTGTTTTAATTCAAAGGTGTCAAGTTGTCCTCATTTCACATCCTGTCCTTGACAAGTCTTCACTATCAACATTTTATTTCAGTTGCTTCTAGGCAAGAGGAACTTTCAATGTTGTCATATTTTCCCATCTGTACTGCGAGGGAAATATTGCCGCGGGACAACACACATCAAGGAGAATCCTTCAACAAGTAAACATGGTACTTTTATTTTAAGTAGCCCTCAGGGTCCTTTTCTTTTAGAAGCGCTTTGTTTAATTTTCAAATTTATTCAAAGCTGAGAAAAAAAATGTGCGTAACCAAATAATCCTAGCTGCATCGTCACCACGAACGACTAAAGAAAGAGAGAGTTCTCTTAGTTTCCTCGTTGATAAAGAAAGAAAAAGCCGAATGAATAACTTTACTCTTATTTCAGTCTGGTTCCTTCGACATAATGTCATTAGCAGGTAAAACTGGTTAGAGAATCACTGCCATCATGATTCTTCTTTTTGAGAAATTTTAAAGGAAAATAAGGTTTTTCTAAACTCCGCCAGGGCTTTCATGTGCAACTTTGATGTCAAGCAGATTTCATTGCTGATAAACAGTCAGTTACAGTTCAGTTAAGTAGCACATGTTTTCAGTGCCATTTTCTTGCCTTTTTGGAGTGCAGTTAGGCTCCGCATTGTTCACTTCATCCCGGGTTTTTCTAGAGGCACACATGGGACAGGCACGATGGAACTTCAATTCCTCCATAGCCGCCATGACGGAATTGATTACGCTTGAAACAACACATAAGCCAATCATTGCATAAATAGTCATGAGCATACGGAAAAAACCTTTTCTGGTGCGTTGTTCCGAGTGGAACTTTCGTTTCTCTGGAACGTAATCACCAAAACCGATTGTAGTCAGCGTAACGAACCAGAAATACACACTTTCAACAAAAGTCCAACCTTGTGTACTCATAACTAACCGGCCGTTTGCCACAATAAATATCACCATCAGGAAAAAGAGGATCACAGCGCTCTTTGTTTCTACTTTTTCCGGATGCGCTCTTTTGAAAAGTTTGCTTTCAAACTTTGTTACAAGCGCGTTGACAAGTTTGGCCATTAAATCGCCAACAGACTTCAACGCGAGTAATGTAATGGGAATCCCAAGAAGACAAATAAAAATGCACAATATCTGACCAGCAGGTGTTTGAGGAGTGACGTATCCATAGCCTGCAAATAACAAAATGCAAAGTTATTATCTGCACTGTACCTTATCTGATGAAATTAAGTAATCATGGGTTAAAAATCATGAGCTTCAGTAATCAGTTCGCCACTTGCTACTGATTTAACTTGTTCTTTATCATCGGGGTAATTATCATATACAAAACATAAGGGTGATTAATATAATTTTTTTAATTTTTCAATTCCCTGACACCGCACCTGTTTGATTCGTAGCAGTAATCTTTCGAGCTACTTCTCCTAGGTATTTTTGTCATGAATAATTTGGCCAATAGTACTAAGATTGTAAGAAATTTTTCATGGTGCACAACTCGTCACCGAGTCAATAATATATTCTAACTGGAGAAGTGATTCCATTTCTTCATCCTGTGCATCAATTATCATCCATGCAGACACAAACCCTTCGATTGACAAAGTTACTTTAGCTCATGATGGTCTGATTCTTTTTACGAATGAAATCGCCATTTTTCCTTGTTCTTACACAAGTTTGCTGAGTCTCATTTCGAGAAGATATTCCTTACCTACGGTAGTCAAAGCTTGTAATACGAATTCCAAGGAAACAAAATACGTCCACCGTGGTTTAGGTTGGCTCAGAGCTTCATGCGCAATGCTGGAAAAATTATTAAATTCCTTGATGGTCATATTGAATTTAGATGCCATGGAAATGTACAGGGACTTTAACAAGTGATCTTTTTCTTTTTTGTCATCTTTTTCCGTATATTCCACAAAAGAAAACAACCAAGCACTCAAAGAGGCCCATAATATGAATCCAAAGGTGCGAAGAAGCACAGTCTTCCACAGGTAATCCATAGCGGACACTTTAGTTCAAACATACACCTGCATCAAAAGGAAAAGGAACTATTTTCAAAACATTTGAAAGTTTTTTTTCTTGAAAAAATGTTCGATATAAGATGACACCGATACCTAAGAATAAATGAATAAATATGGTATTCACCAGCCGTATTGTGCCCGAGGTCTTGGATACCGCCCGAGGCCGAAGGCTTTTTTCTAAAACATAACGAAATGCTTGCCAAAAGAACCCGAATGATTAAGGGCTGTAAACATGGCAAGATCCTCCAGAAAGATGAGAGGATTAATGAGTTTTTTTTTATCGGCCTGAAGTCGTGTTCGAGGTCTTTGCTTAAAAATACTGCCCAGCCCGCAAAATAACATATATTAATGAAAAATGGCAACGAAACTAGGGATGTACTCGGCGACTCGCGAAAGCGTTACCGTGCCCGCAAGCAGAGATAAAGTTTAAGCAAATAATTAGTCCCTACAAAGGGTGAGCCTGTACAACCAGGCCAGATGGACAGAAAAATACTTTATATCTGACATACTGTTGACAGAATGTTCGACACTCGATAGTACTTTAAAATTATAATGGAAACGTCAGTTTTTAATGGAAAGGATGCTACTGATAGCTTAGAATAACAGGAGTCAGTTCAAAACAGACAACGGATTTAGCCTTAAAGATGATGAATTTTTGGCCCAAAAGGCACTGATAAACTTCTTAGAGGAGTTAGTGTTCGACATATACGAAACCACTGATACCGTAGGATGAATTTGGTCGGTCAAAAATGATCCACTAGTTCATCCACCAGATTTTCAAGAAACAAATAGGTTTTGGCGCAAATTTCCAGAAACCCACACCAGCCTTAAAATCCAAAAAGGCACTGATAAACTTCTCAGAGGAGTTGTTCATCCAAACCATTGATCTTATGAATTTGGTCCAAAAGTGCAATTTTCAAAACAAATAAATTTACAGCCTAAAAAGTTCATCCACCAGTTTTGAACCAAGCAAAATGGAGTTCCACTAAAAAAAATTACTACCGTTTTGGCGCAAATGGAGTTCCACTAAGCCTGCTTAGTGCTGTTAAAATCTTAGGAGCTGAACGGATGGGAAACTTTCGAAGATAAGACAGGAAGTTGGAAAGGGCTCTCATCATACATCTTCTTTTTGGTAATCTACTAACAATCGTTGTATAATTCAAGTTCACTTTCGAAGCTGATCTATGCCGGAGCAGTAGAGATAAGTCGATGACACTGAGAGTAGTCAGCTTAAAAAAAAGACATAATTTGACGTCTTAATGGCTTTATTACTTGTCTTAAAAAGCTGTACAGTTTATAACTGTTTGTCCATAATTCTGTCTGTTAAAGGTTTCTTGGAGGTAACGACGGCACTCAATTAAAATGGGAGCGGATATTTTTATGGCGAACGCCAATAAATCTCATTATGGAAAAGCAATATGGAAATTAACTGCCCCGCAGTGAAATCAAACAAGGATTGTATGATATTTTATGAACCTTAGTTTGTTGTGTTTGCCTGGTTAAAACAAAAATTAATTCATTATGGCAGGTGGTCCACTCTTATGATCACCTTATTGTGTTTCTCTAACTGTCTAGCTTTAAAATCTATCACTTAACTTTTTCTCCTTGTTTTTATCTCCCCTGTATTCGAAGCAAATGAAACTTACTAACTATGTTGCCGCTTGAATATGTTGGAATCGAGGGTACCTTTTACACACATCATCTTCTTAGATACACCGTGAACGTGTTGTTAAAATGACCCCAAATTCAACGTTATTCTCGTTTACTCGATGAATACTAACCAGATATGCTGAAACACTGGCTCCTAAATATTCCGTCGGCGATGCATGGTCTTGTCACAGCGACTGAAAGAAATGTAGTCCTATCAAACGTCAAAACATCTTTTCACTGAGCAATTTACTTCAATAAATGTTTACCTCCATTTGATCTTAATGAGTCAGTGTCTCTGCGTTTCAAATTGAAAGATCTGGAATTTTGTTTTCCCGTTCAATATGTATTTGCTCTAAGGCTACTGATTGCCATGGCACTCTTTAAGCTTGGAAAACATTTCTGGTGTCATCTAATTCTTAGATTTATAATTGAAGGCCTCTCGTTAGTGTTGGGCGCCAATCCGCTGCTTTTCAATAAAATAACCTTAATTCGTATTGTGTTAGAAACAACTATCCTATTTTTATTTCTTTTTCTTCCTTTTAAATATATCTATTATTCATCTTCGGATAACCTTTAACAACGGCTGCAAACACAACGAATGTATTCATTTAATGCATTGGCAATTGAACCATTATGTTCACGTCCCTTAGAAGCGCTCTTACGATCTGAATTAGATTGGCAACTAATGGAGGTGTATAAAAAGATTAAATATTGTTGCTTAGACCTAAAACATATTATTTGACATGATTAATGCATAAAATGGAATTTTTTGACACGGCCAAATTATTTGCATTGGTGTTATTTTTTATTACTTGCTTAAAGGTACAAAGCCCAGTAAAAATTTCATTTCTGGCCAAGTTGCACAAGTATAAAAGTACACTCAGATATTGAAAAGCGAATATAATTTCCAAGTATGGGAATACTTAAGGATTAAAAATGTCGAGAGATTATACACTCGATTGCAACAACGTTGATACCTAAAGAGTTTGATCCCTGAACAATCTGACCCAACAGCCTTATGGGAAATGCTCGCATAGTTTCATAATCAATGTGCTTTACCTATCCATTTTTCATGGACAATCTTTTTTTATGGTAGTTCTTTTCTTTCAATAAAGTGTGGGTAGCTTCTATTATTTACGACGCGCAACTTATTGTGGTTATCATTTACATGTGTACCCATAAGGCCGTTGGGCCTCATCATTCATAACCAATGTTTTCTAGATGTAAACGTTTTTCAATCGAATGTAAATGCCAGCACTGCTAATAAATCGTTGATGACAAAAGCAATGGGCCATAGACAACGTTATAAATCATGAATATGCAGACTATGTATGGTAACGTTTTAAGTTAAATCATTGGAGCCTTTCGGGGAGTCCGTCTTCGTTTATCATTTACATTAGTAATTTTTTGTTTTCTTGCTCGTATGAATGTAAATTTTTTTAAAGTGCAGCTGTTTAAGCTCTCTGATTTCTTTAAGTGCCGGTAACGCCTTTCCTAAACGTCCGTCTTATATGTTGGGCTAAAATGAGTGCAATGAAATTTTAAAATGAAAGGATGGATACAAAGTTTATCCAGTGTTTTTTTCCTTTTCTTTTAACTTTAAATTTAATTTTATGCCAATGAATTACATCGACGTTTCAAGCTACTACTTTCCCATATGGATGGCGCTGCTGGATAAAATTTATCTGAGTACGGAGGTTAGTGGCACGGCTAGTATCAATTTAAATTTGGTAAACTTAATTTTCGAAATTAAACCATTCTTGTAAAACACAATTCGGTCATGAATTAGTACCGAAGGAAGTTTTGTGAGAGATTTCTTGATATCTTTTTTCATTGTTCGAGTTTTACAATTGATAAGAAAGGTTTAATTTTGATTGGAATTCTCAGAGAAAACACCACACACCATACACACTTCAATCACACATCGATAAAAACAGTTACGTCATCGTTAGTGAGCTCGAAGCCGATAAAGATTCCAGTGTCCGAAAAAGAGCCGATAGTGCGGGGTCGATCTACAATTGAATTAAAGAACATAGAGACTCCTATCAGTTTTCTGTGTTCTCAAGATTCTCCAAACCCAGATTTTCTGATCTTTTAGAAGTCATGTTCTCGTCATCAGGTTCTTTTACTGTGTCAACGCGCCCCTGTATCCTTCTAGATATACGTGCAGAACACTTAAACCACCAATTTCGTTCATCCAAGGCCGCCATGATGGAGTTAAATACACTGGAAACAATGCATAGTCCTCCCAAAAGAAGAACCAGTTCAAAAAAGCCTATAAAAATTGCGAAGCTGTTTTCTCTCGAGATATTGGTCGGATTGAGCTTTCCTGGAATGTAGTCACCAAAACCCATTGTTGTTACGGTTACAAACCAAAAATAAAGTGCCTCTACGAATGTCCAATCCTCTAGATGTATCAATACGAGAGCATTCATCACAATACCTAACACCATAAATAAAAACAAGATCATTGCACTCTTTTTTTCTACATTCATCGGTTCCTCTCTTTTAAGGATTTTACTCTCGAACTTCTTCACAAGTGTGTTGACCAGTTTGGCAATGACCGCACCAACCGAGTTTAGCAAAAGAAGAGTAATTGGAATGCCAAGTAGACAAAGGAAGATACATAGCATTTGGCCTTCAGGTGTCTTGGGGGTTATATTTCCATAGCCTGTGAAACAGAGACCAGAAACGGAATCAATATGGAAGCTTGGTGGGATGGTCGAACGTTTCCGCTTTTACAAGCCTCAACAATTTCGATCATAACTTTCCGCGATATGGTGCACCACGAGAAATTTCAGAGTCAAACAAAATACAAAGCAATGGCATTTAGGAAATACAAAAGGCGAACCTTGGTTGATTATTTTAAAGCATGAATACTTATGATGCAGTTACGTTATTGGATCTTCTGACTTATTCCGACTCTAGTGCTGTAGATTCTAGTTACTTATCAGATACATTTTGTAAAAATGACATTTTGCAATAGTTTAGACGCATCACATATTTTATCTTACCCACAGTAGTTGTGGCCTGAACTACAAAGATCAGAGATGCTAAAAACGTCCATTTGGGGCTAGGTTTGCTCAACGCCTCAAACGCAGTGCTGGAAAAGTTTTTGAAGTCTTCCTCGGTCATGTTGTACTTAAATGCCATTGCTTTGAACAGAGAAAGTAACAACTTATCTTTCTCTTTCGCCTCATCTTTTTCAGTGTGTTCAACCGTAACAAACAGCCAGGCACTAAGTGAAGTCCACACAAAGAAAGCAACGGTGCGAAAGATCATTGTTTTGAAAAGAGGATCCATGGCTGAGAAACTACACCTGCAAAACATTTCACCAGCAATATCAGTACAAACCTCTATGTCAACAAGACTCCATGAGGTGCATTATCACATCAATACCGCGAGATAAAATTATTTATGTGCGGCTTATAGATGGTCAATGATTAATCATTAGGTATTTGCAAATGAAAGCACCTTTTCCATCTAATTACTTCAGGTCGGAAACAGCAGGTGCTCAATCCACATGGTAATTTTAGGGTGATAAAGTAATCGTTTCATCGTTCTAATTCTGTAGAGTCCACAGTAACACTCGCAGTCATTTTTAAACGTCTGTAGATAGCTTTGTAGTTGGAAGACTGATCTTTGCCGGCATCTTTGCGTATTCAGTTAGACAGCTAAATTAAATTGTTGACACTTCTTGATGAAAATTCTTCATCTACCTCTGACTTAATAAATAGCCTCTTTCTCCTCTCTTTTACAGATAACATACTCAAATGCTATGGCTTTGTTAATCTGCTTCATTTTATACTGAAACAGAAACAATTTTCCATAGAATATTTTGATTTCAAGGTACTTTGTTGTGGGAGAAATTACAAGAATATAAATGTGCCTTTCTTTACGAGGACTTACGAGAAGTCCAAGTGAAGTTGACAATCAAATGGCATCCTGACATACCTTTTTGGTTTTTTTGGTATTGGTGAAAAACATCTGGCTTTATTCAAATACGATATACTCGATTTGCATTTAGGCTTAAATAATTAGTCTGCCTTCTTAAAAGAAAATAACTCCTACTAAAACGAAGAAATGATTTTGAATGCTGTAAATTCTTCTTTCTATAGTTGTTTACTATGACTGTAATGGAGTCTATGCAGCGCTTGAACGGTTTGATAACGCGAAGGCAAAATTCTTACTGGCCGCATTTACTCAAATACAGACTTACCTGAATGTTGTATCAACGCTTTCACATCAGTTTTGCCATTCAAGGGAATTTTTTAGCACCTTATGTTAGTTATAACCGCTGTTTTGGTTACGTGTCTGTTGAAGTAAACGTTTAGTAGCTATACTCAGGGTCTTTCCTTGTAAAGATTTGTTATAATTATATTTCATGGCTTTTTGCATGAATTTCATGCTGTCTCGTGGCAACTGTTTTTACCTTTCATTAAGGATTCAAAAGGCCTACGGGAGATGGCATTCATCTTTACCAAATATTTACAAATCCCCATTCTATGAATATTCATTAGCTCTAGATATTTGATGTGGCCTTTTTTCAATAATTTAGCTTGGGCATCGATAAATGCCTGGACATCTTCACTTCTGTATTCTAAGACGTTACCTTGAGAAAGATAAACGCCAAATTTTAGTATTCATAGGAAAACTCGTATGAAGTGCAATTGGCACAGTTTCCATTTTATTTCCCAGCGATTGAAGCAAATTGATGCGCAGTTCATTTAAAGGTGTGAGGTAGTAGCTCTCAGTCTGGGATCTAACAGAGTGAAAAAATATCTTCTCTGTTTGCATTCCATCGAAACAAAAATTATTACGCCCAGCAAGATAGGTTACATTCAGGCCGATAACACTACAGGCAGCCCAAGATGATCATCTCATAGCTGGAGCTTAGACTTCCTGTGGTTACACATCATATATTAGCCAGACGAAGTCACTAAAAAGAGGTTCCATGCCCTACCGGTTTATCACCATGACATCGATCTTCACACCATGGCTTGATTTCAGTTATAATAGTGACATATTTTCATTAGCAAATAAAATGGATTTCAAACTAATTATTCATTAAATTTTTCACTGCCTTTCTCACTTTTCACCTGACGCAGACGTTCTCGTCAACATCCCAACGCCACTTTAGTTCTCCCTTGATCACCATTATAGAGTAGGCATTGATTTTTATTGATCAGAAGGCAGACAGCGAAGAATTTCATGGGTTAGTGCATTAAGCGTTGCTCGGCACAAACATAAAAACATCGGACTGTTCTGATATCTCGAGGTGTGCGTGCATTGACTTTTAATCGCCTAGCCCTCTAGTGGCAAATATTATGAAACCGAAATACATTCCACTCGAGAGATCCATTTTGAGAAAAAAAAAAATTTTAATTCCATCTGTGCGCAAATTATTAGTTTAGGATGTGTCTTGTCGTCCTAAACCCAGTTCTAATGCTAAAGGTCAGCTAATTCCACTGGGATGTTTGCATCCCTCATATTGAAATTAACTTGCTTTTCGTCAGAATACTCCACATTAAAATCGCGTTCATCAGGAATACTTGTCTGCCTTTCTTCTTCGTCGGGGTCTTTTGGATCTGTTTTCTTCTTCTTTCGTGGAATACAACAAGGGCATGTGGTATGGAATCTTCGCTCTTCCATTAGCGCCGCAATTGCGTTTAGCACACTTGACACAATGCACAACGCCACAATATAATAAAACGCTTCGAGTAGATCTTTGAATATTGCGAAAGTAGTCTGCCTCTGCAGTGCGTCAGATGACTTATTATTGTGAGTTTTAGACCTATTCAAAGATAACTTTTTGATCCTTGTGGGTTTCCAGAGAATGTAGTCACCAAACCCGATTGTAGTAAATGTTACAAACCAGAAGTAGATGCCTTCAACGAAAGACCAATTTGAATCCCTAATGCACAAGGCACTCACCACGATCAAAAGCACCATAAATGAGAACAAGATCACTGCACTCTTCGTTTGCATCTGTTTTGGTTCTGGTCTTTTAAGTATTTCCTTTTCAAACTTCCAGACGATTGTGTGGACCCATTTGGCAATGAGTTCGCCAATGGATTTCAATGTGAGCAAAGTAATGGGGACCCCGATTAAGCATACAAAGATACACAACATCTGCCCCGTGGATGTCTGAGGAGTGATGAATCCATATCCTGTAAAACACAGATATCAGCAAAGATTAAAAAAGGTACTTTCATAAGCCCAGTAGGATATGGTGTACTCCATGAGAATGTAAACTTAATATATTCTCTCGGTGTACTCACTTTGGAAGGTATTCCACTCAATGAAGATGCTGAAATTCATTTTGTTTGGACTTTAGAAAAAAAAAGCCATCACAGTATCCTTTTTCTCGATTCTTCGTTATTTACACTTATTTTAGGATGAGTTCTGAGAATTAAAGAAAGTTACCCGAATTAAAGGAAAGCATTTATTGCAGATGAAAGGTGACCATCGAGTAGTTCGGAGAGAGAAAACTCCGTGAGTGACTAACTCGAGGGTGTCATTGGGGTAATGGCTTTGACGGCTAACGGTTAAAATTTGGCCAGTTTACGGCTAACGGTTAATGTCTTTCCATTGCGGTCACCAGAATTTGTTTTAACGTCTGCGAGGAAAGTTCGCGAGAATGGATAGGATTCCTCCTTTTTCTCCTTCGTTGCGTATCTCGATTCTTTCCAATCTCTCTTGCGATTCTTAGGATCAATAACTGACGACTGGAAACTAAGAAGACTCATTTATAGCGGAGCTCGCAGAGCGTAGCCCCATATGTCCTACGACCGTACGACCGACCGTACAAGGTGCTACTTTTAGCATGCGCGGCCAACTGTACCACGGGCACTATCTTATAATCAGTCCTCTACACGGACACGGAGAAGTTGCGAATGAAAACCATTGATATTACCACGCACTTTATCCATAATAGGAGCTTTAGTTTTGTTGAAGAGACGTGCGGGAAAAAAAATATGAGCTCCGCTTTTAGGCATTGTAATGTTTCGTGTTCTTAAAAACTAATAATATCGTATTTTACCGTACCTATGGTGGTCACAGCTTGAATCACGAACGTAACTGCAACATGGTAGGTCCACTGAGGTTTAGGCTCGCTTAATGCTTCATATGCAACTGTAGAAATCTTATTGAACTCCTCGAGGCTCATGTTGTATTTTGATGCCAAAGATTCGAACAGCGAGAGTAACAAGTAATATTTTTCTTCTTTATGATCTTTTTCCGTGTGTTCTACTTTCACAAACAACCATGCACTAAATAAAGTCCATAACAAGAGGCCAAGCGTTCGAAGAAACGCAGTTTTTAACGGCGTGCTCATCGTCAATTCTTTATCTCTATATGAATACCTTTTCCTGTAAGAATAAAGAAAAAGAGTGTACCATGCAATGTTTTGGTACCATGTTGATGCCGATGAAACTCAGCTGTCATCTCACGACTTCAGAATAATATGTCGTAGGAGGGAAACTGGATACCTTGGAGTCTTCGAAGACAGTTAGATTCAAGGAGTCAAAATTGATCGTGCTGGCACCTGCTGATTCACATCGTTATTATCAGGATAATACCACCTAAATTACGAATTTCGAAATAGTTAATCGAACATGACTTGCTATATAAGGTTCAGTGGTTGCAAGTTTGTATTAAACCTAACAATGCTCATTACGGAAATTTTGTCAATGCTTGTCGCATCTAGAGGTTGAAATACAAAACAAAAGAAGAAAAACAAACAAAGAACACAGGCCGCTCTGTCAAATTTTAAATGAAGCAAGCGGCGTTTTCTAAAAAATTTGAATATCTATGGATTAGCTCTTTTTAATTCAAACTAATTTTGAGAATTTTATATTTGCAATAGACCGTATATCGTAGTTTAACCCGTGTTAAGCTTTTGAGTTTCATTTATCGTTCCGTTTTCATTTCTTCGGCAATTTGAAACATTTTTCCCAGAATGTAGACGATGAAGACAGCAATGAAACGTTTTACGGGCTTTGAGCTCAGTAATAAATTGAAAAAAAAATTCAATGATTCAGCCAAAGTTTTATGATAGACTAAGTAATTAATACCTTCTCGCATTTGCTTTGCATCTACAATCCGTTTTTCCTCGAAAAGAGATGCTAAGGAAGCAATTCCATTCTGCACGATTGCGTGGTATTCATTCGCTCCTCGCCATTTAAAGATTTATCCAACAAACTTTAATACTCAAAGGAACAAAACGCATACATTTATTTAGCTGAGAACGTCATAGTCGAGTATTACTAATGCAAGTTTTCCTCGATGAAATTAGAGGCCATGACAGATTGTCACCCCAAAACACCAATATGAAAAGACTACTGAAATAATCTCTTGCAAGGCTACACTTCACTCTGTGGGAAAACACTTGACAAGAGATCTTATATGCTAATAAGGCGGCAATTTCATCTAAATGACTTTGTTTACTTCAAAGACTTATGATAATATATTGAGATTCTTAGACAAAATAGTCGCAATCAAGACGTTTTTACATCTCTCTTTCTGTAAGCTTTTTTCAACATAAAACTGTTGTTTTGGGAATGATAATGATGCTTTTAGGGAAAGGTGTTTAGAATTCACAAATAATTTTTCGTTATTATGAATAAATTTCATTTGTAGATCGATGTCTGTAGTCCATCTCGCTTCAAAGTGTACCCCTGGCATTTAAGCAGCCGGAGAGAATCTGCGACAAAATGGACTTGAAATTATGCCTGAGGTTTCAATTTCCTTTAACGTTAAGTCGGCGGATTTTAAACACTGCGAGAGAGTGCGTCTGTTTTGTTTTTTAACTTTGACACTTTGTGTCTGGTCAGTTCTATTTAGAATGTAATTTAATGAACGTACAAAAAAGAGCACAATTTGCTTGCAAGGTCAACTGCATAAATGGCAATTTCTATTTCACTCAGGTTGGTCGGGGTCGATTGTAGAGGTGACATTACTGTCACCTTCCTGACTCGTTTTGAAGCCAAAGAGACCTCGGAATGTATTTGCATAATTGAAAATCAACTGCTGGTAAATGTCGAAGTGACTTCAACCCAGCTTTGCATCTATCGATGGTGATTTGCTGTCATCAGCTGAGATGAATAGCAGTGCTGGTGCCTCTTTCTATCCAGTGAAAAACTCGTTAAAATTAGTTTGTTCTTATGATGTGTATCAATTTGATTTACGACTACTGACTTCTAGGGGAGTTAGCTGGTTAGTCAGTTGACCTATGAGCGAGTTAGCATATGTGTTAGTACACTGCAAGCCAGTTATGCAAGCAAGTTGACCCATATGAGAATTCGACCATGAGCAACTTTACTTCTGGGTGAGTCAACCCATTACACTAGTGATTCGAGTTGTGGGCGGGTTGACCTGTTGGTGAATCGAGGTGTAGGCGAGTTGACCTCTTGCGAATTAGTTTGTGAGTAAGTGAACTCTTGCGCTGGTGAAAAATAGTTACTTCAGTTCATTTACTCAGCCACTGATGTCATGTTATCTTTGTGAAATCCATAGTTATTCATGCTCAAGTAAGTCGCGTTGGCTTCGCCTTCCGTTGGAGTGTAATTGTCAATGTTCCCTTGATGCTGCGTTTTTCGAGGGACACATCCGGGACACGGAGGTCGACACTTATATTCTTCGAGGGCCATCATAATGGAATTAAGAACACTCGAGACGACGCACAAGCCCAAAATTAAATAAAATGTGAGAAACAGGCCTTCGAAAATAGCAAAAGTGGTTCTTTCTCCGTCGCTTGGTTTATTGTCGTTGTCTTCGTGAGTAAAGTTATTTGGAGTTAATTGCCTGATCCTTTGTGGAAGTCCTGGCACGTAGTCACCAAATCCGATTGTAGAAAATGTTATGAACCAGAAATACGCACCCGTGACAAAAGACCAATTTAAAAAATATACTAGCAACAGGCTGCTTAACACTATCAACAATAACATCATCATAAACAGAATTAGAGCACTTTTTGCTTGCAACTTTTTGGGCTCAGGCCTCTTTAAGATTTTCCTCTCAAACTTTGTAACAAATGTGGCCACACCTTTGGCGATGAGTTCACCGACGGACTTAAATGCGAGCAAAGTGATGGGAATCCCCAGTAACGAGACGAAGATGCAAAGCAATTGACCTGTCTGTGTCTGGGGAGTGATGTATCCATAGCCTATATGAAACGGAAAAAAAGGAACAAATAGATCGGTGAAAAGATATTAAACGAATTGTTTGTGTGCTTGACTTCAGACCATATGTCAGTGATTATTGTGCTGTGTTATTCTATAGTAACTCGTTCCTCCGGAGTATAAAACAGGAGAACTTGACTAATTACTAAGGGTACTGAAAGTTGTCTGCGATGGATTAACATCCCACCCATGAGTAGAAGCAGCACTCTCAGCGCCTTTAAAGCAGTTGTCAACTGAAATTTTGCTTCATTATGCTCTGTGATTGGTCTAGAAAACTCGCATCAACCACTTAGTCAGTCAGTTGCAAAAATAAACCCAATCGCGACTTGGTCACATGCGTTTCCCCGCGCTTCATGCAATTTGCTTGTTATAGCTTCGAGTTATCATCGTTATTTTTCCTTTTTTCTGATAAGCTGTCTAGTTTCACCCAATTGAAGTTCACTTTGTGCCATGAGAAAATTAGGGCTAGGCTCACGCGACAGAGAGGAGTAGTGGGCCAGTAAGCGTGTGAGACTCAATTAACTTCAGGAAAAAATTGTAGGAAAACTTCATGTACCACCTTATAGAGGCGAACTTGCGGGATACATTCTACAACTTATTGTATACTTCGGCTTACCAATGGTGGTCAAAGACTGAAAAACAAAAGCCATCGCATTGGAGTATGTCCATTGTATCTTGGGCTGGCTCAAAGCCTCGTATGCGGAATTGGAGATGTTATTAAACTCCTCTATGCTCATGTTGTATTTAGACGCGAGAAAATCGTACAGAGAGAGCAACAACTGATATTTTTCTTCTTTTTCGTCTGCTTCCTTGTATTCGACCACAACAAACAACCAAGCACTGAGTGAGACCCAAAGTAAGAAGCCAAGAGTTCGAAGAAGCACTGCTTTTACTAGGAGGTTCATTGTAAGTCTTAACAACTGCAATAGCTGAAATGAAGAAGCATAAGTTTTGAGTACCATACAATATTTGATGAGCTGGAGTAAGTCCAGCCAAAATATTCAATTTAATTAAATGAGATTGAGTAATTAACCAGGTGTAAATTTGCAAAGTTTTACACCATTGTGACCCATTGTGGGTTTAGTGACTGTTTACGTTTTATTAAGGTTCAGTTGCCATTTCCGTTGCACATCCTTGTTTGAGTTACTTTTGACTTCTAAGTTTTTATTGTGGCTGAAAAATTACGACAGTTTTTTCATGGCATTTATAATTTTCCAGAGTGTTAATTACCTGTACTATGACTGACGTCCACTTCCAGAAGCTCCTCGTTAAATCAACATTTTGGCGCACGCCAATGGAACCTGTCTCTTTCATTTTTTTCCTTTTTTCAAATATACTCAAATCGTTTTTAAGGGGATAAAATTTATACACCTTACATTTTTCCATTCAATTCAGAATGTGTCAAAATTATAGAGGCTTTAGATTAGGCTTTCACTTGTTTTCATTTGTGTCCTCGATAAAAACTTTCAATTAAATGATATTTGAGTGAAATCCGGAGAGCTTGGGAGCCGCAGGCAGGGAATAAGCTGAGTATTAATAGCTACATGTGCGTAAATCCATCGGAAGAGCTTTCTCATGGCTGTAATTTATTTAATACAGTTCACAGTTACCAGTGTTTGCATGGAATCGATTCGCAATGCAGGGGATATGTAGATTTATTGCCTTTGTAACTTAGTATAATTAGAACGATCGGATCAATAGGGAATTCCAAAATTATACTTATATAGAATTGTTTCATGCATAAAAAGTTTTCTTAAGCTGCTTTCACCTAAACACCATGGCTGGAGAGATACCGGCAGTTATCGGTCGAAGCTTCCCAAATTGGTTGAAGTTCCTTCTGAAGCTCACTTTCATAAACAAAGCTACTGAATGTCACTTGCATTCATAATCTATCGACACTGATGGCTTTTTTAATCCAGAGCAGAATTCTGCGTTAGTTTTGAGTTTCAAAATCGAGTTATCTTGAAAATTTAGGGAAACAAAGTTGATAAGATACACTGCGTCTGAGAGACGCATAACGATCTTTGTCATATTTCAACCAGTGTGAACGCATTTCTACCCGATGAAGCTAGAAAGTTTATACTTCTTTCTTGACACTCACCTTTCCACAATTAAAAAACGTCGGAGTTTGTGCCCAAGTTAAACGCTTATAAGTCCCGTAGCTGACTGATAAGATAGTGGCCTGCCATTAACAACGGTAATAAAGGTTCATATAAGTTATGAGGTTGCCATCACATTATTATAGAAAAGTTTTCTCTAGGTTCAAAACGTGTGCAAACGACCTTGCATCAATTAACAGTAGAAAGAAACTTCACCCACAGTACGATGCACGAAAGAGATCTCGTTAGCAGAATTGCACAACAATGTCAAAACATTACCTTTAGGTTATTTCAGCCCTGCAGCTGCTGTAATTTTGCATTTCAAAGGTAGCGTACATGACAACAAAAACTACATGTTTTAGCAATTAGGTGGAAAACATTTATCTGCTCGCAGCTGCAATGTCCTTGAAAATTCAAGGATTGAATACTGATTTATGCTGGCAGAAGATCCTAGATCCAACAAGGAATATTTGAAATGTTTATGTTTGGCCATCGGTGAGATAAGTTTGACTCATGATTCGAAAATGAAGGATTATCGCGAGTAAATTTTTGCGCCAAATAAGTTAATGTTTTTGAAAACACCAGAAATTTACATTAACAAACTTTAGATGGGGCAACAGAAGTTAATGTACTAATTTATGATATGTCTCGTCTGCACAGAAGAATCGAGAAAGCCTGATACATATTTTATTTCTTTCAAAATCGTCCAAGATTATGTAACAACTTGATTGCTGAAGAACGCTAGTATTTGCTGTGATCAGGCTCATCAAAGACGTAATAGCTGTAATTTTTAAAGTGGCGGGATTTTTAAGGAACTGAAGAACCATGCTTAACCATAGCGTAATTAACTTTGAATCATTTATTTTTAAATAAAAAAAGCCATTTCTGCTTTGAACCGCTTCAAGCAATGGAGATTTTTTCCAATCCAAAGCAAGCCTATAACGGATCTTATTGCGGCTGCTTTTTTAAGGAAAAAAGTTGTACTCTCCTTGCACTTATGTATGTTTATTTTCATCTTTAGGGCATTTCCTCATCTAGTGCAATACTTAACAACTGGTGTCTTGCTCGACAGAACTAATGGTGTGATACCATAGATAATCTCTACACTCTAAGTAGTTGTAAGTAGTAACACAGGCCTATTTTAGCTGGGAGTAGGAAAACGTGTGTGCTCGGCACTCATGTTTCAAACTTACACCAAACGTTCTAAATACGCATTTTACGGAGCAATATGCTCCAGAACTGTTTATATCTGCTATTAGAAGGTTTACCACCTAAAGCAGCTAAACAAGTCTTCATTTATTACCATAAGATTAGTTTGGTAGTTTAATTTGTAAATTAGGCAATGGTTGTGTAGGGGTTGGTACACGAATTGTTACTTCAATTCAAACTTTGCCGAAAACGGCATGACTACTATACATAAAACTTGAACACTTAGACCTCTCCTTTAGATTATGCGTCACTTAAGTTCGGTTTCCGAGAAACATAGGAAGTTAGTTTTCTTTTGAAAATCATGAGTTCCAAAGGATGAAAACACCGTGTTATTTTCACGCCTCTCAGTAGATTCGCTTTGTTCCTTCTCCGCGTGGTCCTGGGTCTTTGCAGAGATACATCCGGAACACGGAGGGTGGCATCTCCGTTTTTCCATGACAGCCATGATAGAATTGATTACACTGGAGACGATACATAACGCTAATAAAGCAGGGAACAAACCGACAAGAACGGTAATAATTTTACTTGTGCTTCTCTTACTGTTTTCATTTATAGAGATGTTCAGAGAGAGCTGTGTAAACTTTCGGGGCTCCCGTAAAACGTAGTCTCCAAATCCGATTGTGGTAAATGTCACAAACCAGAAATAAACACTTTCAACGATAGACCAATTGCGGAGAGGCGTCGATAAAAAACCGGCTGTAAGAATCGAAATTATCATGATCGAAAACAGGACCATCGCAGTCTTGATCTGCATATGCTTTGGTTGCAGCGTCTTGAGGAACTTCTTTTCAAACTTTGTGATGATTGTGTTCACCCATTTGGCAATGAGCTCGCCCATGGATTTTAACATGAGCAAAGTAATGGGAATTCCAAGTAAAGAGATGAAAATGCACATCACTTGGCCAGATGGTGTTTGCGGAGTGATGTTACCATAACCTGTAGAAAAAAGTGTAAAGATCTTATGCACATTGCTATCTTTTCACCATTATCTCTATAACTATTTTCATTTTCCGGAACCTTTTATATTGCATCCCAAGAGTTTGAATTTGGTCATTGTGGTACAGATGCTTGTTTATCAATTAAAGAAAGATCATTGTTATATGTTTGTTCGGCGCTTCAAATATATCATTTTAATTTTTCCTGTAGTTTCTTATTCTTTTGATCATAAACATAAGGTCAGAATCGTTTTTCTATGTTTTCTTTTGGTGATAATTTTTTCTTCTGCAATCTTTCGTTCAACAAACGCCCATGTATATTTTCTTATGAGCGGTGGTTTAAAAAAAACTCGGTATTGAGCCATCACCGCTGATTCGAAAGGATTGTACTCAACAATCTCGTTTCTGTTTGTTTGTTTATTTTTATCACGAAGCATTTATTTCTATAACACTGATCAAAGCTGAGAAAAATATTGCTGAAATAATTTCACGTTTTAAATCATTTCAGTTGAGATCGGTAGTCTACTGGGTGTACGGTATCACTTTCCTCACCGATCGTAGTCCAGGCGTGGAATATGAACAGTATTGCGTCCAGATAGATCCATTGCGGTTTAGGCTCGCTCAAGGCCTCGTGTGCTGTTCTCGAAATATTGTTGAACTCTTCAATGCTCATATTGTATTTAGACTCCAGCGACTCATAAAGCGATAACAATAACTTGTATTTTTCCTCTTTGTCATCCTTTTCCTTGTACTCAACCGCAACAAACAGCAGAGCACTAATCGAGCCGAGCAACCAGAAGACTAGACAACGAAGAAGTGCTGTTTTTAATAGCGGGTCAAAACTCATCTTTTTCACCTTCTTCACCTTCTTTGAGGCGATTGACTGTAGAAAGAAAGTAACAAACACATTATGAACTGTGATTTAACTTTTTCGGCATGTGGTCCGGAATACAAATCATTTAGATCTCCTGTTAAGCTGGTGATTACCCAATCATTAGTTTGACCAAGTAGGCTGTCGATCATCTTGCGTTCAATCGCGTGTGGAGCTTATATTTTAAAATTGGTCTCCAACCTCTTTAAAGCCTCCAAACAGTTTTAATCATCTTTTCAATTACTTACAAATAAGCTTTGGATTGTTTTAGTTTGAATTCGTGTTTACCCTCGTACAGTGAAAAGAAAGAGGAGTATTGAGCTGACTCCAGAAACTCTCACTGTTTGTAAATTCGGTCAAGCTCATTCAGTTTCCATGCTATTTTTGTTACCTTTCAAAACCATCCTTGACTACCTAGGTATAGACTTAGCCACATACCTCGGTATAGTTAAACTACGGTCCATTTAAACTAAGTCATTAAATCGGTTGGCTCGGACTGCCTGCTAATGTACATATATGTTTCGGGGCTCCTTTTGTACTGAATCATTGGGAATCTCAGCGGGCATCCAGTTTCTTGAGAGCATAATGAATATTGATTAGATAAATATTGCCTTTTGCGGGTCGTTGCTATCATTTTTTGTGCGTCGATAACGTTTCTATTACCGGGTGTTAAGATGAATGAGATCACTAATTTAAAAATAGTTTACTTTAATGAAGAAAGGAGTGACAGTTAAGTTAAAGAAGCCAGAAAGAATATTTAAAATCGACAAGAATGACCAAAAAGTTGTGTATTGCATTGAATCATTTTCAATTTGTGAACAAAATCAATGTTTCCACTTCGAAACGACAGGGAAGGCCAAGGTACAAAACCAAGAGAATATCAACTGTTGAGATCTTGACAAAACTTAAGAGCCAATGTTAGCACTGATGTATCAGACAAACTGCGGCAATTCACTCAAAGTTCGATTTCACTCCTACTTTCATATTTTGTAGCCCAATATGTCCTAATAATTGTGTTGTAGTTTTTTTGTGAAAATTTATTTTAATTTTCGAGAAATTATTTTTTTTCGTTCGACCGCTCAAATATGCAAATTTTCACCGTGAAGATTACCCGAGTTGTGTGACCTCATGTGACGAATATATTTAGTATATATATAGACGGTATTTCTTCAACATAATCCTTTGTTTTATCTTCTAAACTTAATCCCCTGTCATTACTAAAGCTGGCGAAGAAATATTTATTTTTTGGATGAATATTTTTCCGACATACTTTTCCTATGTCGAATAGTAGCATCAAAACAAAACAGTTTTTACAATGACCGATTAGACAGAACTTACTGAGCTTCAAGCTTTTGACAGACAAAAGGATGGTTAAAAATTTACTGTAGACATTTCCATGTGTATTTGTGTTGTTCTATCGTGAGACGAACTCAAAGTCCAGCAAAATTTACTAGCTAGCGACTATGAAATATACATTGCACCTACTTGTCGCCACCGTTTACTGGTATAAATTATTAAAATTTGTAAGAAAAATCAAACATAACACTCTTACCTTGTTTATTTATGATTTTATTAGCTGTTTCGATGATCACGTTATGCTCTACCACATTCTAGCCAGATTTGAGTTCCAGTTTATATATCTTCTCCATCTTATTATATCAGTTGCATGACAAGCGTGGCACAGACAAATTCAAAGATGATTCAACCTCCGAAATACCAAGAGATGGGTATTTTTTCCTCTTCGCATGATATCTAGAAAAACCTTTCAGGAATTAATGCATTCAGAAAACTAAAATGTCCAGATCCGTCGATGACTCCTTTACCGGTTCAAATCAACTGGCGGATATGGACCCTCCTTCGCAGATTTGGAACCCCCCACCAAACTTTCCTTTTAAGCATCGTTTGTATCATATTTTGTAACTAATTCTATTTGCAAGCTTTTTGTCGATGTTCTTTTCAATCACAACACAACATTCCTCATAAAGGTAAAGAAAAACCAGCCATTTCGTTCCAATTCTGCCGCATTTATAATAGCGAGTCGTGCAGTATACGCAAGAATTAGATGCGAACAAACTACTGTATTCGAACTATTGAAATTGTAACAATAAATCTTTGCTTCTTCTGATGCGAATCAACATTAATACGAAACGTCATAACATTAGTGGAGACTATTGCGTCCAGTCACAAAAATACCTCAGACTGATTTTCTAATTAAATAACATTAAACAGTTTCTGAACTAGAACGAAGTAACTACTCCTACTACAAGTCGTTCGTAAAGCCTATGATAAGTAAAAGTGTTTCTTCTCTAAACTGTTGGAACTCTCAGCTAATTTTCAGATGCAAATCAACATTAATGTTTACGTCTTAACAAAAGTAGAGATTATTACATCGAACTCAATCTTATTTTCTAATTTTAACGATCATTAACTGTTGAGGGATCTGAAATAACAAACTCGCACTGTACCATGTCGTCCCAACACTCGGGCATTGAACATTAACAAAATAAATTAGTGTCACAAGTTTGTCTCTTACTGAATCTAGCATTGTTCGACTATCGCGGAAAAGGTTCAAAAACGACCTCTCTCCAAACATTGAACTAAATGCTTGCGCATTTTCTCTCGGTCAAAAGAAACATCCGACGGGTTATTTCGAGCTGCCAGTTCGTATGCATTGGCGATACGCATGTTTTGAATTAAAAACATACTGAAACGTAAAGTAATATCTACGATCTATTTCTAAGAGAATGTTAAGGATGATGTTTGCACTCAATTCTGTTGGGGGGTTCAAAATCGGTGGAGGGGGGGTCCATATCCGCTAGCGGATTTGGACCGAGGGTTCCATTTCCGCCAGGACACCGGCGGAAATCAAAGAATGGTTACAAAAGTCAATTTGATTGACAAGCTACATACTGATCATGATTTAGCTAATTGATCAGTTGTATAAGCGTCTCACCTTACATGCTAGCATGGAGATTTGCTGTTCATTTAAATCATTCGCTAGTGGAACTGGTGGGTTTAGTTATCGAGAAGACCGAAGTTGCACACCTCAAGTCGTTCCCTTGCATAGTTGTAAAAAAGACATTTCAAGTCACTTGCGGAGTTGCAAGTTTTCAGCCCCAGAAAATGAAGTTGATCTTATTTTGTCGCGTGCCGGCATCTTCGAGACGCTAACAGATATCGATGATTTAACAATGTTGGGTGGAGTCGTGGTTCCAATAGTAGATGTTGGGTGTCCGGCCATAGTAAAGGTAGGATTAAGTCGATTCCAAACGCAGATAGGGGAATTAACAAGTGAGTATCACAGATAGTACAAAAGATGTCTGGAAAATTCATACAGCCTGCCTCCAATAAGTAGGCTTCTTACCACCGTGAACAAAATTACGCGTCCCGTCAGACCTAAGTATCGATTGGGAATTGGTCAATAGGCTACCAAAAATCCAGACAGAAGCCGAGTTTTCTATACAATTGTCTGAACACTTTGATGCACATGGTGGTAAAGGACCCTTCCGCACAAGCTACTAGACGCTGACAAAACTTGAACTCTCAGAAAAACTCACATTAAAATTTGTCCTTGCTAAATTTCAAGTGTGCTGCACGTGTCATCACCCCACAGTGAACACCTTTACATAAGAGGGCGGGATTGCGTGTCGGGAATTTCGAAAACGACCCCTATAAAATTATAAATGGTACCTGAGTCTTATCTGTGTGGGAGTGGCAACGATCTATGTCTGCCCTAAAAAGTACCAATTCAAAAGCAAAAAAAAGAAAAATTCCAAAAATAAAAACTCCTTGGTCGATATGCTCTAGAGGCTCAAGTCAGTTCATTAAAATCGTCCTAGTAATGCTTATGTCAGGTATTTTGTTGAGCTAAAAACACCCTAAAACGTACCAGCTAGGTCTCAGGTAGTCAACTAATGTTTGAGACACCGTGAAAGGTACCAGATCGCTGATTTTGACCCCAATCCGTGATTGTTGCGTGACTAGCTTATAAATTGAATGGGGGAGGGTAAAACGCAACGCAAAACCTAGGCTCCTGTCAAAAAGTAATACCCAGGCGTAATATAATAATCGAGACAGCTAATAAAACCATAAATAAACAAGGTAAGAGTGTTATGCCAGATTTTTTTACAAATTGTTGTAATTTATGCCAGTAAACGGTGGCGACAAGTAGGCACACCATGTATATTTCATAGTCGCTAGCAAGTGAATTTTGCCGGACTTTGAGTTCGCCTCAAGATAGAACAACACAAATACACAAGGAAATGTTTACAGAAACTTTTTAACCATCCTTTTGTCTGTTAAAAGCTTGAAGCTCAGTAAGTTCTGTCATATCGGTCATTGTTAAAACTGTCTTTGTTTTGATGTTACTTTTCGACATAGGAAAAGTATGTCAGACAAAAATATTCACCCAAAAAATAAATATTTCTTTGCCAACTTCAATAATGACAGGGGATTAAGTTTAGAAGATAAAACAAAGGATTATGTTGACAGAAATACCGGAGGTCAAGTATATTCGTCACATGAGGTCACACAACTCGGGTAATATTCACGATGAAAATTTGCATGTTTGAGCGGTCGAACGAAAAAAATAATTTCTCCATAACTGAAATATATTTTCACACACACAAAAAAACTACACCAATTTTTGGGAGACTTGCCAAAATATTCCAAATTTGTTCGATGGATGCTGACTTCCTCTCTTAAGATAAAAAATATTATTTCTTTATAACACAACAAATACAGGCTTAGAACAGGATCCCTACTTCAAGGGTGTTCTGTCGCAATTGATTTGTAATAACCGTCGTGCTTTGTAAGCCCTGACTCTCTTTAAAATTGTCGCACTTTTTTAAAACCACTTATTGCTCTTTGTGACAACACTGTATCATGACACTGTGCACTGTGTCATAGCACAGTCTCACTTTTGTAATAGAAAAGCTGTCGCTCCTTGTAATATAAAAAGCTGTCGCACCTTGTAATACAATAATTTCTCGCACTTTTTGATAAACTAGGGAAAGTATACTCAATGATAGCTGTTATTCCTGTCAAAAATAATAATAATTGTCCTCCGACCATCTATACCGAGTTTATCAAACAAAGTCCGACATTCTTGTCACAAATTGCTACGATTATTACCAAGTGCGACGACTTTTAGAAGTGCAACAATTTTTACAAAGTGCGGCAAAACGGAATGTCCCAAACTATAGACTTACACAGGGTTACAGGATGCATTATTCTTTCATGTGATAAACATAAACTGGACTAAAAAAGAGGCGTCAGACAAGCTATTAAAAGGTGTTTTGTTAAATTTTCTTTGTAAATGAAGGATTAATCTTATCTGCATTTATTTCATTGTTTTCGTCTTTATGCTCAGACTGAGAAACTTCTTATATAAGTAAATACCATTTCTCGGCTCAATCTCAGGCGAAGCAAATATTCAACGAGGCAAATTTTCTGCCAATTTCTTTCTTAACACTTAATCAATATAAACATTCAAGTTGTCCACCATAATGTATTCGAATATTTGACATAGGCATAATATTAATTTTATTGGTAGGAAGTTCCACCTTTGTAAAGTTAAATATTCAGAATGATCGTCTAATAAGCTGTGCTGCTATAAGCATTGCATCGAGTAAAAGTGTTATTGTGAATGTTATAACCCCTTTCCTGATTACGACGCTTCGAATGATTTCTGGTTGAACAAACTCGCCACGGAATTGTAGGAAAAGTATTACCGTTGTCAAATCATTTTTCATTAGTACATGCCTGTGTTACTCAGACCCAGACTGTGTATTTCCAATTTACTGATAAAATGATTTATACCTTTAACTCACCATTTATGAAGGAAGTTAACTCCAAATCTTCGGTGAAAACGATCTAAAAGCGTCGTTGTTGAAACGAGTTAAACCAGCAGTAAACTTGAAACAAAATCCGACTCTGATATTAATTTGCAAAAACAACAAGCCAATCATGGAAGGTTAGCTAAGTGAACTCCTTAAGTGAAATTCCCTGGCTTGGTACTCGATGAGAATCTCAAATAAATTTGACTTTCTCCCTAATATCACCATGCAAGTAAGACAATTTAGCTCTTAACAGAGTGCTCAAGCACAGTACTCTTTGCATTATACTCACACTTATCTATTGTTTTGCCACGCACCTGCTGTCTAAAATGACATTTCCATCTTCCTCCCGACATAACCACCTGCGTCGTTAACCTGTCTGTCTCTGGCAGCCAATTTAATTCGTTTTCTTCTAGGCATAAATTCAGCCCTGAGGCAGTAACTGATGATCCCTTGACTCAAAACAAGATTGACGACCAGAAACTTGGTCGTAGGGTTTACGCAACTAAAGATGCATAAGCAAGATTGTCTTTCACCTCAATTCCAGATATTTGTGTTTCAAATATAGGTCTTCTATTAACGTAGTCATAGCCTTGAGTGACGTTTCGTCCCTGCCAAGCGATAATTTTTGTCTATATTCGCGCCCTTATTCCTCACTCTGTGTTGCGATGAACATAGATACTTATGTAGGCTCAGGAATTAAGTAGATAAAGCTTCTTGCAAAAGTACGTTCTCAAGTTCATAACGTACACACTGTGTCACGCACTCGAGTATTGAGTCAAGAAAAGATTTCAATTCAGTGTCGAATGTAGTCCATGATTAGTTGAGTTTTGCTTTTCTTGGATCCTTAAATGATTAAGAAAAGTCTCGACATTCTGTCAGCCGATCAGATAGAAGACTCCAAAAGGACAATGAAACAATCGCGACTTGCCCTCTTTTGCGTTTTCCCGTATCTTTGGCCGATTGGTAAAATTTTCCTTATTAGCTGATTGGCCTTTGTGACTACTTCGATTGAATGCATTCTGAAATTACCAATAATCATTTTGATGACACATGAGCAAACAGGAGCCAATAAAATAAATATATACTAATAATAACTAGCAATTTTTTTAAGGAGCATCGTGAGCAAATAAATCAATTAAGTTTACCCACAGAAACTGGTCAAACATATTATTGAATATGTTATACTCATATGATGTTATATGTTATATAACATATAATTATATTGTTAAACATTTAACTCATTTTGAATAAGGAAATGAATCTAAGCAAAACGATATGAACACTGGGTTCAACTTTTTCAAGTTAACGATCGGGTACATTCCCGAATAGAACCGTGCGGAAGGTTACCTAGTCAGATTGATTATTATGGATACTTGACACATCTTCTCCTCCTTCGTGCACAGTCAGTGCAGCTCCTCTTACTTGGACTTCAGAGGTTCCTTATCATCGCGTTTTCCCTTTTTCTCACTAGATGGACTCCTGTGTATTCTAAACTAAGACGAGTGATTGCACACAACCAAAATTTGCTAACCAGTGTTATTGTGAATTACTGTGATATCTCCTTTTGGAGCCCATAATTTTCCAATTCTATAAATGTATTTTCGGCCTCTTCCTTATCAGGAATGTCGCATTTGTCACTTCCAACGTGGTTCTTGTTTTTTCGAGGGACACATGTGGAGCACCGAGGCCGCAATCTCCTTTCTTCCAGAACCTTCACGATGGAGTCCAGTACACTTGACACGATGCAGAGGCCAATCAAAGTTGAGGTGTAATAAGCGATGCCGATAAAGAACATAGAAGGTGTGTTAAGTGATTCGTTGTTAGGAGAATTTTTGGAGTTTAAAGAGGGGGTGGCCATTTCTTGTCTGTGTGGTATGTAGTCACCGAAGCCAATCGTAGTAAAGGTTACAAACCAGAAATAAATTCCTTCAACGTATGTCCAACTAATTACGATGTTAAGCATCATTGTGTAGGACAGTAGTATGATTATCATTATAGAAAACAGTATTATGGCACTCTTCGTTTTAACGTGTTTTGGTTCCTCTCTTTTCAGTAGTCTCTTTTCCACCTTCGTGACGATCGTTTCAACGCTCCTTGAAATAAGTTCTCCAATAGATTTCAACATGAGCAAAGTCATTGGAATCCCGATGAAACAGACAAAAATACACAGCACCTGACCAGAGGGTGTTTGAGGAGTGATGTATCCGTATCCTGAAGAATGAAATTAGAACGAAATTCGAGCATTAACCCTTTACACCCTAACATCAGTATCCATATTCTCCATACTGTTCTTTATACATTTTATAAGGTGCTGACAGGGAGAATTTGCATACCAGTCAAAATTCATTTCCTTTATTTTCATAACCTCATCGTGTGATTCAGAGGTGATAATGTAGGGAAATATTTGATGCCAGTCACTCTAGGGTTTAAAGGATTAAGACTTCAAACTTAAAGATAATATATAGATTTAGCCAAGCCTAAAAGAGGAGCTCGCATTTTTTTCCCGCACGTCTAAAGGGCACAACGCCTTGCCCCGGCCAGGACTAGAAACCGGGTCGTCCGACTCGGAGCCCAGTGCACTAACCACTGGACTACTGGACAAAGCGTGCCCGCGGTTGACCACGCATGTTAAAAGTAGCACCTTGTACGGTCGTACATCCAAATTTTTTCGGCTCGATGGGTTACTACTATTTTGTATAATTATTGGGCTACGCTCTGCGAGCTCCGCTATAATACTGAAACTGCTGCTTACTTGGTGAAGCCTTTTTTGTCAACATGCGTACTAAGAAGTTGAAAATGCATTACTGAAATGTTTTTCAAGCTGCCATCAGTTATGTGGTGGAATGATGGATGCTGATTAAAAGAATTCTAAGTTAATGTTCTTGAGTTGTGTTTCGAGGATCTGAATTCTATTTTTTTTTAACAGCTTAGACTTCGTTACACGATACCAAAACTAGCGTAGTATACCATACCCTCGGTTACGATGATTTGAGTTACCTGGACTTCTAGTTTGTTTAGGTAGTAATTATTTTAATCACTTCACAATATGATAACTAAACAGTCGTTGGATATAAGGTTTATAAACGTCTTTTTTTTTAACAAATTTACCAAAGTGCACCCTGACTCACTCGTATAAACTTCACTTGTGCTTCGTGTAATTAAACCATCTTTATCACAGGAGCCAGTGACTATATTTCTTTGGAAGATTGAAATCCACCAAGACAGATATGAAATTATTTCCATTTAGCTAAATAACACATGAAAATCAGGTCGAACTGAAACCGGCAGAACTGTAGTCCAATACCGCACTGTGTTTTTCACTGTTTCAACCTCTTAGAGTTACCATTATTAATTCAATTATTAACAAAGTTAATACAGTATGTGGGAAATGTGTCTCCAACTTTTTTGTAAGAAAAATAAAAAAATTTATAGAAACAACTTTGTCTAATCTTGGCTGTTAATGCTTCCAATTTTCATGTCAATATTTGAATCAAGTCATTGAAAGGGTGGCAGCGAAGTTACAGAGTACATCGCTCACCGAAATTGTTTCAAACCTATTTTCACTGAAAGATATTCAGTTATTAAGTTATGTGGGTAATAACTGACTTAAAATGATATTCATTCGTTACGGTATTTCGAATAAAAAAAAAACTGAGATAAATTTCACCTGAAAAGCCAGCATTAATATTCAAATATCATTTGGGAATCTGGGGTTTAGATAAATTGGAAAGCTACCAGATAACGTCTTTCTCTTTCATAGGTCTATTTAGGTAAGGAAATGTATAATGTATTTCATGTGGCCTTACCAATTGTAGTTAACGCTTGGAAAACGAAGTCAAATGAAGCCACGTAGGTCCATTCTGGTTTGGGCTCACTCAATGCCTCGTGCACTTGTTTGGTAAAGTTATCAAACTCCTCCGTACTGACGTTACATTTAGAGTTCATGAAAACGTACAAAGAGACTAACAACCGATACTTTTCTTCAGCTTCATTTTTTTCTGTGTACTCCACTTCATGGAACACCCACGCACTTAATAAGATCCACAGTAGGAAGCCAGCAGCTCGAAGAAGAACTAATTTTGTCAACATATCCATCCTCAAGAAAATTGCCTCTTATTAGCTGCTTTCTTGTTTCGAATTTTGAGAGGAGTATTTCGACCACAAAGAAGGATACACGTAGCGCTGAAATTTAGGAAAATATCGAAAGTAGAGTGCACTAGTCAAACATGTAGCAGCAGTGCTGGAAACACAAAGGCACTGTCGGCCAACGGCTATTTTTTTGGAATAGTTTATGACCTCCGTTTCAAGCCCTACCGGTGCTCAATTCCATGAACACGGAATATTTTAAAACTTGTCAAACCTTCGTAACACTGCTGTATCTATTTCAGTTCAAGAGCATTATGCATATGTTCTCTGTAAATTGAACTAACCGAAATTTGAGCACAAGAGAAGGTTTCAAAACTCTTAAAAAGCTAATATGCCAATATTCAAACTACTGAGCACCATTACCTTCTTTGGTGGTTTTAAAAACTTACTTGATTTTCTATTCATAAATGAACTTCATTCAACTGGCATTCAGCGTAATCCGTATAAAGAAGCTGTTGTTCTTCACTTGGTAACATGATATATGTGTATGTAGAAAACGAAGTAAAATGATGGTGGTTGAAACATTACGCTTTCAATCCGTGGAATTCAGTATGCCTTTCATTGCTCTGCAAGACAGATCTTTTGTTTGGTAGTCTCCTGTCTCTGGTCGAATTAATCATTTATCGCCTCGAACCTGTCGGTGAAATTACGAGACCTTTGCATCAGACTGCAAATGTATGGCCACTGTATAGCATTTGATTGGTTGGAATCACTTAGCTTGTATTACCCTAAAATGCATAAGTCCCAACTTTTGACAGGAATAACAGTGATGGTAAAGCAAGCTTAAAACAGCAGAAATCGCCAACACCGAGTCACACAACGCGTGACGCATTCATGAATAATCGTTGGCTTTTTCTCGAGACGTGAGCTTGGACCGCCTGTGATTAGACCGCGGGATTTCCCAAATCAATGTAATCCAATGATTTGAACTTACGAGAGTACCTTGCAGGCGTAATGAAAGGACTTTTTGCGCTTTTATAATATGTTAGTTTTAACTCAAGGTTTTCGCTTTTTCAAATTTCGTCTTGTTCTAAGCTACGAGTCTTAAATAATGTAAAATCCCAAATTTTATGCCTAAAACTATGAACTTACTGAGGGCAATGATTTTGATGTCAGCCAGCAATCTGATTAACCACAACATTAATAGTAACTGCTATGGGGTAGAAACCCCACTGAAAAATTGAAACTGGCGGACTAAGGATTGTCGTACAAGGAAAACGTTTTAGGAATATTAGTTGCGATGATTAGTTACTTATTTTATTTGGGTATCAAGTAAAGCACTTATCATAAGTGGATCAGTTTCCTGTGGAAACTGGCAAGCAAATATTGTTTTGATTACCCTGAATGAGTCAGGTAATACACGACGACATACCCATGAGAAGAAATACGATGCAAGTATCAAACCCCAAACTCACATTCAGTATCCTCAACTGTATTCAAAGTAATTCAAAGAAAGCTTTTATCAAGTCTAATCTTGAGCTTTCCTTTAGCTTTTCCAACAAATTTAAGAGCTTTAATTTTAGTTATTACCCATTGTTAACACCTACGTGTTTTCTTCAGGAGTTTGACTATGAATATTTAGAGGATCTTTAAAGGTATTCTACCTTGAAAAGTCAATTTTTATTGAATCTGATTATGACAACCATGCTTCACAAGTAGACGATAGAGGGACATCAGTTATATCCTCACTTATCATCTCTTGGTCATACAGATCTTGACTCACTGTACTATTCCTGTCTGACGAGGAATTTATTGAGTCAAAACAGAGAAACACCTGCTAACATGACATAAGTCTTCCAGCAGCCTTAACGGCATACCATTAATGTTTCAGTGTACCAGTCTATAGTAGGAAAGTGGTTAAAACTTGCCTTTATATGTGTCTTATTAGGAAGAGATCCCGTGAGAAAAGGGATCATTTTGAGGATCAAATTATACACCTTAAAGAGTGTCGAAATATTTATCATTCGTTACATTTCCATTCATTATTGAACATCACCAGTCGCGTCAAGCTGGCGGGTGTCCTCGATCGAGTTGCTTAGGTCACAGCATGCAATAAGCTTCCTGAGGTTCGTTGCATAACCAACACAAGAAGATGAGAAAAAATCAAATAGGTAGTAACAAATACCATATTATAGATGTACGATGAAAGGGAGATTTTTGTACTCGGACACAAACTGTGCTGAGGTGTGAAGGGATACCGCCTTTATACTACCGTTGGATTCATAAACAATTTTAAATTTGAGGTGCAATAGCTGAATTGCACTTAGGTTATTTCCTCGGTTGACTGACAATCGTCAAATCAGAACGTTTCATTGGTGACACTTGACAAAGATGTTCTGAGAAAAGCAACCTGTCTCGACTTATGGAGGGCACAAGGGATCTATCTCCGCAGAATTTCTCGAAATTACCCACAAACTGCTCCTTTTTTTACAGCTGATGGTTAAATTGTGATTCTTAACACTCTTCCCAAGTGCCAGGTATCTACACTTTCTGTAAAAAGCTTTTTTTACAATCTAGCTTTGGGAGATCTTCCCGCAAGTTTGTGGTTCTTCTTCTCTTTACAGCCTACTACATCATGATAATCTTGAAAATGCATGGAAAGGACTGTGTTATCGCTGTCACATACGAAATAACATCAAGCTTCATTGAAGCGGTTTCCAACTGATCATGGTGGTAATTGCCGTCGATAGATAATTGGCTTTTCGTCGACGCTTGAGATACCGGCAGGTCGTAACACTCAGAATCACTCAAAATTGTTGGGGTTACAGGTTTGAAGTGTGGATAATGATTTAGTCAAATGAACCAGTATCATGGTTACTTAATACATCTTCTCTTCCTTCGTACACAGTCCGTGAGGCTCCTTTTTACTTGGACTTTATATGTTGTCTATCCTTACGTTTTCCGTTTTTTCTTACAAGATGAGCCCTAGCGCGTTTCAACTTAGCAGAATGATTGCAAACAACCAATGATTATAATATCTCCTGCCGGGATCCATAATTTTCTAAGTCTATAAATGTATTATCGGCCTCTTCCCTATCAAAAATGTCGCATTTCTCACTTTAAACGTGATTCTTGTTTTTGCGAGGAAAACACGTGGAACGCCGAGGTAACAATCCTCTTTCTTCCAAGACCTTCGTTATGGAGTCTGATACACTTGAGACAATGCACAAGCCAATCAAAATAAAAATGTAAAAAAGCTGTGCTTATAAAAAAAAAAAAAAGGAAGGCGAGTCAACGGAATTAAATTAATTTTTGGAGTTCAAAGAAGGGGTGGCCATTTCTTGTCGATGTGGGAGTGGTACGTTACCACCGAACCCTACTGCGGTAAAGGTTACAACCCAGAAGTGAATACCTTCGACGAATGTCCAACCACTCCATATCATATACAGCACTGTGTATGACAGTAGCATTATTTTCATAATAGAAAACAATTGTGGTAAGGCTTTAGATTGTACTACCCTGTGGCTTAACAGGCGGCCCAAAGATCGACATGACTGAAGGCTGTTAATTTGGCTTGGCGGTTACAGTGCCAATGAAATCAGTCGCAATCAGCCGCACTCGGAGATGGAGAGTTCTTTCTGGTTGGACATTTTAGTAGAAGATTTCCACTATTTGTCAATCTGCGCCAATTCTAAAAAATTTCTGAAAACGTACTGAGCCACAAGTACTTCGAGTCTCCATCCATATCAACGAGGAACGGTTTTTAACTCAAGAAGGTATTTGCCGTCAAGACTAACGCAGTTATTTTAATTGAATTTCCTAAGTTAATTTACTTATATCTTGATCTAGTAAGATTTCTAGATTTGTAAATATAATAGAGCTCTTCTTGTGTCTCAGTTTAAATTCACTATTTCTCTATTCCAGGGTTATTTCCTCAGCTCATGGTGCCGACAGTAATTATTTACAGGAACATATTGAAAACCACCACATTTAGTGGGCGCCCTGCCCAGGCTATGAATGTTGAAATGTCGCTGAGATTTTACGAAAACTTAATCCAAGATAATAGAGGTGGGATTGTTAGCTTCTACTAATTTCATAAAAAATTTCAATCCTCGTTCATCATTTTCCAAAAAACACTTATCGATCAGGACGGGCAAAACTTCAACCAGCTGATTCTAAAAATGTAGCAGGAGACGTTTTACAATTGTGTCTTTGAAATGAAATTTAATTACATTTTCAGTCCAACGGTTCCTTGAGGGATGAAAAATTGATCGAAGTAGTTTTTTTGCCTTTTTACGGAATGACGTAATGCATGAATGAATTAGTTTTTTCAAATAAAGCCTTCAGAACAGGGAATAAACAAGAAAACGGCACACGTATAATCAGCTAAAGGGGCGTAAAAAGCCTAAATTTATCTCACTAACTCTCCGTGTTTCCACAATTTGTGGTTGTTTCTAAGAGGCAGATGTTTTGCTCATGACTGCTATTAGTTTTTGAAATGCAAATTTTTAACATTCACTCGTCAATTTTTAACATTCACTCGTTATTTCAACGAAGCAGCTTGCAAAGAGCAGTGAGAAAACGCTGAGCAGATTGTCCACAACTCTTACACGAACCACTGATTAAGGCCTATCAAGAAAACGTTAGGTTCGCCATAATTCTCTCTAGCTTACTTTTTGAGATAAGCGAGGGAGCAAGGCTTTTTCCTCTTCTGCTATATTTCATATCACCACTGCCTAGTCAATGCCATTCTGTACATTCTCCATCGAAAGCCTTATTATGTACTTTAGCTCTGGCAGTTCTGTTAGTTGGAGTGGTTGTCATTCCACTTCTTGTAACTAAAAACATTATGATTATTCTAGAAATACCTCAACATTTCTAACTGCTCTGGCAGATCTGTTTGTTGGAGTGGTTGTTATTCCACTTCTTGTAACTAAAATCATTGATTATTCTAGAAATACCTCAACATTTCTTTGATGCAGGTGGTTATTACATACGAGAGGATATCGACCTTCATTGGTGCTGTTTTGCTTGAGAACATAGCCACCATCGCCGTTGATCGATATCTCGCTTTGCGTCTCCGCCTGAGATACCGACAAGTCATGAAACTTGGACGGGTTCTTTTAATTTTGGTTTTAGAATGGATTATCGCAGCAATTTTTGCAGGTTCCAGGTTTCTAAATGGATCGATTAACTTACTTTCCGGGGCATTTGCTCTGTTTATTAATTTTTTCTTAATAGCTCTTTACTATATATGCATATATCGGAGTATTCGCCGACATTTTGCACAAATTCATCATCAGACTAACTCCACGGGAGCAGGGAGTGACTTCAATGTGGTTCAATACAAAAAAACTGTGAACAATTCCCTATGGATCTTTGGAGTCTTCGCTATGTGCTACGCACCATCCTTGTTAATGTCTGTTGTATTAGTTGTTAAAGGGTTTTATGATTCTACGCGTTTTGGGTTACAATTTGGGACCATAGCAGTTTATTTCAATTCTATGCTAAATACGATTCTATATTGCTGGAAGATCAAAGAACTAAAAGACAGAGTTACTGTTCTCTTTCGAACTTTATCCAACTTTCAATTGAACAGGATGCAGTGAGGTGGAAAAGATTTAACGATTTATTACACTATATTGAATGTGATATGCATCATCCATTTTTAACGTCCATCTGATTCTATGTTGCTGGAGAGAAAATAGATAATTGCCACTGTCAACAAAATTATGTACGGTAGGGTGACAAAGGCTTACATATTTTGTTTAATCTAGAAGGCTGCATAATCTTCAGAAGAACAATTTTCAAGGAAAATGTTATTGGTGTTAAGGTTCTCTGTTTACACTAGGAAGGGGTACACAAAAGTAACGAAACTCTAAACTATCTGAGAGCAAACTGTGGCAAATTCCAGCGAAGCAAATAGGTGTAAAACTTTAAAAAGTGTCTCAGAAAACAATATCATAAGATGATGTAAAGTAGAGAAAAATGTTTTTTCGTCTTGTCACAAGCGCAAGACAAAGAAAAAATTCTGAGTCCCCTTGAGGAATCGAAGTAGGAATTAAAGTAGTTTTAAGTAATATAAATAGTGGTCTGCAATTAACAGCAGAACTACATGTGCTGTGAATACTTTTGTGAGTGGAAACTCCTGCATTCCCGATAGTGCTTCTTGTTTAAAAAGACTAAGGCGTAGAAAACCACCAATGACGACGTGGTCTATAGTAACCTGCAACATCGGAATTGTAGGGCTTTTCATTGCAATTGCTACCATCATAAATCCATCTCTATGAAATACTCAGGATATTGCAGGGTAATAAATCATTTAAGTAGACCATTGTGCTTAAAGTGGTGTTAATACCAATTGTAAATATTGCGCTGCAACTACCATTTTCTTTTCACTTTTCTCAGAAGGTTTTTGGGCTTCAATACAATTAAAAAGAGACTTCAAACACTAAATAAACGATCATCATCTAAGTTTTTTCTCATCAAATTTTACGTCATCTGTGATATATTACAGAACAAACACATGGCGTGCATCAATAACATTACATGTGCGGTTGCACTTTGCTATAAAGTTAACTTGATCACGTGGAAATGTAAATGTGTTGTTACTGTAGTTATTTATCAGTGTTAAAACGTGCAGATGAATATCAAAGGGTCTAAAAAACGAGTTGAGCTAGATATTTCTCATTTTGCAATATTCTGGAGTTTGTTGGTGTTTCTCTTCTTACCTTTACCTGGTCTGACCGATTGACAGAAGGGATATATTGACCGAAATTGCAGGAAATACAGAGGTATCGCCTGCATTTTGAAAATTATCATATTCATAGAGTAAATTAGATGTTTTCGGTGTCTTCATCTATTTGTGGTTCATTAATAAATTTTTAGTGTTCCTCGAACGAAGTCAGTTGATCCTAAGGCGAGAGCTGCTCCACCTTCTTGTTGGAAGCACTTCCTCAAAAAAGGCTTCTCACAGTCCTAGCAAAATATTCAGGATCCTTTTTCCACCTCGTTCAGTGCAAATGTACAGGAAAGCTGTTGTACTAATCTTTTGAAATAAATTAACCTCGTTTAATCGCTTAACTTGTCGGGCTTTGTAAACATAATAAGGAATTGTGTATATCTCTGGTTCATTGAAGCGGGGAAATCATTAGTCATATAATCTGAGAAATCAGGTCTGATTTTCGTATCTGAATGTTGCTCTTAAACGATTTTCTTAAAAACAAGGGTAGTTAAAAAGACACAAGTTACGTCGCTGAAGTGTTTTCGCCGTCTGCAGACACAATAAAATTTTTTTATCTCTAAAACATTACTGATCTAGCGTTGAAGCTATGACAACAGAGACAGAACAAAAAACGGAAACACTCCAACCAAAGTTGTTGAGCTACTCAGTTCTCTCCATATTGGCTTTGGAGGCAGATCTTTTTGCTTTAGACTGCTGTGCAATTAAAAGACAATCATTTGACATTTACTTGTCATTTCTGCATGAAAGCGTCAATAAAGACTTGATAAAGTCAGAAGTTTGCAAGGAAAGCACTTGACAAACCATTTAATTCTAACTAAAATAAATCAAGTCAATATCATTTGTGGGATTCTGACACGAGGTCCACATGTTTACTGTTCAGGATTTTAGATATACCAAATGGCTTAGACTCCTTTAAGAAACCGGTAAAAGATCTTTGTCTTCATTTCCACTTGATTGGCGGCAAGATTTATTGATGGAAAGGTCATTTGGACCATTCTGCAGCTATACGAGCCCTCACTACTACCCAGCCGCGCTAAGATTTCCAAAAGCTGTGTACATCGTTGCTTGTGTTCTTAGCACGATCACTTTACTTGCATTAATAGTTGGAAACTTTTTAATTCTTTTGGCTCTTCGCAAATGCCAGTCTCTACATTCTCCATCAAAAGTTCTGATATGCAGTTTAGCTTTGACGGAGCTCTTTGTTGGAGTGGTAGTTGTTCCGCTCTTCGTAGTATACTATACGATGATCATTTTAGAAAAACCCAGATATTGCTGTACTGTGGCTATCACATATGCCAGGATATCGACCTTCATTGGTACTGTTTCGCTCGAGAACATAGCCACCGTCGCCATTGATCGATATCTCGCTCTGCGTCTCCGGCTGAGATACAGACAAGTCGTGAAATTTGGACGGGTTGTTTTTATTTTAGTTTTAGAGTGGATCATCGCCGCAATCTTTGCAGGTTCCTGGTTTCTAAATGGATCCATCAATTTATTGTCTGGTACAATTGCCATGCATATAATCTGTCTCATCATATCTTTTTTCTATTTTTAGTATCAATCACGGCATCCGGCTTCACGTTGCGCAAGTTCATCATCCGACAAACTCCAATGGATCAGGGACTGACTTCAATGTGGTTCAATACAAAAAAACTGTGAGCAATTCATTGTGGATCTTTTGGCTCTTTCTTTTGTGCTACATGCCATCTTTATTATCATCCCTTACAGTAGTTGTCACAGGACGTAATGATTCTACTCGTTTTGCATTGCAGTTCGTGGTCATAACAGTCTATATCAATTCTGTTTTAAATCCGATTCTTTATTGCTGAAAGATCAAAGAAGTAAAAGTTAAAGTTATTGCTCTTTTAAAGGTCGCATGCAATCTTCGATCAAATGATATGCAGCAGGGTGGCAGAGACTAGAACAGTGTCATATTTCATCACCGGTTTGTTCATGAAGATTTTAACAATTAAATGGTATTTACTCAAAAAAGTTTCCTTTTGTGTGCTTGTCAAGTAAAAAAATTTCGTTGTTTACTTCAGCTTCGTGCTAAAAATTTAATAACGTCCTTTAAACAAGGGAAAACGCCGGAAAATTTGACAGGTGATTCCGTTCGTTTTCTTTGACTTACTGACAGCGTCAAAATCAAGTTGAAAGCTGAATATCAAATTGATGTAGTTTTGGATTAACATAAAAATCGACTGGCAGTTTCTTTTTTATCACCAGTCAAATGCAATTAGTTAAATTCTTCGAAAATCTTGCCCACCTTCACCCCCTCTCGACTTTTCTCTGATAAATATATTGAATTTTTGATAATTTTGTCAATGTCAGACTACACAAGATTCGGAATCAGGGGTTTCATTGCTTTTAAAGGATGCTTTCACCTCACTATAGCGGTGAAAAAAAAGGGCCTTTTAAGTGTTGACAGGATGAAATTGGTTTCACCATAACAAAAAAAAGGTAGACGCACTGATCTTAAAATGAGATAATACAACCACCATCTCAATTTTTTTCGCCTGCATTCATAAAATAGGTAAATCAGTTCCATTGAAAAAAGAATAAAGCAGGAGTTTGCTACACAATAAGAGACATCTTTTCAATGGACAGTATTTCATCTACTGATAGGCAATGTCAATCATTTATTGCTGTCCTGCGACCGGCACTGCAAGCGGTTCGCAATTTCAGTCGTTCAAGTCAAATATTGAAGCAGCAGAACCATTTAAATCTGAAATGAAAAAATTGAATTTTGGAGCTAGCAAAGAGGTAATTAGAAATATTTCTGGCTGTGGAAGCCCCTAGGTTGATATTGATAATATTAGTTTCGTAAGGTGATCAAGATGTGTCTGGCTTCTTTCTCGCATCAGCAGAATGTTAGCATTTCTCTTCATAATCAAGTTACCCAGTGTGATAGCTGTTCAACAATATCAGCAATACTATACGGCTAAACTACTCTGATGTATCTAATCAATTCTGTATCAGGACATATCTCCCAGTGAGAAACTTAATGATATTCTGCAGTAGTCGTGAACGAAATCTTTAAACACCAAAACCAATTAAAATGCGTACTGATTTGCTTGATTTTTTTAAAATTTAAGTCAAAGCTTTACTCAAATATAATTTTGACAAAGCTTTTATCCATAAGCATCTACGTCTTTGTAGTTGTGTTATTAAACTTCAATTGACATATTTTAATTAATATTCTTCCGCCTGTATATTAAAAAAAGCCTATTGTGTATAGCCATATGTTGGCAATACTCCTCAGGAATTAAGAGTAGAAAATATAACAACCTTTTTCACTCTTCATATTCATACACGTACAAAAAAGTACGTCTGCAACACGACATCCCGCTTTACTAACAGAACAAAGAAACCTGTGAACTTGACGGAACTAAAAGGTTATGAATTCACAATATTTATATTCTTTATCGTCAACAACTGACAACTCTTTACTACGCGACAGATGTTTTCGTTAACAATCACTCGCAGTAGGAATCAAATGCAGAAATCTCACAGAAGTATCATCTAAGTATGCCTATCAAAGATTTGAAACAGCGCATGCAAGAAAGGCCGGCCTCAATTTCTGCTCATTAGATTCACAGATTGTTACCTTCCAGTCTAAATTTATCGTTATAAGGAATTCACCTTATCACGGGTGCCCTAGATCTATATTGATCAGGCTTTCGATCGATCGTCTGGCGAAAGGAAATACTTTACACCGATCTCTGCCTATAAATGGAGGGGACCTTTCAAACATATTGTAGTCCCACAAGCAACTATTATTATCCTGCAGCTAAAAATTTCCCAAAAACTGTCTACATTTTTGCCTGTGTTGTCATCATCATCTTCTCCATTTTGTCAACAGTCGGCAATATTGTAATTCTACTCGCTCTTCGCAAGTGCCAGTCTTTACATCCTCCGTCAAAAGCCCTGTTGTGCAGTTTAGCTCTGACGGATCTTTTCGTTGGATTGGTCGTTCTTCCATTGTTTACAGCTGACTACATGACGGTTATTTTCGAAATACCCGAGTATTACTGCGCTTTAGCTATTACATATGGGCGAACATCAACCTTTATTGGTGCCGTTTCGCTTGAGGTTATAACCACAATTGCCATTGACCGATATCTCGCCTTCCGTCTTCGATTAAGCTACAGACAAGTAATGAAACTTAGACGAGTTGTTTTCATTCTTGCTTTTGAGTGGATCCTCGCAGCAATTTGGACGGCAAGTTGGTTTTTGAGTGTATCGTTCAATATGTTTTTCGGGGCAATCGGAATGTTCGGTTGTTGTTTCACTACATCACTTTGCTATCTAAGGATTTATTGTGGTTTTCGTCAACATACTGCACAAATTCGACAACAGACAGACCCCGAGCCCGCAATCGATCTAAACATGGCTCAATACAAGAAAACTGTAAATAACATGTTGTGGATTTATGGCGTAGTTATCCTGTGCTACACACCACACTTTGCTTGCCTGCTCGCAATATTTATTTCTGGAATCAACGAATCAAACCGTTTTGCACTTCATTTAAGCGCGATTGCAATATATTTCAATTCTTTTCTAAATCCCATTCTGTATTGCTGGAAAATCAAGGAAATTAGATTCAAAATTATCGCTATTTTACTTCCTCTATTCAATTATTTCAGTGCAGTTGGTGGGTAGGTAACTGAAACATAATTTGGTATTGAACCACATATTTATCTTATGATGCCAGAGACGTCAACGATGAACTTAGTTTAGGAAAATTTGTCTTCCAGCGCGATAGAAAAAGACTTTTATAAGCTTCAATTACTATGCAGTTTTTAACCTTTTGATGAATAACTGGCAAGTGTAAAAGTGTTCATTGACACCTATATGATTTTTACTTCAACTTACTAATATTGCAAACTGTTCGATGCAGTCTGGCAAACGTCTCCCGAAAAGTGGCGCACAGCACATTAGAGCATATTCATATGGAAAATGCGCTACATGAATACATCATAATCTTTATCATTTATTCCATTTACCGACACCTGAAGTGTTGTTGGTCATCCACCGAGTGAGATGTAGAGAGGCATAATCTTTGTCCTTCCATAATGGCATAACATAAAGAAATAAGAGACCTGAAATGAATGAATTAGACAAGATTCCTTTACACAACCCAAAGCAAATCGAAGCAATGTAAGAAAATTTACCAATATTGTTTAAGTTCTCTAGTGTCGAAGTTAAAAAATGTTGACACCACGCATTGTTTAAATGACTAAATTTACACGGTTTGCCCAAATATGGTTACACTAGACAATTCAATTATAAAACTTTCCACTAATTGTGTTGGAAAGTGACAGTTGAAGCCCCCTCCCGTGATCAAATGTTAAATCGCTATCCCATTCCGTGTATTTATGTGATTCAGTAAAGGAATGCACAATGCGATGGGGCATTGGACAGAAAACTCTTTATTACGACATTGAGTGGCTTCTCATAGTAACTTGCGAGGATATGTTCAAAATTAAAAACGATAAGAACAATTTGCAAGCTGTATTTAATATCGTGTCCGCTTCTTCACGTTTTTGAAGTGTTCTTCTGAGAAAATTGCACCTTGTCTAAATAAAGTAAAGGATTTAAGAAAAATTATGATGAAAATCATATGAAATCATCAAGTCTCTTTACTTAACGAGCGTACACTTTGTTTATATAACATAGGCTGACAAATTGGCCAGTAATGAGGATCACATCATCCTTGGAAGCGGCGTTAAGTGGTGAAAAATTATCGTGCGTACGCGCTTTTTAATACCCCAGTCCTAGAGCACGTTAGTTGTAATATGTACGCAGATGCATCGATTTTCTCCCAACCTCGCTGGTCTATCTTTTCGTTGAAAACAAAAGTTTATAAAACTTGAAGCAGACAGGTGATAGAAAATGCAGGATAAAAGTCTTCGGCTAAAAAAACCTGCTAAGACTCGCTATGTAAACTAATTTCAGTCGGCAATTTTTCAATGAAATGCTGCACATAAAGGCTAATTTTCCTGTTGAATATCAAATAATAAAGAAAGTCTTTTCAATGAAACACTTCTTGACGAGGATGAAAGAGAGAAAACGCGGTATCTATGCGACCCAAAGAAACTGAGGTAGTCCTTTCCCATAAAAACGGCGATGTCCAAATTAATCTATAGTAAAAAAAAACTTTTATACTCACTTTTGATGTTATGCAAACAGACTTTAAGATACTTAAAGATCTCATTAGATTTGATTAGTCTTGGTTAAATAAACATTTAATAACCTGCAAAATACCCTTCACCAACGACTGAGGAATTTGTTGTACATCCGAACGTTTCTTCATGGATAAACTCCCAATGTCCCCGCAAATGAAGGAAATTTTACTTTCTCTAAAGAAGACTCGTTTTAAGCAAGGAACGTTTCAAGATAGCGAAAGAAACCGTGTAAGAAGCTTCAAAGAGGATGAAAAATACCTGAGCATTTCTCTCTCCAAGGAAAGTTTCCAAAATGGCAAAATATTTCCAGGCAATTCGAGAGAAAAAGAGGAATACATTCAAAGGGAAAGTTGCACTTCATCACGTGGAGCTGTCTTTCAGCGAAGAGGATCTTGGATTGTTCCGAAACATATTCTGTCACGGAGTAACACAGTCGCTGTCTTACCACTGCAGAAACCTGGCGCGACACGCTGTTCATCGACAAGCTTTGAAGAAAGTGACGAAGTTCTAAGACCCGAGACTAATTGGTTATTAGAAATACATTCGGCAGACAAAGTGAAAGGAAATTTTGAAAAACGATTGAAACCCACGAGTGCGTCAGTCACAAAGAAACCGTCTTCTTCAGATTTGTTCCAAAAACATTCGCTTGGTCAAACAAAAACATGGCGGGTTGAAGGCAAGGCTTTCAGTGCAGTTCTCAAGAGAGGAGCAACTCACCCAAAGATTGAGAATATGTGGGAGCATCTGGCAGACCAGAGAAAACTCCTTATCAACAAGTGGCTTTCCCCTCAGAACCGCTGATTTTACGAATTTTTACCCTGGTAGCTACAACTTCGGTTGTCGGGAGTAAAAATAAATCTGAGAAATGTTGACATGACTAGGAACGTCCAGCAACGGAATGAATGCCTCTTTACCGATATCAAATGTTACTGGGCAAAACATTGATCCGTTTAAATGATTTATTTTCTCATCACTCTGTCTCTTAAAACGATCAGCAACGATCTTCAGAATGCTTAATCATCGTTTATCGATTTCTTGGATTTCCAAACATACGTTTATTCTTCCCCTATTCTCTTGGCAAAGTTTTCATTTCTATTGTGTGAGTTAATATGTACTTCTGATACATGATAAGGTCTGGATTATGCTCAGCATGGTAGCAATCATTGTCAAGGCCGAGGCTCATGGTATCTACCGAAGTCAAAGGACGACGACCGTGGCCCAGATAGCTCTCGCCAAAACAATTTGCTATTCAATCTACTCGTTGTTTCATTGTGAATGACTCCAAACTGTAGTTAATACGCATGACTTTCCTCTTAAATATATAAAAATCATTATCATTTGATTCTTTTGTCTACATTTAAATTGACCGAGACCCAACCACGTGACTTACATGTAGCTACGTAATAGCTGACCAAGAAAACATGTTGTGGCTTTGAAATATTCAACTCTCTCCGCTCGAGAACGCACTCAAATAGCTAGAGATGTAACATTAATCAACTGCTGGATGGTCACCTTGTCTGTGTCATAAAATCTAAAGCTCGAGTAAATGCAAAACTATCATTTTTGGTGTTCCTCAATCTCCGATAAGGATGCGTACTTGTCATTACAATGTTTAGGTAGTGAAAATGTTCACAACTGCATACAAACCCCGTTGCATCTTACCTCCGATCAACGATGTTCTTTCAAATTATAACTTCTCTTCAAACTCTAAATTTAGCAGCGGAAACATCAGCAAACTTCTTGGAAACTTCGTTAAAAGTAAATATCTCAAAAGATTGATGTAGCACCACGAGGGGAAACGAACGACCATGAAGGCAACACCACTCACCTTCCACATTTTGCAGCCACTGAAAGTTAGGCAATGGTCATACGTTTGCCGCCAAAAAGAGAAAACAAAAACAACAACAAAAACAAGCGAAAAAAACCGCGTTGACACAAACGTTTTTCTTGTTCCGGCTCGATGTCGGCCCTGTGTATGTCTTGTTTCTCGAGAAGCAGCACTTTGTTTTCGTGTTTAGTTTCAAGATGCAGGTAGTTGTAATTTTAAAATCCAATCATTCGTAGAATGTCAGGATATGACATTACGGGTATGGTTTCTGAGCTGAAAGGAATTGAGATTTTGCCAGCGTTCTCATCAAACCAAGATCCTTAGCTGCTCTCCGGAAAAGGAAGAAATATATTATTTTAACACATCTTTGTTTCAATAATTTTGAACATTCTAGGATTCTCCAAATGCAAGTCTCATTGCTAAAAATTTTGAAAACAGTTAGACCTTGATATCAAGTAGGCCATTAAAAATTTTTACCTGAAGATCAAAGAGATCTTTTTCTCGTTTCTTTCGACTTCTTTGAGGTGTAATGTTTAATTTATTAAAATTTCGATTTTAAGGGGATTGTGCAAGCCACAAGGTAAGTTGTTGAATTTTCCTCATAATCTTGAAGAAAGGAAGAAACAGTTGCCGTTCCGATGGACTTCTATTCAATGTCACAGGCGTCTTCTCCATTTTTATCTCAGTGTGGCGATTAAATCGGTCACTGTCTGTTGTCTTTGAAAAGGAGTTCGGCCCTTGCATAAATGATTGCGGCAGTAGTAACTTCTTGTAGGAAGACTGTGAGAGAGGACAAGGCAAATTGTGCGCTTTGTCATTAATAGCTCGCTTTTCTTTTCCTCTGACCTACAGGGCCAACGCATAGAGGACTGGGTACTAATTAGTGAGAGCTCTTAGTTACCATGCAGTCAATATACATGCACTTCAAGTATTCCGAAGTATGTGTTCCGAAGTATGACTAAGAACTTTATGTGTTCTGTCTTTCCGTTTTTCTTCGCGGAAAATGTAGGGTTTGTAGACATATGATTGAAGTATGCAGGACTGATGTCTCGGAGAACGTAGGGGAAGGCGAAGTAACGTTCGAGATCTATGGGATCACCCTAAACTTTTTCGGTTCTCTTTGATGAGGTATGTTCCCTTCAACATAGTACAATATATGTATAGGTTATAGTTGTTACAGGATTGATTCATTTATTGCACAGCTTAAGTACTCTATACTCTCAAGATAAAAGCCAGTTTGGAAAAATTAAGTGAAAATGGCTTTGGTAGACACGGAATAATATTGGAAAAAAGGGTACGGTAACGTTAGACTGTCACGTAATATATTGGCTGTTCGATAGATAAAAGATTACCTTACTTTTGTAACATCTGCTAGATGATATAGTATGAGCAGTACGTGATTTTAAAATATCTTATCAAGTATTCAACAAGGTCATTCATTACTGATTTATCAAAATCGTTACACTGTTATTGCAGAAATAGACGACTTCTAACCTTGTTTACATGGCAATTGATCGAAACAGTGGAAACACTGGGGGGGGGGGGAGTTGGGAAAATTTTGACACAACTAAAGCAAACTCAACAAGCAGTGCAGTGTACAGGAACATGCATTTTATTTCAGTTATTTTGTTATTAAGCAGTAGTGGACTTTTTTCTGTTTTTTTATGTCCAGTCAGTTTAACACAAGAGTGAGTGAGTGTTTGAACAAGGCTACGTGTAAACATGGTGAAGTCCTCCAATGCTGCAATTAAGTATTCCTCAAAAGTACATGCTAATGTAATCTAATCATTCTCATCTTATTTTTTTGGTTCTTACCAATGAGATTGTGCAAAGAGTCTCACTTTACTAAAACTGTTGCGAAACACATAAAGAGGTTTTTTAAAATTTCATGTAGATGCTGCAACATAGGGGCATGTCAAGACATTAAGTTTTGGAATTTAAGCCTTTATTTGTGACTATCCTTTTCATTTTAGGTCTATTCGTAAAATTAGTAAATTACCAAATCACCTACATTAATTGTTGGTCAAGTTCACTTGTTATATGTGAATAAGCTGGTGGTGATGCAAGCTGCTCAAGATAGCCCTGCTGTTAAAAACAGAAAAAGAAGAGTTAGTACTGCTCATGCACGACGCCGAGCAAAAGTTTACTCAAATGCAGTTAAAAAGGAAGTGCTAGAAGAGCAAATTGCAGATGAATTAAGGAGTTCTCATGAGTCTGGTCTGGCCAGTGGATCTACAGCTTTCTTGAAAGGATTGTTGTCAAAGACTGATAGTCTTCCAAAGCGTATATCTGAACGATATCAAACACAAAGAGAAGTATGTGGGAGATGATTAGGTCTTTGGAAACAAGCAGAGAACCTATCCCTCTTTCTTTTGCTTGTTGAGCAAAAATGTCCTGAAAATTTTGATTACTTGAGAAGTGAGACCCTTGAAATTTCCATTAGAAAGAGACATCATTTGGTGCATGCAATCATATGCAAGTAAAAGGAACCTGTCTATCATTGCTTGCTCTTAGTTTTGAGCTTTGCACACATTTTGCTTGTCTCTAGTTTGTCCTTTGTAGCTATTTAACTGACTGAGAAGTCTTGTGTGAATGGTGATTATGGTATTGATTTTTTTATAATGTATACTTTTACTTATATGAACTAATATATATTGCTAATGTGGCAGAAAACTTTGCAAGTATCACATGTAATTTTGCAAATTTTTTTTGGGCTTTTATTTTATTGAAATCATTTACACAATCGCCTTTCAATGCAAACTTGAGAGTATGTATATCTCTTGATGATCAGGATAGTATTGAATGTGATGGGGATGAAAACACAAGATGTCTTTAATATGAGTATATTGTTACCTATCATTACCTTTATCATCATCTTTATAAATAATGTACATTAATTTACAGAACAGTGATTGGATTTACAAGACATTCAAAAGGAAGGAATGTATCCATCATGTTGAGGACAAAGCAAAGCCTGGATTGTGAGTCACAATATATAGCTTGCTAATACACTATCTATTACAGAGACTGTTTATTTCTTCATTTGTCCAGTACATTTCTTTAAATGTTCTTTTTCTTTGTAATTTCACTAGCCTAGTGTGTCTAATATATGTGTGGTACTCATTATGTCATATTCTAGATGCTGTTGTGGTCGCCCTGAAAATCAGCATAGCAAGTTGACCACTGTTCAAGAAGAAAATGAAGAGCTTGAGATAGCTCATGATGTAGCTGAAGATAGTGACTGTTCTAATGACAGTCAGTCAGAGGGTGAGTGTTAAATACAAAAGAAAGGGTCCAGTACACCAAGAGTGAAGGTTTCTGTACAAATTTTTTGTTTTATATGGTTAGAATTATTTTATCTGCACTCTCAGGTCTTGGGGTTCAAGAGTGCACCATTTACGTAGTAAGGGATATGAAAGATTGGATGGTAGACCATTCAGACTGGTTAGGGTAAAAAAATGTTTTGAAGTTGCCCTTTTTCTGGATATGTAATTTAAAGAAATATTTATTAGTTAGATGCCAAATAATAATGGTTTTATAGGCCAGGGAATATGAGACTGTCTATAAAAGTTTTGCGCATTGGTGTCAGATTCTGTTTTAAAAACTGGACTTGGTGATTTTTGGGTGTGGAGGTTGTTATCCTTTTAGAACTTGGCTAATTTAAAATCTTTGTTACAAAATAGTTTGAAAGAAGAGTTAATTCTCTTCGTTATTATGTGGGCTTGATTGGCATCTCCTGTTTCATTTTTTTGTATTTTATGGTGCAGTTAAAGATGAAATAATTAAGAGTTGCTTAGTAATATAAGTCAGAATGAAAATGATCAATATGAGATTTTTGAGCTCTTAATTCTTGACTATCTTGTAATCATGGAGCTGGTGATGTTGTGTTAACAGGTTTGCCACCATCAACAAAAACCAGTAGATGTGAAGGGAAAGTTTATGGAATAAAGACAGGACCTGAAAACTGGTCACCAAAGGATGACATAAAAGAGTTTCCAACAAATGGCTTTGGTCAGATAAAGTTTGTAAATGCATACAGTTCATCTTTGACCCCTGCCAAGGTTTGATTTGTAATGTATTACTATGATTATTTCATCTGTTAAATAGTTAGTATTGATTATGATAATTGTTATAGAGTACTTATAAATATAAATTATACCATACAGGTGAATAGAGCTTTTTGCATGTGGTGATTGGTTGGTGCAGAAGGGATTAGCAAGTGCTATTCATTGTCAAGCAATGCATGTTAAGAGTTTAATTCTGACTGTTTCTTGGTATAGTTTCAGAATAATTTTTGGTTTCTGTGATATAGACTAACACAATTATTTACCCTGCGGTCAGTGAAAGTGGTGAATATTTACCTCACTGCTTTACCTATCTGGTAGTCAATATTAACCACTATTGATCATCTTCACTTTGGAGAAGGATTGTTAATGAGTATATGGTTGAAAGATTAATAGGCCTTGAGGATCTCTTCAACTAGGCTTTGTCAGCAACAATCACAACTGACAATGATATTTGTCAGGGTGGCTGTTGATTATTTTCATGTATGTTTATTCCTGGTGATTTATTATTAAACTGTGGATGAAATACATTCAGAGAGTTTCTGATTTGGATTCTTTATTGATAAATATTCATAGGTTCCTTATGGTATTTAGAGATAATTTCACACTTGGTTAAATTGATCTTGAAATATGTTTGAATCATTATTTTGTTTTGAATTTATTCCTACTGAATTTATGACTTGACAGTTGGTACATGTTCTTTTTCTAAATTGTAGTACATACGTCTAGCAGACAACACAAGGCCAGAGTTGACATTAGAGCTTATGGTGCAACAGTGGAAGTTACAGAAGCCAGACATTGTAATATCAGTACATGGAGGTCTGAAAAATTTCAAGCTTGATCCTCACCATAAAGAGATCTTCAACAGAGGCCTCATTAAGGCAGCTAAGACAACTCACAGTGGTGCTTGGATAATAACTGGTAAAATTAACAGCCTGTTAAATCTGTTGTATCACACATATTTTATTATATTTGGACTAGAATAATTTAAGACTTTCTCTTCGTTAATCATGTCTTTGAATGGTTATTTTCTTATGGATATGGTATTATTTAGGTGTACCTCTGACTAGAACTAAACCTATCAACAAGTTATTGTAATTTCAAGTGAAGTTCAATGTGATTGATTTTTTTTCCAATTACATCAAGAATTACTTAAATATTGTTAAAAATGACAGGGATTATTAAATTTAAAAAACTGGTGTCTTAATGGCCATTTGCAACTGCTAATGCTGGATAATGTGTCAGGCAAAATTTATTGAAGAAACTTCCAAGTGTACAGCTTAAACTCAATATAAAATTATACAAACTGCCTGAAGCATGGGATGGTGAAAGTGAACAAGTTATTTTTGGTTTCAGTTTTGGATCTGATTCGTTGGGAAAGTAGAGCAAGTTTCTTGATCATTTATAGGGAAGGATACTTTTGAACAAATGCAATATGGCATTTCTTTTACCTTTCAATTGGAAGTTGCCCTTCAATTGTAGCTTTCATCTGTTACTGGTTGTGCTCATGCAGGTGGTGTAAATCTTGGTGTGATGAAGGCTGTAGGTCAAGCTGTGCAGGAGGGTCAGTCCATGCATTGGGGAGGGTTATCAAGTCGCCGGCGCATCAGATGCATAGGTATTGCGACATGGGGATATATAGAGAGAAATGAGCACTTGATTAGCCCACTGGAGGGCAAGGTGAGGAAAAAGAATACCTGTCTGCAGTAAGATTTCAGAAAGATGGAGCTCTGATGGCAAAGTGGAAAATTAATCAGATCTACCATGATCTCAAAATAGACTTTAGAGTTGTTAGTTTTGCTTCTTTGAAGAAAACTTTTGTTTTGTTACATATCAAAGTTCAAACAAAATCTATTTGCAGAAAAGTGTTTTTAAAAGTTTGTTTTTCACAAAATAGTACTCAGCTTGTCAGGACTATACTTAAGAGAAACTTTCTATGTCTTGTTCTTGCTTAGGATTGGTTTTGCTTTTCTAAAAATATATGCACTCTCTGTAAACTTGGTAAATTTCAGCAGTTTGTTGCCAAAGGCAGCAATCCAAAGTGTTAAAAATTGTATGACCTTTTTCGCTTTTCTAGGGATGCTATCCAGCAACTTACAGGGTAGAGCATTCATTTGAGCGAGGGAAACCTGTGTCCCTCAATCCAGATCACAGCCATTTTCTTTTGGTGGATGATGGTACACAGGGGCAAGCAGGAGCTAAAGAAGTTCAATTTAGGACACGGCTGGAGAGAGTCATTGCCAACAAACCTAATATTCAGAGACAAAGTGAGTTGACTTTGAGAAGTGAATTCAGGTGTTAGATGTAAATTCCTTACATCTCCTTTGTAGTATGTTTCTCTTTGTAAAATCTTACTTGTTTTTAAATTAAGTTTTTAACATGAAAACCATTGGCTAGTCTAGACTTATTTGTAGGGCTTTGGTTGTAGGGGTGCTATACTTCCTACAATGAAACAATGTTTAATTACTGATAGCTTAATAATTCATTGTCTCTGGCTAGACTTACATTGAAATGGAACAAGACATACTTGGGTGGGATCTTGTTATTTTGAACTTTTGTTGGAAGTAGCTTTACTGGGGCAGTAGTTTTAATTTACAAGCAGCGTTTGAAATAATCACAAAATTGTGAAAAGCATTAACTATGCTTGAAATGCATGGAATATCTTCCGAATATTATCATGGACTTTCAATGGTCTCCTAAGGGTTTGGAAGAGATTGTTAATAGAATTCAAAAAGATATTTTAAAAGAAAGACTCAGTCCTCTGACTATACAATCAAAAATTAACTTGCCAAATAAATTACCTGATCATTAGGGAAACTGGCAATTAAATTATTTTTAGGAATTAAACAAACATTAGATATTAAAAGACCCGATCTTGCTAACTGAAGATCTTGGTTGTAGCTAAGAAGGATATGAATAGTCTTTAAATGTCTTTAAATTGACTTTTCATCCTGAACACTTTTCCACATGATTTATTCATTGTAGAGTTTGGGTTTGGGGTTCCTGTGGTGACAGTGATTGTTGAAGGAGGAGAGGATGCACTAAAGGCTGTCAAAGCATCTGTGAAGCATGGTATTCCAGCAGTTGTGGTGGAAGGAACCAAGAGAGCTGCTGATATCTTGGCTTTTGCACATCACAACTGTGTCCCTGGGTAGGTTTATTTATTTACTTTTTGATATTATTTATTAGAAGAGAGTTTGACCTGTCATTTCAGATTTCTAATGCAAGTATTCTTAATTGAGTTAAAGAGAATAAACTTGACCCATAGAAAAGTTTTTCAGTGATCAAGTGTCTTGCTGGTTCAGTTTAACTTAATTGCTGCAAAACTGTCCTGCTGTCATATGTGTTGAAAGAAAATGAGTTCCATTTTATGAAAACCTTTGAAAGTCTATGTTCAGTGATTAAAGAATATGGGGAAAGGATTGTAGAGGTGGCTGTTTTAGTCGTGAGCCAAGATGTTGGAAGAGATGTTGTCAAGTTGTGTTGAATCATTTCTTGGCCAGGGTATGTGTATTTTGGTTCTAATTTACCAAAAAGGAAAAGAGATCTTGACTTGACTAATACCTCACATGATCAGTAATAAGTTAATAATTCTAAGAACAAGCAGTATGAAGAGTGGCCTGAAAATAAAAAGGGAATTTTGTTTTAGCATAACTTTCCTGAATCTGATTACAGAACAGTGCGCCAAGTAAAGAAAGATCAGCTACCTCGTCTCACTGCAAAAATCCGGGAATCTTTTCCAAAGTTTGCAGGCGATGAAAGTTATGTCCAGAAAATTGTAGACATTGTTAACAGTTGTGTTTATGATGAGCATCTGGTAAGTTGTTTCTTCCAATGATAGTCCATTATCAACTTGCACTAGGGCGAGTGTTTGATAATTTTTCCTTTCAATTTTCCAAGAAGGGTTGACAATTTTCAAAATTTTTGCTTGACAGGTTTTCAAATTTTCCAAAACCAATTTCACAGAACTTTTCAAATTTCCCTTACTGGTTTGACTTTAATTGAAATTTTTGTAGTACCAGTAATCTGCTAATGAAGAGCATCAAGAAGTGATGACCAGCATTGTGTGCATTCACTTCTGCTTAAGTTTCCAACATCTATTGTGCTTTTTGAATTAACATAGCCCATGTGACAATTGTGATGAACTCTTTTGTCCTAGATCACTGTCTACAAGATTGATGAGAAAAATAACCTTGACCTTGACCTAGCCATTCTCAGTGCCTTGCTCAAAGGTGAGACTTCGAATTCTGCCAACAAGTGTACAATGATCCATAATGGGATGAATGAAGTAATGTCTTTGGTCATTATGTTTTTTTTTCCTGCTGCTTTAGGAGCTGGCAATGGTGATCCAGGGAAATCTGATTTACTCGGACAGGGTGCCAATCGAATGGATCAGTTAAAACTGGCATTAACATGGAATAGAGTTGACGTGGCTGAAGAAAAGATATTTACTCCTGATGCTGACTGGCCTGTAAGTGATAACATAGACCACAAGAAGCTCCTCTTTTCCACCTTGGTCCATGTAAAGGGCGAAAAACTAAAACAGACCAGTTCGTTGAGGTAGCTAGGTCTGGGACTATCTGTGGTCTATTGAAAACCTGTAAATGGTTTAGTTTCCTAATACTCGGTAATGGAGTTGTACTAATTGAGACTATTTCAACAAAGTTTCTGACTTGAGGTCCAACTGAGAATTGGATGAAACATCAAAACTGATCCAGGGGTTCATCGTTTTTGTTAAAACTTCTCTATGATTGGGTTTTTGAAACTAATGTTACCCTCTCAGCCATTCAGATTTAAAGATATAAAGAAACCTTCTAAGTCTGGTTTTGAAACTACTTTATTAGAGTTGCTTTGTAGCATGATACCTAACTGGAGCAGGGATGTAAAAATCTGTTAAGTTGTGTGGTCAACTGTTCTTTTGTTATCAGCTTCAAATATACTTTTCCAGCACTCAGGAGATTGTATTCTCTTGTGGGGCTTTAATTGAATGATACATGATGGTGCAATGTCAAATTTGCAATGTATAGCTATTTTTCACGTGTTTCATTTCACTGAGTTTGATCATCTCATTTCTAGAGTGGAAGCCTTGATGACGTCATGCTAAACGCTCTACAGCTGGATCATGTTGATTTTGTAAGGCTTTTTCTAGCAAATGGAGTCAGTATGAGAGACTTTTTGACTGTTCCAAGGCTAAGAAAACTTTACAATTCAGTAAGTTTATATTTGTAGCTTGTTTTCTTTACAAAATGTTCTGTTACTGCCTGTGACTGTCACAGTAATCTTTTAGTTCAAAGCACATTGTGGAATGAAGGGGTCTAATGAAATAAGATTCAATTTGTTACTTCTTTCTGCCAAAAGATGAAGGCTAAAAAACATTTCCTAAGCAAAATTTACAGGAGAAGATGATGAGAAATTTGTACCATGAGTTTGTCCACTACATTGGAGAAAGAGAAATACATAATCATAGCTTGAGGGAGTATTTGTTGTCATTATTTTACAAACTTTGTAGGCAGAACCTGGAAGTCATCTATACTCTCTCCTAAGGAACATTGCTGATGTTTCTGTAAGTAAATCTTAAACTAAACTAGTGAGATATTATAAATACTTTCTAGGTAGCTTTAAGGAGGGCATCAAGATGTATACATGTATGCATGTTTAATGCAATAGAGGGAAAGACCTGTTGTAGTCTTACCTTGACTAAACGAGTGCGGGGTTTAGCTGGCTGGTGAAAGAATCACCTTATATGTAACTCTTATAGCCAGTGACTCCTAAAGTCTACTTCGTATGAAACGTGGGGCTTTTTTAACTGGCCTCTGACCGATTATTTTACAAAAAATGAGTGACATATTTGCCCTTTTTGTCTGAAGTTTTATCTAAACTTGTTTTTGTTTGTTTCCTTGTTCAAGGAAGGGCCATACTCCCTTAAAGACATTGGTGTGCTTATCGAAGAACTTGTTGGTGCTTATTATGAGCCAATGTACCAGGTTGATACACCCCATACCAACGCCCTGGCTGCAGGAGTTGCTGGCCTGTTTGGAGTAGCACCTTACACGGGGGATAAATCTGATGGAGAGAATGGTGCTTTGTGCCAATCGGCAAAACTTCAGCCTTTAGATAAAACTTTTGAAGTGCAGAGGGCCTACAATGCCACGCGGTTTGAGAAGCCTTTTAGAGAGCTCTTCTTATGGGCAGTATTAATGAATCGATATAAACTGGCAAGATTCATGTGGGAGAAAGGAGAAGAAGCTGTGTCCGATGCATTGGCAGCGAGTAGATTGTTTCAAGCCATGCATGATCAAGTTGAAGATGACTATTTTGAGATCAAGAGGGCATTGAAGCAACACGCAGTGTACGTACAATGAAAGGCCTGGGTATTCTTGAGTTAATTGTAATATGAAGCTAAATTTTATGGTGAATTCAGGAAAGAGATGGTGGGGGGGGGGGGTGCATGCCCCTCCTTTGTGGACAATGTTCAAGGCCCTTAGGGCAAGGGAAATTCGATACTTGGTTGGCCAATGTTATCCAGTTTGTGATAGCACGCTACCTGCATATTTAATGTGTGACCTGGTCTTCATTTGTATGTTTTCCTATGTGCGCATGAAAACCTTGAAGCTCAATGTAGCGTACTTAAATATTTGGCTCAAATTTGTGACCACAGTTCTTATGCTTTAACTCTGTTTTACCCACTACTGAATTCAATTAGGTTTTGATGTTTAGGGAATGATTTCTTTGTAATTTAGACCGAATACTTATGTAAAACTTGACTTCTATCATTACTAAACAATTCTAAACCAAATTGTGACTGGTCTCACCATTTTCCAAAACCAAAGCCCTAAAGTCAAATGGAAAGTCATGCTGAGGTTGCAATCGCTTTGTTTTATTTCATTGGCCTTCTTTTATAGTAGTGAGGTCATTGATAGGTTATTTTTTTGTATTATGTCAGTGAATTTGAAACATTAGCCCTTGGTGTTCTTGATGTGTGTTACAATGAAGACGAAGTGTTGGCAGAGATGTTGGTTGAGAGGGAGATACCCAAGTGGGGTGGTATGAGCCCCCTTAGCTTGGCGGCTGCAGCGAAAGCAGAACAATTCCTGGCACATCCATGCTGTCAATCAAGTCTGAATAGCATTTGGAAGTCACGTGGTATGCCTGGAGTTCAGTACTGGAAGGTACGGCAGCTCATTGCCTGTATTGAAACTTTTCTTTTAAGCGTTCTCATGATGTAGTGGTTTTCTTCCGATCGTGGTAAATTCAGACAAGTAGTTTTAACAGTGAAGGGCAACGTTAGAAAGGGAGATGTGTTTATACAAAAGTTGTGATTGAATTTAATTTAACGGCTAATTGGTTGAAAAGTGGCACACAGTTTAACCCAAAGCACAGAGCATTGTCAACCTGCTAACCAATACAATTCAAGTGTTGTGTTTACACTTACTGCTGCTAAAAAATATTTATCTAAAGCCATCAGCTGTTCTGATTGTTGATTTGAGCTAACAAACTGATGGCCAATTTAGAATGGTTTGATTCAGTGCTTAGAAAATGGCAAAACTTATCAACTGAACACACTAGTGAGACAATACCGGCTTAGACAAATCAGCTTTAACTCTCTGTGATTGGCTAAATCAAACTCCACCACTAAATTACCAATCATGCTCAAACGTTAACGCCTGCGTCGCAAGTGGAGGTTGGGTGCCCATGGGCCAGGGGGCTGCATACAAATGCAATTACACCGCAAAGCGGAAGAACACCCACAGGCCTACCAACCCACAACCTGGCCACGAGCCCCCCCACGCCCAGCCACGCCCAGCCCCCCACTATAGCACCTGTCACACTGTGGCCAGTAGCCCAGTGGAAGTAAAATGCACAAACCCCTGAAACAAGGGAAAAAAGAATCCCGGAAAGGAGGGGGAGACCCTAAACCAAGAAAGCAGAGGGAGGGAGGAGAAACAAGAGAAACGCTACGCTACTGGAGCGCCACGCCACACCATGCTACGCTAACAAAGCTTTGAATACAATGCAAATAAAATGTAGGCACATGGCCTGTGCATGTGCCAAAGCAACATACCGCTGGACAGGAATCTGCCCCCATGCTCATGAACAATGGTAAATGCTACAAACGCAAACATAGTTATGCTACAAATGGCCAACACACCACCAAAGAACACCAAAAATACTCGAGACCATAGTTCCTAGTTGTTAACTACATTAAATATGATTTAATAGTATTTACCATGGAAACATAGTTAAGTGCACTTTCTACTTGTTTCTGCTTGTTTCTGCAGAAGATACGAATTTAGTCTGATTCTCCATCGGATTAAAAGTTTTTGTTGTTATGTGGTTCAACTGGCTTGGGTGTTAATTTAGGACGCTTTTTCTCAAGTGCTCCGTCTAAGGCCTGCAGGAACTTTTCCAAACTTTTCCAATCTCTTTTTAAGGTAATCCTTGCTGTTATCTGCCCACTAATGATTCTTAAGATCTTATTCTATGACGACGAAAATCACAGCTGGTCGGTGCCCCTGTGGAAAAAGGTCCTTATCTTCTACAATGCTCCAATAACAAAGTTCTGGTCCTATCTGGTAAGAAAATAAATGTTGTTACCCATTTCTTAATTTACCTAACACGGTTTGAGTTAAGACTTCAACATTTAACAATATTGGTAGTGATTGAGGCTAAGCCCTTTTTGGGGAAGTATTTTTCCGTTTTTGTGTGTAGTAATACAAGTAGTAAGTATGAGTTACATAAATCAATAGTCATGCATTTGTTTGATGAACATAATAGGCCTCTTGGCTTGTGTACTTTTAAAAAATAACAAGAGAGTAAGCTGTAAAGCTTCATGAGTTTTGACGCATAATATGGGGTGAAACAATCTCCATTTTTTTTTCTATTACTCATTTTGGAGGGGCAAGTAGTTGAAATGTTATGGTGTTGTCTGCAGTTGTCTCAGAGTTTTTACTGTGCTTTCTCAGTTTAATGAACCAACCACATTTTAAAGTTAATTCTTCACCTTATCTCTTCTTTTTTTTCTTTTCCAGGGAATGCACTTGTGCTTTTTAGGATTGTATGCTTTTGTAATTTTATTCTCATTTCATAAGTCTTGGCCCTCCATCTATGAAATTGTGCTCTTGTGTTGGATTGGTGTCATAATTATGGATGAAATTAGACAAGTGAGTAACAAAGAACCAAAGCACATGAATTTCGAACTTGTTTACAGAATTTAGATTAGTTTGAGTTACCTGTAAATATAATTGTACCCTATTACAGTCCTGGATTAATAGAGTCTGTGCCTTGCCTAAGAACACAGTGTGAATAACGTCCCCAACCCATCCATCTTGGGAGTTGCTATTCCTTTGTTCATGGTTAGGAAAATTTAATAGTATATTTAGCCCCTTTGATGATGTATCCTGTTTCCCCCTTCCCTTTCCTAGTTTTCTTTGCGTATTATTCCCTTTTTGAGTCACCTGAAAAGCCTCTCAATCATTCATATCCACAGGTCATGAATCAAGAGACATCCACTTTTAAAAGCAAGTTGGAACTATATTTTAACACCTACGTAAACATTGTGGACACATTTGCGAACGCAATCGCTCTCATTGGTTTTATCCTACGGTTTTTCGATGTCACATGGGAAGCAGCCCGTGTTTTGTATTGTGTGAATTTCGTCATTTTCTCCTTCAGACTTTACAGAGTGTATTTTGTTAGTGGTTACCTGGGGCCAAAGATTATTATGATAAAAAGAATGGTAAGTAGTTTACCGGTGGGTCCTTTTTAAGGTAAAACAGAACTTGAACAAACACACTCAAGCAAGGACTACTGAAGTACAAATTATTCAGCCTTCGCCCTTTGGCCTTGTTAAAATTAGTTGGTTGAGTTTGTGAGTAAAGGTTCCATTTTGATATATATGTGCACTGAGTAATAGAAATGATGGGATATCAATGCTTATGGTCAACTAGTCATAAATTTCATGAATGATTGGATTCCACCACTCCTTTTCAACCACGGGTATTCAAGCAAAGCACTCGCTATTTCTCCATTAGTCACATAATCAGTGCTGCGTAGGTATTGAGAGCTGGTCTAGGTTTAGTATTATGCTTTGCATTTGCTGAACTCTTTTACTTTTCAAGCAATGATTTATGATCGTCCCCTCCAGCTGCATGCAGTGATGATTTTTGCAATAATGATCGATATAATTTAGTATTATATTCTTTCGATATTACTGTCTATTCCAATCACCTGTTTGCTGGGTTGTGTATTAGTCAGTAAACCTTCAAGTCATGGTTTTCAACTAGTTATTTAGCAAAAAGAACATTTAGGAGTTTTCAGTTTAGTATTGAAAAATAAAAATCAAAGTAATCACAACAGCCAGTCAGAATTAAGGTCAGGATAAAAATAGGTAAACTGCATGAAGCCCAGGAAAACGTGGATGATCAAGTCGTGTCTGGGTTTAGTTTAGCATCCAATTGGTTGATAGGTGCAAGTTTTGTAGGCCTTTTCAGTAGAGAGCGTAAAAAAGCAAAACCGAGGCAGTCCTGAATTACCTTCGATACTTATTTGGAGATTGCACTGAAAGATAGGTTAAACTTACACTGAATTTATCTTTACAGCTTGCAGACGTTATGATGTGGCTTTGTCTCTTGTTGGTGTTTGTGTGTAGTTATGGTGTGTTCAGGCAGGCGTTGTTCTTTGCTAACAAAGAGCCATACTGGGGTGTGATTAATGATCTGTTCTACAAGCCTTACTGGCACGTATATGGAGAATTGTTTGTTGATCAGGAAGGTAAGCAATTGAGATTCTTCACGTTATTTGTAGAGAAAAGTTTCAATTGATAGCAATAAAATCAACAAAACATATATACAGCAGCTTGCAACACGGGTGCAGATGCAAAGTTGATCCGCTCGCGTCTCTTACAGTGTCTGCAATGAATTTCTGGTACTATGATTTTTGACTGGAAACCTTCTAAATAATTTGAGCTTCTTTACCACATTTGGGACATGTTTGTTCTGCTTTTCAGTTGAGCAAGGCAAGCTTACTACGGGCGAAATTCCTTTGCATGATGGAGAACATCTAAAGTGGATTCATCGCATATTCATGGGTGGATATTTACTCATCACCAACGTGCTTCTTATCAATCTTCTTATTGCTATCTTCAGGTATTATGTCTTATACTTTCAATTACCATCTGTCAACCAGCGACACTGAAAAGTGCTATTTTTATTGAGCAGCTTGTAGTTTTCAATTCTTGATGTGTTTCTCTTTTCCTGTCTGTAATTGTGCCTGGAAATCTGTTCACAAACCTTGCGTAAGTATGACATTCCCCTTAACGCACAAAATTTTTTGGAAAATGAAGTTTTAACTCTGTCTACTTGAGCATGTCAAGAGAGTTGGTTATCAGTCATAACACCTAGGCAAGTTGTAGAACTGAAAAACTTCACAAAGCCATGGCCAAAATGTAACGGCTGCCAAGGGTCAATTAACTGCTGCTTTTTCATTATCATAGCTTCGGTTTAGAGAGGTGGATTGTCAATTTTTTTTAAAGAGTTCCACTTGGACGTCTGTGTCATCAGGCCATTTAGAGATAAAATGAATTGTTCAACATTTTGACCAATTGAGTAGATTGTGGTGTCGTCAGCATACATCACAATGGAGCCATCTTCTACTTGATCAGGAAGGTCATTAGTATAAATAGTATACAATCTTGGACCAAGCAAGGATCCTTGAGGAACACCAAATTTAATAGGAAGAGACATTGATCTCTGATTGTTTACTTCTGTATATTGGTATCTATCAAGTAAGTAGCTCATTAGCCACTGATGTAATGGGCCACAGATGTCAACTGCTTTGAGCTTTAAGGATAGAATTTCATGCGACACGGCATCAAAGGCTTTTTGAAAGTCAATAAATATGGCCCTAACAATTAGACCTCTGTCCATAACTAGTTTCCACTTTTCTGTCATGGTGAGAAGTAAGTCCTCTGAGGAGCAACCTTTTCTAAAGCCCCATTGGTGTTTACTTAAGAAGCCACAATCTTGTAGATGGCTAGAACAAATCTGGTTTTCTAGGAGCTTTCCAGGAATGCTGAGTAACGAAATTGGCCTGTAGTTTGAAACCTCGGAGAAGGAGCCCTCTTTATGCTGCTTCTCTGACTAGTTGTTAGTCTCTTTCTGTAGCAGACTGTTTGCCTCCCAGGCTGCGGTATTTTGTGTCGAATATCCAAGTTATCACATGGTTAGTTTCGCCAGTGGGCCAGATGAAGTAAATCCTGTTTTCTAAATGGCTACCCCAGTTATGATCACCCGACATGATTCTGACAAAAACGAAAAATGTCTTCTACCCAGTTACATACCTCATAACTCCTAGGGAACTTTTTTTTTGTCCAAAAAGAGTTTTTTGGGCAGTTTTGGCAACAACAGAGTCACAAACACGTCATTAGGCTGAGAAAACAAAGAAAATGAAGACAGTTTCGCCCCCTACACCAACGTGGCACCACAGTTTCTTTTTCTGATTCAATTCATTTGGTACGTTCTTTTCTTGTAACTAAGTTTACTAAAATGACCCATTCGTTTTATTTCAGCAACGTGTTTAATGAGGTTGAGCTTCACTCGTATCAGATATGGAAGTACCAGTACTACAATCTTGTTATGGAGTACAACAAACACCCACCTCTGGCTACACCTTTCGCTTTTATTTTCCATCTTGTCGAGTTTGTGCGGTGGCTTGTGAGGAAGTGTAGAAAGCATAATAAAGTCTCTCGTAAGTTGTTTATTTTTGTGTTGTTGTAAGGTTGTGCCGCTTTAGTTTTCCTTTGTAAATATTATCTTGGCACATTTTTTGTAACTTTCTAATTTTTCGTTGTAGTGTTTTTGTCTCTTACTCGTGGATATAGATAAGATAACTATACTCTCATGCAGTGACTGAGTTCAATTTCTTATATGGAGGAGTTTCAACTAAATTATTACAGGACTACCTCTTCAGTTAAAGCGTATTATGTCATGCACACCCAAAAAAATGATTATTTTCTTTTAGCTAAGTTTACTGCAGAGGATCTTGAACTGCTAAGACTCTTTGAAATAGAAAGTGCAGCCAACTATCTACAGCGCATTGAGGAGGAAAAGAGAACTGGTACAGAGGAGAGGGTTAGGAGAACCAGTGAAAGGTGAATTGAATTTTTAGTGGTAAAGGTACTGAGTGGAGATCAGATAACACAACACTTCCGAATTCGGGTCCTTGATTTTTTTAATCCCTCGTGTGGCCACAAGTATTTGACACAGGTCTCCAGTTAGTTGAAGTAAGGAAGTACCAAACGAAAATCTTCGAATTGGGTTGGAAATGCCTCAAACAACTTGTCCTGGTTGTGGAAATATTTTCGGAGGGAAGGAAACAGTGTGGCTGAGTGGTTGAGGTGCTGGTCTGTAATCTGGTGGCCCTTCATCCTGCTACTCCCTGGATTTGTTCTTGGTTACCTTAAGTTCAACTGCTTGGCTGCCCTTTGTATTGAGCCAAATGGTCTGTCTTTTACCATGTTTTTCCAGTTTAGCGGGCCACAAGGTTATCAGTTTGCAACTCTTCAGAGTTATCCCCTATTAATTAAGTCCTATTTATTTATTGCGAATAATATTTTGTCAAAGCAAGAACAAAGTGCTCGGATTGCACTGCCCTGGTTCACAGAATCTGTTTTGGCATCATTGTATCTCTTATCTGCTCAAAACAATCGATGACCAAAGAGATACGTCATTCATGAGAATAGCTTGTTGTTCATGAACTACTACAGAAACAAAATTGTTCAAGTTCTCGATATAGTGATATAGATTTTTATTTATTACACGTTCTCTCGCAGGGTGGAGCATTTGGTGAAGAAAGTCACGGAATTACAAGAAACTCTTCAACGTCACCTCACAAATACCAAGGGGAGTTTTCAACAGAGCAATCTTAATTCTAGTTAACAGCAGTCAGTGAGCGAGGTTGGGTGGATGTTCATATATATATATATATATATGTTATTCACCAGACGGGAGGTCCGTAGTGGGAAAAACCGGGCCCGAGGTCTTGGATACCGCCCGAGGCCGTAGGCCGAAGGCGGTACACAAGGCAGAGGGCACAGTTTTTCCCAATACGGACCGACTTTGGCTGGTGAATAACATTTTTAATTTTTCTAAGACCTAACAAATGGTTGCGAATAGAACCGCCCGCTGTGAGCGGGCCGGGTGGGGAGAATACTGCCCGCTCTCGGAACCAATCAGATTGCAGGATTTGTAGAATACCGCTCGCTCACGAACTGAGGAAAAAATAAAGCGTAGATATCAGTAACGAAAAAGCAAGATATCGAGTTAAGTATTTTTTCCAGTTGCGTCGCTTCGAAGTTATTTCACTTCAAATCGAAAGTTGTTTTACCACAAATCTAGAGCGACGTATGGAAAGAGAGACTGTTGTGTAAACGTTGCACGAATGAGGAAGAGCTATTCTCTTTGCAGCCACTGTTCGCTCACGTTAACTTATAGATAGCTCAGAAGCGTAGTCAGTAAAGTAGCCAATCAGATAACAGCTTTTGTGATAACACGCAACTAGATTTAAAAGATTAAATTACATCTAGAACATCGGACGTAAATTTATTGAAAATAAACAATGTTAGATATGATATAGGAAAAATGAAACAATTGAATCCGAACTAGTTTAAACCATTTTTGAGACTTCAGATAAGTCACCACACGTCTTGGTGTGTGTTATGATATTTGTCAATCAGGGTTTTAATATAGATATTTACAAGTTTATACCACTTTCTTCTCAAGAATGTTCTGTTTTATCTAGATGTCACTTTACAAATGAGAATAATCTATTATTCAGCTACACATATACCACACTACTTACCTTATACATCATTTAAAAGACATTATAAAAATATTTACTCTTACCTTTACAACAATTTATTCGCATCCTTCAGTCATACTTGCAAACACACCGTTGAAACAAGTTCAAACCTTTTTGAATAAATAAAAAAATGTGATATTTAATTTTATTAGATGGCTTAATTTGTATCTCTCGTTTTTATCAAATACACCACTTTTCCATTTGAACTTGTTGAAATCTGTAATACACAGCATCCGAACCTGTCTCAAATGTTAAGAAATGTATGATTACTTGCTTCTCGGATGCAAAATGGTAACATCACTGCTCTGGGGTCATTGAAAGAGACTGTAGGTCAGGTTTGCGTGAGGAAAATTAACCCTTTGTTCGTGCAAGTTTTGAAAGATTAGAAGAGGCCTAGCATTCCAGAGCTTATCCCGTTTTCCTGGTTTCCTTTAATGAGATGCTAGTTAATTTTGTGTTGCCCAACCCACCACACCCAAGTAGTTTTCCAAACAGCATGTTGTTACGTGAGAGCCATTTTCAGCGGCTGTTTTACATCAAGATTTTTATAACGTTATTTACCTACCTTTTGGTGGTACGGTCGAACCGGTGTTAAGTGGCACCGTATTAAGCGATCACCCTGTATTAAATGGTCATTGTCAAAGTCCCGAATTTGTTTCCGCTTAATCACTGTAATGTTAGCGGTCATCTTTGTATACCCCGTGGGTGACCGCTTAATACAGGTTCGACTGTATTTCCCTTTTATTACCCAAGTTTTTTCGAGATGTCCGAGTAGAGCCTCGACCACAGATTCAATTTCGCAGTGTCTACAGACAATGTTTACGTATTACATCACGCTATTCCGTTCTAGTACGTGAAGACCCGTTTCTGGTTCAAAATTTGATGAAAACAATCTTGATAGCTTCTCTGAAAGCACAAATACCTATTACTTTAGTTCATTTCCCTCATCGAAAAAGGCGCAGTTAGAATATACTAAAACTTTACATGATGCAATTCCTAGGTTAGAGTTCAAGGTCAAACGTGCATAGCTCAGCTAAGGGGGGGGGGGGAGGGAGGGAGGGAAATAATCTACCTCTTATGGTTGAAAAGGTATGTCACACCCTTCAATATCATTTCTTCTTGCTAATATGACACAGCTTTGAGGCAAGAAACCTCAAGAAATTCAGGATTCAGGAACATGAGGAGATTCAAAACTGTTTCCCAGCCTATGTAGCCCCCGTTATTTGATAATTCAATATAAGTCTTTTATCTGTGTCTTTGAGGATGGTATGGCCCACTAAATTGACCAATCATACTGCATCATACTAACTAGATGTTATAAGAGAAGATCATGAGACAAGAAACCAAGTTGCCCTTACAAACTTTTATTTTTAATAGCAGTATTACCATAATGTATACATTATTTCCCCTCTTTTTTTTTCATAATCCATTTAACTCATGATGAATGTTACAAAAATTTTCCACTCAAAAATGTAAGCTTACAGCTGATGTTTATAAATAGTTACCCTAAGTGACTAATGCTGTTAGGGAAGAGAAAAAGGCCTGCCATCTAGGGCTTGTTTGTAGCTTGCATTTAGCTTTCTAAGTATTGCACTTACCTCTGAGAAGAATTTGCAGATTCAGAACATTGAAAGTCACTTAAAACTAGATAATAAAACCACCCTAACCTGAAAATTATCATCATGGCTACATACTATACTACTGAGTGGAATGGAGTTGGAAACTTTATCAGACTATCATGTACTATGCTACCATTAACATTACACTCTATCTAAGTAACATTTACAGCTTTGAATCATATAAAAATATAGTGAATGGATGGTATTATATCACATCTGCAAGAGCCACTGAGCATTAAGAATGAAATTTTAATGTGATGATTCTTTGATTATAAGAAAATTATTAATGCAGATTTTGTTTGTTTAAACTGGTATTTATCTTACACTTTGTGTTCATAGATTATTCCCAATGCAGCTATTTTAAATTCTAACTCTTTTTCTTTGGAGGGTGTAAGAGCTTCTTTTCAGATTCTTCACAAACATAACTGATAATGATAATGGAGATAATTCTCATGTGGTTCTTATTAACTCTAACTTTTCACTTTAGCTAAATAAGATTCATCTCTCTATAATATCACTTTGACCATTTGGAAAGGTGAGAAATATTCAGATACTGTATTCTCAGGGACAGACGCATGCATGTTTGCCATTTCATCCTAAACCTTTGATGCTACATGCAGTTCATTTAATGCATACTTTTCCACTTGTGATTAAAAATTCTTCGCCAAATTACATTAATTTTAATTAAATGAAAAGTAGTTCAGATTATCAAGTCACACAGAAGGTCTGTCCTCACCTAAAGACCTGAAAAGAATCATCAGAAAATCAGTGGTATATTCCAAACCATACAGAGGAATGTGACATTGGTTTTTGAATATCTGTCTGCCCTTGATCATACTGCTCGAGCCACCAATTTCCCAGTCTTCCTAATGAGTCAAAAAGTGTTTTATACTATGTACTGTACATTTTGCCTCAGGGATTTAACAGATTTGATGATAATTTGCATGAGAGAGCCAAAGAGAGATTTAACTGTACAAATTTGACTGTGGGCCTGTTAGTCTGGTTTGCCCACAAGGGTTGATGCATGTTTGCCAACTTTAGGTTGACAGCATAACAATTTGAAAGAAAACTGTGCAGTAATTGTTGACAATTTTTTGGTAGAAGCCTAACGAATAATGAGTGATGATCCAGTTCATAAAAACATGCAACTTGAACCAATAAAAATTGCACTGGAGAACAATAGTATTGGTATATTAAGTTCATTTGGTGGATGATGTGACACTTTTTATTTGAGCTGCAACCTCCTTTTGCGTGGCAAGTGTCTGACTAAATTTCTGTTCTACTAAATTAATGGAGGAGATAGCTTGGAAAAGAGATCCTGCAGGAATATCATCTGGTAACTTTGAGAGAAACTGGCCCAGGTGAATGAAATCCATTTCCAGTAGTTCATCTTGGTAAAACTTCAGTATTCCTGATAGAGGAAAAAGAAACTAAAGTTAACCTGAAAATTATCTACAAAGCAAGCCTGCAATTTATTGAATCCTTCACAAATAATAGAAGGAAATACAAATTTATTTAACAAAAACATTTTTTAATAACTTTACCTACATGACTGGAACAATTTATTTTCTAAGAATTGAATATATCTGGTTAGGGTTATGAGGCCTTAAACAATAGGTATTAATGTAGCCTGCACTATTTTGAATGCCAACTCTAAATGTAACTTTCAAGGAACTCAAAACATACAAGATCATCAGTAAGAAACTCACCAAGTGCAGCTCTGAAAAGGAATTCTTCTCCATCTCTACAGAACACATCCCATACTCTAGATGCTATGTCCAGTGGTAATGACTTGCTAAATAATGTGAATGTCCTGCAATAATTTTTAAATAGATCTTGTTGACCTTGTTGTTCCGATGTTTCATTACAACATTATTTTCTTTGACAATTGGTCATAGCTTATGTGGACAAAGGGTTGTAATACTTAGACCATATACTTTCATGTCATTTTCCCAATTTTTTTTAATATTGGCGGCCATCTTATTTAGGAGTCCATTCATACCTTATACAATTTTGTTTTTAAATAAAATTAAAAAAAAAAACATTATTTGAAGACATCTCAAATGAACCAGAATTATCATCCGTTCTAAAATACAAAATTTAATGTAATTCTAGATAATACTATAAAATTTAAAGCTACGAAAATACAGCCCTTACCAGTCAATTAAGTACATATCTGGTGTGAAGTTTTCTTCAATAAAATGTGCATGAACAGAAGGTAGGAATTCTTCTAGAAATATCTGAAATGCTGCAAAGTAAGCTACCATCTATGAAAGAAACAAAGAAATCTATTAATTTTTACTACATATGTTACACAAGTAATGTCAGTTTAAATAAGATATTTGATCCACAGATAAATCAGATGTAGGGTAGAAATGAAAGTAACCTACTCTAATTCAAATGGGAATCAAGCCCAAAGGTGGAAAAGCAAAACTTTCTGAAAGCACTTACCATTGGGTGATCCACCCTAAAGAATGCCAGCTGACAAGGTTTATTGAGAAGGTTTGCAAAACAAATAAATGCATCAGAAGGTTCCATATTTAGCAATAACACTGCTGCAAGAAAGGACATTCCCTGAACCTGAAAAGCAGAACAGGGTTCCTCATGAAAATCAACAAATTTAAAATTAACTACTTTAATGTATAGTGACTACTTTTATAAATGTGTCTTTCTCTATTGAAAATAGTTTGATACCTAACAAAGAATACAAATTGCCATCTTTAAATTTGCTATTAATTGAAAGCATTTGTTATTTGTTCCACAACAATGGGACAAGTTCTGTCAGTAAGTTCACAAAAATAAAAAAAAGGGAATAAATGTTTTAACTCCAACAAAAATAACATGGGGAAGTCACTTAAGAATTATAGCACTAAAAGCTACTGTGTTAAACAAAAAGCAATGTATAATGACTCACATATCCCACATCAGGTCGATAACATGTGTATGCTCCTAAAATACTATGTAGAACATCGTGGAATGGGCCACCCTTCAAAACAAGATAAACAGAAAGCCTTGTTCTGAGTAACAAAATAATATTTTCCATAAAATATACTGAATTGAGAAAAGAGAAAGTTCCTGAAAAATTTCAAGGCTTCATCAAGATTTGAAAAACAACTTGTGTTACAACAGTGAAATGTACAATCAACTTTTCTATAAAGCCATTAGCACAGAGAGCCAAAAAGTAATTTGTTTCTCTGGATGGTAAATACAAGAATACAGAAAAATACTACATAACTGCAGAACAGTGTGGGATATATAAAAAGATACTTACTGTAAATCGGCTATTTGTACATTTTTTTGTGTTACTTACATTAGTTCTCTCAAAAATTGACTTGCGTTGTACTTAGATGACACTTGGTGCATATGTGTATGACTATTTCATGGTAATAAGAGTACTTCTGCAGAAGTAATAAATATGCAGGGTAGGACAATTACCTCTTGAAAGATACAGAGTGACGGAAATGTGCGTGAAACATCCATGACAATGAGTTCTACTGTGTGAGCCTTACTGACAACTGGATGGTCACTGGCTGGTAGTTCTGCAACTGTCTGTGTTACATTTTTCTGCTTGTTGAGGCGTGTTGTGAAGAGTTTTTCATATGCATGGGACTGGAATATGTCAAATAATTCTGAAAAAAAGTCACAACACTTAATAAATAGGTGCAGTTGTAAGCAATTCAACTGTTCACTATTGCTAACAAGGAAAACCAACCTTGAGTAATGTGTAAATCATTTCCAATAGCAAGCTTCCACACTTTTCCACGCACACTTGGTGGAAGGCCCTGCCACCAAAGTTCTCTTGTTTTCTTTGCATGTTGCCTGAATGGGGACATGGAGATTATATTCTCACTTATAAATGAATTTATTCTATGTCCAATAAGTGCTAAAATCAAAGAGAAGTAACAAACTTAACTAGCAGTTCATAAAAAAATTAAGAATAATGATCTTACATTGTTTCCCAGTTGGGCAATATTTCATTTGTCCACACAGAAGCAGCAGAGACAATTCCATCTTCCTGTTTACATTTTTCTTTAAGTTTTTTCTCTTGCAGCTTTAAGTCTTTCAGTTCTACAGTTGCAAAGTAAAATCAGGTGTCATGAAGTATTTGAATCAAAGTAATGTCAACTTATGGAGAAACAAAGGCCTTGTGGTTAGCAAATTAGAATCTATATTAAGAAGTTCAAGTCCCAGCCCCACGTAGCAAACAAATTTTAACCTGGCCTTTGACTCCCATATGTGACCAGGACAAAATTGCTCCTTGCAATATCAAGACAATATGAAGCAGCAAGTCTTGAGAATAAATAAAAGTATCAATTAGGGGATTATTAGTTCATCCAATACCAAATTCTCCTAACTAACATCATAGGAATTGTATTTCAGACAGTAAAAAGAGTTGTGAGATTTTGAAGTGAAAGTGTTGAGGAAACCTACCAAAATATCAGGGATTATCTGTAAATACACATAGCTTCATTTTTTAAAATTAATATAGAATCTTACTCATATAGTAAAAGGACATCATCCATGCTTAAAAGAATACCTCATGATCTAATAAACTCAACATAGAGAAGTCTCAAAAAAAAAAAATTGAAAGAGAACAATGCCAATTAGTACTTCTTTCACCTTTTTTCTTTGCTTCAGCCACCATGGCTTCATATTGCTTTCTGTGCTTTTTCTCTTCTGTAGGTGACTTGGCTGGAAGGTTGCTGAAATTTGAAAAGATAAAACTTACTAAAACATATAATGGAAGTTGTCAAAACAACAAAAACATTTTTAAAATTAAATATGGTCCTATCATTGATTCAAAGCTGAGAGTGATTTATTGAGCAATTACAAAACATCCACAAGATAACACCAAGAAAATGAACTAATTAATCACTAGGGATACATTTATCTAAAATTTGATGACTGAATGAACCATCATACATTAAAGGTTTAACATATGTTAAAGGCACGGCCTCAAACGAAAAAAAAAAGAAAAGAGAAAAAAAATTCATTCTGTATAAATAGATATCCCTGTAGGGTGAGCAGGTAAGCAGCTGTTCATTATAGCTTGCCTCTGTGAAGATCAAGTAAAAACACAGTTTTGGTCCAATCCCACAGCCCATGGCAAGCTAAATTTTAATTTTACCAAGCCTGAAGTGCAAGACAGCCTTGTTTCAGTTAATCTTTGTAGAACCAGTAAAATTAATTTTTCAAAGCTGTCGAATGAAATTTAACATTACACTTTACATAACATGCTACTTATTCAAGATGCAACTGAATCATGAAAAGAAAACCAGAAGTTATCTTTAAATGATAAAATGGATATTGCATGCATACATTGTAGGATTAACAAAATAAAATTACTGATGCAACTGTATGTACTTTATGAGAATGTGTAAGTTATAATTTATAAACACAACTAACCCTGCCTCTTCTAAGATAAGATGTGACTTATTTATACCTGGGTCTGTTTTCAAAAATAAGAGCTGTAGTTGAGCTGCCTGTTGTCACCTTCCTCCTAATCGAAAGAAATTTGGGTTTGGAGGTTGGAGCAGTTGATGAAGGCTTATCACCAAAAGAACTGCGCTTCAAATCTCCTGTAGATTGAAAAAAAAAAAAAAAAAAAAAAAAAAAAGAAATGGTTACCATTCTAAGCAGTATATGTACCTAAAGAACAAATCTTTCTGGGACAACATGCTATTTCAGGGTGGCTCCCCTATGAAGACCAACAATTTGCCTGTTGAATTTAGTTTTTTTTTTTTAGGTAATCATCTGTATATTCCTGCCCTTACTTAACTATAACTATCCTGCTAATTGACGATTAATCTCTAACCTCGATCAAATGATGATGACTGGATATGAGAATCTTTATTGTTATCCCTTGCATCTTTAGCGGGAACCTTGCCAAATAACTTCCAACCAGGAACAGGTTCCTTTTGAGTTGACTTTGAAAACAGTCCTCTAAAAGAATATACAGTGTACTGATTCAAACTTGTCTTATAATTCATCATTAAAATAGTAGACTCTATAGGTAGAACAAGCACAGAACATTGATAGACAATTTACAGGCACCCAGAGAAATGTGAATATATGTACAACCTACATCAGTACACACATGTAAATTTAGCAAAGCCTAAAAGTCAAGCTCTGAATGTTATTTCCTTGGCATGTATAACCAATAAAATTAAGCCCCATTGAACAGGGCATGTATTTGTGAATCAATCTCTGTTTTCACAAATTTATTAAAACCTTGGTCAAGACATATAAACAGTGACAAAAATAATCTATAATGGAGGATGAAAAGTCTTTGAAAACATGTACTTAATAAATGATAATTCTATTTTGATCATCAAATTGCCTGTAGAGCATGTTAACCTGATTCCATCATGGAAACTACAAACTAATTTCTTTAATAAACAAGCAAATAATATAATTAAGGATCTGATAATCCTTTTCACGCCTCATAAAGACTACTTGTGGTACAGCAAAATTCCTGCATGCTTTATAATATCATGTGGACCAAAAAGACTCTGAAACTAATTGTTATGTAAAAAGAACTTGGCAAGATTCATAACAAGTCAAGAGCAATTTCCTGTACATCATAATAAATGCATACTTAACATTATTAAAAGGAAAATAAAACTCTGAATAACCACGCAGTCATGTGAATAATGAATGCCAAAATAAAGAAAAGTGGAGAATAACAATCAATAACGACAGGCTACAGTTAATAAAACAAATCTTCTGCCATGTGATTTCAACAAATTATACAAATTAATGGTGTACGTGTGAATAGATCAGAGGTGCAATATACCAGAAATGATGCATGTGCAATACAATATACTACTAGTTTGATTAAATGAACAATATGATAATTGAAATATTTTATTCACATTTTTATCTCAAAGCAACACTGCAGGATGACCATCTTGTACATGCATAATTTAAAAAAAGCATTTGATCTCACCTTTTCTGTCTGTAATACATATATTATGGTTTACTTTGGAAGGTTTCCCACAATTGTAAATGAAGCAAGTAACTAAAACAGGTTATTTAAGTTTCAAAACTGCAATATTTATCTTCCTTGTTTTTTTGTTTTTTTTTTTGGACCAATGATGCTTAATTTTGGAAACAAGCTCACTTCTAAAAGCAGTACTGCTTCTAGTTTCAATTTCGTAAAGGCTTATCTTTATATCGACGCTCACCCACACACACCACAAAGCGAACCCTGAAATGTATGTGTGACAGTGTACAACGTTGTAACACATGCTGTGCAATAAAAATAACCTCATAAAAAACTTACTTTAGTTTGCCCTGCTTTTGTGACTTTTCTTGATCTGTAACAGGAACTGTCTTCATACTCGAACTTGGACTCGGTGCGTAAGTATTAGAGGATTTCGGAATCCAGGCCGCTACTGTTTCGTCTATAGCAAATCTAGATATCTGTTGGTACAGGTCGGGGCTAAATTGAGAGTTGTTAAGTGGGATCTCTTCTAGTTCTTCATCTCTAACAGTAGAACTAATTCCACTATCCTCAGTACAACTAGTAACTGATGAACATGCACTGAATTCCACATCACTACTTGGTGACTCTGACGATAGGGCACTACCTTTTTCTAAGTTTGTACTACCGTGGGAGTTCTTCTCATTTGTCCATTTTACAAAATTCTTATCGAGCAGATCATCGGAAGAATTAGCATTTTGTCTAACAAGGGGGAAAACTTCATCATTGTCCTCAACTGAAGGTTCCCTGCGGTGATTGGTGCCAAGGAGATTTTCTGAAGAATTGTTTACTACAGAACAATCTTGACTTGCTTCTTCACCATGAGGAAATGTACATATATCAGGATTGGTTGACGCTTCGTGCACATCTTCCGAAGATTGTACACTCTCTTTCGCTTTTGTCACCTTGCTGCGTTCTGACTCTTCTTTAATAATAGCGTCACGATTTGTTTCGTGGCAGTCTTTTTGTATCATTCCCTCAGTTTCAGGAGACAATTTTGGCATTCGGGCGTTTTGAGATTGTTCATCATCTGTAAATGGCTGGTTTGTCAATAAAGATTCACTGCAATTCGTCTCACCAGATTCATCTTGATCTTCCTCTAATCCATTTGAACCCTCCGTTACGTGTTTAGAGATAACAGCATAGTTCTTCATTGAACTCAACATTTTCGCAAAGCAAATATTCCTATTATGAGTTTTTCAGGCACCAAACGCCTTACGCTAGAGTCAAATTCAATTCCGACGAATATCCATTATCTTTCAACTCTCGTTCTCCTCTGCTTTTCCGAAAAGACTTACATCTCTGATTAAGCTGCAATTGTTCTCTTTTTCCTCCGGACGCTGGGTGACAACTTTTAGTCGGGATTATATAAGCGGCGCTGCAGTGTGACATCGTATCAAGAGTCACCCGCCATGTTGAGTTTACAATTTCGTTGATTATAACTCCCAGAATGCAAAGTCTCGGTAGGCTCCGGAAATGTCGGAGGTCTTCGGTTTGTAACCGAGAGCATTTCGGAGTAAACGTGGCGGGCAGATCGAATTGAACTACTACGGAACAAAATGCAAGAAGACAGCCCAGGTAGCAGGGGAAAACGCACAAGAAATGAACGTTACAGTACACCGACAAAGCCAAAGCAGTTGTCTGTGAAAGCTGCACGGCAAAAGGCAAAGGAATTTGCCACAAAAGATGACAAGTCTACTCGTGTGTTGGCAAAGCAAGCCATATTGAAAGAACTCAGTACTCAACTTGTTGTCAGAGCTCACGGTGTTGTTCCAAAAAATCGAAGTGAGGAGGAACACACTCAGGATCATCCAGGTACAATGGCAGAAAACATGTTTCATTTGAACCAAAGTGTTTTAGCTGACATATGTTTGGCGGGAAATTTGAATATTGTATGAGCCAATGTCATGCTTCCATATTGTTCTTTACTCAAATTTCATTTGCCTTTGTCACGGGCTATGGTAACGTGCAACAACGAGTTTCATAGAAAGAAAAACATAATTTGAACCTATGATGAAACTGAACCACTACTGTAAATCGGGTACATACAGTACACATGTCATATCTATAGTAAGTCCTTGATAGCCAGACCAGTCTGAAACACATGAGATAATGTGTGTGAGGGTATTTTCAGCCTTGTGCTTGATGGCTTCTTTCCCTTTTTTCTTTTCTTTTTTTTTTTTTCAAAGCAGACATAACAGACCATGGTAAGATTTCCGCAAGCCCCATACTATTGTAAAACAAATCTGTTTTCCCAATGGCAATCTATTGTTTTTGTTATTGTTTTCTCTATCCAAGAACTGAATGCATAATGTAGTATGGGGCTGTGTGGAAATTTTACCCAGATTATTTCTTTGCACTTTTTTTCCAGTGCATTTGACATTAAGCGATACAAAGAAAGAGGAACTGAAACCAGTTAAATCAACGTCCAAGATTCCAAGGTAATGATTTATCACCAACAAGGATACTCAACTGTGATATTTTTTGTTGTCAAGCAGTTACTACAAAGTATGAGAAGTGGCAGAGACACTCAATAAGCGGGGAGAAATGCATGGTTTAATTTACAACCACATTTCTTTTGAGTTACCACTGCTGTGAAGGTACTTTATAATGTATAGTCATGGGTTCTCTATTTGTTTAATTCTTAAACTTCTTGTTTAACTGTCAACAGAAGAGTGGATGAAGCTTATACCAGTATACGAAACAAAAGACAAGCAAAATCTGTCACACAACCTAAAAGGAAGATTCCTAAAAAAGAAGCAGGTTTTGCTGATAAAAGAGACAACCAACATGAAGAAAGAAGGAATAGGTATACGATATAATTATTATTGATTCTTCACTATTAATTGATCTTTGTGCTGCTGAACTAATCATCAAATTTTTTTGCACTTTGAATCATCATCAAAATATTTTTGTATCTATAAAGGTTTTTAGCTAAGAAGTATCTATTGATCTGGGAAAAGAAGACATATGGAAGATTAACTCTAGCTACAGCAAGGTAACAGGGAGCTAGTTTATTTGCAGTAACTTCCTACAGCACTTGGTAAACCAATGATTGAATGTTACTTTGATTTTTTATAACTTACTGGACAGTATTTATTTACTGTATACATGCACTATGTGGTTAAAACTTAGTTTCATTGCCATTATTGGATTTGGAATGAAATTTTTGATCTATTTGTACTCCTGAAATCTGAAATAGGACTGATTTCTAGCATTAATGTTCTATTTCTTATTAGTTGGAAAAAATGCGATTTTAAGAAAAAATATGTGCATTTATTTATAAAATTGGATCTGTAAACCAATCGTATTGCGAGGATCAGTAATTATATCAAAATGGATATATTGAATATGAATTATCAAATAATGCTTTTGAAACAACTTAAGGAGAACATTAGGTTTTCATTAATTATTAGGGTGAAAACTTTTGAAAGGGGTTCTGGTGAGGAATTATTGTTGAGTAATAATTTGCATATTACCATCATTATTGACTTACAGAGCCCATTATGAAAGAAAGCTTAAGCAACATACACTGCAGGTATGGCAGGATATTTGGTGGACAGGGAGAAAAGGGTGGAAGCTTAATGTCAGAGCTGATTATCACAATAGGTAAAGATCTATATTTGTACACTGTTGCATTTTTATGAGAGATAAATCACAATTTAACAATGTATTTAACATTGTAAAACTCATCATACCCCAACCCTTACTAAGGCATACATGTACTGTATGTGGAAATGTAATGATATGAATTGTACAGTATAAGTTTGATTATAATACATTAGTGAAACTCCTATAATGATAACCACCCATAAAGGCATAGACTCCCTTCCAACCAGCCATGTGAGAGGAAACATCTAATAAATATTTTTTGCTTGAATTGTAATACAGTACTTCGATAGCAGAGATACACACATCTTGGTACTCTGTCACTTATTATGGAAGTATGCACATACACGTAACATGCTAAAATTAAATTGTAGAATATCTAGCAGATCCTCTACAGAGTACCTAGGCTATTGTCATTAATGCTATGGTCAATTTGCCATTGGTGTGTCTTGTGTAGATGTACAAGGTCTAACCCTGCAGTTCAAACTTGTTAGAAAGGCACTTAGTACACTGAGTTATCCTTATTATGTTACAAAGAGGCTACAGAAGGGACTTACTCCTCTATTTCCCTTTTTTAATTCCTTTGTCCAATATCTATTTGGTAAATGTTCATGAACATATATCTTTTATTTATCTTCAGATATAGACTTTGGCAAAAGTCTTGGAAAGCATGGAGACAGTACATTATTTATTGCCAAACAAAAGCAGCAAAGGATAAGTTGGCTCATCACAGGGGTGAGGAAACTATTTTGTGTCCAGGTTGAAGTTGGACTTAACTGTAGCACAATGTTGGCATATTTTGTTTTCATTGAGATGCAAATGATAATGAACACTGATTATGGCAAGATTTTAATTGTCTTTGGTCTGATTGTCCCAGTGAGAATGAATCTGGTGATGGTTCAAAAACCTGAATAAAGTCATTCTCAGAATCTTGAGATGACCTCTGCTTAAGTTTGTGAAGCTTAATGAGTCACTGTCACTGTCACTTGTAACAGCCCTTTGCAAGACTACTTTCATCCAGATGATCAAAAAACACACTTGACTATTACTTCTGGGTTTCAAACCAGTTACAGTGCAGCAATGTTATTATTAGAAGGAAGATAGTCTATTTTTTTCTGATTATTATCAAAATTATTATTAAAAATTAAAATCCAGATTTTCTTTCTGATGTGTACCTGTTGAAATTATACAGAAAATTATTTGCATAATATGTAGAAATGTAATTTTCGTCTACAGCTTGTCTGTAATTTCATTATTCATCCAAATTGAAGGAATCTTTGAACTATTTTTGATTTTAGTAATAGTGTTTTATAGCCTTCATCTGGTGAAGTACAATTATTACAATTGATTTAAAAGTCCTCATTGAAATTCCCTATATCTTGATACTAATGCTTATAATGTGTGAGCGTACACAGTAATTGGGAATTTTTACTATTTTGTTCTGTAATTATATTATGCAGCACATCATTTGTTACTTGTAAAATGTTGGTCTGGCTGGAAGGGATACATTAAAATCAGAAGAGGGAAAAGACAACAGAATGACAGAGCAATGGATCTGGCTGACAAGCGCCTTAAAAAGTAAATTTGTATATCATTCTTGTATTAGTTTGGTTGAAAGAGACAGTTTTATGAGGTGATTTTACCTGCATGAAAATATCAAATGTTTAATGAATTTTATCTTATTAGGATATCACTTCACATTTGATTTCATAGGCATGTATGGGAACACTGGCTGTCACAGTTGGCTTTCAGGGAAAAGTTACAGCACATGAACAATGAGGCCCTTCAGTTCTGGGCAGCTTGTCTTATGTCTAAGGTGCACTTTTAGAAACTATCTTTACTCACAAATGTATTAAGCAACAATAATCAGGTCATGACAGTAATGTAACTGTATCTCCAGTTAGACTCCTATTTCAAATGCTGCTTTTTCATGAGCTTCTCTGTTTTCGACATCCATTAGATGAGCTTTCACTGTTATACACTTTTGGTTTCATGAAATTTATGTGTAATGGTACATTTGGTTGACTGTCTTCCCTTGTCCTTTTGTCAAGGGTTTTTCTCTAAGCAATTTGTTTTTTTCCAACTAGACAATGTTCTCTATGTCAAAAAAAACCAAGTATTTTTAAAATTGATGATTTGACTCTCATTGTACCATTACCTACATGTGTCCTATGCCTCACCACAAACAAAAATTAACTTGTTTGTTAACATGATATTTCTTATATGATGATAATAGTTTTTCATTTTGGAACTTAATTGGGAAATAATTGACTTCATTATGAGCTTTGAGTACAAAGTTTCGAGCAACTCAGCAAATTTATTATATCTCTATTTATTTATCTTTTTACCAGGAATTTAAATATCTAGTAATATAGAAAAAAGCTATGAAATCGTAGACTAAAGGTGATAGGAAGTCCATGAGCTCTCTCTAATAAATATTACAATCTTGATGATAATGCAGTTGTATTTTATTCCCTTTTTGTTTTACTTAGGCCTGGAGGATATGGACCACTTTGCATTTTACAAGAATTGAAGAGAGGAACAGGATGAGAATGGCTTCACAATACTCTGACAGAATATTACTACTTAAAGTATGGAGAGGAATGAAAAACTACAGAGCTGTCAGAAAATTGAAACAGTTGCGGGGAGGTAAACTTGTGATGAGCATCATGTACATGAACTATTCCACAGGGCATTAACCTCAAATTCTACATGCTTGTTCTGTCTGAGCAAAATCCCTATTTTTTTGTTTTGTGTGCCATACGCCCTATATATTTTTAACTGAAATCAGAATTTGCAACCAATGTGAAAGTCACATTCTAGAAATCAATACTTTTTGCGGTTTCAGTTATTCAACAACTGAATTCCATATTGTCATCATGCAGGTTAAGTTTTGGTAAGTTATTAACTTGAAATGAGCAACAAAAAGTAGACAATCATTAGTGATTAGTGCCCTGTATTTTTATAACACCATTGTAATTTATCTTGACCTATAAAATACAAACATTTATCTTAAAACTTCTTTTTAGAAGCACCCCCACTACACAAAAGGTTTGACATTTGATTATCATGGGCTAACCCCTCTTGTGGTTACTTAATGTGGCATAATAATTATTGTGGTTGGTTTAGCTGTTACCATGGTGATGGTTGTAAAGGAAACAAAGATTCACTTGGTTTTTGTGAAATATAGATATAGGGTGCCATTTAAATTATTATTTCTCATTGATTTGTGTTAGAAGTGAATGGTCATGATCATTTTGGGTGAATTATTGAGATGTTTTGTCGTTAGTTTTCTTAATTTATACTGAAATGAATAACAGGCAGATGTTTTCAGCTTGAAAAAATACAAAGCCCATGTGACAAGTCTGTTTCAAAAAGGCAATAGTGAAATACCACCACTTATTATCTGAGTTGAGGTTGGTTGGTAGAGAAGTGAAGTAAGCTTATGAAAACTTCAGTAGATCAAATAACTTGTTGGTACTTGTTCTCTTAAGTCCTGTTAATGCAAACATGCTTGTTTATTATTCACAAGAGCCTTCCCAAACTTTCTGTTGCTACTTTGGCAAAAGGCATTTGTGATGTCAAACCCTGTAAGAGCATGGTATGCTGGTAGAAGCTGACAAAGCTCTTGTCCAAGCTTTTCTATGAAACAATGTATTGGAAGATAGCAGAGCATTTCCTTGGCCCAGTGTGGAATGATAACTGGTCACATCTCAAATGGTGATATGTAGAGATACAAAGAAAAGGTGACTGAGCTACAATGTAGCCATGATCATGAGAGCTGTCTTCAGCATGGAGAAACAAGTTTGTGTCTGCCAACTCATCATTCCACTTGGCTGGCAGATTAGGTGGATAGCTCATGCTCCCCTAACTATCTTAAAGTTTGAAGAATCCTGCGAGCACTAACTTCTCACCAGGGTTAAGCACCCTCTTTGCAATCTTTTACCATGTACTGCTCGCAAAAATTTTCAGGTTGGTCTTGTTTGCTGAATTTGAGATAAAGCTGTTCAATGTTTCTGGGGGACTGGCGTGACTATACTGGATATCCTCACTCCATAACTGGTGGATGTCCCTCATCTGTCTGGTTCTTCATATTTGATGGAGTTCTCCTTGCTATAGCAATCAAATAAGACAACCACACAAGTTTGTTGCTATAGCAATTAAATAAGACTGGCACACAATTGCAGCCATTCCTCCTGAATGGGACAGTTATTACCTTGAAATACTTATTTGCAGGCTCTCCAAAATGTTGCTGAACCCACATTCCTCCTCATCTGCACAATTACCATACCATGTCAAATGAATGCAGTTGATAGTCTAGCAGCACCATGTACATGAAGGTTTGGTGGAACAATAACGTCTTCAAGAAGTTAGCATTTGTGCTGAATCATGAAGTATGTAGGTCCATACTTAATTGAATGTTACATAATTACACATAAGCTCATTGACTCCCCAGCTGATCAACAAACTTCTTGCAATCTAGAGCTCTTGTAAGAGCTTATTGATTTCCTGAAAGGCAGAAAAAGTTATTGTGATGGGGGCTATTATCAAAGCTCATTGACTCTCTGTTTGACCAACCAACTTCTTACAATCAGGAGCTCTTATCAGAACTCATTGACTCCCTGATTGACCAACAAACATCTTGGTATTGGAACCTCTTATCAGAGCTCATTGACTCTGCAATCAACTTATAAACTTCATGTACTTGTGATCTGGAGCTCTTTTTGGAGGTCATTGACTACTTGATCAACTAACAAACTTCTTGCAATTGGGAGCTCTTATCAGAGCTCATTGGATCCCTGATTGGCCAACAAACTTTCGAGTATTGGGAGCTCTTATCAGAGCTCATTGACTCCACAATCAACCAATAAACTTCTTGTGATCAGGAGCTCTTCTCAGAGCTCATTGACTCCTTGATCAACCAACAAACTTCATGGTGTTGGGAGCTCTTATCAGAGCCCATTGACTCCCTGATCAACCAACCAACTTCATGCAATGGGGAGCTTGTATCAGAGCTCCTTGACTCCATGATCAACCAACAAACTTCTTGTGATTAGGAGCTCTTCTTAGAGCTCATTGACTCCCTGATCAACCAACAAACTCTCTGGTATTGGGAGCTCCTATCAGAGCTCATTGACTCAGCAATTAACAGTAAACTTCTTGTGAGCAGGAGCTCTTCTAAGAGCTCATTGACTCCCTGATCCACCAACAAACTTCTTGGTGTTGGGAGCTCTTATCAGAGCCCATTGACTCCTTGACCAACCAGAGAGCTCTTTGACTCTATGATCAACTAACAAACTTCTTGTTATCAGCAGCTCTTCTCAGAGCTCATTGACTCCCTGATCAACTAACAGAGTCTCTGGTATTGGGAGTTCTTATCAGAGCTCAATGACTCCTTGATCTACCATCAAACTTCATGGTGTTTGGAGCTCTTATCAGAGCCCATTGACTTCCTGATCAACCAACAAACTCTCTGGTATTGGGAGCTCTTATCAGAGCTCATTGACTTAGTAATCAACAATAAACTTCTTGTGATCAGGAGCTCTTCTCAGAGCTCATTGACTCCCTGATCCACCAACAAACTTCATGCAATGGGGAACTTGTATCAGAGCTCTTTGGCTCTATGATCGACCAACAAACTTCTTGTGATCAGTAGCTCTTTTCAGAGCTCATTGACTCCCTGATCAACCAACAAACTCTCTGGTATTGGGAGCTCTTATCAAAGCTCATTGACTCAATTAATCAACATCCTTCTGTGGTCAGGAGCTCTTATCAGAGCTCACTTACTCTCTGATCAACCAACCAACTACATGAAATCAGGAGCTCTTATCAGAGGTCATTGACTCTCTGATTGACCCATAAATGTCTTGGTATTGGAAATTCTTATTAATGCCCATTGACTCCACAGTCAACTTACAAAATACTTGTGATCTGGAGCTCTTTTTGGAGGTCATTTACTCTCTAATCAACTGACAAACTTCTTGTAATTGGAACTTATTATCAATACTAGTCAACTCCCCAAGCAACACACAAAATAATGATGGTGACCTGTTGACTGAGGGATTGCCAATGTCTATATGTAAACTGGAAGCTGATGGGAATAATTTATATATTCATAGAATACATGAGGATTTATCTCTGCTTTTGCCTTGTTATGTTTCTCCCAGTGTCCTTCATGTTCTGGTCTGATGAAATTTAGAAGAATCATCACCATGTTTACATAGTTGTTCCCAAAACTTGAACTCCGTGATGAAATTCTCTCTCTTAAATCTGCTGAACAAGAGATGAAGTATCACAAAGCAGGAGATATGTGTCTTTCCCCTTTATAGTGGTAGATACTGCCTTGTATGTGTGGATATTCTTGTTTGTTAGATCAGAACTTGCTACCTCAGCAGAGCTTCCATCAAAAACTTATGTGCTCAAACTGTGTGGGTGAGTGACTTTACTTCAAGTGTGTGATTGTTGATTATAAGAGATTACGAGCGGGTACTGTGAATATGTCTTTTTCAGCACCTTCTTAAAATTTCTCGGCTATGCAGCTAAGGTTTAATGCAATATGAAATCCTCCAGGCAAGTCATAATGTTCTCAAGCTCTCCAGGGAATTCATTTTGCCTTTGTACATAAAGCAAAATCAGTGATAAGTTATTTTTGGAGTGAAAAATTTGCCATTTACATTTTTAGAGCATCATGGTTTTTTTGGGTTTCCTTAGCAAGTGTCACCATAGTTATGGGTAACAAACCAAATAAAATTATTTCTCATTAAGTAACTTCCAAAGTATACCCCCCAAGATTTACTGCTGAAAATTTCCTGAACACATAAATATTGGTACTTCCAAAAGCACCTCACTACTGCTAATAGCAAGTCACTGACCCCACAATTTGTCTTTGACTGATGTAGTAATGATCTTTGGGTATCAGGCTATTATAATCTGATGTCAAACCTTTTGTGCAGTGGGGTGCTAAAAGATCAACTTTGTCTGGCTTCACCTCCTTGATTAGTATAGATTATTTTGATATTGCAGTGCAAACCATCACATTCTTTCATGCACTGGTCAGAAGCCCCTAGCACGTGATAGGCATGCAAGTACAAACCAAGGAAAAAAAAAAGGGTTATGAAGAAAATTTTGTTGAGTTAAATGAAGAACACACTCAGTTAGTTTTTGGTTTTTACACAACTGAGTCAAAGCACAGCCCGTTAGCATTAACGGTGCACGAAATCATGTGAAGTGCTCAAGTTCTGTTATAACTTGAACCAGAAGATGCCCTTTGACTGAAACCATATCTGCTCATTCGAGTGACTATTTTTAAGAAGTTAAAAGTTGGAATGACAGAAAAACCCTAGGTATTCAAAAACCAATATAATTATATTGTCATCAAATTAAATGAAAAATTGTTATGATGCACAAGAAAAAAAATGCTGTTGAAATACTAACCAAGTGAAATGGGACCTTTGATGCATTAAAACAATTTTGAATCTCTTTCAAGATGCTGCAGGGAGACACTTTTCCTTAATATTACTGAAAAAGTCATTTCAAACATGGGTGGCTAGATGGCAGAGACAAGTAGAGCTTGCTCAGTTTGAGGACTTGATTACCTACAAGGGTAATATGGCTGTAGCCAGGAGAGTATTAGTTCATTGGAAACACTGTATCCTTACCAGTTTAAAATGATTCTACATTTGAGAAAATTTGAACCTTATTGAAACATTATAACAGTCATTAATTACTTGTTTACAAAGGATTTAAAATTTTTAAATGTTATTATGAATGTATTGCCACTGCCTTTCACCCTGTAACTGCCATGATTCTTTATGTGGCTATCATACATTTGATGCATACAAAGTCATGTCTTGTCAGCTAAACTGATTTCCACTCTTGCCTTGGGAAAAAATTCAATTCTTTGTAAAACTTCAACTCATTTGTTGCCAGTAATCATTGTATTGATTCGGGTATTTGTTTATTGCATATATAATAACTAGGGTTTTTTTCACATTTCCTTTGTTTCAAGCTCATTTTCATGCATCACCAAGTGTGTCCAAAAAAAGGGAATATACCATTTGAAAAAAATTGACTCATCACATATACCTTTAAAGATCGAGAAAATACGGCTTTAATACTAAGGTTACAGTGGCACAAAATTTGATTTTCCTGGCAATGGTTTTGATTAACTCCACTCAAAGACATTTCTCTGAGGAAGGATATGTACAAAAATGAAGATGTTGCTGCCAACTATTATGAAAAACATTTGCTGGTTAGTTTCCATGCTACCTTTATTTAAATTTCAATTTAACTAAATGTAACATTGTTTGATTTCTGATTAAAACAAAATCAGTTATGGTGTTTGCTGGTACAGCTGTAAATGCCATGCTCTTTGATCATACATTACATGTAAACACCTACACAGTTTATGCGTTATAACTTAATTATTTCTTTGCAGACAATCTGCTTCAATGCTCTTCATTTGCAATCAATACAGAGAAGACTAAAAGAAATGCGAGTGAAGATGGCTAATGATCTGCATAAGAGACTTGTAAGTATAGGCAGTGCAAATAATGATTTGGTAGTCTGCACTTTAATTTATTATTACTACGCATGATCACTAAAAAGCAGTAGCACTTGCTGCAATGAACGTGTCAAAACAAACGTATATTTACTGTGAAAGAAAAAACATTGGGGTTACATCATTTATTCTTGAGTGTTGTTTGTCTCGTGACGTGGTCATTTCTGAAATGTATTGCAGCATTTTGACTAAATCCTTAGAGTCCTCTGCTGGCAATTTGGTTGATAGGCTGGTTAGTTATCAACTGTTTTTTTTTTTTTTTCCACATTTTTTATTGCCATTTTGAAAATAAAAAAGTGTTTACAAGACTCTCAGTATACTCTATTTACATTTGTAAGCTATTATTAATAATAAATTAAATAAGTGCCATCTATATAATAACCACTTAGCCTGAAATTGTTTCTGTGTATTGTTTTTAACAGCAATGTATTTCTCAGTTCTATATTTGACGTCTACTTGTTTTAAGAAAACTTCACATTCTGGATATCAACTGTTGATAGTCACAATTGTACCTCTACTGTGAAACATGTTCTTACAGATATCATGCAAAGGCACAGTTCTAATGTTTTGGTAGTTGGTGGTTATAATCACTTTTAAGTTGAAGTTAGGAATAATTTTCAGCAAAGACTGTCACATCACCAAATGTTTAATTTAGTTTTAGTGGACTAAAGCATGGATTGAATTAAGTTTTGTTTTTTTAGCATTTATTCAGACATGTTGGTGCACAATGAGACTAAATTTTTCACATTTCTCTCTTTGAAATAAATCTGAATTCAATAAAAGATACTACTTACAACTTGGTCCTGAGGTTTTTTGGAGTGAGGGGATCTATAAATTTCACATAATATTTTTACAATGTTCAAGAATATGTATTAAACATAATTTGAACCCTCTACGGGCTACAAGCAAACTGGAATGTAAATGTCATGTCAATAATTTTTTTGTTTTTTTTTAGCAACTTCAAAGGGTGTGGAGCATTTGGCTAAAGCGATGTGAGCATTCTGAGGAGCTGAAGCTTCATGCAGTGTCCAAGAGAGCAAGAGCACATTACAAGTATGAAAAATAAACAACACATATAAAGACATGTTGCTCTGGAATAAAAAGTGGCTTTAAGTAGAAAGTTGGCATGAAACTTTGCAGAAGTTGTATGGTACATACAGATGCACACTAATGAAGACACTCTGCTCCTGCTTTTACTTGTGCTTCTTCCTGAGATGTAAAACAATATTCCAGCTGATAAAAACAAGGGTACAAAAATTTCAAAGGAGTTTGTTTTGCAATATTTTGTAGATCCTTGTCTTTTTTTTTTTTTTTTTTTGTTTTTTGGTGATTTCTTTTTATTCTACAGATACACTACTTTTATACTGGATGTACCAGTGTCTGGATCTAACTTTTTAGATATTATATTTTGTTCCATAGAAAATAATGGGTCATCATTCATCTGGATCCTTGGTTTGTGAGAAGCATTTTATTATAGCTTCCTATTATTTTCTTACTGATATTGTGTTTTAATTTAGTCTTCAGCTGAAGAGGAAACTCTTTGTTGTTTGGGTGAGGTACTGTCAATGGAGACGATTCAGAAAATCTCAGTATGCAAAAGCTGATCATCATTTCTGTGAAAAAGCATTGCCCAGGTTTGTATTTAACTTTTTCTGTTATTCATCACTAAGAAAAAAATTGTCTCACTGAAGTTTGCAACTCCGATGACACCATTTGATTTGTTTGTAGTTTTTCAAAGTCTTGGCCATCTGATTTCACTGTTTTACATCACCCATGTTTTGACATGCTGAACTAATAGCCTCTAGCTTCTTCTCAACACCTTGATTAATTTTTAAAGTATGGCAGGTTTAATGGGGAAGGGGACTTTTAGTTATTTATTTTATTATTTACATAGTATGCATTGTGTGATGATGGCATTTGTGAAATTTAATGACTGTCACAATTTTATTAAAGTGATGTGATTTTCTTGAAGTAAGTCAGCTTTCCTTCATTTTAGGTATTTTTGCCGAATGATGATTTTTGTTGATCTCATGCATTCTCAGAAAGAAACTATCCTTGCTTCCAAGAAGTTCAGACGGTAAGTCAGATACAGATTTCAGGTCTTTGTAAAGTTGTATTTCTATATTTATTCTAGATATATCTTTGTGAATGGAGAGTACTTTTTCAAAGCAAGTGGAAAAAGTTCAAACTGTTTGGATTTGACTTTGCTGATGGCTGATCAACATTGCTTTGTGCACTGAGATACATGTTTTAAGCAATTTTTATCAAGTTGAATTATGTATTGTATCTCGGTGGCTTTACTTGTAAATTTTCATTTTAGTGAAGCACTTTTGGCCAAGTCATTTTACTTGTGGTGGAGGAAATACCAGCTTAAGATGGACATCAGAATGATGGAAAGGATGGTATGAAATTGTCCACTTTCAATTTTTGTTGTACTTTAATTCATGAGTCCATTGTGTTGGTTTTGTTTTATTTTTGTTGTTATATTTGCCGCTGATTTCGAATGAAAAAGCACAGTTGGCTTACCTGTATACAGGAGATACTTTTGCCAGGGATTACACAAACTTTAGTAGCAAAAAAACCTTACTTATCTGTACATCCATTTAGGCTTTACCTGTTGTTTAGGAGCATCTCTTTTCGGGTTGGATTTGAATTACATTTCTGACATTGACATTGTCATCCTGCAAGCAGAGTTGCCTTTTGATGGAAGGGAACGCTGCTCGCATGGTATGACAGTGTCTTTTTGACGGGATAAATCTTCCGAGTAGAGCTTGGACATCTGAAGTATACTTTGGATGTAGTTCCTTAGACTAAGACTTGAGATTATTTTGGAATTATTATATGACTGATTGGTTAAGCCTTTGACCCTTTAAGGTGATTAGCTTCTAATTTCTCTTTACGTTATCACCCTCGAATCAAACATTGAGGTCAAAAGTTAAGGAAATGATCAGCAACTAATAGAGCTTTTGATTGTTAAACAAATTCTCCTTGTCAGCACCTGTGGAAATGTAGAGCGAACAGAATATGCATATTGATATTAGGGTGTAAAGGGTTGAAAGGAAGGATACATCCAATGAGAAATTTCTTTTCTGTTTGTCAAGGCCATTCTTCATAATGATGAAGTTGTAAAGAGGCACTGTCTTCGTTTGTGGGTTCAACGAGCACGGAAAGTGTTACGTGAAAGAAGGCTTGAGGTTTGTGATCCACTCAACACTCCAAATAGATATTTAGTATCTGTATTTGAATTTCTTGACAGAATAACGAGGTTTTTAAATGGCACCGATTAATCTCTGATATGGTCGCAGGCACTGATTTCTGGTTGAGCGGCCGTGAGTCTATGGCCTTATTTTTCTGGGATGCTGTTGCGGCCCATGTGAAAAATACATCGGCTGTGGCAAACTTTGTGCCAAAAATTCTCAAATTCAAAATTTTGGTAATTCAAGTCAGTAGGCTACAACAGCCTCCTACGGTTTTTTGCAGCATTGGAATACTTGCATAAACGCGATCTTAACTCGCAGTAAAAGTTGTTCTTGAGAAAGAAAGAGATTCTTGTTTACTCTATCAGCCTTTCAATCTCTGCAATCTAAGTGGCTACACTACTCGCTATCTATTGCGTGATAGTGAGCGTGGAGCATTTGTGAATTATCTGCACATGGCATCACTTATTTGTATCGTTACTCAGAAAGAACACGAGTCTGTCTTTTTAAGTTTTGAAAAAACCAATTAGATTATTCGCTCTCACTTTATATACCCGATGATCGATTTGGGTCTCTCCGTCATTAAGTATCACGCGATAGAAATATCTTGCTTATTGTCTTATTGTTAAAATACGAGGATAGCCAGGGGTGAAGATCCAAGGGTTCATAATACCCCTTTTTCACTTTGTCAAGAAAACTGATAATTTTTATTAACAAAACAACCCCACCTTCTCCAAAATGCTAGTAAGACGAAATGACAAGAAACTACCTATTGTTGAAAGTCTGCCCAACCTTACACCTGTGGTTAAATATTTGTGCCCTTTTTTGTGGATTTAATCAGACACATTGCGCCTTCAGCAGGGAATGAATTGTTGCATCATTTGAATGATACCGGGACGACATGTTGATCGTAGGTGACTGATGAAGTGTTTCAAACTTGACTTTCAGGTTGTTGCCGATGATCATTACCATCAGAGATTGTTACTGATGGGAATAAGAAGATGGAGAGAGTTCAACCAAGAAATGAAAGCAAGGTATTGCTCATCAGTGACAAGTGATTAATTGGGCCGATGGGAATGCTCTAAGACAGCAAACTCTTTTCTTGTCAAATGCTTGTTACAACCAAAACGATCAGAGGTGGCTATATTCCATAGGCTGTTGTCAGAACTTCTGTGACATCTCATTGTGTGTTCTTTGCTGTAAGGACTAAGGAGACATTTCCCCAGTTTCAGTATGGTAATGTTATTCTAAAAAGCAACATGGATGTTAGGGATGGGAAAACGGATTGCTTTTGAAAAGACTAAAAATGTCGGACTAATATTTCCATTCTTCTAGGGACGTGTGCAGACCATGATGAACCTCCCTTACATTTGGTTATTTTTCTTTCTCACCAGTCGTTCATTGCAGCATTTATCAGTAAGGCATTACTACATCAATCTGTTAAAAAGGACTTGGACTGCATGGAACCGGGTGAGTACCGCTCTCGAAATCCACGGTTGCTATAAAAACTCTTCTTTGTGACAATTTTGTCATCCATCACATAAATGCAGAGTAATTCCATCGTACGTTTAAGCTTTGCTGATTTACATCAGCAACTTTTCCTTGACAAATTCTCCCTTGACAAGTTTCCTTGTCAGTACAGATTCCTGACAAGTCCCTTTGTCCGTCAAATGACACATCAAATCTATACAACGGGGAATTGTTGAGGAATCTGTACTCTGGCGCGCCAGTGTTCCATGGCAAGTCCCGTTGACAAGTTTTCTTTGCTCATGTAAACAGCCAGCAATTTTGCTGTGACAAGTACATTTGCTATGGAATTGGTAATGATAGCTTTCTGAGTACACTAAATGGCTTTTAGAGGATGTGTAACAAAAGTTTTGAAAATTTTAGGAAGATCTTTTTGAAAGGCTATCTTTAATACCAGATGAAATCGTAACATTTTCATAATTAAGGACTTTCAAACGATATTAATTGTTACCTCCCTTTCTGTCCTTCTTTCAGTTTGTTTATTTCAGACAGGTGAAATGGCGAAAACAGACTCGTGCTTGCCTTCATTATCAACGGCGTCTTCTTTCACAAGTAGTCGCTGCTTGGAAGGTGAGCATTTGGAGATTTAGTTCCGTGTATTCCATGACGGAGAGACTCGTTTGATTGTCTCGTAACATAGCTTTATGTGAGCTAATGTGTGAGCGGTGTCTCTTTTGTCTGAATAGTATTTGATGATTGCTTAACATGTAATCTCTGGCTCAGGTATTAGCAGTCTTCATATGCTGAGAGGTGGTACATTCGATAGTCAATGATCGAAAGAAGGCAAGGTTTTCAGTCTGCTCTACTGTCTCAGCCGCTTGTGCTTCTTCTCTTTAGGATCATTACCAACACGTAAAGGCTGTTGAAACACACTGTGAAGAGAGACTTCAAACCCGCAATATGGATCGACTGAGGTAACGAAAATATTTATTGGGATTGTCATCGTACTGATTCTTATCAAGGTTGGGAATTTTATGTCTTGCGTACGAGAGGATTTCAATCGACAATGATATCCCTTAAGAGCTGTGTCCTTATCGTACTAGGGGTAGGTAAAGTACAGAGTACAAAATTGTTAAATGGAAGAGACTTTATTTGGAGGAGGAAGGTTAATTTGATCAAGGAAGAGCAACCGAGTGAAGTCTCCCCTTTGATGTCGCAGATTAAATTTCCTTGGATACATTTCATGTTCTTCAGATATGCATTTGAAACATGGAAGAAAAACAGTACAGTAGAGAAAGAGCAGAAAAGGAATAAAATTATTGGTGACAGATTTTTTGCAAAAGCAATACTTTTCAAGGTAAGTCAGAGATCCAAACAAAGCTGTAGTATACGTGCGTTCAGTAGGTCAATCAATCATCCAGTCATTCACTCAGACAGTCAGCTACATGTGGTCAGTTCGTCAGTCACATAGTTAGACGGTCAGTCAGTTCGTCACTTGATAGCGAAAAAAGTTATCAGTCTTCAACAAGGGCCTCTGCGACAATTTTAGTAAAAGATAAGGACGTTTACTTGAGATATTTGGTTCCTTTTCAGTGTTTTTCATCTTGGAGAGAATTTGCAGCTCACCGAGCAGTTAGGAAATGGCAACAGTGGGAACGTGTTAGGGAAATTCAGCAGAAACTTGATAAAGGTCTGTACACTTTGCTTTTTTTCCCCTTTTTCTCCTACATCAAGAAACATTGTACACCCAATCTCGGTTGTTGGGCTTCGGTTGCTTTCTTTCTATTTCTGTTACCACTTCAGCTTTTAAAGGCGCGTAAAAATCTGAGATGATTTTATTCCTGTAATGATTGTTCAGCTCATTCGCCTGTGTTACTCTAAACTATTATCAGTCTGTGGCAATGGATCACGCTCCAATGGAGGCGAACTCGGTTTGCATTGACAGTGTGATTTGTTCGCCAGGTAAATTGTACCGCTCATTCCGCGCATGGAAGTCATTTAAACGGAAGTCGGTACATGACAAAACTCTGAGAAACAGGGCTTTCGACCACTATGAAAAGTCACTGCTCAAGAAAGCCATGTTCTCTTGGAAAGGCTACATACACCTGTGTTTTAGGATCAAGGTGAGTCTTGGTTGAGGTTTTTTTTTTTTTTGCTTAATGTAAACGTAAAAAAGTCTTTCTCCTCAAACACAGAGGATGATCTTTGTGTGGTTTGTTTGTTAAAATGTTCCCCATCAGTTACATTAGGCGAAGCCCTTGCCCCATACAAGCTAAACAACTGATTAAATAAGAATTAGAGTTTGTAAATGTGTTTCCCTTTAGATTCTGCAAAGGCAGAGTATGTGGCTTCACAATCGAAGAATTACTGTCGCATTCTTCAGGAAATGGCAGAAACAGGCAAGCATTCTAAGATACCATATTGTTTATATTTAAGTGTCGTTCTAAAAGGAGTGGTGCCTATATTGGTATGCTAAAAACTCTCTACATTTTGTAGAAAGACCACAAAACCTTCCATAAAGTTATGCACCTGAACAATATTATGAGTTTTATCTTGTGCTCAACAAATGCATGAACATATTCCACACCAGATTTTATGCCTTTAAGTTCACTAGATAACAATCAACTGTAAATTTTAGCATGGCGTTGTAGTTTACGAAAAGAGACAGACAGTACTGGCTTTGTGGCATTGGAGTGTTACACTGCAAAGAAAGGTGAGTAAGTGTTAAACATACATCAAGGAGTTTCAGTTGATGGTCGAAAGTTTTCCCGTGATTGCGTTGGTTTTTCCTTACTTTGCATCGTGATTGGTCTAGGAGAATTGCGCCACCCTTCAACCAATCAGATGTAAAACCAAACTTAATCGCCGCTTTGTCACGCACGTTTTCCCGAAATGTAGGCAGTTATTTTGGTTTTGTTTTGAGTAGTCCTTGGGCCTTTATTAAATTTTCCTGTGATACTTTGGTTTTGTCAAGCGTTACATGTCGTCCTTGAGTAGCGTTGTGTTACAAAGTCAGACCTGTAAATCAAGTGAGAGCGGGTATGCTACGATAATTTAGTTTTCCGAGCTTTCTCCGATCTACGGCATGTAGATGGAATTTTTGAAGTGAAGAGTATATCGGGCGAGGTGTTAGGCTAGATAATAGGGGTTCAGCAGACAATAGGACAGGACAATGGCAGGTATGTAAATGCGGTAATTCTTAACAATTGCCTCGCTTGAAGATCATACTAACATTTACCTTGCTCGCAACGTGTGCTTGCGTAACTCAGTTGATAGCAGAATTCTGGAAAAGCCAGCTTCAGGTATGTCAATTATCAGTCATAACTAAGGCAACAACAACCAATGCTTAATTTTTTGTGATTTTAAAGGCATTTTACGCCCTTTTGGAGTACGCAATCTCACGCAAGAAGAAAGCAGTTCGAATCACCCGAGCTTTGGAAGAACGAAGACACAGGCTTTTGCGAGCAGGTGTCAAACAGTGGATGAAGGTGTGTTAATGAACTTTATAGCTAAATAAGTAATATTTTGACTTGTGGATGATATACATGTACAAGTAAAGAAATGATCCCCGCATTTTCTGTCATTTCTTTAATTGGAGCACGCCTTCCAGAATTGTTTTTTACGTCCTAAGTAAGATCATCATTCTTTAATCTTGTGTTGTCTGGCATTTGTTATTTCACTCTCATGTTCTCTCTGAGTTCCCCATGAGCCTCAGATCTTACGATTTCGCTGTGAGATGCTCTACGAACTGAGTTTACGAGAACTCCTTTGTCAAGAACGCTATATATTAGGTTCATATGTGACAAACGGTCTGCCTACGGCGGGAATCAGCAATGTCGAAAGCATCCTGTGTAGATGTGCATGGAGTAAAAAGATTGTAAATTTTAAACCCCGTAGTTTAATTATGAATAAGATATGCTAAGCATGTGTCATGGATGAAAGGTACATTCATTCTACGTGTTCGGATTCTAGGTTGGGTTTCACTTGGCATCAGAGAGGTCAAGGTTAGCTCAAGAAAGACAGCTGGAGGTAACGGCATTTCTTTATTGGATTTTATTCATCGAATGTACCTTACACTATTTCATTTTCAACTATATGCGATCCTTTTGTTTGGTAGGTTGCTCATTCTTTACACCAGTGTGTGTATCGCTGTGCAATTCACTGGAGAAGAGTAACGGCCAATAGAGTTCGACAAAGAGGAGGGAAACCGAGGCCCAGACGATTGATGAGTCCAAAACTTGATGGGCCAGATACCACGTCACTGAAGAGTTCGCACGCAGCACACTCGATTCAGCCCTCCACATACAGCTGGCAAGTTGAAAGGTTCGGGAAAATACATTCCTTGAATTTCCTAATACTTTCTGATATTGAGCTGCTAATTGGGCTTCTTTAAACAAAACAGGCTAACTATATGTTCTGTCAGCTCTAAAACTCAGCTAAGCGATCCCAGACTTTTCTGTTTGTAAAGCTTATAGCACACGAACAGTGTGAACGAAAGCATAGTTCATTGTGTTCGGATAGTACCAGTGAACCGGAGCAAACTGTTTAAAAGGAATATTCCATAAGGAATCCAGTACTGCAAAATGAGCCACCAGACTTTTAAAACACTGAGTTTTCTATGATAACGTCCCTCTTTACTAATTAGAATCGATACTCATTTCTTCTTTGTAGCCAACTAGTTCATTGTCTGCTAAGTACAATAAATAAGACCAATTCTACTTATATGAACTTCGTCATGGGCCTTGCTTACCATAGAGTCTCTATGGCTCAGTGAAAGAGCATCGGAGCGCGGAATCTGAAGGTCTGAGGTTCGATTCCTCATGGGGACCCAGAATTTTTTTCTTGTCCCACGCTCATGACTAGACGAAAAACATATTTCTCCATTTCTACTCTGTGTCCTTAGAGTTAGTAGAGGGCCGTCTTAAACTTTGGTTTCCTTTCTGTACCTTTCGCTAGCTACTCTTTTATTTTGTCCTCCCAGGTGACTCCATAGGTAAAGTGAATGATAAAGAACTACAATGGAACTGTACCTTCACTTAGGTCCAGACACTTGATTGATCTTATGGCTATTTTTTCCTTATTGATGATATAGGATTGCCTCAGAAACCTTTAAGGAGCGCCCCAGGCCAAGAAAACCCGATTACTTAAGAGAGTCTTTTGACGTCGCCGAAATATCTATGTCGACGAACCTATTCCCACGCATGTCGTCCGTGCGTGTCACTGCGAGAGAGGAGGATGACGAAGCAAAACCTCGGACCTCTCCGCCCCGACCTACTTCTCAAATGAGAACAATTATTCATCCCTGCGAGAGGAAAGCTGGGGAAGAATCTTTCGTGTTTCCCTCGTCTTCAGGGGAAGAATCTTTCGACGGCAGAGAAGGATCAAAAAGAGTACGAACAGATGAACGCGGTAAGATGCCACATTTTACTTCGTCTGTTAGTACTTGTTCGAAATTACATCAACTGAGTACTTTTGAATTTTAAGGGGAGGTAGACAATTTGGATGAGTATTTACGTAGGAAACTTATCCAAGAGTCTTCTCCGAAAGCTAAATCCAAAAGTGCGAAAACCGTCGGTTATTGTTTTCAGACTCATCAAAAGCTGTGGTCCATTCCAAAGGACAGCCTGAGCCAGCATCAAAACCCGCTCAAATGCCAGCTTCCGTTGCACCCCCTATCCACACGAGACCAACAGGAGGAGCTGAACGAAGAACTGTGTTGTTACCTCCCTCATCCTTCACTCTGCCCACTCGTACAAAAAGTAGTCCGCTGCAACCCACTGTGTCAGACGCAGCGGAGGTGCAGGCTTCTTCGTCAACACATCCAGGTTCATCTCCCCGCACTTCCTTCGACAGCGAAAAAGACGTGGTGTCTAGTCCTTCAACAACTTCGTCGCCGAGTAAAAACTCTGAAGAGGAAAACAATTCTGCTGGAGAAGTTGGCGAGGAAGAAGACACCAACGAAGGAGAGTGGGATATAGAAGCTGAACGTGACAGGTTAAAGCTGGATGCAATAGAAGGAGCGCCGAAGAGCGGCTTTTTCTGTGCGCTAAAAAAGGAAGGGAATCTCCAAGAACGTGTTACCCACATGAAAAATGTTCTTCAAGAGTTTCACGACATGAAAGTTGCCTATAGGTAAATGTATTTTTTCTCAGTTTACGTCGTGAATTTTTTCAGTAGTACTTTTGTCACTTTTGGGTAAAGATCTTCCGAACACGCTGTAATAACACCGAAATCAAAGGTCAAAGTAGTTTTTTTTTTCTGTTCGCCGATGTGGCATACAGTTATAGCCAAACCACGTCAAATCCGTTGTTAAATCAAACTCACGCCGCGGTTTTTAAGTCGAACGGAGAACGTAAACCTGTATTGAATAGCAGAGTCAAAGTACATACGCAGAGTAAGCTTAAAAGTAAACACCAGTGTTTTGATTTGAATTGATCCTTTATCAGTGCCATCGTGCGTATTAAGTACAAATAAAACCGTATTCGTAAATCAACCATGTTTGTGACGCTCTTTCCTCTTATTTTGTCAGTCACAAAAAGAAACAGCGCGATCAGCTGTCCGTGTGGGTTGAGGAACAGATACAGGACCTGGGACCGAATCACCAGGATGAGGAGCTGTTACAAACACAACAGTGCTTGCACGAGGTAAAATCTCGGCTTGGTATAATTGCTCCGGTGATTGTATATAGAGATGCGCGCGTCCTGATTGGTTCAGGATTGCGTCATATTTCGCTTTAATCACCTCGCGCGAGTTGATTATAGCGGGAGCGCTAAATTTCAAAATGGCTGCCTCGCGTTTGTCAGCGTTACCGAGGAAGTGATGAACACTATAAAAAAATCTAATTTTGAAGAGGGCAAAGATCTTATTAAGTTTCACTTTTCTAAAGAAAAATATGAATTTTTGCTGATCAAATTCTAGTGGAAATTGGCTCCTTATCTCGTTACAAGTAATCAAAACAATCAAAACAGAATAGTTTCAAAATCAAAACGAATATTTACAACATAATTCGAAAGCACCTAAGCAGTCATACTGAAACAATGATTCGACAATTGTATTGTTGAATAATCCTCTCGACTTTGTCTTGGGGATTATTCAGCAATATTCACTGTGCCGGAGGCGAATAATTATTTAATAATACTTTACACTAAAACATCATATTGGCACTTTGTTATGTTCCGTGTCATTTGACATTTATCTCCTTGGTGTTTTGCAGTTGATTGAGGAAGTAAACAAAATTGCTGAAAAAATAAAACGGACGCGACCCTTGGTTGAACAAGTGGCGTTGAATATTAGAGAACTGATACAGCAAACAGGACGCGGGGGACTGGGCTAGCTGGTTTATCCACTACTACTCAGGCATGTCAGCATGGTCCTGTCTGCCAAAGGTGAACGTGTTCTTTGCCATTTCTTACTTATAAAGGGACATACAAGGAATATGGCTAAAGAGGAATGAATATGGGACAGACTTTCTGTAATAGCAAATAGCAAATGTTGAATGCCTGGAGCAGAAAAAGTGAAAACAAAAGCAGCTTGTGTAACGTGCCACGTCTGCCTAAGGTAGACTGAGCAAGAGACATTGTTGCAACTGTTGACATTAGTGAAAGATAAAAGCCGGTTCCACTTCCAGAATACACCGCAATAAGTTACAAGTGAACAAGGAAATTAGACGTTCTCAGTTGTTCAAAATTCGAATTAGGTTTGGATAATACCAACTTATCAATTGAAATCTTCATGGAAGTCTTTCTTTTACGATTACCTGTGCTTGTCCATGAGCTAAAGATTTTGAAATGTAGATTGTGCACTGTTACACTAACAATGCATCTTCCTAAGAAAATAAACACCACTATTCCTTTGGTCTTGATCTTAGAGTTAATGCGGAGAATGTTTCCGAAGTTACAGTGAATTTAGCCTTCTGTATTGAGTCAAACGACTCTTTCGTCTAGATTTTTTATTTTCTGAACCATGAAAACGTTATCTGTGTATGAATTTCTTGAAATTTAACATTTAGATATTTCGTCAAACCTTCCTCTGCGGAAATTTTGCTTACGTACAAGTTATGTGACCACAATGCCTCTATAGAGCACGTGACCACTCTGTGAGTCAATCAAAGTTGGCCAAATATGATACTTAATCGCAACAGATGTCATGTCCGAGGTCATGAATCGTCCATGAAGTTTTTCAGAGAATTCAGTTGCTTCATACTCGATGATTATTGGTGGAATCTGAACAGCCATCATCCAGGACAAGCGCACGCATTCGTCCATGTATTCCCTTAACTTGGGGCAATTCTGTAACTCAGGAAAATCGTACAACGTTCCCCACAACTGTTTACTGACCTCCTGAAAAGGAAAGATGAAGAGTACTGAAGGTAAATATGTACTCGAATTAAATCACACAAACTCTTGTTTAAGTGTTCTGTGTTGTTGGATGCTTGCTGGTCAATTTATTTCTAGTATCATGATAGTCTTCAAAAGACTAAATCTGCCCTCCTCGCTAACCTCATTTTTTTTAGTTTTAGACCTGATACTTAATTCATCATAAATTTCTTGTGATTGCAAATTACCCTTTTGATACTGTCGATCTTCAAACGTGCTCCTGTCGTTCGAAAATAGTCATTGATGCGGTCTTGTATATCCTGTGCGAACTCTTCTTTGGTCTTCTCATCCGGAATATCTAACAGCTTTTTAAGCTTGTGTTGTTTTTCTGTGAGTGCATGTTGTACCGCGCGGAAAGCCACCTGTGGGGGGATGGTAGTCTCTTAGTTTCTTGCGGATTGGGTAAAATGAATCGTAAGCATTCGTTTATTTCAAGGAAGATAGATAAAAGTGAACTTATGTTTGGTCGCTTGATCGATGATTACCATATAACCATAATCAAAACAGATTTCTTTCCGCACCACCAGACGATACGCCCATAGGGTGACACATTGACACTATCAATTTTTGTATTGTATCGTCACAAGACATACCCTAACTGAACTGACAACATTGCACCTACCACTATAACTGAAAAGAGTATTTTGTTTTTAATGTCGCTGTTCTCGTCCAGCTTTTCAAGCGATTCAACTTCGTCTAACTCGTCCATAGCGTCCAGCCGTGTCTGTGTATACAAGTTGTCATAACGCTCGACCAGAACAGACGGTCGGCACTCGCCTGTGGAAAGGTCCTCGAATTTACCGCCTTTTTTGAGCTGTCTCTGTGCTTGGTCTTGTAATCTGAAACATGACGTATGAGTTATTGACCAAGTGTGAGGTCAAGATGGCTGGTTTTTATGGACTGAGACGAATTCAAGGTCCATAAAAACGAAGCTAATATCCAGCCATCTTGGCCGAACAAGCTTGGTCAAGAAAGGAAATATTGTATAGCAAGAAGGTCATCACTTTGTGAAGAATCAAGACTTTTTATTTCGAGAGACGGGAAAGAAAGCCAACTGAAGCACAATAAACCCACCAGAATTGTTTATGTTTTCTTTGTTTTGACTATAGATCTTCTGCCGCTTTTTAGGACTTAATCGCCTACATTGTCGAAATACGAACTTTGCATTTCTACTCCAAGAAATTTGTTTCTAATACGGGATCAAAGCAGGTAGTCCCGAGCGAGCAAAGATGGGTTCATATTGCCCGCTCGGGTAGCCAATCAGAACACAGATTTTGCTTCATATTGCCCACGTGCACCGCCAGCTCTAGAGAGACAAAGTTTTTTGTAATCAGTAGCTCTTGTCATCATATCAAGAATTTCAGTTTTTTATTTCACAATATCGATAGCGTGGGTGCATATGTGTTTAAAAGAGTATTAGGCGTAGAGACTCTTCTGAATCATGAAAACTTTGCGTCCGTGTATATCTTTTTCTACCCGCGAAATAGGTCGAATGGATTTACTTGTTGTAATACCTTTCTATGAGAGTTTCCTCCCTCTTTGATAAATTTCGAACCATTTCCTGAGCTGCTTCAAGTTCCTTTTGTTTATCCTGCAGCTGTTTTAGTAGGCCAGATTGTTCATCAATCGGTTCTTGTGTAGAAACCTTTTGAGGTAGGAAGTTGCTTTGTGTTGATTCTTCTTTCTGTTCATGGTCAGTTTCATTAGAGCTGCACGGAGAACTCAGTGCAGAAAATTCTGAAAGAGGAATGTTATTTTGATACCAGTTGAAAGTGAATTGTCAGTATGTTGGAGGTACCGTGATTTTTATTGTCTTTAGTAGGGTTTTTGTTCTATTTATTCATATTTTTTTTTATGTCATAAAAAGGAGTACGTCTGATGATTTTTTATAGACCATACCCATGAAAGACATGTAGCGACAGAAGTATTTCCCAAATTGGAAGTGATGTTTCTAGAGACCATGAAAGGTGTGCCCATGTATCCGTTTGATCAAATATCCATGTTAATTGCCAACTCGTTTATCGTCCAACAATTAACCCATCAACCTACTCTCAACCAAACAAGTATTATTCAGGAATCACCAAAACCAGGGTTTTGCTGGTACTCTAAGATGCAGCGCTAAAGAATAGACCTCCCAAGGGCCAGGAGTGTAAAAGACGCCATTACCTGTTTCATCATCCAGTTGAGTTACAGTGTCAAACACGTCAGTGTCACTACCACATCCTTCTTCAACAGCGCTGACGTCACCAGACTCTGCACCACTTGCCAGTGTACGGGTTACAGTGGATATGTTTGGTTTCTCGCCATCTTCTTTGACCACACCCTTGAGAGATTCATCCAACAACTGCAGCACAAGGCGATGTCCGTGGTGAAATCTCTCGAGCAGCGGTAGCACGCGCTCGTCACGTGATACTTTGAATTCTTTTCTTAGTTGGCTAAGAAGCTGTAGAACCTTAATTAAGCAAAATAATTTTCGTTTATATTAGCCTACCGTGTTTGCGGGGAGCGTTGCGTGACATCGTAACGCTACGAGGGAGACCAACCATGTTATGTTCATATCTGTTATGAAATTCGCCAGTTGGTTTCATGGGAGTGGTATACGCGACTCAAAAGTTTGTTTATATTAATGAGGGACTGGATTAAGGTTCAAGTCTTGCGAGCCAAGGGGCCTGGAGTTCACCCCGGTTGCCTTAGAATTAAGCGACTAGGACTATTCTGAGAGGGATCATTTTCTATCGCAAAATTACCTACTTCCCCCATTTCTCTTCCCTCCTCCCCCTTCCCACACCCCTTCTCAATGAGCGATTTATCAAATTTCCCCAACGGTTCACGGGTATTCAACCATTCATCTGGGTGGAAAGCGGCATTGTTTGGCTAAAGGAATTGATTTATGATCGGATTAAAGGATTACCTTGCAGCTTTGTCTTCTCTGATTTATGTGCGCAACTGGTGCTAGTCTCTTTGACACTGATTTTTGACACACTGTCATGATGTGCCATTGTTATTTTTATTTAATTCTTACCATTAAATTCAACCCACCTCTTTATCGTGATTTATTCGAACTTCCAACTTTTCTATCAGGACATGGATCAGAAGCTTGTCTCTTGAATTGACCTGTACAGCATTTAAAAGCGATTGGTTAAAAAGCAATCTATCTTCGATAGTTTGTCCTGATAGTTTCCTCATGTATTGTGAAGTTTTTTCATCCATGTCTGCTTGACTGTTTGCTGCAACGACCGAAGAGAACTCTGAATTGTTGCGCGTTGCTTTTGACGAAACGTCAGAGAGTTTTCGTAAAGCAGAGTTGTAGTGGCTCACAGCTCGCTCCAATTCTGCCTTTAAAGCCTCTTCCATCCTCATGTGATAAGTCGCTGATGATCTTTTTATCGCCTCGACCAGAGCATGCTCAGAAAAGCCACTTAGAGCCTTGGAAAACTGCTCTGCTCTCTGAACAAGCCGTTGATAAAGAGATCCGTCCATTTGTGTGCAAATGTTAAATATGTTTCTTATGTGCTCTCTAGATCGTGCACTCGCAAATGTCTGGTTGTTGTATTTGAGAAGATCGACAAAATAACGAACGAGGTGATGTATGAAATCGTCGCCGCACAGCTCGTGATCAGGAAGCCGTCCTTGTCGGTCGTAAAATATCTTTGTGAAAAGAGCTTCAAGTGAACCCAAACTACTTGGAATATCAGCATACAAGCTATCGATTGATAAGTTGTCCATGATGAGAACTAGTACATCTCCTGGGATTTGATTCACTATTCTGATCAACTCTTGATAATCTTTTCTCTCGATGCGCAAGTTCACTTTTCCAATAACTTTTAGAACAAGTATTTTGCCATCCTGAAGAGGATCTTGTGCAGCTGTCGAAGCCGTGGCATCAAAGCTTCGCCTCTTTTGACTTGGCTTCGTCGGTGGTTCTAAGGAGTCCGCCATCATTTTGTCGGGAAACGAATTCGACCGGCCGTGTCGGGAATCGGAACGTGTAGGTGTCAAACCAGTCCGAGTTTTTGACATGTTGTGGAACGTTACGCTAAGTAGCTGTCTTAGCGTCTTCCTACTTGGCTATATTCATAATGTTAATTGTCACCAAAAACACTCATTCTCTTCTCAGTGATTTGCATCGCTCGCGAGGCTTTTGTGACATTTTGTCATTGATTAATGAATGTTGTTGATTCTTTTCACTCACACACACCTAAAACAACAACGCTGACGCCAAATGAACGAGCATTTAGATCGGCAATCCATTTACTAATGGTCCTTATGTGTAAAATCAAGTCGGCAAAATGTAAATTTCCTTAGAGTTTCTGTGGTACATTGTTTGGCGACCAAGGCGACTAATGAACTGTGTTTACTTCTCTGCTACTGTTGACATAGTTAAGAGCAAAGGCTTGCCGAGTTTGAATTCCTGAGTGAATACCTTTTCATAGAAGAAAGCAGAAAGTTTGCAAATACTTTGATCGTGTTCGTGTAACAGTGACTGTAAGGGTATTAGTGCGAACCAAAAACCTGATTTACCATATTATAGTGTTTCTGTCGAGCTGTTCTCTTTTATCTTAAAACAGTTGCTTGTTACATTTACTGGAAGTTTTCCCGTCAAAACGTAAACAAAACAAATTAAGATGGAGAGGTAATAATCCAGGTTGACATTAGGGGCCAACTCAAAAGAAATGCTAAATGTATGGGGGCATTACTCTTTCTTCCAAATCACGAGACAGTAACCAACGTTCATTCGTAAACTGACTCACTGGAGTTCGTCTTGAACCGTGAATTTTGTCGAAGTTATAGAGTGAGACAGACTTTGTAGATTCCATGGCGGCCCTAAAAAATTCTCTAACGATAGTAACAGGTATCACCTCCGTTAGTAACCACTTGAAGTTTTCTTTGCTACACTGTGGCGTGCCAATGTGTTCAGTTTAGTCGAAGTGTCATCCGCTTGTTTAATTAGTTCTGGCAATTGCGCAGGAGAAACGACATCCACCTGTGGGTCAAAAGCAAATACCTCAACAGATTTGTATCTTGTCACATTTAAAACTGTAACATTTTTGCTATAAGACAACGAAGAACAGTGCGGGAGTGAAATCGATCCAAGGTACTGATTTTAAAAAAATTTAAGAATGGTTTTCACTTTTTTAACATTATTATCTTAAAGTTCTCGATAGAGTTGGTACCAATTTTACTTTCCTTACTTTTAGTTCTTATGTGATATATCTGCTAATTTTTTTTTCCTGAAGGGCTCAAGGGTGTCCTGTTATTTTTTTTTCTGTAACATTTTCCTCTTGAGAACATTCTCTACCACTAAAACTATGTTTCTGCTAAGACCTTATGACTTTTACTAGATGATTCCTAGCGAAAGTATCTCGACGTATTGTACATGATTAATACTTTTTTAGATTTTCATCTTGCTATGAGTACTGTAAGGTTTTATTTATGCGTAAGTAATTAGTTGTAATTAGTAGCTGGGCTGGCGTCGCCATTGAAATCGTCCTAATTTGTTTATTGCTCTAAAGCGTGTTTAAACAGAAGATATATTACCGATCAAATTAGCATAATAAACTTCTTATGAAGTTGGTGTCAGTGAGGGAAATTTGCCCTGAAATTTCATGATATTCGACCGTGAAATCTCGATATCTTTAACGAATTCAGGTGTTTTGCAAAAGTTATGTCTCTGAAGGTATTACCGTTGTGTTGTAGCCCTATTAGTGGTTGATAGTTAGCTTTCCACAGACCGTAACTTAAGCCGGGTCCTCGAAGAGTCATAACAATGTAAGTCCTTGAGATTTAGTGCTTGTTTCAATGATCTTTTTGTATAGAGATTCAAATATTCACTAGGTATATCCAATCGTTTTGCCGCCCTTGCCTTAACACATCCATGTAACTTTATTCCGCTTTATACCGCTTAGTTATTGTACATTCAGCTCGGCCCGCATTGTCAATTATCATGGGCTGAAGTATTCGAATTTAGATGACTCGAATACTCACATGTATGAATAAGTTGTACAATGGTTTTACCTCCCACCAGCAGCGTGTGAAGAGGAACAGCTGAACCAGTCATGAGCGATGATCAAGCAATTAACACTGCGGGTGAACTCAACGATGACTTGCTGTTTAACCACGAGTTTAGATTCGACGATAACAATAACAGTGACATAACACCATCACTAAGCGATTATGAACTCCAGAAGATCAAAGAGGATCTGGGAATGGTAGATGGTGACAACGAGTTTGAAAACTCTGACCTACCGTTACCCTCCATCTACATCGATGGGAGAAATACCCCGACGCCATTTGACTTCCCGCTGACGGAAGAAGAGCGCGCGCTTCTGGAGCACTGTACGATCGGATCACCTCGGCGATTTTCCGATTCGCCGAGCGTTTGCTCGACATCTCTGGAGTTATTAGCGGACAGTTTGATTAAAGACTTCGAAGACATGGACTCTGATCATGATCAAGAACTGATTTTCACTCCAGATGAGGGATACAGGCCGGGGGCAGATACCTCTGTGCGTTCTTCTTCCTCTAAGGGGCTGAACCTGAAAGCTCCATCACCTTTACAAAATTTGCAGCGGGCCGTCGAAAGATCAAATTCCGAAGCTCTGGAATCCGTTGAGGCCAGTGATGAAAATGTTCGAAAATCAGAAAAGAGTCTGAATGTGAAAAAAATTGAAAGTTCGCTCTCTCGTCCGATAATTGAGAGCGCTGATGCTTCATCGAACTCTGCATCCTCATCATCTCGTAACGGCCAAGAATCGGGGCAAACATCAAGATCAGCTTCATTAGATTCCGACTCGCTCCTGGCCTCGATCGACTCTGGTCTGCCAGTGAATGATGTGCATACACAGCATCAGTACTTTGTTGTGGTAGCCATAGATTTTGGAACAACATTCAGTGGTTATGCGTTCGCTTTTACTCGAGATCCCGAGAGCGTGCATATGATGCGTAGATGGGAAGGAGGCGATCCAGGTGTCACCAACCAGAAAACACCCACAACTTTGTTGCTGAAACCTGATGGAAGCTTCCATTCGTTTGGATTTGGTGCGAGGGATTTTTATCATGACTTAGAACCAGACGACGCTAAAAAGTGGATGTACTTTGAGAAGTTTAAGATGGCCCTACACACAAACAAGGTACAGTTGAGTTTGTCCACCAGCTTCTCTACATCTTATCTTTGATTCGCTTTAAGAGAAAAGGATTTTCCTATTACTTATAATTTTAAAAGAGGATAATCTGTTTCGATTATCTTCAAGAATTAGAAATAATTCATATCTTGCCGAATTTACGCTTTTGACTTTGTATTGTAAATAACATTCCTAGCCTTGTAAAACTAATTAAAATATTGTTGTGATTTTGAATTTAATTAAAGTTAATTTGAAACTTTAAAACTTTCCACTTCATCCGGTTAGGATTGACTCTTAAATGGAATGAATTATCACAATTTTTTTTGAAGAAACTGAAAATGCCGGTCAAAGCAAAGAAACACAGTACATTCGAGAGTTGTGTCGTTCCAAATGAAGGTGTATCATTTATAAGCTTCACGGTGTGATTTGTAAAACAAGCCATGTTATTTGAACCTGGACGTAACCGCTAACTGTTTTTAGAGAATTTTACAAATAAAACACAGCCGGTAAGAATTTGACTGAGTTTACTTATGTAAAGATGTTTACATTTTCAAATAACTCTTTGAAATATTAATGAGAAGCGACTGAACAAAATACCGTATATTAATTAGATGACAACTTTCAAATCTCATCGAGTGAGAGTTGGAAATAGACCACCGCAACGTGGTTTCCATCTTGAATGTTTTTATTAATATAATTACTTCCTTTATAGGATCTTCACAGAGATGTTGAGATCAAAGCTGCTAACGGCAAGTTAGTCAGAGCTGTGACTGTGTTTGCACACGCGCTGAAGTTTTTCAAAGATCACGTGCTGGAAGAACTCTCTGACCAATCAGCAACGAAGATTCTGGAAGAAGACATTCAGTGGGTTCTTACCGTACCTGCCATCTGGAAGGCACCCGCTAAACAATTCATGAGGACAGCGGCCTACGAGGTGAGTGGAATGTTTAATGCTCCCAAATTATTGGCTCGCATTCACCTGATGAAGCCTTTTTGGCGAATCATAAATGTATTAGACTTTTAGCTTAGCCTGACTAAATTCACGAGACAGAGGCAGGCTTTAATCCTTTTTACTGAAGGTAATTTTCCACAAGAACGAAGGATATATCAGAGGGATGCTCGAGTTTCTCTCAGTTAGTTCTTTTAATTCCAAACATATGTCAATATTGAAGCGTAAATTTAAGAATAGCTGACTCTTAGCTCAGGGACTTTCACAAATAAACCATCGGGCTCCTCCCAAGAAATAGTAAATCACATTTTCTGCCAAAAGGAAAAAGGCACTTTAAAAACTCAAGGTCGCACAATGCACTTATCGTGGCTCAAAGCCCCATGAAAGAACAAGGCGCAAATTTATTTAAAAGGAAAGTTGCGTCCAATTTGGGGGAACTTCAGAACGTGTTACGTCCCAGAACGTTTATTCCACTTCATTGCTAATAGAAATCACAGTCTTCTGCGGTTGTGCTGGTACTGTCTCTGAAAACATCCAAAGCTGTAAGTTTGTGTGCCTCTGCGTGATTGCACCATGAAAAGATAATTACATGTTGGATAAAATATATAAATACTCGGCAACCTTCGAGACAAATAACGTCTCAATGCCTCTATGACACAATTCCTCATCGAAACTTTCTCATATTAAGGGTTCATTTGCGGTTGTGTACATGTTTGTTGTTCTCAAAAACATCCTACATTTAAGTCCGCACGTGAGATACTAGCTGATTATGCAAAAGAAACCGTTGTTGTGTACTAGGTTTCGCAGTATTTATCTTGTTCAAAACAATCAAACAGATCATGAAAAATAATTTTTGACACTCATAGATAATAAAATCATAAAAAAGATTACAAGTTTGAAATAGACCTCATTGCTAAACCTCTAATATTCGGTCATTTCCGTGTTTAAATCCTTTTGATAAAAGTTGAAAACCGCTGGTTCGTAGAACAAGGCCACTTTGAAGGGTCGCACCTCAAACAATGTTTCTAAACATGGAGTCGCGTAATTAAGTAGAAGTGTACAGAGCCACTTAAAAGTATGTAAGACATCTCGTAGATTGACATCCACTTGTCATGTGCTAGTTACACCTTTGTTCATGTTAATTGAGACATTTTCACAGTTGTGGAGGCGGTGATTGTTATTATGGTTGAATAATACAAATTAATATTGTGCACAGAACTTAAATTGTTCCAGTATTCGTGGAACATTATGGTGTAGAACCTCTCTAAAATTCACTTCCTCGTAATCATGCGTATTCGTTTCTACTGCTGAATAAACTTGTGATTGGTGTCGAAGTGTCGTTGTTGATGTGAGGAAAGTTGTTCTCTGTGAATAATTTCTTCAGAAGGAGGAGTTCGCTAACAACCACAGCGGCGATAGAGCCGAATACGAGACATTCAAAAACCACCATGGCTGAAAACAGTACTGTAGATTTGCAATGAATTGCGCGATAACTACGAAATTGTACCAACTTTCCTTGTAATTAAATTCGTAATTCGTTGCGGCTTCCGCAACTTGGAAAAGAGCCAAATTAAAATGTAATGCGAGACGTCAAACCCGTCATTAGTACTGATTGCTACCAATATTCTCTCTAAAATGCCGACTCTCTCGTAACTAGACAGATGAGGAGAATAAGAAAATTCATCAGTAATGGGAATTTGGCTTGTGGTAAGCACCAAATTTTTAGAAAAAATGTGTCAACGAAAATGAAGAAGAAATGGTTACATTTAGGGTATTGAAAAAGTTTATAACGGACACAAAATAATAGTGGAATGTGAAAAACATTATTTATATTTTCTCGAAGCTAAAAAGTAAATTGTGCAGGCGAGAAACCTGCTTAATTGAATAGATTGAACAATTGACATTCATTACCTTCTAAACTTTGTGACATAAAAGCTCGAGGGCTTTTTTTTCTTCCAAGATGAAATGTATAACATGTACCATAGTTTTAAGTTTGTAGAATACAACTCATTTTCCCATAATTTTTAGTCCACCTTGATCCTAACTAACTCAATACATCTGCCTAAAAATGTGTGGAAATCGAAGCAAGAGACTTTTCAAAAAACAAAACATCTATGATAACTTTTGTAAAGCGATACAGTGTTCTTAACAGTTCACGATTGCCAGTCTTAAAATATACTAGGCTACCAAAAGGTGCCAGCCAGTCTTAAAGTATGCAAGGCTGCTAAAATGTGCCCAACTGAGTATTGCCTCTGCAAGACGTATTAATTGCTAAAAATAACATTTTCCAAGTTATGTTGTCCTCTGAGAAATCCAAGGATCCAGGGGTGTCCAAGTTATCATTTGGAGGCCATTAGTGCCAAAGCTTCTCCTCTGGAAACAAAAAGTGGTCCGTGCTTGAAGTACGGCACTTCCTCGCCTTTGCAAATTTTCCTCAGCACAAATGCTTCTATTCCTACCACAGCAGCCACGGTAACAATAACAAAGACCTCCACAAATACCATGGCTAGCGTAAGGTTTATCTCCTTTTCGATCGTGTGTAAAATCTTTCTGGCAACTTCGAATTGATTTTCAATCCCCCTCAAGATATGTTTTTTCGCTTTGAGGACGTTTTGAAGTTTTGCGGTTGGAATTTCGCCACTATCTTTGCCACCTGTAAGCTCTTATTTATACATAAAAAAGCGCATGCTTTTGAATGACAAATCGAGTAATTATTTTGAGCCAAGGAATTTCTTTATTTGCTTACATTTGCATGAATTATTTTACGTCGGTGCTGCGAGATTGTTCAGCTCTGTTCCTGTTGTAAGGTAACTTCCATTGCATGCCCATTTTGTTGTGTGTTTCGTGGAAACACATTTCCTGAACCCTTTCATTTTATATTTTCGGAAAACAGCGTTCATAATGTTTTTCGTTTTATTGCGTTAAAACATTTCAAAGCAAACCGCCATTCATGTGTTCAGATTTTGATACAAGGATCTTTGTCATACACCTTATAATGACTTTTATCTAGCCTGTAAGCTCAAATACCCGTTTACCCCAGCATATTTCTGCTTCTTTCTAATAAATGGTGGTAGCTCATCTTGTACGCAATCGAAAATTTAAAGCACTTATGCATAGCACGTACGTCAGTACGTGACAAACTTTCTCGAAGGTGTCAATGTTATTTCAGCATCTTATAGCTCTTTCTAACGCTATCCTTTTGAAGACAAATAGTTCTAAATAATTAATTTTGTTATGTTGTGATCTAAACAGATGCCCGGCGAAAACCAATGTTATTGGTTAACATCACGTGACTTTCGTTTCCTGACGTCTACAAATTCCTCCGAATTTCAGCTCTATTTTGTAGATTTTTATTAAGATGAAAGGCATAGACCAATTTCTCAAAAGAATATAACAATTTTAGACTAGGGATGGTTGATATTAAAGTAAGTGAGTCCACGGCACCACGAGTGCTTGTTTATTTTTCTTTATCTTAAGTAAATCTACGAGCCTTTTTCATAATCCATATGAAATTGCAAAATGATATTTACACTGCGGTTGAATTAAAAAAAAAAAAAAAACAGCGAGCATTATGATTGAATTTCAATTGCACTATGGTAACTCTCGCGGTTCGTTTCAATCTGAGTTGCATTCGAAACAAGAATACACGGGTGAAATGATTTTCACAATACCCTAGTTATGTTTGTGGCGAAATCCGCCAATATTATGCTTTTATTGATGGAATCACTCTTTTCCCCTTAACAGCAACCTTAAATAACTTGCCCAAAATAAAAATATCTTAAAGTTGGAGGTTTTTTCGGTTTTCAAGATGTAATGTGTCAAGAATTTTCCCTAAAATGCCGGCTAGCCTTTATCCATTCTGAAACATGAACACAGAGTAAGTTCTTCCTCTTTCTCACAGATAATATTGTTATAGTACATCTACCCCCGCAAAATAAAGATAATTTCTGCCTCTCTAGAAACTGAACCATCGATTGTCAATTTCGTGAGTCTTACTCGCCGTTGCAAGCAAATTAAGCAGGTATCGTTTCGTTTGTCGATGGTTAGTCTTAAAGTATTGTACCTTAGATACTTTAAGATAATGTAAAACATTCTTGCCTATTGATAGAAAATTAAAGGAGAAGTTTAGAAGTCTGGTATAAATTGTTTTGTGAAACTGTCCAGTTTTTCTAAGGACAGAATGATAAATGTAGTAATCACGCGTTGTTTTGTTCTTGTGAAGTAAGTTCGAAGCTAACTGAATTGAAACTGCACTCGACATCGAAATGTTCCATGGTATTACAGCAAATACGAACCGTCACCCGCCAAGTGGTATTTTGAGTTGACATGGACGCGGTACTCTTTTCCTTCGCATAGTTTCTTGAGCATGTACACATCTAGGAGTGCTAGTGCTGTGAACGTGCCAAGAACGACAATTTCTACTACCACCATGATTGTTCTACAACTGTTTCAACGTCAAATCAGCCTTATCCAAACGAGATATCCCCTTCGCAAATGGTAATGTCTCTAGCTATAAACGGATTCATTAGTGTCAAGTGTGCGTCGAGCAAAGGAGCACCTGCTAGATAGCTTCTGTAAACAAGTGTGAAACTAATCAACAAGAATAGAATACCATTAGCGAACTACGCAGGTTGAAGATGTTTAACGTTTTGGCCGCAAGCCAGTTAGCTGAATTATGAAATGTTTTTCACTTAGTAAGCGTAAGAAAAGTTCTGGAAAACATCGTCAAAATTTGCGAATTTCTAAATCACCTATCGTCAATAAACGAAAAGCTTTCGTTCGAAAGGTAGCTGTTCTTTACGAAGTATAGTATGATTGTTGATTTTATCAGCGAGTAGATAAACAAAACAAAGCAAAACATGACAAAAAAAACTGGCAAAGACACATTCTTACCTCTACAACACTATAACAACAACTACATCAGCTGAGATGTACACCTTACGAGAACCGAAAAAATAATAAACAGAGTTAATCCGTTTCTCAAAAAGAGAAACTTCTTATAATCCTGCAAATCGAATAAAACAATAACGAAGCCAATTCACTAAGAATAACCATAATTTAAGTCCAAAAACTATTGCTTGTACAATATTACACCAGAATCCATTTTCCTTAGAAGATAGAGATGTGAAAACTCCAACACATTGAAAACCAATGAAATTTTAGCGCATCCTTTAAGAACGTAGAAAATCTGCTTCAAATATCTCATTTCGTATTGATAAACCTTATATACAAAGGAATATACTTTCTAAATGTCTCATTTCATTCACCATGTGTCTTTTAGGTTATAACTTGTCGTGGCTTTATCTCTTGAGCGCAAGCGTAGGTCTCAAAAACTGGTTTATCTCGCAGAGAAGTAAGGTATTGTCACTGGGAACACTTGTGCATACGGTTCAGTATCTTCCAGCTGATTTTGTTCCTCCCCAAAACATCGTTTCAGTAAGTAGATATCCAACACGCTAAATCCAGCTACAATTACTCCAAGGAAAACGGCCGTCACCACAACCATACTTGGATGAAATGTTCCTTCCGTAGGGATTTCATCAATTGAAATGTCAAAATGATTCTGCTGAGCTACTTAAGTCACTTTTCGAAGTTACACACATATATAGCGCATCACTACGTTTCGTAATTTTCAATAAAAACTTATTTGTGTAAGTGATGTTGGCTTGTGTCCAGGCTGGCTTACTGCCACCTGCAAGTGGGAAAATTTATGGTTAAATTATTGACCAGGATTACAAAGGCGTTAGGCAGATAAAAATTTTCAGTATACTGTGATTTAGAATTAGTCATAAGTTCGTATAGTATATTAACCTTATTTTGTTGCGTTGGGTTTTTAAGAGTTCAAATTTCACACATGAGTGTTCATTTATTGACTCAGTTTACTATAGGCTACAACATACGCTCTTTTGCATACTTCAGGCTAATGTGAATAATACTGACTTACCAAACTGCCATGAATTAGGTTTAATAAATGTATTGGGATGATTAGTTTGGCGAAATACCAGCAGAAATGTGATTGTCGATTCGGTTATTGGAAAATATAATTTTTCAGGGAATTAAGTCTTAGCCAAGGTCTCGGCAGATGATTGTATCTTTTAAAATTACTTACCATTCATAAACATTGAACACTAATAACTGCTAACCGGGTATTTCTTTCTGGCAACCTTTAAACCAAACAGTTGTTTGAGTGTGAATATTGTGCTGGATTTGAAGCTAGAAACTTTATGCTCTAAGGTGTTTGACCCTTCGAATTATTAGTTGAAATTTGTCCACTGCACTCCTTTTTACTGCTACGCGGATTGAAAATGAAGTGACTCAGAAAATCGCCCTGGTCTTTCTCCTCCTCAGTTTCGCTGTCAGCTCGATAAGAGTTTCTTATTTTGTCATGTAGGCGTTCATTTGAGCCCTGTGTCTTTGCCGGAGACCACAGCACAAACTTCCAACACAGTAAAGGTGAAATAATGTTACTCCGGCAACCAGTAATACAGTTAAAAAAATGGCAAGAGAAAGCATTGTGATCCAAAACAATTCTCAAACACGGTTGGTCTTTTCTCCATCGATATCTCCTGAATATGTATTGTTTACCGAGCATAAGAATTTCACCTCAGATTCAATTCTGCTCTCCAGTGGTCCGAGCGACAAAGCCTATTCTCCTCGACAGCTTGGTGGAAGAATTTTTTTCAGGTTCTCGAAGTTTTACATCTTCATGGCATTAACTGCAATTTTTGCATTGATTTAGCGAATCAGAAATAAATTCCCCCGGCAATCTACAAGGAAATACTTTGCCATGATATGTTTCTGTTATGAAAAGAAATTTTGTGTTGTGTCATTCAAATGCAAATAGGAGTACAACACTTATATTCTGACATATTGGAACTCGTTTATTATTTAGAAAAAAAATTAAATATAATTAGCATATGGAGACGCACCATCATGAAAACAACGAACAATGATTTCCTTTCTATGGTGGGGGTAATCACAACCATCGTCTATTGCTTGCAGGCTCGTTGGCTCGTTCATTTCGCCCGAGAACTTAGAACACTACTGGCTAATTTTTCTCGTCACAAAAATAACTCAAGATGTCATTCCCCAACTCTTTAAGATCCGATCCAATCTTCTATTACCAAAGTTAATATTTTGTGTGGTGAAAAACTAACGAAACTTTATTACAACTTCTGAATTAGACATTAAGCATGATATCCTTCGAATTTCAGGCCGGATTGACTGCACAAGATGCCCCTGACCGTCTGCTAATAGCCTTAGAACCGGAAGCCGCCTCGATTTACTGTCGGAAGTTACGTTTGAGGGACTGTTCATGGGCAGAGGAGACAAAGAGGAGGTCCACTGTCTCATCATCAATGGACGCGCTAGTCGGAGATGACTTTCAAGGTACTAATTTCGGGAAAACAGGGAGCCAAGAAAGCACAATGACCTCTATTGTTCCAGCCTTAGTTCGATGCCCTAAACCTGCGTCATATGTGTGGGTTGAGCTTGTTGTTGATTATCTTTCCTAGTACAAGAGTTTCTCTCCGGTTGGCCCCAATTCTCCATCCTTTTCAAAAACCAACACCTTTAATTTCAAATCAATCTGAAACATGAACAGCAAAGATAGACGAGCAACCTCATGCCGTGTGTGCTCCTGCTAAAATCCAATTCATTACAATCATTATCTGCTTGTTTTAAGACAAGGATATCATAAGTGGTGCAACAATGTGATAGTTAGTTTCATATACTTATCAGAGCGTTGACGAGTCCATTTTACCTGCCCTCTAGGAACTTAAACGCGCCCCCGGGCCTCCCTGGGTTACAATAACACTCTTATTCTTTCACTTCGTTGCTGACTTGGCTTTTTTCTTGTATTCAGAAAACACCCGTTACCTGGTGGTGGATTGTGGGGGAGGCACAGTGGACCTTACAGTACACGAATTAGACTCACAGACTGGTACCTTACAAGAGCTTCACAGGGGCACAGGAGGAGCCTGTGGGGCCACTGGCGTGGACGAGCAGTTCGAACTGCTGCTAAAGAAAATCTTCGGGAAGGACTTCATTGAGCAGTTCAAAAATAAGCGACCCGCAGGTTGGGTAGACTTAATGATAGCTTTTGAGGCAAAGAAACGAACTGCGAGTCCAAACAAGACAAATCCACTGAACATTTCGATGCCGTATTCCTTCATCGACTACTTCAAGAAACACAAAAGCTCAAGCATTGATTCAGCGGTCAAAAAGTTTGGAAATCCAAACGTGAAATGGTCTTCGCAAGGAATGTTGAGAATTGCGCCTGAAACCATGAAAGAACTTTTTGACCCCGTGTTGAGCAAAATTGTCGAACATGTCAAGGACCTCATTAGTCGAGAAAGTGTTACCGGTCTAAAGTTTCTCTTCCTTGTAGGTGGATTTTCCGAGTCGCCATTACTTCAAGAAGCTGTGCGTAAAGCGTTTGAGTCAAATATGAAGGTAATTATTCCCCAAGAAGTCGGGCTAACCATTCTCCGAGGGGCGGTGCTGTTCGGATTGGATCCCACTGTTGTCCGAGTTCGACGGGCTGTTATGACTTACGGAGTCGGAGTCCTCAATCGATTCATTGTCGGAAAGCACCCAAGAAACAAACTCGTGAAGAAATCGGGCGTCGAATGGTGTACCGATGTGTTTGACAAATTTGTAACTTCCGATCAGCCACTGAAACTGGGAGAGAGTGTGACGAGGAGTTATGCGCCTGCCAAACCAGGACAAACTTCAACAATAATCACAATTTATTCCACGGAGGAAGAAAACGTTAGTTTTGTCACAGACCAAGGCGTCAAGAAATGCGGACAGTTGCTTCTGGAGATGCCAGAGGTGGAAAACACTGATATCAAGAAACCGAGGGAGCTTCAAACGAGCATGATTTTTGGTGATACTGAGATTAAAGTTACAGCTCTGGATATTCTGTCCGGCAAGGAAGCGAGAGCAAGCATCAATTTCTTGTCCCTGTGAAAAAGGGCGGAACATAACGAAACACACCGTCAATTAAATACTAAATTTGGTTTTATCAATTGAGTTGAATTTGCCACCGTAGAGAGCTTCTAAAGCTGATATTTTATGCGAAATACCAAGGGCTGACTCTCGAAATGTCAGCTTTTTCTTTGCGGTGGCCAATTTATATTATCAACTTAGTTGATGAAAAGAAATTATCTTGCGACACCCCCCCCCCACCCCCATCGATGCAGCATCACAAATGCTTGTGAAACTTACCCCCTTAATTCATTCATTGTACAACTAATAGTTTTTGTTTAACACTAGGAAAAGTAGTTGAAGTCGAATGGAAGTTTTTTTTTTCGTTTTAAAGTGATGTACCAAATGATTACCAGGGTGCGCGAGAATAATCGGAATGTTATCTTTGAATAATCTATCAGTTTCTAGACTATACTGTATTTTTAAATGAAAATTCCTGGATTTGATAAACCCACAAACTTTATGTCATAAGACAACAGAAAAGATCCGCCTTTTACGTAGAGGAAATGAAAGAAAGATGATAAATTCTTAGCTCGGTAGTGGAATAGAGAAAGGTATTGTTCGTCCTGTTACTGGCGTTTGACAAAGAAAAACTTTAAGTCACTTTTTGCAGCTGATTTGAAAAGCAAAATATGAAAAAACAAGTCAAAAGGAGAAGCAGAGAAGAACACACCACCGATAAGTAAGAACTCTTACTTTTATTAAGTCCTCTACGAGGCGTCTGTAAAACGTGTTTAGTTCAGATACTTGATCAGGACAGTTGGCAATCGATGATTTAGCTGATTTGTTTCTACTCTCCGCACTTCCGTTTTTTAGAACTCCGTGGCATGCGGTGAAATAACAACTATATTTTGCTTTCGACGAGAACAACATCTTTTGATTATTCACTTTGCCTTCAATTCCATTTTGAAACCTTTGTTACAGATTAGCATCATTTTGAGTTTGTGGTCAAACTCCACACCGTGACGATTACCGATCGCTGGTTTCGGTAACAGGTCGTTTTGTACCCACGGTCGTTTTCGTAATAATCTTCCAGATCTTAGGTTGATTTAAATAAGAACTGTTTGTGTTGGTTACCTATGTCCACTTTACGTTTGAATCAGGTCGCATTTACAATGACATATCAATATTGAAGGACTTGTAACGTAACTACATACACCAAGAGGATGTTTCATATGCAGTCCTTTACAACTCAATTAGGTCGTTTCGTACCCAGTCAGCTGAGTCCTTCCGTACGCAGCTAGGTCCTTTAGTACCCAAACTAATAAAGTATAATCTCCATGTTAACTATTGGAGAAAAATATCACACTTACACGAGCTGTTATTGTTAAAAAAGTCACAAGTATATACAATAGACTTTTCTATTAAAAATACCTCACTTACCTTACGCTAGGCAATAATTAAATTGTTTTTGTTAAGGTCACAAGTATAAACAATTAACATTAACATAGTATCTTCCTCGCTTGACTCTAATAATTTGTCGTAAGCAACGACTGACATCTGTTCGCACGCTGGCGCGTGAGGTATTCTGAATTAAGGTATGAATCGATCAGTGGTTTGGGTAAGAACCGACTTAAACTTGGGCACGAACTGACTCAAACTTGGGTACGAATTGAGTCCATTTGGGTACGAAATGACCGTGGGTATGAAACAACTGAATACCTTGGTTTCCAAGGCAAAGAAAAGCAAAGTGATGCTTGTGCTGTATAAAACTTCCCCGCTTCAAGGGTGTGGTTGATTCTTAAATATTTTCTCAGAAATTGAAATAACTCTGATCAGAGATTAAAAATATTTCATTTGTAGCATTTGACTATGAGAATCTAAACTACAGCTAGTTCAGTTACTATATATTGATGATCAAGCTCCTTTTAGTTCTACTGCCACAGTTGAGGAAATTAACTATTATACTTGTTTAATTCCTGATTTGATTGGTGAGCATAAAAATGGTTTCCATAATCATATCCTGGAGTACCATTCAATCCTCAGTGAAGAGACCTTTTATTTTTTATTGAATTTAATTTTCATGTGCTGATAGTCATAATTTACTTTATAAATAATACTACTTAATGTTAATAATAAAAATCTTGCATTATGATCTCTCCAACCTTTTTTCAATAACAACATTGTTTATTCAGCTGCATTCTTTTCCAATTATTGATACTAGCAGCAAAAGAGTTTCTAGTATCTTCATAATTAAGCCATGTACTTTTTCTTTTTATCCTTGCATGACATGAATGGCACAATACTTTCCCTGATTTTTGGCCAGGCTTTCTGTCATTTTTCTTTTACAGCGCATGACACAGCAAGCTGGTGTATGCCACTTAATCAAAGTCAGGAATGTCTTCAAATGAGTATCCCCTATAACCTTTCCAAGCATAGTAAGCTATTCTGACATGGTAGAAGCCTGGGATGAACATTAGGGAACCAAGGATCAACAATGGATAAGTCCGATCAGCATACTGAAAAGGTAAGAGACGAGAAAAATCCAGCAAAAAAAGTGGTGCAAAACATGTAATAAGACTGTAGGTTTGACTCTCAGCTGAGTGAATTTTCCACTTACACTAAGATGACATTGTGATGTGAATGTTTTACATGAACTTACTAGAAATCAAAGTTAAAAAGCCATACTACTAATCAGTAGGGGTGGCAGGCATTCAAAATCAAACCCAATCAATTTAAGGCATTTGTGCCCTTTCTCATACTTATTTAGTACATAGGGTCTAGACAACTTTTGGTACATTCCAATGAAACTTAGACCAGCTATTTGAAGAGGAATTCACTATACTGCTGGCTCTGTAAGTAGGCGAGATAAAATGAATCCTGCAATCTGATATGCTACCCAAGTAGTTAAGCTGACCAGTTTAAGTTTAGACCCCTTGATTTGTCAAAAAATGAAAGAATAGGTGTGGCCCATTATCAGAATTCCTTACCTTTTGGGCTCTTTTAATTGTAATATGAAACGTTTTCCCACTATTTTGCCAACAATAGACAACTAAAATGATTTAGCACTTCTTTGCTATTATTGTTTAGTTGCATGTAAAAAAAATCTTATCAACCTAGGTTTTCCAAATCATAACTGTACTCTTTTATATACTGCATTGTGTCTTATTTTACCTTTTATACTATTTATTTTACTATTGAATTTAACCTACATTTTCTGCCTTATACTTTTGCCACTTTGTTTTTAACAAGCTTTAGACTGAACCTGAAAACTCATATTTTCAAACCAGTAGTAGTGATTCACATGTAACTTCTCCTTATAATATCCATCCATTATCCAACACAAAGGTGATAAGAGTACTCAAACTAATCAAGTTGTGTTGATCTAATACCAAGTTCTCAAAACTATGCATGCCATGGAATTAATTGGTTACCACTTGTAAAACTATACACACCTTCACATCGAAATATCCCGTAAAGAGTAGTGATCCAAAAACAAGTAAAAGAGTTCCCACGGAGAATAAGAAAACTGCCAGCAGTAAGGCCTTCCAGGGTACCTTTGGGGGAGGCTTTATAAACTATAAGTGAAAAGACCATGTTCACGTTATATACATTTCATATAGGGTTTAAAACAAAGAGTTGCTGGTGGAGGTAGGATTTCCAAGTCAAACCTGTAGGAGAAGTGCAACCCCCTGAATTGTGTTGGTACTTATATTTGGCGGGCACATGTATGCATAAATCAACTCAATCAATCACCCAGAGTATGCAACGGTTCAGAAACTTTTTTCTTGATTGGGGCCTTGAAGTTTAAATTATGCATAATTTAAAAAGAACCAAAAAGATTACTAAATTATTATCGGAGACATCAAACGTAGCAACTCCTTTGTGGTCAAGGAGATGATTGGTACCGGGAATGGTATGTAAGCAAAAATATTTCTTTAAAGTAAATTCGTTCGTATTCCTTGGGATTTTTAGTTTGTTTCTTTACTTTGTTTCGCTTTTCGCCTTTTACGAGAACCTCAATTAATCTAATCTTGAAACTTGTTATCGAAATGAAATTGAAGAGTTGTTTCAAACCTGCGCGTCAATGTAGCCATCATCATCAGAAATCTTTTTATATTTCACTTTACTTCTGATCATCGTTGTAGGCATTTTCTAACGCGCCTAAATTAGCCGAAAGCCCAGCTATTTGTTGATAATCCGTGATAAGAATGCCTGATCGAGAGTCATTCATACAGAATCCTTACGAAGTTTACGAAGTTGTAACCTCGCCTTCAAACCGATCTACAGCAGAAGCCCTGGGTACGAAATAATCGGAACAAAGAAAATAGTTAAAAAAGTCCTCATTTTACAATCTTGAAACCATTGGAATTAAAGTTTGAGAACTATTACAGTAGTGTGGATGGAAGTAGGCCACTTTCCAGTGAATACTGTGATGAATATCCTTCACAATCTAGAGTTTGAAAATGTTGTCATGGTTTCTGTGGTAAACATCACGTAAACTTTGGAGTTCCGTGAACTCCATATTTGGCAAACTGAGCCCACGAGTGTGAGGAATTTGTTTTGAAAGAACGTATGTTTTTCTAATTTCTGATTGTTAGAAATATTTTATTCCCTTGACATCCTTTCATTCTCTTGTACTTTTGTTGATCCGAAATATAGAAATATGGACGGGGAATGTCTCTCTGTCACCGTGGTAGACAGAGTAACAAAGCTCGACACTCTTGGTGGTTATGTCTTCTTGGTGTTTCTGGTGTGTCTTATCATTGGATTTATCCTCGGTCTTTTGTTAGCACGGTGCATTCTAAGGGAATTGGAGGTAAAGTTCCTCTTTCTCTTGTTTTCGTAAGAATTGTTTGTTGGTGTGTACACGCATGGTTCATTCATTAAGTTTGTCTATTTGAGTTGTCTAAAATACGAATAAGTATGTTTGCTTAAATTATCCTGCTTGTAGATATTTTTAGAAGGTTTCGAAGCTAAGGTAAATAAGACTGTTTGTTCCCATTATTTGGTACAACTTCATGTAAAAAGTAAGATATATCATAGTGGTAATCATAGCAAGAAAATATGATGTAATCCTTGACCTATCACTTTGCCTATATTTGTGTCATCTCCCACTTAGTAATTGAGCTAATTGATTACTGTTATTATTTTACCTTTATTACTATTATCATCACCAGCGTTTTATTATTTTTTTTTCTTTGTCATAATTACTGTTTTTACAATTTTCAAAAATATAAGCATTAAACTATGTAGGTAAGCTTCCTTTTTGAGCAACAATGTCACTTGATCTTTATTAAAGTTTTGCTAAAATTAATGTTTCAGTAGAAGTTGGACAAACTACAGAGGCACAACAACCTTTTTGATTGGCAAAACCTCTGTTCAATATGCCAAAAAACCCAAAGAAATTCTGAAAACAGTAGACTTCATTTGTTATGTTTTCAGGATATGAAGTACAAACTTTTCTTGTATTTTGCCAACATCTCATGTTAAGCTTTTTACACCCTAACATCAGCATGTATATTCTCCATACTGTTATCCATACATTTCCTAAGGTGCTGACAAGGAGAATTTGTGTAACAATCAAGAGCTTCTTCAGTGGGTGATCATTTCCTTTATCCTTATGATCTTAAATGAATGATTCCGTAGTATAAATGAATGGAGAAACTAGATGCTGGTCACCCTTAGGTTAGGCTACCTTCAGTTACTGATGGAGAGTGGGGACTATTATTTTACTAGACTGTAATTTTTAGTTTCATTTGCATATCCCTTTGTTCTAGTTATTTTAGTATAAGAATAATAAAACAGAAAACACAAATTAGGTTTTTAATTTTTGAAATCATCTTGAACTGAAATTAGGTTTAAACTACAGCAAAAATGTGAATTCAAATATTACACATACTGTCTGACTTGCAGGTAAACTTAGAAAATAATGTATAATAAGTATTGGGCTTGTGTTTAATGGCAGTATAATTCATCAGGGATCAAGAAATCTGTAGAGACACACCCCTAGATACATGTACTTAGTAACAGTCTGTACTTTTGATATTTGACCCTTAAGCTCCCAGAAGTGATTAACATGTAACCTCTCCCTATTATATCCCTAGTCATTATTTAGCAAACAGGTAATGTCAGAATACTTAAACTTATCAGGTAGAAGTTGTTATCTTGATCTAAACACCAAATTCTTGTAACCAATTAAAAAGGAAATGTGTTGCAGCAAGAGGAGAGAATTAACAATTAGATCTTGAGAGTTAAAGGGTTAATTGGCTCTGATTTTATACATCATAGGAGCAATACTCCCAAAGGAGAAGTAAATCACAAACTGAAGCAATTCTTATTGAAGTAGAGAATGAAGTAAAAATACAAGAGACATCTGGAAAGGCAAGTTCTTGTTATTTTGGTAAATACATGTAATTCATCTGTTTACTGCTCTGAGATTGGTTGGACTTTGTTGAAAGTGTCAAGTCTTAGTGAAGCTACTAAATATTAATATAGACAGGGGTATGTGTGGAAAATGTTTCTCGAAAAAATATTACTTGTAGTACTTATCATCTTCATCTTGTCTTTATTTTTGTATGTAGACTTCACCTGAAAATATATTATTCAAGGTTTATTTCAAGGCAGATTTGGAGATTATGGGTGATACATATAATTCTCAGTAGTTAGAGTGACTGTATTGGCTATTTTGGTACACATTTGCATCTTTTTTGACAAGTGGTATTTGATTTAGTTGAGTTAATGATGTTTTATGATACATATATTTTAATTTACCTGTTATGTATAAGATGTATGTAACAACTGCTCAGATTATGTCAAAGCAGTTATTTCCATTGTCTCTTAATCATTCCAAATAATGAGATTCCTGTAGCCCTACGTTGATACTTTTGTTCTGTAATAGAGCTCAGGATTCAACAAAATGTATTAGAATGTCATTGACAAAAGAATCGTTTCTTGTCACATAACTAGAAAATGGGCAGTAACAGGATAGCTCCAATGCCTGTGCCAACCAAAAACACAGCTGATATAGCCATAGAGATGGAACCCACCCACCTTAGCACTGGCAGTCTTCATAGTCAATCAGGTTGGACAGGAGAACAAGACAGCAACAACTCAACAGTTGTTTATGCCTTGAGCAAATCTTCAGGGTAATTCGTAGTTAGTTTATTCTCCAATATTTGATGATTTAACCTAACACTCCTAAAGGTGGTTGCATTGTAACCTCTCTGCAAAATCAAAGAATTTTGTAAGCAACAAAAGATAATGAAAATGCAAAAATCTATCACCTAGAGGGTATTTTCCTGATATAACACCAAATTTGTGGAACAAATGTTCACAGAAAGGTACAATGCAGCTTTAAGAGAAAATTAGTGATTAGATGTTGGAGTTAAAATGTTAACTGAATCTTTGACTGGCCAGAAGTTTTTTGAATATTAGACTACCCATGATAAGTGATATGACTTTGACATCACAATGGCATCTCCTATAGAATTCCCCCATAGTTTGTAATTTTAGATTGATCATGGTTACCCTCTCCTTCTTGAAGTAAATAAAATGATCACGCTTGAAGGATGTATTATGATATTTTTTTATTAGAGAAGAAATGGAACTTGAAATTCAAAAACAAGATTTCAAGTCAATTGAGGAAATGGAAACTAATATCCGTCTACAGAAGAGTGAGGTGTGTTTGTTACAATATCTTTAGAGATCAGAGAGTGACATAGTATGCTTGGTAACATAACGGTTTTTTATTTAATATATTGAACAAAATGTTGAGACTAAGAAGTGTTCTTAAGGTGACTAAAACAGAAATTATTGTTTTCCTTACTTTAACCCTTAACTCTCATGAGTGACCAAGACAAATTTTCTCCTTACAATATCAATACAATATAAAGTAGACCAGGGATGAGACAAGGAGATTATTAGTTGATCCAATACCAAAATCCTCTGAACTTACATCATAATAACTGTATGGCAGACACTAGGAGCCCAGTAATGGGCTCCTGCAGACATAAAATCAAATGCAAAACTAAAATCAATTTCAACTTAGCCACTTGCATAATCCTGATTACTTCAGGAGGTTTTCTTGTGTTTACTTTGAGTTACCATGGGCTACCAATATTAATTTTCTTTCTTCTGATTTGCTGCTGAGATTTCAACTCTCGATAGAAAAGTACTCTTAAGAACAATCTAATCACTCAATTGTTTTTTTCATGATTTCTGCAGACATTCCTACAGTTGTTGAAGATGATTTTGAGTTTCTTGGTGAGCAAATCCAGAATAAGCGAAGGGTTTCGAAGAGATTCTCTGGCTAAGTATGAGCAGGTAACACGAACATCTCTATTTTTGTTATAAATGATTTTTCATGTATGTCAGTTTTTTTGAGGCGTTTGAATATGTATTATCTTACTTAAGGGTGTTATGGTAATCTACAGTACACGTACATTAATGGAAGAGGGATGCAGAATTAAAGTTGTTTTTTGTTCTTAGATTGCTTTCTTGTAGACCTGCAACAGTCTTCTAATGGATTTGTGCCTCTTTTTTTGCAGGCAATTGAAGACATAGACAGGAATGCTAAGGAGGAGATGAAAGCTGAAGAACAGGTAGTCTGTTAATCTAAATCAATCATCCAATCTTTGGTAGATTTTTGTTATTTAACTGCTTAGCCTTTTAAAAGATAGTTAATTAAGGTTAATTTTCTCCTTTAAGTTCTGGTAGCTAATATAGAGTCAGAAAAAACAGAAAACATTCTGATCCTTCCATTTCAATTTGCGTACATTGATGCTAACTCTTCTTCCAACTGGTTATTTTTTTTGGATCAAAATTCTCCTTATAATTTTTACAATGTAAAAACCTTCTGTATGCATGGGTTTGATTCCATTGTTCACACAATCCATACATTACTAACCTCAAGATAAGGTTAGCAGCTGTTTGTTTCTTACAACCACAAGAGGCTGACAGACAAGAATTCTAAATATACCATTCTCATTACAGTTCCTCTTCACTTTTTTCCCACTCACTACATTCATGACACTTCTATTTTGTGATTGAAATAACTGTAATCATAAGTACTTGTATTGTCATTGGTACTATTATTATTACTACTTAAAGCAAGATGATCAAGATGAATTTATTACAAGATAATTATATGTCTTAATAGACATTTCTACATCCTAAATGTTACTTAAAAATTTCTTAACTAAGGAGCTTAGAACAACCATTGTGGATCCCATGAAGCTTGATCAAGCAATAGAGGGTCTTCATTCCAAGTACTCTAAGAGAATGGTGAGTGTCAATTTATTCCTCATCAGCTTTTGCTATGATATATCTTTTTGTATTTAATGTGATTTTGTGAAAGGGATTTGTATCTTCAAAAAGAATAACACATTTAACAGTGACCCAGGAAACTCTACTACTGCAAGTGTTGCCTCAGTCCACTTGAGTGCAAACAAACTTGGGGTGTGACAATTATTTTTTGGACATCAAATAAAATGAAATTTCAGCTTCATTCAATGAATATACGAGAGATATCAAACTCCTTAATGTGTGTTCTGTAACTTAACAGGCTACAGAGAGAATGGAACTACAGGAGAAACTGAGAACAGATCTGATGCAGGGCACTGAATTATCAGAACAAGAGGTGAGTTGGAGTTTGGTAAGAAGCAGTTACCTCAATTTAACATTGAGTAGACGAAGTTGAGCAAAACTTGACAGCTGATTATGCTGATCAATGTTTCTAAAGCAGTTTTAGTTATTTGTATAGCACATAAAACTTTGTAAGATTGACAGATGTGCCATGTTGATACAGTTTTATAGTTGTTCCTGTGGCTTTTGTGAATATCATGAGTTGTCCTGTGCTCATCGTTGCTCTCCTTTTTCTCCCCAGCCTTCTTGAATTCATTAATGGAGGTTTGACATTTTATATCAGACAGCTCATGATATTCCTCAGTGTGAAACTGAGATGACCACAACAGAATTCTAAGAGATTCTCCAAAAGTAAATGTGAATCTCCTTGTAAAAGCTTTTTATACCAATGAATAAAGAAAGATCCCTTATATGTCAGATAGAGGATAAGGTGGACCGTTAAGAAGTAAGGAATCCTTTTTTATAACAGGCGGAGCAGATTGTTGCCAAACTCATGATGAACATGGCTGCTGTTGACAAAAGGTTGGCTGAGGAAGCCAGTAGGCAGAATAAGGTATGCTACTAATACTTAGTAAGGCTTGAAACAGTGGGTAATTGATTAGAATTATATCCCCTTTGATAATCGTAACCATATTGTTTACCAATGACAGCCTTAGTACGCTCTACTGCTTCTCTTTTATTAAACATGGTCAAATGTCGTTTCGTTCACCAAAAGGGTTTACTGTCTATGAAACATATAAAAATGATTTTGTCGCATTGATTTTTAAGTGATCAGTTTAGATCCAACAATAATATAAAACAAATGAACAAGCCATGTAAAAATAGGGAAAGAAACACTTGTCAAAACTGTAAAGGGGTTAGTTTTTAAAAAAAACTGTAGTGCTGGGAGAGTACAACAAGGTAATTTAGAATTATCAACTGAGTTGATAACGGAAGTTGGCCACCATAAAGAGTTTCAAAGCTGCCTTTTCACTCTGACGAAGGGCTAACGCTTGAAACATTACCCTTAAAACTCTTGGTGGCCAATGTACGTTATTAACTCAGTTGATAATACTAAATTAACTGGTCAAAACTGCCAAGGGTACGTGTTTTAACGTCTGTACAGTTGTCTGTTAATGTATTTGCTAGTAAGTAATGTATCAATTGGTCTTATCAATCACCCTTAGGTTTTACACGAAAGACTTGCACGAAGACAAGCACTTGCTCAACAAAGAGTTGCAGATAATCAACAGGTTTGTCATGACCATATTACTGGATATTTGTTTAACGCGGAACTTTCTCAGCGTTCAGATTTATTTATGTTATGATCTCAGTTTCGCTCTCAGTTATTTTTCCTACTTTTTTTCTATAAAAAATTTGAAAAGATTGAATCGGTTTTCAAGTTCACTGCTCCCTGTTCTAAATCTGTTCCCATACTTTTAAATTATCTACTTCTTCGAAGGAAAAAGAGGAATTTGACGACCGAATGAAACAGCCACAGAAGAATTTAGACGTTTTGTGCAAAAGGGGAAAGCTCTCGACTGACCAGAAGGACAGGTATGAGTAATTTATGACAAGATAAAAATTCGTATGCAGATATCTTGAATTGTAGAGTGATCAAGTTTATCATGTCTTAACACGCGTCAAATAAATCTTAACATTCCCTATGAACAAAGTCAATACATGATCAAAAGTACTTCTACAAAAGATGTGAAAATCAAGAGTGGCAGCCGCACTTACCATGTTTAACTTTATTAGGGAAATCCTTGCTTCATTCATTTTTGTTTTTTTCGTAGCTTTGAGACGTTCATTACTCTAGCTATACTCCCTAACCGGGATTATCGTGGCACTATTTTCTGATTAGCTCCACGAACTTGCAATGATTTTACCGAAGATTTTCGCCGGAATAATGCTCCCTGAATATTCTGTGGACAAAGAAGTAACTACCTTTCTGTTTATGTTTAATTCCAAGGATCATGGATGAATATGAACAAGATCTCAGAGTTTTAGAAGAGAAACATCAGCAAGGTTTGGAGAAAACAAACATAGTAATTGTAACTTCCACCTATCAAACCAATGAATATGAAAACGATCTGCGCTGTAATGAACACTTCTTAGGATGTAGTGAAGATAAGGCCAGAAAAATTCAGGCCTGTACGGGATTTGAACCCATTACCTTTGCGATACCATTCTAGTGCTCTACCAACTTATGGCTAACAAGCAAACTGGGAGCTGTTCATTATGTTGGCTCATTTAAAACCCATGAGGTGATAAAAATCAAAGCAGATTCTAAACCTTAGTCTCTTAGGGGCGTAACTACCTGTATGTAACTGGTCGACTCATTTCTACGTGGACGTTATGGAATGGTGTGGTGTTTTGACAAGGTCGACTCAATGTTATTTGAGTGAAAATAATTTCTCGGAAGAAACTATTCAACTTTGTCGTCGGGCAATTGCAAAACTTTTTTATCAGCTACAAGTGGTAAAGGTAGATACTTTACAGAAGCGAATTTTGAAGAATTAACGTTTCAAAATGATGCCTTGAATAAGAAAATGATTGCTTGGTTCTACTTCGGAAGCATGGACAACAAAAGTCAGTAATCTTAGGCTTTTTCTTTTATCATCGGCTGGTGTCGCTTTGGCTCAAGCTATATTAACTGGAATACTAATACTACTGCTTATTAGTCATGCCTCTTTCGGTTTTATTTCATGAACCATGACAACGCACAACATGCCCAAAGACAGTTTGGAAAACGCAGCACGATACTAAAATGCGACAATTGATGACTTGTATTTAAAAAAAAACTTTCTTCCAATAACTACAAACTTGTAGATACTCATTCCTTTCTAAGGAATTTATGGATTACTTGAAGACACCTAGAGCAGTATTCAGTAACTCTGCATTATTACAAGATCTTAAACGATATTAGTTCCAGCACACAGTACTTCATAACCTCTGCTGGTTATTACTTCTTGTCTCATCATCAATCTGTCTGGTAGAGGCGCGTTTGATGATTGTGATTTTTCAATGCCATCTTTTTGCAGCTATCCTGAAAAGTCAAAATGATTTAAACGAGAAGCTCAGGAGAAAGCGGGAGCAAAGAATGAGAAAACTAGAAATGGAACAAGCTGCAGAAAAAGAGGATTTTGAAAGGAAGGTAAACAAGATGATCTTCTTCCTTTTTCGCTCTCTGGCCTTTTTCTTTTGTCTCTCTTCCTTGTCTCCTTCTCAGCCTTTCTGATGTCTCGTCACCTCGTCACGCAACCTCACTACAGGTCGTCATGTCACGCATAAAGGATGTGTGTCGCAATGTGTGACATATTCGGACATTGGGTACGAAAACATCTTTTAGACTTGTTGAGCTTATTTTGCTATTATAACAGGCCAACCAGATGATTACTGACGGTAACATGACGGCTGAGGACTTCCTGGAGGCAAACCACAAAGTTAGAGTGCAGCAGCAAGTTGCGCGCGAAGAAGAGGAGGACAGAGCTGATGAGTTCGAAGTAGAAGAACTGAACGTCCTCCGAGAGGTTGGTGTTCGTTACGAAACCGGTTGTGTGGGTACAATAAATACATCGAGTGTAAAAAGAAAATGAAGATTACTATGGTTGAAGAATAGTTTTCTCAATGTAATACGTGCTCGACGTGACTTGCAGTCGTGAACTTCTTGTGAACACTCTGAAATATCCCTGAATTTAAACGCCTATTAAGATTCTGGACGAAAGTGGTGCGAAATATTACGTATTAATATATCTCTTTCTGTAGTATATAGGCATACATAGAAAATCGCACAGCTGAGTAACTATAGCGTGCCAGACTCTCTTTTAATAAAAAAGAGCAAAAATACGGACGCGCAGTAAAACGGTCGCGGTTAGGCGAAGAAAAATATGCAGTCGTTTCTTTGAAAACCGTCGTTTTTCGCCAATCTTTTTGCGTCGAATGACAGAGAGTCGGAAAAGCTAAGTAGGAACCTTTCTGACGAGTCATACACCCTCCACCAACTCGACGTAACTCTTGACATACTGACGTCACAACTTGCCGTTTGTGCCACTTGGCTCCGACTATTTGATTCAAACCGCACGCTCTAAATTTTTGTGAGAATAAGAACAAGGCATGTGACTGTGCCATATTTTCATTGATGTTTCGAACAATAGAAACTGGAGGAAAAGCGACAACGCAGTTTGAAAGAAAAAGAGGAAACGTTGTTTGAACAGATTAAAACCGAGGCGCATCTGTCATCAAAGGAGGCTGAGAAATTGGTGAACAAGCACCTGGAAGAAGTCAACGAAGCAAACGGTTGGTAAAATACAATGATGTTTCTTAATAGTGAGAAAGAGCTAGCGACGCAGATGAAAGGGGAAAAGTGTTTTAGTGTTACAAAGGTTGTAGGCAATGTCATTATATTCTGGAAAAGGCCGAAATTTCCTTTCAACTACAGATATAAGGAAAAGTGGTACTTTGAAGAAATCTCTGAGTCTCTTGGAAATATTCCAGCCTCATACATTTTATTTATTTATGTATTTTTTGTTATTACTCGGTTACCCGTAGAACTGAAGGTTTCACACGCACAGTTACTGACTCTTTGCTTTACGTTCTTGTTGTTACTGGTGTTGTTGTTATTGATTAATACCATGCAATTTCTAATATCGTACCACCAGTTTTGCTGGACGCGAGAATAAGGTGCCTCATCTGAATGCTTGTAACTGAAAAAAATACTCAAATTTTATAGAGTTAGTCTTAACTTACTCTGTCTCCCAATTGTGTTTTCCTATTGTATCCTTAGAAAGGAAAAACCGTGAGCGTGAGAGGCAACGCGCTGTGATTCAAGAGAAACTGGAAGAAAGGAAGAAGAGGTGGGAGAGGGATTTAGAACGACAGCAAGCTGAACAGAACCAGTTGGTTGCAGAGCAAGAGAAAGCCATAAAACAAGTGTTAAACACCCAAGCAGGACTCGCGGAAGAGTACGTACAAACAGAGAAATTAAGAAAAGAACTTTATACTTGATGTGAAATGTTAATTTAGCTTTAAAACTGATTAGGAGCTGCTTCGATGTTTAATAATTACTGACCCTCATAAAATCCTATTGTTCTCTCTCAGCATTATATCGGCGATTTCAGTTGCATTGTTGGTGTACCAAAACATCAATATGAAGGGGCGACTGAAATCGTCGATGTAATGCAGAGAGAGAACAATAGGATTTTATGAGGGTCAATAATTATAATAGTTAATTACTTCGGTTCGCAGCATTATTGGGTATAATGCTGCGAACCTCAGTAATTATCTATTAAATAATGGTAGGTTCGGTTGATACGTTTCGCTGTGCACCTTTCAACACCACTACAAGCGATAGAGCACAGAGAATTGACATCAGGAAATGTATGCCCGTATTAATTTTGGTAATTTCGGTAATAGTGGTCAACACGAAGGAACGGCCTTTTTTTGAGAAACACTTTAAAACATACTCCAACACTAAGAGTCCACATCCACAACGATAAGGTTTTCTTAAAATTCCCTTAACATAATGTTTAAGAGAAGAATATAGCTACGTGGACTGGTCGATACAGAGTCGATTTTACAGGCGGATCTACACTCGATCAAATCAAATAGCGATGAGGTTTAGCGTTAATTTCATGTAACGTCAATTTAATTTCCTATGATAAGACAATAAGATAAGACAATTTTTTCCTTCCTAACTTCTCTATTTAGTGTTTCCCACAGAGATTAGCGTGTTCCATGTGCCCCTCTAAAGGTGGCGGGGAAGAAAGAGAAGTTTGCCATCGCAGTAACTATTAATCTCTTTGCTTCCACAGATTACGTAAACAAGTAATGCTAGAACACGAGCAGAACATGATAGCGCTGAATGATCATTTACAGATGACGAGACTGAGACAACAGAAAAGGTTTGTCTAATAATCCATTGGAAAGAATAAAACGGATTTTGATGAGATGGCAAATCAGGAGTTTTCCTCACGCATTCTGAAGACGAATATGCCTTATATAACCTTACCTGGATGGATTCCATTCCGTTTCATTTCTCATTCCTTTAGATGGAGCAAATTTGCTTGTTCTGTTCTTACTCTGCAGATGTTCTCATTGACTTTTTGTAATAGTTCATTTGTTTTTAATGGCCGTGGCGATAACTTTGTGCAGTGTTGTGACACTCTTTAATAAAGCACTTCAGAAAGACAACACCGATAGTTTGTTGCACATGAGTGGTAGTTTGAAATGAAACTGTGCCATGCATTAGTTCTACTTTAAAAAGAATTCAGAATTTTCGGTGAAAATTGGTCTAAGTTTGAATAAAAAAAAATTCACCAGTTCACTGTAGAGCAGTTTTCAAGTGAATGTCTAATAAATCTATCTATGATTGTTTTGATTTTGCTTAACTTCACTCTGTGATTGGTCCAATAAATTCGCGCCACCCTCTCAACCAATCAGATTCAAACCTTAAACCAATCGTGATTTGATCTCTTGCGTTTTGGCGCGTTTCATGCAGTTTGCCTATTTTTACTTTGAGTTCTCATTGTCGACTTTTCTTAATTGGCTATTGTGATTACTTTGGTTTTGGTTTCTCGAAACTCAACTGAAAACTTCTCTGTACAAATAACAAATTGGCAAGAATATGAAAAGCTAAAGGGAATAAGGTAAGTAACGATGGAGAGGACTAGCACGTACAACAAATGACAAACTTGAAAATTTCAAGTTTATAACAAACTGTAAGTTAGCGTAGTATTGTAACGGGAAAAAGAGCGTTCCTAAGATGAACTGCAGAAGCTAGTGACTCTCTTATCTATTTGTTTCTTTCCTGCAGATTGGAACAGCGCCTGGCAACACGACGAGCCAGGCTGGCTGAAATGAGGCAACAGATGGAGATGGAACGAAAAGAACACGGTGACAACGATCCAGAAGCCATGAGGAATCTTGCAAGAGTTCAGGTTGGATTTTCACATCACTCTACCAAGTAATACTGCTTTAATCTTCCTGGGAATTGCTGTGATTCGGATGTCAAACCGTGTATATATATTTTTTTTTCCATGTAGAACATTGAATATCAAGCTGAGGTAAAGAAAATCGAGGCTGAACATCAGACGGCTTTAGAAGAATTGAGAAGGTACATCGAAAATGCAAGCCTTGAATTTCGTTGTTGTTTGACGTCATGTTTTCTTACGTAATAAAGTCTGGGTCCAAAACAAAGACAATTTGTCGATAATCATTTGAAATTTTTGTCATTTACAGACGTTTAGCGGCCGAGACAGAGGAAGCTTTAAGAGAACAAGACGAGAGACTTGGTAAAATCCTGGGCAAACTGCAGGTGAGCTGATTACAAATATTCGTCTTTGAGTCATTCTTTCCACCGTTTATTTTTCCCTCTTCCATTTGTGTGCCATTCCAATACACAGCACTGGAAAAGGCGCATTTGGGTGTGTCCAATCCTCCATAATCCCATCCATTCGTTTTTTCTTACGTTTCTGAACCAAATGCTTAACAAGCCCTCAAAGGCAATGAGTGTCGCACGTAATCCAAGATTACATTGGTTCGCTTCACTACCCTCTTTGATTGGTTTATAAAACTCGCGCCACCCACCCAACCAACCAATCAGATGTAAAACTAAAACCAGTCGCGCCTTGAGCTTTAGGTAGTTTACTTAATTCTACTTTGAGCCGGTTGTCATTGGCTCCTTTTTATTTTACCTTCCTACTGATTGACCTTTGTGATTGATCTCTGTGGTTTTGGTTTTACGACCCTTCCTCATGTAACATTAGAAAGTATTCATCAGCATCTTCTCTTGTGTGCTTCACTTGAAGGTTGCAGTAGCAAGGCGGGAAGAGATCATTAAAAAGCAAGACGAAGCTATCCGTTCCCTGGAGGTAATAAATCAATCAGCTCTAAGGTCAGAGTAATTATTTAGTTTACCTTTCACAGGAACCATCCAATTGGAAACTTCTGGCCCCAAATATTCCAGGACTGAACATAACTTTATAACAGAAGGAAAATGTTCAGAACTTACCAAAATGCACATAACAGAAGAAAACGAAACAAGTTTCAGTTGCCCGTGATTTTTAAAACATTCCAAAGGCGCGTTTTTCCGTGACGGAAAATTTTTTGTTTTGTTTTTCACAGAAAAAGCTGGTAGAGAACATGACGAGAGAAGGCACGTTAGCTGATGCACAGACTGATAAGATTTTGAAACAACATCAGAAACAAGTGGACAAGTTGAATACACAGATAGATATGTAAGAATGAAACATTCAACTTTGGCTTTCGATAAGCTGGATTTTGTTTCTTAGGACTGACTTAGAGGATCAAGCTAAGGGAAAAAGCTATAGTTCCATTAGAGACACATACTGAAGCATAAACAAACCGCCAATTACTTGCAAGACAGAAGAAATAATCAAGAAAGAAACATGTTTTTATAAATTTTTCTTTTGCTATTAATGATATTTTCTGTGTTTCAATTTTTCTATTAACTTGTAGGGAGAAGGAAAAACAGATGCAAAAGATTCGAGAGAAAATTGCGGCAAAGCAACAAAAGAAAGCGAGGTAAAAATTTTGTGCGCTACCATTTAAATGACGTTATTTGTGATTGTTACTCATGTTACGTTGCAGAAACCAGGAATTACTAATAATTAATGTTAAGGTGTCCTACCTCTTACTTCATATTTGGCAATGGCCCGACCTCTACTGATTTGGTGTCCTTCAGCAAAACAAAACTCTTTACCCGTGTTCTGTTCATCTCGACTTACCCGTATACTTTATAGCTATTACTTACATCACAAAACTCCACTCTACAACAAACTTCACCGTAAACAGATTTGGAAATCCACGGTTATTTTTCAGAGCTTTGGAAGCGAAACTTTATCAAGAGAAAGAAGACCAAAAGAGTAAAGCTGCTCAGTAAGTTCCAACTATTTATGTCATTTTTTCCAATTAATTTATTGCTTATCGAGGTATTTCTAGTGTTAGCCTTTTACAATCGCGCTTGAGTATCGTTTTGACGCCGACGAAACAAATCATGATTGCGGCGTGTTTTATTCAACTTAACTCTCACATTGCTTTCTTTGCAGATCTGCGGGAACCAAGATAATCACACTTTTAGCAGAGCAGCGCCACAGGAGAGAAATGGAGGTACGTCTGACGACTGTCTCTCACTCATTCTTTTTTATGATCTTGGTTTCTCTCTGTAATCGTTTCCTTGTCTCACTTACTCAGGACCTAGAGCGTGAAATGCAGTTGGACCTTGCGCGTCAATTGGAAGAGATCAATAAAGAAATGGACGAACAACTCTTGGCGGACTTGCAGGTTTGATGACTATTTTTTATATACTAAACTGAATTACGCACGCATTTTGATTGGTTCTTACTCAACCTTTTAACCCCTGAGAGTGACTAGCATCTAATTTCTCCCAACAGTATAACCCCTGTATCACGCAGTAAGGTCATGAGAATAAAGGAAACGATCGCTAAATAAATATTCTCTTGATTGATAAACAAATTCTCCTTGTCAACACCTTAGGAAATGCATAGAAACAGTATGGAGAATATGCATACTGATGTTAGAGTGTAAAGGGTTAAGATCTATTGAAGGACAGACGCATAGTTGACGTCGCTATTCACAAGTTTCTGCTTTATTATTATATGAAACACATAGATTCCATTTTCCGTGGGTCTGTACAGTCTAAGCTTAAGAAGGTATTTACTTACAAATGCGCAATTTTTTATTTATCTGTAGGAAGAAGAGAGGAAGTTTATTGCGACTTTAGCAGAGAATAGTGCAGCAACTGAAGAAGAATTGCTTGAAACAATCAAGAACTCTGCGTCAGGTAAGAAAACCCTCCTGCGGTCTTAATTGCTTTTTTTGGTTATTAACCTAGAAATAAGGTACGTGATACTACATAGTGTACCAAACTTAGTCTTATCAATGTACCCAGTTTTTCCACTGGTTGGATAATGGCCAATAGTTAAGCCATGCATACATGGGCCATACACACAGTGCTTCTCTCAGCATCCCCACTTTGTATCAGAAATTGTGACAAATTGTGCACGCCAAGAGGTATGGGGTATGGGGTAACTTATGAAGGATGAGCATCCCACTTAAGGGGTGTATCAATTGGAAGCTGAAATTAAGTCCAGCGGCGCGTGTTATTTGGGTTTTACGCAAAACCCTTGTCTTTTATCCCTACGGGAAGTTAGATTCTTCGTTGTATATAAATGGTTTGAAAATCCACAGTCTGGTGTGAAGTCAACAGTAGCATCATCTTAAACCATACAATAAGTGTCAAATAACCCTTTTACTGTTTTACGTTTTGACAGAAGTTGGAATGGACTCTAAGCTGACAAAGAGTATCGCGAAAGACGTTCGTAAACGAGTGAGAAGCGCCCGAACTCCTGCTCCAGATGTATGACCAGTCACTTGGCCACGTGACCTAATTTGTTACTGCAACTGAGTTTACTGATCTCTTTTGAGTTGAATATGACGTCACTTGATTTTGCATGTTGTGTGTGTCAAACTTAAGAATACATGAAGAGAAACTCTCACTGAGTTTTGATACTAGTTTTGGATTTCGTTGGTTTTATGGTTTTGCTTACTTTGCTCCGAGATAGTTCGAGGAAACTCTTACCAAACTAACTCAAACACGACTTGGTAAGTCTCATTTCCCGTTAGTTCACCGTCAAATGTAGCAAGTTCGACTCACCTCACCAGGACCTCTCACCACTACCGACCACAATCCTTCTCAGGACCACACTCACGCGGACGATCAAAATATACCATCACATAAATTTTCCTTATGGTCTCAAGATTTGTGTCATTCAAATTGCTCCCAAATTAATAACTTACGTATTTAGTTCATCAATTTGATTCTCGAAAAAGTATAACCAAGCAAACGCAACGACCAATCAGAACACAAATTTACAACATTAGTCAATAAGAAATTAAAGCAAACACAGGTAGACGCGGAAGAAACTGAATATTTAAAGCACGCATTATTAGATGCAAATATTTATTAAGTTTTCCGATTTGAGGAAAACATTGTTATTACCATGGGACCAATTTGTTTTGAAAGAGTTTGTTGCCATTAAACGAATGAGATCAGTTAGATCCTCTACTTGTGGCAGTTTTATTTGTCAGATCACCCCCCATCTAACTTCACCTTGCCTCGATTATCTTCTTTTTCCGTATATACTCCTTTCTCCATTTCATTCCAAAGTTTGGGTGTGTAATCCTTCCTTCTAAGTGCTACACACTTATTAGAAAATACTTTAGAGAATAAGGTGTTTTATCATGTTATATTTTGCCGAAAACATTTTTCTATTCTCAATGCTTCCTTGCTTGCCTGGTGTCCTTCGCAAGCGTTCTTTGTGATGTGGCGCGACGCTCCCTGCGCCATCCTGAAGAACGGCTCCGAAGGAGACAATTGCTGGCCCGAATTGTTTTTTATAAAGAGGAGTGACATGTATCACTGGAAAAGTAAGGGTTAACAGAAGCTGATTCAAATATTAATTGCATTGGTCGCAAGTCTTGTGATTGGGTTAACATGCGATTTCCTTTAACCAGCTGGAGTTGCGTCCCAGTGAACGTTGACAGTAGCACAATCCAGTCGCTTTTGAAATCTGTACATCCTTTACAGTTCAGATTCAGATACAAAACGACAATGAAAAATAATGACCAACCTGAAAATTGTCAGCTGTCGGGCGTTACTTTTCTTAACCAAACGAACTTAGCCCGAGTGCAAACAGACAAACAGGTCTCCATGAACAAAATTAAATCCTTAGTAGACGCCAGAATTGCAGTCTTTGGAAAAAACTGCTGTAGCGTCATGGATGAACCGTGGATTTATTTTCAGAGCTTAGTTTTCTATCGCAAATAATAGCTTTCAGTTGACAAATGATGCCCTCAAAATTCTCAGTATAGTTAGGTTTACTTCTAAATCAGCTTGATTTGCTCCTGAATCCCTTATCAGTCTATAATACTATAAATTATCGCTGCTGGTGCGCAAATAATTTTTCCTACACTCCGCCAAGTAGAGCGCTAAGGGACTGGCACTTGCATTAGCATAAAGAATGAAACAAAGATGGCGGCCTCCATGCTGAGTCAAAGTAAGAACTTTACATTTGAGTCGTAATTTCTTTATGCTTGTGACTTTTCATACGTTAAATTACTTTCCTATTGCTGAAAAATTTTCAGAGCAAAAGCTTCCTTCGGGCCAAAGTTCAGATGAGTGGACAATTAGAGAAAAACTGGCTTTAGCTTCGTCTGTGGTTCGAAGTGGCGATCAAAACTGGTGAGACTAAGTGTTTGTTTTTACAGAGTTCGCAGTCTATTAATTCTGGTGTTTGTTACTAAAAGTGGTTTGGTTTGGTTTGGGTAAGGTCTATTGCCAAAAGTTTCAAATTTTAGAAGATTAGACGGCGTTATAAATGTCTCGTGAACTTTAAGAAAGTTACCAATCTACAGCGAAAAGTTCGCGTTTATTCTTGTTACGTTAAGAACTTTAATTTCTTTAGATTTAGCTGCTTGTTTATTATAAATTGTTTCTTCTGTTAGGGTTTCTGTAAGTCGTGGTATCAAACCGCTGCTTGAAACAGGATGTTGTGCTAAACCACGGCCACCTGATTTCTTCTCTCAGAAGGTATGCTTTGGTACATACATGTGTTTCACCAATTTCAAACGAGTCTTTTGATGATTTACGTAAGCTTACTGGTACTGGATACTAAAGCTTTACTTGGTGACATTTAACACATGTATTGTTATTTTTATGTACAGAACTGTGCTGTACACTACTCAGAAATGCTTGAAAAAGTGAACACACCAAAGTAAGTCAAAATTATAGCATTGTTTGTATGTATTGAGTTTATTATTGACAGATCTTAGAATAACATCTGTTGTAAGAGTCAGTGAAGTAACCATAGTATATTCTGTAATTTTTACATTTATGATTAAATGATGTATTTTTGTTGTTTGCAACTTCTTGTGAGTTACCACTTATTAGTTATGTAATCCTTTCTTTTTATTGCATGATATTACATAACATTATTCACATCACGGTACATTATAAATTTCTGCAACTTTGTAAGCTTTTCCAGAATTTTTAGCTTTTTTGTAATTTTCAATATGTTGATATTATATATTCCACTTGAAGAAGGTGGCCTAAACCTTGTACATTACAATGCAGAATCATTCAAAATTTTTCCCTCTGTGTTTCTGAAGAATGCTTATTTAACATTTTGGAGAAGATACTTGTATTCAACAATGCTTCAATATTTTCTCCTTCCCATACATTACCTGTGATCAAAATTTTCCAGTCTGTTCTCAGACCTTTCCTTTGAAATAATGACTGCTTTGACATAAACCATGATCTCATAGAGGTATTTAGCAATCATACTTTTTATCTTACTCTGTGTTTGAAAAAGTGCATTTGTTTGATTGTAGGAGGAAGCGTACTAATGAAGGAGGTGGGGCTGGTAAGACCACTGAAATAGGCTTTTATATGTTCATGATATATGCAGCAAGTAAGGGTCCCATCTGATGTTTTCATTCTAATTTGTCTTGTCTTCTTTCTGTTTGATGTAGAAACACCTGGTGACCAAATTGTTAGAAAATTGACCTTTGATAGAATTGAAGAATTAAAGAAATCTATCAGAAATGATCAACAAACCTACAAGTAAGAAACAAATCTGATATACTAGAATACCATTTTCCTTGCTACTACATGCAATGTTTGGAGAGCTAGCAGTTTTCATGCCACAAGATGATATTTAACTCTTTGATGTCCTTTCCATGTTAAATTCTCAATCCTTTTCCTGCTCCACCAGGAGCATAACTAGGCAACCCTGCATACCCAGATTTCTTTCTGATTAGCCTCTCAAAAACAGGAAATGTAGTACATGTTGCTTGTGGGTTAGTGCACTGGACTCTAGGTGGAAAGATCTTGGTTTTACCCTTTCACCCTTAAGAGTGACCAACATCTGATTTCTCCTTGCGATATCTTCCCTGAATCACACATGAAGGTCACAAGAATAATGGAAATGATCACCCACTAAAGAAATAGTTGTGAAAATTTCAGAAAAAATGAATAAATATTAAGCATGTAATGGCATCTTGTGCCATGTGGCACTCTTGGGTGGGAAAGGGATAAATTATTAAACAAATTCTCCTTGTCAGCACCTTAAGAAATGAATGATAAACAGTATGGAGAATGTGCGTACTGATATTAGGGTGTGAAGGGTTAAACTCAGACAGGGTAACTTTTTGCATCCTTGTATTAGACTCTAAACTCTCACAATGGCTTGGTCTGCCATTAGATATACATAGCTAGCAATAATACTGTTGAGGTAACCTTACCAAATATTTAGGGGGTTCCTGCAATGAACTAGCTTCTGGTTAAGTAGTTGTACTCTTGGACAGTTGATGTTGCTTAAACTAGGATAGACTCAGGTAGGATGGGATTTTTGGCACAAAAGGCGACTTTTCCTTTAACTAGTCTCGTGTACAGGAAATGTGTATTGGTTCAATATAGTATGCATGCTGATCAACGATAGAGGAGATCATAAGGGACAGCTGTGAAACATTCTCCTTGAAAAGTTTGAGTTTTGTCCAAAGATCCTTTTCAAAAGTGTTCTCTTATTACGTAAGCACTCGCATGCAATTTAGTAATTTATGTAACTTTGGTATTTAATTGATAAGATTGTTATTTTCATTCACTAAGTGTTACAGTACCTGTTATGTTGTATGTTTATTTTACTCAGTAACCTAGGAAGCTAACCAATCTTACAGGAAACTTAAGGACAGAATAGAAGAAGTACGAAGTGGAAAACTTGACCTTCAGCTTCCTGCCTTGTGGGAGGAAATTAAAATGTATGCACAAATTTTTCTATTTTTTCTAATGAAATTATTTCTAAACATGTTTAAGTAGTCTGCTGACTTTGCATGGAGCCTTGGTAGTAATGTTACAAATTTTTCACTTGTAGAGAGCAGGTATGAATGCTAAAGGTGTCATTCTTATTATGGTGGAAGTTTAAAACTCCAAGCAAATATTTGGTAAATATTGTGAGAATCTTGATGCTAATGACAAATATTACATGTGAATTATTTTCGTTTCTTTGTTTTCTAAAGGAAAAAGAAGATGAGGCCACCACCTGCCCCCCAGCAAGAAGGGGACAGCTCTGGACCAGTTACCCCGACCACACCCACCACACCCACCATGCCCATCACCCCTACTACACCTGGAGCACAACCAGGGGTACAAACAGGTACTTTCACCTTCACATTATCATTTGCAGATAGGTTTTTTTTAGGTGGAGTACAAATGATCTTCTCTCTTTGCAAACTGATTTGCAGGTGGTGCCAAACCTCAAGGAAGTCAACCCCTGTCCTCTCCTCAGAAAGGGAAACAACTGAGAGTTCCTAAGCCAACAGCAAAGTATGCACAATATCAATTTTTGTTTTCAGTATTAATCAAAACTATAGCAAAATTCTTGAACATGATTGGTTATCACCAGGCAGATTTGAGCACTAATAGGTTAGTGTACACATCGTGCTTGTAATTGGACAGTGTAATAGGACAGTTAAAGGGACAGTTCATATGTCATACCTGTGTAAGTGGACAGAATAGCATCATATGCACACTGTTGTCTTGTATTTCTCAGAGTTAACTGTTTTTTTTTTAATGAAAACATACAACCGATGTCTAGTTTCTTTCAAATTTTGTCATAGTTTTGATTCATTGGTAATAGGGCTTCATGTCGTCCAATTCTGTTTGTGATCATACTCATGATTAACAGATTGGACTCCTGCTTTGCAGTCATCCGATCACTTGTATGATTACAGACAGAATTGGATGACGCTAAGTCCTATTACAATTATAAATAGCTCGTAAGTAGTTTTTGTACAAAGTTGCTAAATTTTTAAGGGGTCTGTACATACTTGAATAAATTTTCCCATTCTTGAAGTGTATAGTTCTTGAAAAGCTACATATTGTTATGTTTAGAACTCCTTTCTGTGCATTATCAAACATTCTGTTCCTTTACATGCTTGGATACAAGAAAAAAAACCACTTTAGCGATTTGGCATCCCTCACTAAATATATGCATTATAATAATTATTATTATTACTAAATGTTAAAAAAGTCATGTACTGCCAAGTTGGTTTTAATCACTCTGAATCTCACACGCACCCACTGACCACATGACCTAATTGTGTTGATAAACCTGAATGACTGAGGCTTATATGTATATGCAAGGCTGCCAATAAGTTTTGTCTGTAGGAAAGTCATTTGTCTATGCCTGCAAGTCTTGATAAAGTTGACTTATTCCACGTAGATTTCAGAAGTATCAGAAACAGCTTCAACAGAGACATGGACATTCTTCTCAATCTTCCCCAATCAGTCAGACACCTGATGGACTGGCCACCACCCCTGTGGACAGGTCCCCTTTAGATGGAGGAACATTCTCACCAGGACTTGGAGGAGGGCCTTCTGGAGGACTAGGACAAAGTGGATCATTTCCAAGTGCAACTCAGGTAGAAAACAAGTTTTGTTGCCATTCATTTGTCTCTCATGAGAGCTGGTTTCCTGTTAATTCTTTAATCATTGTGCATATTATTATCGAACAATAGCTTGTCCCCATGCTAACTGTTGTCAATAACTATCGCTTGAGCTGGACTTTGAGCAGAAATATTACTTTTTTTATTTTACTAAACATCATTAAACCATCAGTCCTTTTCAGTGCTACCTTACTCCAATTTTTATCACATAATTGTGAAATCCATATTTTTACATTTTACATCCACAACATGTTAAGTGAGGTGTTTCAAATGACTTTACTACTTAGCCAAGCCAAGCCAACCAATGCCAAGTAGGAAGATTTTCAGAGGGCTGTTGGTTAGGAATTGGCTCTAATTGAATTCTCACATGGAACTCAGGGTTTTTTTTTTGTTCCAAGGTAAAGACAAATGTCTCAGGTTTTACTTGTATCATTCGGACCATCTGTCCCAATGTACATGTATGCTGTCATTTTCGATATTATTGCCAATAAGATTGTGTTGGTTGCAGAGCTCTAAGGGAGAACCAATGGATGTTGACTTGAGCACCATTTTGGCTTCTGACTCACAAGGTGACGTGGTCCCTCAGGCATCTCCTCGAAAAACAGATCGTGTACCTCAAAGCCCACTGAGACCACAGAGTGGTGCATCAGCACCATCAGTAGCCAGCTCTCAGGGTTCTAATGAATCTCCATTAGTTTCATTGCTATCTCAGCCATCCTCAAAGGACAGTAAACAGATAAGAAGGGCCAGCAACCCTGAACAGGAGATGCCCCCAACTAAGGTACCTTTATTTGCATAGAAACTGTTTTGTGTGTGACCAAGTAGACACAATTGTTTTGCTTTATTTTTTTTTTTTTTGTCATCCTGAGGTCAAAATAGGATTCATTTTGGTTTTTTTGTGATTGGATTCCCTAACAAGGAACAAACAACCCACTAAACCTTGCCCCATTCCCATGTCTGTCATTTCTGAGCTGCAAGTAGTACCCAAATGGTATGTGGGAGGGACAGGTTTGAACTCTGTGAATTGTGAATTTTTTTGTGGGCTTCTTTTTCTGCAATTTTTTTCTGTGCCCATGAGAATTATTTTGTTATTTGTTATAATCCACAGGTCAGAATGTTATTTATGAAAATCAAACAGACAAATAGCAGCTAAAAAACAACTGGGGACATGAAAAGGATTTACATGTACAACTTGTTAAGGACATAACTTGACATTTATGTGGAAGACTTTGCCATGTCAGAAGTACTTCATTCATAAAATCATCTTATACTGTACTTTCAGGAGCTTGAGAGTCATTCCTCACAAAGTGGTCAGCTATCTGAGCCACTACCAACTCCACACTCAACAGCATCCCAAGGTACTGGCCAGACCTCAGACCCACAAAAATCTGATGGAAAGCATTTTTTAGGTAAGAGAATTAATTTTCACCCCACTAATATGCTTCAAAATGTGTCCCACTGACACTTTTGCTGGATAATTTTCAAGGATGAGAACACATAGTAACCCCTCAAAAATAAAAGACATTCTGTCATTGGTGATAAAATTGTAAATATGAGAACTGAAAACTCAAGCTGTGATAGGAAAATATAATATTTATTGCAATTGCATGATTGAGAGTCAATTTTATGGTCAAGCTATCACTTGAAGATTATAACATAACAACTGCTATATAGCTAGTCTTGTGTAGAAATATGAAAACTTATTTAACATAGCATATGAAAATTTTGATGATGATGATAAGACATCCCAGCAAAGAATACTACCTTTAGGTGCTAGTTGTTAATCCAGTTATGTACAGAATTAAATTTGTATGGCAGTTTGATTTTGTTTTATTTCATTAAGGCAAATTTTATCGCTTACACTTAAAAGGATTTTATGGTACAATAAGGCAAAAGCTTGAGGAAACAAAATATAAGTGGTAAAGCTGTCTGCAAACATGTGAACTAAATAAAAAACTTGCACTAGCCTTCTTTTAGTGTAGTTGTTTAAATTCATTGGTTCTTGTTGTTTGTTTGTTTGTTTTTATTTGGGGTTACTCCCTCGATGGAACCCAAAAGCTGGACTCCATACGGAAAGAAAAGGAAAAAATTTGTACACTACAAGTTTTAATTTGTATTACTTTGCTTTTAATTTTTGTTGGTTAGGGGTTACTCCCTCCATGGAGCCCGCAAAGCTGGACTCCATGAGGGAGAGAACAGGAAACACACCTCAAGTCGCAGCTCCATCAGTCACCGCCCCCACACTTTCTAAACTTCTTGCTGATACTCCTGCTACATCTCCCTCTGTCAACTCTGTTTCATCACTTGGAGGGGCAGTACCTAAGGTATTCTGTGGCTGCTTCTAACTCCTAAATCATGTGGCATTTTGATTCCAATTGTCCCAGAAAGCTTCCCATATGCAAGTGTTTCAGAAGCAACTCTCTCCCATCACCAAATGAAGGCTATAAGGGAACCTAAGCACAGACATTTCTTGAAAACAGCCTCCAGGGCTCAGTTGTTATAAAGGGCAGATAACACTATCCAACAGATAAATTGCTGTCTAGCAGATAATTGATAACAAAATGTATAGTATTATCCACCATATAGAGATTTATCCAGTGGATAGCACTATCCAACCTTTGAACAACCAGGGCCAGAAATATGATGCAAGCACTTCCTGTGTGCTTTGACATCATTCAGTCTGTTGCAAAGTGGTCATTTCAGTATTTGAAAAGTAAATGGTACAGAAAATAAGTGTCTGTCACAAGCACTAAGGAAAAGAACTCTCAACTTCTAGTGGCTATTCATGTCTAACAAAACGTTTGTGCTTATGGGTAACTTCCCTATTTTGCTGTGAACCCCACCATCCTTTTGTAAAGGGTTCTGTAAATAACTGGTTAGCTTACATATAAAATTGATTTCTAAATGCTATTTGCTTTAAGTCAATTTGCTATTTAAAATACCTTGCCCTGATCCTTATTTTAAAGGGTAATTTAGTATTATCAACTAAGTTGATAGCGTAAATTGGCCACCATAAAGAGTTAAAAAGCTGATGTTTGGAGCGATAGCCCTTTTTCTATCGCTCTGACAAAGGGCTAACGCTCAAAACGTCAGCTTTTAAACTGAATCAGTTGATAATACTTAATTACTCTGATATACTCTCCCACTGATGCAGCACCACAGCTTCTTTAGAAACTTACCCCCCCCCCCAAATTTAAAGGCTTATTCACTGTATACACAACCTTTTTATAGTTACTATTCACCAAAAATTATAACTCTCTTTTAAGACCCCAGGAGGTATGGATTCCTCTGTATTGGTGGAGCCATCAACAGGGACACCCGTAGAAAACCCTTTATCTGTGATTGGGAGTGGCAGGGGCACCACAGGAGGTATAGTTTCATGGTTTTACTGCTATATGATTTCTAAGATAGGCCACATACTGCTATACACGTGTATGTTGTTGATGGAACTTTAAAAAAAGTGAGATGCTAAGACAGCACAGTTTTATGCCTTATATCATGGTTGGTTTTACTTCAAAGAGGTTATTAACAAAACAAGTGGACATTTGCTTGCTTGTTGAATTTTTTTGTTTTATGCCAGTGTAATGTATGGAAGAAGTGACAAAACTTGGAAGGAATTTTTTTAACACAGATCAACAGCAGGATTGTGTGAAATCACACAATATCACGTAGTATGGATCTGAAAGCTGCACTTCTTTGGACATGTAATTGTAATAAACATGTAACTGGACTGATTTGAGCTTTCACAATGTGTATACTTTTTGTTGTACCAGAAGCATACGACGTTGGTTAAATGCTTCTGTTAGCACTCAATGAGGCTGTTATTTAATTACTAGGCACTCAAGCTGTTCTCAGCGTTTCCACACCCATACCAGCCATCTCAGTCAATCCCAAGGTGAGTTAATCGCCCAAATTCCTGGTTTTTCCTTGAAAATCATGTAATAAATGTTATGAAGATGATATCAATTTACAGTTTTTGGTATATATCGACTTTTTCGTATCACGTGAAGTTTCAAGAGACTTGAACATGCCACTTATTAAAGTTGCACACTGATGTTGACGGTTGATTTCACTTTAAGGCTTTCCTTATTTATTGTCTGGTGTACTATCTTTAAACAAGAATAATTTGTTCGTTTCTAGGCTGCTGCTCTGACCGCGACTTTGCCCTCCCCTTTGGCAATTACACCTCCACCCACTACCCCTCCGGCAGACAGGAAGGTTAGTTTAACCAGTTGTAATCAATTTTATATGTATATATGTATGTGTAAATTTTTCCACTTGACACATACGTAAGATTCTTATTTGTTTTCATAATGCAGGAAATAATAGCCCAAAAGTTTGAACCAGCGGTGAAAAATTCCGAGAAAAACAGCGGTACGGAAATTACGAGCGACGATCACGAAAATGACGCCAACACTGCCCGAGCCTCCACTGAACGGTCAGCGCCCATCCCTGAAGTAAAAGTTGAGACTATTGAGACCCCAGTTTCTTCTCCGCGAGTCCAGAAACGTGCGTCCAAACCCGGGAGGCCTGGTGAGGGATGAACTCAGTGGATAATGTCAAGAGTCAGTTTTCTCACGCTTTGGTATTGAGTCACGAAAGTCTTCTCTTTTTTAGGTCGACCATCAAGAGCAGCACGAAGGAATCAACGACATCGCAGCAAATCTGCAACCTCGACGGTACGCGTCACCGTTTCTGTTAATCTTCCCATGCGGAAACGTAAATCAAACCACTATGAATCAAATTATTTTAGAACAAACGATTTCATTTCATCCCATAGGACAATGAAGGTGACGTAGAAGAGGATCATGAAGAGGTATGGAGTATGAGAAGAAAACTTGTTAATCACTTCCTCAAAATCAGACCTCGATAGTATTAGATCTGAATAAACTCTAGCCCCGTTTGGTGTATTATTTCTTTAAGAATTTTATTAATGTTTTCTTGGAGGGCTATTCATTGATACTCTATTTTTTTTCTCTCATCTAGGAATCCAAAATGGAGACTTTAGATGTGGAATCTGAGAAGGCCAGTGAAAAGACGGAAGACGAAGAAGAAAACGAGTCGATTGCCGAGGAAAAGAAAGAGGACAGCGATGAGGAGATGGAGCGGGACAGTGGAGACGAGGCAGTGTCTGACCAAGGGGACCAGAGTCAGTCTGAGAAGGATGAACCCTGCACCTCCATGAAAGAATTCTTGATGGACAAGGCGGGATCTGAATCGGTCCCCGGTAGCCCCGCTTCTCAAGTGTCCCAAGGGTGCGTGCCGCTGGTGCATGTGTACTGCTGTTAGTCCAAAATGTAAATTGATTAAACGTGTTTGTTTATTTTGTTTAGAAGTAGTGACGAACAAGAAGCCATTCAGGCACAGAAAACGTGGAAAAAGTCAATAATGCTGGTCTGGAGAGCTGCAGCCAATCATAAGTAAGAATGATGGTTTAATCCTCGATCAGTACTTCCCTCATCTAGTTGTTACATGTTTCCTCAAAGATTAGTCAACAGAATCTGGTGTCAATTCAAGATTCCAATGTCCACCTGATGTTTTTGTCTATCGTCATTCCTTTAATTTTGGTTCAATTCATTGAAATTAAGAGGGTTCGATACATATTAAGCTTTTCTTTCTAGGAGTCTGATTATTGTAGTCTTTTGTTCGCCGTTGAACGCATTATGTTACTAGAAAAAGTATTTTCCAACATACGTTTTTATGTATTCTAGTTGAGTGAAATTGGTTAGGCTTGCGAGATCTTAGTATAAAGTACCCTATGATCAGCTGGAGCCCACACAATATCTTGAATGAGTGAGGAAAAATAAACTGGGTTTTAGTAGTGGCACATCCACCAGGTTTACATCACTGCCCTTCTCTGCTCTCCTCTAATGACTTCTCAACTCCTCTAAATGAAATACATTTCATTTCTATCTTTGTTTTATCAGGTATGCAAACGTTTTTCTGCACCCAGTTACTGACGATGAGGCTCCAGGTTACCATGGCATTGTTTTCAGGTAAAAAAACGTGTAAGGGACTCAACTCGTGCTGTAAGAGAAGAGTCTGTAGACAAGTATAACTTACTGACTTTCCGGAGCTTATCATGTTTCTATGTCATGCATAGACTAGAGCATTTCCAATCCTTTCAAGTGCCAATCAATCAAAAGTCTCCCCAAGGTGTTCGTTAGGTTTCCCTGAATGCTGAACAAGTTGATTATACTTACTCTTGGGTATAGAGCTACTCTTGCCTCAGGACACAACATGACCCGGCCACGGCTTCCACCGATCAGGCCCCACTCGACTCGGAGTCCAGCGCGCTAACCATAAGGCCGTTATGTCTCTCACACCATTACTGAAAACATGAGAAAATCATGAGATGGAACCATCTGACTACTCTAAATTAATGAGCCTTAGAACAAGTGACCCTCTCTAAAAAAAAAAGTGATTGATGAATTGGAAATTGAAGCACCTTGTTATCTGCTGAAATATCAAGGAAGTAGTTCCCTCTAGTACGACAACCATTAGACAACGATCCATCACAATATCCCAATTTAAGCCGTCTCATCTTTTTGCAGACCTATGGATTTATCAACGATAAAAAAGAACATTGAAAATGGGGTAAGAATATAACATGAATTTGAAGTCTGTCTGTATTTGAGATGTTTTTAGGTTGGAAGCCAGGCGTATCTTAACCCTAAGAGTGACTAGCATCTAGTTTCTCCAGACAGTATTACCCCTGAATCACACATTAAGGTCGTGAGAATAGCGGAAATGACCACCAACGAAAGACGCTTTTGATCGGTAAACAAATTCTCCTTCTCAGCACCTTAGGAAATGTATAAAGAACAGTATGGAGAATATGCATACTGATGTTAGGGTGCAAAGGGTTAATGATTTGTTTGACATTACCACGCTAATATCACCGTTTTTTCGTTTCAGACCATTCGTACAACAAGCGAATTCCAGAGAGATATGATGTTGATGTTTCAGAATGCTCTCATGTACAACAGCGCTGATCATGACGTGTAAGCAACTGCTTTGTTGTTCGTCACATATCTATGTCAGTAAAATGAGGTTGTAACTGGTTATTTGAACGAACGTCTACTACTGAGGATACATTTTCGACATTTCCACTTATCCTTTACTGTTCTTAATTCAAGGTAAAGCTTCTTTATGTCTTAAATTCCTCGTCTCTTTCAGGTATCGCATGGCGGAAGAGATGCGTGACGATGTCATGGAACAAATCCAGGTAAACACATGTGTAGGATGCATGGTGGAGAAATTCGCTTACAGTTTAAATACTTCAAGAAATATTCTTTATTTGCTTTCAGTCGTACATTGCCACTCAGATTATGGTCGATTCAAAGATGTTACGGGGCCACAGACAAGATGGTTAGATGTCTTTGGTTTTTATTTTCATGTGATTTTCATTTATTAGCTCGTTTTTTGTATGATCGTCAAAGGTTGTAGTGTCAGTGTGCTAACATTTTTGTTCAGAGAAAGTCAAATTTTTAGAAGTCCAATTATATTTCCAATTTCTTACGTGTCAAACGTTTATTTCTTACAGTGTTTCACATCTTCTTATGAGCTTCATCATTTACCTAGCTCGAAGGTGAGCTCTAGATCGCAACTTTTTCTTTTTCTTTTATTTCGACAAAATCATTCCAAACTACCTTGAGTCAGGGGGGAAAAACATAAATCGCAACGCGAAATTGGCAAATCGTTATCTAATTCCCTTTTTAAAGGAAAAGAAACCCTTTTTGCACAGCGAGCAAACAAAAAAGTCGTCGAAAAAATCTTCTGGCCTAACGGTCAGAAGTTTGCACTTATTAGTAAGCGTCGTAATTCTTAACTTCCTTAAAAAGGCTAGTTATTAATGAAAACATTTGGAATCATCACCTCTTACGTCCTGCTCTACTGAGGGCACATGATCAGCGATGGTGTTACCTAGAGATTCCATCAAAAGAAGTTGAAGAAGTAGAGGATAAAACAAATGATAAGTACTTTTTTTTCAGCTCGGCCGTATTAACGTTAAGTTTTCTTTTACAGGCTTTCAACTCGGCCTATCGGGATGTCTTCATCGATCTCTTTTCCGAAGTGGACGGGCTACGTTCCAGTTTAAGTCACGGTCTTAGCAAATTCATGGATAACTTTGTGGGGATCAGCTTTCGATTTCGGGAAAGTTTTTATACAATACTAATTCTATTTTCGTTGGACTTAGCTACGATTAAAAGGGATTTGGTTTGACCTTTGGCGTGTCTTCTCTGCTTAACGTTTTTAGTGTAGTCCATACAACATTTATCCCCTTCGACCGTGAAAACGCTCGGCAGCACGGCTTTGGACTTCACTGACTTTTAAACTCACATTCCGTTTTCTCTTATCGATCATCACATTCTGCAAGATCCACGAAAGAAGCATGTTGTCATTTCAGAGATCGCTTGTGTTACTCGACCAGAATACCGCCAAGAAGTGAATTGCTTTGTCGACTAATTCGCAAACTCCCGTGGTCCTCAACCAATCAGAAAGCGCTAGCTTAAGACGTCGATCGTATTAGTTAGGGATCCTAACTGTAAAATAAATCGGAACCTCGTCATATTTTTTTGTGATCGGAGAACGTGCTTGGCTCGGGGGTGCTCATGACGCCTGTCGTTTTCATGCCGTTAACGTTCGCTTCTCACGTTATGGGGACGACTGGCGATTAGTCAGCTTCCAACGTCGTCAATCGACATTTGGCGGTCACTTATCGCTCGCATGTAGATACGTTATCTGAGGGAAACCAAGAATTAATAAGTTTCAACGTGTCAGTTGAACTGTCTTAATGACTACAGAAACATATAACGTAACAATGAGATTTAGCAGAGGAAAGCACTGAAGTGTTGTGCGCCGTAGTTCGTTGACTTTTCTTTTTGCTATCCCGGATGATTTAAAAGCCGGCCATTCTTCTCGTAGTTAGCCTTGTCATGCCTTGCCTTGCCTTGCCCCTGCCCCCCTCCTAGCCCTCAAGGTTTCCACTTAGACCGACACTCTCATGATACGTACAGAAACTCAACCTTTATTTTTCCCTAAGCAGTGTCAATAGCCATTCCTGTCTTAATAAGCTGTCATTCGCTTCTGCGGCCGTCGTCGATCGACTTAACTAGTAAGGAAAGGATCGCCCAATCATAGGCAGGGAGGCACGGGGGGAGGGGTAAGTTATGTTTTGCTGGGAAAGCTTTAATGAGTTACATGTAAAAAGATGGGGTAAAATCTACGATAGCACCACTCTTGTTCGCTTCGATTTCCACAAGAAAGTGCTCATGATACAAAGGATGTTTCCCGAAGGGTCCCTGGAAACGAAAATTCTCATAGTAAGACTGAATTTAAAACATCTACAGAACTTTAGATGAAAGGGAAAAAATGAAAAGGAAAAATTTTGATACCAGCTTTTCGAATGTTTCGAAACCATAGAAACAGCTGAAAACGTGCACACGACAACTCAGGTAGCCAAGGAGAAAATCCCGTTGAAGTGCGACACGGTAATAAACAAATATGGGTGAAATTTTTTTCGGCTTCATGAGCCATCACTTTGTTCAAATTTTTGTCCGTTATTTCTGCGTTTAAACGAGCCATTCATTTCTTTTTTAAAGGAACCACAGAAAAAGCCCAGGAAAACGTCTTTGCAAGAAGAATTAACATTTTATAACCGCTGTCTCAGCCTTCAGGATTCCTGTTTTCAGACCTCGCACAATTTTGTGATTTCACTTTGTGTTTTTTTTAGGGGAGGGCTATGAAATGTACACAGTTTTAAAAACACACGAGTTTAACTATTGTTCAGCTCATTAAATCTCCTGTTTCGCCGCTTTCTCGTTAGTTTGCAAGAGGTCCCTGTGAATGAATGAAGGTAACAAGAAGCAAAGAAGGGTAAGTCAACTGAAAGCTTAAACAAACTGCAAGCAAACTACGGGAGAATAGTTGGCATGACTTAAGTTCAAAGCCTTAAAAAAGTGAATGGTCTTTATCTTCGCAATCCTAGGCAATCCTCGGCAATCCTCAGTCTCACTCAGCCCCACTCCTCCCCAATTATCCTTGCATGAGAAGCAATCACTCACTGGCGGCCATGTTGGCTACGGCTTCAAAACCTAAAATATTCTTGTGTGGGTAATGTCGCCCAGCTTTTGCATACGTAAGCTAACCTGTTCTCCTTTCTCAGCTTACAGGCTTGCAAATTATTTTACAACGTATTTAGCCACTTTGTTCACAGGCGGGATGAACACTTCTCGTGCAGCATTTGCAAACGAGAAGTCCAAGAGGAGCACCGATTTGGCAATTGAAAACTCCCTGCATTGAAATGTTGAATAAGCCGAAAATTGCACTCAAAGATATCCTCACGAACTCAATTCCACTGCAAGATTCAGAGGAAAACGGTTGAAAAAATGCTGAAATCACACTAATGGGAAAATAACGACACAGAGAACCAGTATGAGCCTATCAAAATAAGGTGACTTTTTTTAAATTTTTTTTTTTCGTGTAATTAGCGTTTAGGGAAAATGACTTTAAATCTCAAAATTCCCATATACTTCAAATATGAGCTTCTCTGTACGATACGTTGCAGATGGCTGATGAAGGGAGGAAAATGAAGTGGATTTCAGTCTCAAGTGCAAGTTTTTCGGGTAAGTAAACAAAAAAATGATGGACAGTACTTTATCTTATCATTGAAGCATATCCGACTATAACTACTGAATGCATATTATTTATGCTAATTTAGATATAATTGTCAATAATTCTGACATAACTCCAAGACTCTTTGCACAAGATTATTTCATTCAATTCATTTTCCTTGGTTACTCTGTGGGTATTCTCACCTCTGGCACTGTCTTGTCTGATCAAAATTAAGGGCAGAATGGTGCCAGAAAAGTGTTGGAGTTGCACTGATTGACTGACTGATTTTTTAACTTATGAACATATTGATTAACTGGTATACTGATAACTGATAACCAGACTGACAGCCTATCTGAAAAGCTAGTCTACCAATCACTTAAAATTGTTATTAATAACTTGTTGACGGCATACATCTACACAGACTTATTCACTGATGGTCAACCTGGCTATATTTACCACATGTACTGAGTGGCTGATTGACTGAGTCACAAATGCCCTGATGGACTCACCAACAGGCTCACTGTCTGGCTGACTAACTGATGGGCTGACTTGTCAACTATTTTATGACCTATGTGCTGACTGACTCATTGACTTACAGATTAACTGACCTACTGGCTGTAGGACTCATCAATTGTCTGTATCATTAACTGACAAACTTGCCATGTGAATGACTGATCAAATGACTAATTCACTGACATACAGAATAAGTTACTGATTAATTGAGTTAGCCATGAAATTAAACATTGATGACTTACTAAACTATTGGTTCATGCTTAGTGTGTGTATATCAAGTTATTAGTGCACAAGAGAAGTTAGGAGAGTACAAGAGAAGGGTGAGAGTTACTGAAGGTGCAGCGGAAAGTAACTCTAGCTTTTTGAGTGCTCTCTGAACTTCCCAAGTGCATCCATAACTCAATTTACACACAGTTAGAGCATGAACCAATTCTTTTAGAACATAGACACAAGTTGTGTGTGTTCCTACATAAAAAAGAAAAGGAAAACCCACAGGAGTGTCTTTGTAGAAGAAATGGGAGACATAACCCTTTAACCCTAAGATTGACTAACATCTAATTTCTCCATACAACATCACCCCTGAATCAAACATTAAGGCCATGAGAATAAAGGAGATGATCTCTAACTAAAGAAGCTCTTGATTGTTGAACACATTCTCCTTGTCTGAACCCAAGGAAATGTATAGGGAGCAGTAAGGAGAATATGCATACTGATGTTAAGCCTTTACACCCAACATCAGTATGCCTATTCTCCTCACTGTTGTCTATATGTTTCTTAAAGTGCAGAAAAGAAGAATGTGTTTAACAATCAAGCACTTCTTTAGTTGGTGATCATTTCCTTAATCTTTGTAACCATGGTGTTTGAATCATAGGCGATATTGAAAGGAATCATTAGTTTCTAGTCACTCTCAGGGATTAAACAGTGAAGGAGTGAAGGGTTAAAGCTGACACACAACAGCAGTGTTGCCCAAACAATCTCTTCCTTAGTCTTGATCTGTGATACAAAGACTTGGTTCCCAAACAATGAAGGAAAAAAAAACTGTTTCGGACATTGGGCTGTCTTCATGTGCTGATTAGGTGTTTGACTTTGCCCAAGAGACTTAAGCTGGCCCATAAAGGGGTTGGTGTCACCCAACAAATCCCTTCCTTAGTCTTGATCTGTGATGCAAAGACTTGGTCAGAAATAAAACTGGTTCAGACACTGGACTGTCTTTATGCACTGATCGGTTGCTTGACTTTGTACAAGAGATGGGAGACTTAAAGCTGACCCTTAAAGGGGTTGGTGTCACCCCCAAAAAATCTCTTCCTTAGTCTTGATCTATGATGCAAAGACTTGGTCCCCCAAAAAAGAGAGATTTTGGACACTGGATTGTCTTTATGCGCTGACTGGGTGTTTGACTTTGCATAAGGGATGGGAGACTTAAAGCTGGCCTTTAAAGGGGTTTGTGTCACCCAACAAATCTCTTCCATAGTCTTGATCTGTGATGCAAAGACTTGGTCCCTAAAAAAAAAAAGGAATGAAACTGTTTTGGACACTGGACTGTCATAATGCACTGATCAGGTGTTTGACTTTGCACAAGAGATGGGAGACTTAAAGCTGGCCCTTAAAGAGGTTAGTGTCACCCAACAAATCTCCTTCTTAGTCTTGATCTGCGACGCAAAGACTTGGTCTCTAAAAAAGAGAAATATAACTGTTTCGGACACTGGACTGTCTTTATGCACTGATTGGGTGTTTGACTTTTTACAAGAGATGGGAGACTTAAAGCTGACCCTTAAAGGGGTCGGTGTCACCCAACAAATCTCTTCCTTAGTCTTGATCTGTGATGCAACGACTTGGTCCCCAAATAAGAGAAATAAAACTGTTTCGGACACTGGACTGTCTGTAGGCGCAAGAATTTGTATTATAATTTTTTGTTATTGTTGAAGTTTCATAGTTTCGTGTCAGGTGTTTATTTTCTCGTCTTCATTAGTGTCCTTTGTCAGTTACCAGTTTTATACTTGTTATATTTTTTTTGCATATCCTAGATTTAATGTTCGCGCGTAACTTATTTGGTTAGTTGTCTAGTGTGCGAAAAATATCGTGACATATCTAGCTTTGGGTTTCATGTTTTCGTATTTGGTTTGGTCACATTCGTCTTTTACCGTATTCAACAATGTGTCAAGTTTGTTCTTGTCAAGTTTGAAATACGAGTGATTAGCGTTTGTGGCTATACTGTCTAGGTGTTTGACTTTGGACAAGAGACGAGTGAATAAGGATTGACCCACTAAGGAGTTGGTATCGCCCAAAAAAATCTCAGAAAAGGTTAAAGGATAACTCATTGTAGATATTTCATACTTTAAAACTTGCAAATAATCGGAAAGAAACAATTTAGACGACTTTTCTCAATTTTGCGTCTTTTTCGTTAGAAAGTCCGAATGTTTATCGATTTCGAGAGATTTTCAAATTTACATCTGCAATATACGTTAAATCCTTGTGCACCTCAAAAAGGAAAGAAAAGTCTATATTGTTTGACGACGCTCTGCGCCTTCATTTCCTCTTTCAGGTCTCATGAAGGTCACATGTTTAGAAAGGTCATGGGAAACGCGTGTTGAACTTAACTAAGGTTGAACAGAAACTTGTTAATGAGGTGAGTTTACAACATTGCTTTATTGCGTACATATTCATTTTGTGTGTGCGCGCAATGTGTTAGAGTTCAACCAAATAAACGAATGTCCAATTGAACAAAATTGTTTTTGGACAGTAAGAATATATTGTGTATCCTATTGTTATATTGTGGCTCATTCGAAGTTCTTCATTCTTTTTCTCGTAGATTTCATGAAGAACGACTACCGCAAGAAACCAGACTAAACTAGTCAACCTTCCATAGGAAGCATAAATTGAGGTCGTTCTGTCACTCCTGCCCTTAAAGGCAGTTCTCTAGTACCTGTAAAAGCTATCTACTTTGTGGTTAAAACATCTTGTAATACGCATGTGTATCAAGACAGACATTTGGTTAGACAAAACGCATGCGTTTGAAATAAATATTACTACCACAACGTAGACAATCTTTACAAAGACTTAAAAAATCTGTCTGCACGAGGTGGGTGCGGCGGGGGAGATTGGATGGAGAAAAAAAACTGTATAAAATTATTGTAATATTACTGTGTTATAAGACTGTAATCACAAGAATGTGGTACTCAAGATTGTATTGTAGAGAAAAAAGATTGTACTGTAAACTTATTTAACTGTACTAAGAGATGTTTGTATCACAAGGTTGATAACTTAGTAAGGGATAATGCGGGTGTGTTGGTGGATGGTGAACTGGGAATCGTTTTTGGCTTTCTTCCAAGATTGATAACTTTTAAGTACCATCTAATAGAGGCGCGTGTGGTGGGGGATGGTGGACGGATCGACCCCCAATTTTTCATTTTATTCTCTGAAGTGGGGGTCGGTCCAATTTTACTTTCTTTCCAAGATTGATATTTGTCTCTAGTCTCATGCCTAAAGTGATCGTGTGCCTTGGTGTCCAGCGCTGGGTTGTCGAAGAAACCTGCAAAAGAGAGAAAAGAAATCAAGACCAAAAATTTGAGCCATAAAATACGTTGACCCCCTATTTTTTTTTCCTTCCTCTTCATGGTATTCTTGTATCGGAAGCAAAGGGAGAAACAGGAATAAATGGTTATAAATAATTGCCTTATTCCGTTTTTTTCCATATATCATTCTAATAAGAACACTGTACGAAACCAGTTTCACTTTACTGTAAAAGTGTAAAAACCTTAATAACAACAACATTGAAGCTAACAGAGTAAATGTTCTAGTTTTCCACGAGAGGACGCAGATACTTTTTCTGGTCTTTTTTTACCTCGATGACAATCTGAAGTAAACTACTTAACACAAATATATTGAATCACCCGAGGAACATGCGACGCCAGTCTTGAAATGGCTTCTTTATCGAGCAAACCTTACTCAATGGTATAGGATGAGCCTTTTCTCGATGTAATTACTGTAGCAGCTTTTGTTCCTCTGACAAACAGTAAATATCTCATGCCTTTCCTTCTTGATGCTCTCTTAGGCCCAATCTTTATCGCTTGCTTCCACCAGCAATCTGCAGAAAGTTAAAGATTTCAAATGTAAACTGTATTTTTTTTGTGAACGGGCACTGCAGCAAAGACTGTTCAATGTTCAAGTTTTTGAGTCTGGAAAATCACAAAAGTACAAATACATCAAAATGAAGAGCGCATCTCTTTCATGAAATAAAGCAAACAGCGACGGAAAGAAATCAGAGAAGGGCGAAACCTGAGCCAAGTGCTGTGAAATCCCTCGGGTAGCGTGAATTCTGCTCTTGGCATAGAATTAACATATTACAACTTGCGTTTAGCGTGTAATTATTTGAAATGGCTCTGCAATTCTAAATGCTGTAAAGCAAATTTTTCAGTAATTATTGATAAAATGAAAAACAATTTCGTTTTTTCATTTCATTTAATTAATTTTTTAATGCTAGAATAGACTGGTTGACTTTCTAATTTCTTTAACTACATGTTGATGAAATAACAACAATAAGAGAAACTGACGTGTGCCTGACTGAAGCGAAAACAGCGGAAGCTAACATTCCAAGAAATTCATCGAAGCCAAACCTTGCAGTTACTTTGGACCTTTGCATAGTTTAGTTTTAGTATGTCCTTAGCGATAGGATCAATCTCTCGAGCTGTTAAGTCCTAACTTCACTGATATCTGTAAAAGTGTAGTTTGATAGTCCGGGTGAGTGTAGTCCTGAGAAGGACTGTTGTCGGTAGTGGTGACTGACGTTTCGACAACCTGAGCGGAAGTCATTATCAGAGTCAAGTGAAAGGTTGATTGATTGGTCGGATCCAAACCGACCAATCACGACTGACCTACGCCACTTGAGTCTTACAGCCAATAACATCACGGCAAAACTGACCAATCAGTGTACACAAACCGGACTAAAAACATTCGACTGACAACGGAAATGTTTTCAATTTAGAACCCCCGTTGTGAAAAAGAAGAGCCCACTGTTCCCACTAAGTTTCGCATCTTGAAACTTCGGATGAGCAATGGAATCAAAACGTCTTAAAGAGACAAAACAATGTTGGAGTAAAAAAATTTTCGGTGCAAAAGCACTCATTATTTACAAACTGTGTGCATTTCAAAACCGTCCTCGAATGCTGCATTTAGCCAACTCTAGGATGTGTCATTCCTGCTTAATTCTGTAATTCATACTTCATCTACTCAAATCCCAGCCCAACCTTTAAAAAAATGCAACCTAATGTACACACAATTAAGTCAGTGGAACCGAAAGTTTTTAAATCAATGTCGCTTACTACGAAATACATTTTTTTTTGCACGCGGAAATGTATGATGATGAGATTACATACATTAAACATACATACTTACTAAAAGGTGGGAAAACAATGCAAAGTTGAAAATTATGGGATAATCAGTAAGTCAGTTATGATTATCATGATAGGTCAGTCGGTCAGTCACTCTGTCAATCAGCCAGTCAGCCAGTTAGTCCGTCGGTAAGACAGTCAATCAGTCAGTCAGTTGATGAGCCAATCTGCTAACCAGCCAGTCAGTCTGTCAGTCTGTCAGCCAATCAGCCTGCCAATCAGTCAATTGACAATTTGTAAGTCAGTCAATCAGTCAGTCAGCCAGTCTACCAGCCAGCCAGTCAGTCAATCGGTCAGTCATTCAGCACATCAGTCAGTCAATCAAGCAGTCAGCCAGTCTACCAGCCAGCCAGTCAGTCAGTCATTCAGCCAGTCAGTCAGTCAGTCACTCAATCAATTAGTCAGTCAGTCAGCTAGTCTACCAGCCAGCCAGTCAGTCAGTCAGTCAGCCAGTCAGTCAATCACTCAATCAATCAGTCAGTCAGTCAGTCAGTCAGTCAGCTAGCCAGCCAGTCAGCTAGCCAGCCAGCCAGCCAGTCAGTCAATTGCAATAAGCCTACAAGCCAGTCAGTAAACCAACCAAGCAGCCAGTCCAGTTGGCTGGTCAGTCAGTTGGTAGGTTAGTCAGTCAGTCAGTCAGTCTTTCAATAAGTCTCACATTCAGTCAGACAGCCACCATCTGGCCACTCAGTCAGTTTTTGTCATTCAACCAGCTAGGCAGCCAGCCAGTCATGATCTGACAGCTTAGAAAAAAGTTAGCCAATAATACTGCTACAAGCTTCTTATTCTAGTTAATCATTTATTTTTGTTTGCCACTGCAAACATTTTATTTTGTTATAAATGATTACCTAATATGATGTGATGATATGATGCATACACTGGAAATGGTATTTTAAAAATGTCCATCACCCTCATTCCTATAATACAATCTCCTCAGCAATAAACACCAAATGTACCAGATTGCATGGAATGTAAAGCCACTACAGCTAAGACACCTCACAAAAAATTGGGTTTAAAGGAAAATCAGCAAATCATAATCATAATAATTTCTCATATGATTGATCAATCATTTAATTAATCACTTACCATATGATTTATTTAATGTATTTATGAAAAGCAATCCCTGTTTGCCACTTAAAACTCAACCAATCTATATACTATTCTGGACATTACATCTAGAGCTAAGTCTGTTCTTAAACTTCACTCCATATCATTTTTCATCAAGCTATTCTTTGGCTTTTTTGGCAATTGTATCATGGGTTTAAGTGTCAATAGTATGTATACAATATGCCATGAAATTTTTTGAAGTAGCACAAATGTAGTTGTTACAATGTCAATCTCTGTCATATTTCCAGCTCTTAGACAAATAAACTAAGGTGTTGTAAAATAAGCTCTTTAAACTGGCCCAGTTGTATAATAGTTCTACAATTTCATCTCTATAATGGTATATGAAATAAAAAAAATCATGCTCTGTATCCCTTCACATAAAAAGCAGGACGCATAATTACAGAAAACAGCCAGTAACAATTAAAAAATAATGATGATAATATAAAACTTTTCATTCATAGTGCTCAAAAGATGAGTCATTCACACACATCAATATAAAAGGGATTTGAAGACATTGACTGATGCATAAGTTAAAATATCTAGCAAGGTAAACCATTCCATAGCCTTTGTGCAGCAACTGAGAAAGCCCTGTTCCCAAAAGGTTTTCAAGTGGGTCTTGGAAATTTTAAAAGATACTTATTGGAAACCTAAGACTTCTAGAGGGCATATAAGGGACCAATAGATGACTGAGATATGCAGGTGCTAGATAATTCAAACTTTAGCATGTAAGCAATAGAGTTACAAAATAATTTGCTGCTTTACAGGCAGCCAGTGTAGGTCTATCAAAACTGGACTTGTGTGCACAGCCCTTGGCTGTTTATTATCATGATTAAGTTTGGATATAACATGTGCTGTCGTTAGTTGAAAGAGTGTGCTCCATGAGAGTATAGAGCAAAGAGCTGAGCTAAAAACTGTCACACCATCTGCCAAATTGTACTATGTTCAACCTTTCTTAGGACTTCTCTCTAGCTTTTTTTTGTGAATTGAAAGTGAAACTTCGGAACAAGTGAGCTGCCAAGTAGCAACAGAAGAACCAAACAAAGGTTTGTAAACATGCCAGGTGCCAGTTTGTTTTCTAATTGTCATGTGAAAAAACTTGTGTGTTTTTATGAGCCACAATTTGGCCCAATTTCATTGAAAATTTCACCTTCAGATTCTATATTAGAAACTAAAGAAAACTTCAGGAAAAAGTGTTAAATTTGACCTGCTGAACTATTTCAGTTTGTAAACTATTGCAGAAAGTGAACTTTGATGGTTTTATGAAATTTGATGGTTGACATTTTTGACAGCTGTAGTCTTGTACAGCCAATCAGATTATTTGAACCATTCCAACAGGGTCCTGATTGGCTTATTGTAGCATGCTTTATGAGAGTATAGAGCATACTGATGACACTGTTGTTTGCTTTGGAAATAAAGTTTGTTTTGAAAATTGAAAGTGATGCGTGGGGAATTTAGTGGATTCTACATTATGAAACAAATAGAGAAGCCTTGATTGTGCTCTGTTCTGATGTAAAGCACCTAGGAAGCAGCTTCTTTCATGCTCTAGCCACTTCTGTGTGCTTTACAACAGAAAAGAGCACGTCTCTCTTTGTTACACAAGGCATGCAGCACAGTTTTTTTTAATGCACTAAAGCTTTTGAATCAGCTACTTTGGTGAACCAATGAGCAGTGAATTACAATTGTTTAAATGACAAGTAACACTTTGAACAATACCAGAGTAAGATCAAATATAAGTCAAATTGGTTGATATGATGTCCATACAATTAGAGCTAAAATTGTAGGTAAGGATTAAAACTATTCTCTGTTTTCTATGTTAGAGAGTTTACACAGGTGTAAGTTAAAAAAAGCAACCAATATAAAGCAACTTTCTCAAGACTCTACTTGAGATTTTTTTCAATTTTTTAAAAACTTCTTTTCCAAAATTTGAGTTGCCAAATTCGGGTTGCAGTTTATCTTCGAGTGCAGCTTATCTGCCAGTGTTTATAACAACAATATCTAAAATTACATAATTATACTCTCTGACTAAAGCAGTCTCAACAATACGTTGATAGAAAGATCGCATAAAGACAAGTTCAATCAAATGTGAAGCTACCACTTTTTCAGTAAGTTCAG